GAAGACGTTGGGTGCAGCAGCCTTGTACCTTGTATCAACATTTGAACGATTTCCGGTTTTATCATTCTCCCCCCTCTCTTCATGCAAAAATCTCTTGAACGTTTTTTTTGTCTCGTTCATAATCTTTCAAATTATCTCACCCGCCCTTTCATATGTTTCTTTGAATCATCAGATTAATTTCAAGTATCCTCTGTATCCCCGCTCCCGACTCAGCTGTTGCTGACTTATGAACGCTCTTGCAGGTTGCGAAGAAAGAAGAAGAAGAGGAAAAGACTCTCGAAGAAACAACAACTGTATTGATACGAGAGATTCGAGATGGAGTGAAAAAGATGATGATAGTTTCGACGAAATTCGGCGCATAAGTGGGAGTGTTCCCACGCGATTCGATAGGGATATGTGTGCGACAACGACTATCGGAAACTGACAACGATAATGAGAAAAAGAGAAGAAGAAGAGAGGAAAATGAAAGAACCATTGATATGGAAAAGTAGTTGAATTGAGAAAGAAAATATCTTGTTTATTTCTTCACGACCTTTCCAAGTCCATATTGCAACAACAACATAAATCGGGAGATAGTTTTTTGTTTCATCCTTCGTGGCTAGCTACTCAGATGGTTGAACCTGATTGATTGGGACTTTAGGAGATCGTGATCAGTAAGACAGATGGAAACGGATAATTTATTTTCCTGATGATCAGATATAGAATGAGACACGAAATTCAGTAGTCTATCAGCCTAATTTAAAATGAATGCGCAGCTAAATTAATCAGCATAATCTATACCCTAAAACCTGTATTAGAAGAGCCTTCTTAATATAAGGGCTCTCTCGAAATGAAGGGACCCTGTAATAGAAGTACCCTCTGGAAGTATCTTGAAACAATAAAAGGGCCGGCCCTTCTCAAAATTTTCAAAGATAATCCCAACCTGTGAAAACCGTGTGGATCATTATTATGTTTCCAATACGAAGCAGGATCCAACTCGCCATCATAAACTTCTGAAATGATTTAGGTTACAGCAACCTCTCTTCGCTATCTTTATCTGATCTGATAAACTCATTTCCGGACAGAACGTCTGTTCTTGTTCGGCTCACACACTGCATAGTTCGTGATCCTGAATTGTACTGCCTGAACTCTAACTGAAAAATCTCACTGTCTCATGCCTGCTGGATCTCCAGAAATCGCCGTTCAAGCAAGAATATTCACGTTAGGTAACAAGATGTTCACCTAATCAGATTCAATGAACTTCTATCTATTCCAGCTTCTGTACAAGTTTCGAAAGTCTGGACATCACCAAACATCAATCATCTACTGTATTCTCATGATTGCTGACTTCTGATTTCAGTGTTGTGGCCTGTTGTGTCGTGGCACTTTGAACAATGCTTGTAATTGAACCAGTATGACTTTTAAACTGTCATTATATTATGTCCCTACAACTGCAAGAAAACCACTAACCGTGTCATGAGTTCTCATAAAAAAATAATCATGTACTTCGAAGTACACGTACTTTCAATTACCTAGACGAACGATCAACGGATGATTTTCTCGAAAAAAAAAAGACCTCCGCGATCAAAGTGTCGCCTCTTTTTTGTATGTTTCCGACACACTTCTTATTTTCGAAAGTGGTGTGTATGTTAAGGGGGTGCTGCTGTTGATGGTCTAATCAAATTGAATCATAAAAGTGTCAGCATTCGGTTGATTTATGTTTTGAAAACAGAAGGAGAATACGAAGACGATTTGATAAAAGTTTCCACAGCAACACGAACTTTCCATCTCCACTCCTTTTTTGCTGACTTCTCATTCAAACCAAACAAAACCAGAAGGGATATTCCTCCTCCCTCATTATTGACTCACTTCTCCTTCGGACACCCACACGTCTACAGTCAATGAGGGTCATCTGGAGGGAGGCAAAGCGTGGGAGGTGGTTTTGATTTGAATGAAAAACTGAGGAAAAGGTTTCGAGGAAACTGATGAGTAGGTGTGAACTGAATTGGGAATTCATCGGAAGTGTCAAAACACAAAATTCGTGGAGGAAACTTTTCCGGTACAAAGTACATACCAGAGATCTGGAAACTGTTTGAATTTGAAACACTAGCAAAAAAAAGTGATGCTAATCTCACCGGTAAATTTTTCGATTTCCGTTTTCCGGATTTAAAAAGAATGTACTTATCAGTTATGGTAGGAAACACATTTTCCTAAATCCGAAAACGGAAATGGAAAAAATCTTTTACAAAACGCCCGGAAAACGGAAACGGAAATTACTCTCATCAATTACTCTCTAGAATCAATTACTCTCTAGGAAATTACTCTCTAGAATAGGTCTGTTTATAGAGTATACTTCAGAGACGGGAAAGTTGAACGGTGATTACTAAAAAAATTATATGAAAACTGTTCTTGAAAACCAAAACATGGTTTGATAGAGTAATTGTGGTATCCAAGTCTATCAGGGATTACTGTATCTTCGATTTTGAAATTTTTCAAGCACTTCCTGTCTGCTTTATAATAGAAAAACTATTTCTTCCGTTATTCAGAGAAAAAACAGTTATCTGAAAATCTTTTCGATATGGATCTACAATTTGATTTTTTCAGGATCGTACTTGTTCAATTTGATTTTTTTTGCTTTCAGTTCAATGATCAAGGAAAAAGAATCGACACGACTTAATTAGGTTTCTTTTGTTCCTACCGTAACCTTATCTTTATATCTCTTTTCTTATTAGATGAAAACTTATCAAGAAAACTTCAAAGTTCTCGCTGATTTTTACTCAACCGAGGAGCACTTTTTTCTTCAACCATACGGAAGTGAATTTTTATTTTCGTTTGGTGTTTAGTTTCTCAGTTATCAATGGGGTTATGATGGTTTTCCCCATTATGTTTTCCCTCCAATTTTCTCATTTTCCTGCCACCAAGTGTTCACTTCCTTTCTTGGGCTTTTTTTTCTGAAATTGGATGGGCCAATTTTCGAAAAAAAAGGGGCAAAGTAATTGTTTTGTTGTCAAATCAAAGTTTATAAATTTCCAGGTACCAGATGATTATAATTGAGTTAACAACTTAATTGAATCAATTGATTTCTTCTCTTTTTTGTTAATGATTGTTATTCCAAGTTTCTGGATTCAATATTACTGTAAAGGACAATTTGAACTTTGTTCTAGATTCGAATTGTTTATGTCGAGGTATCGAGAAAAAAAGAAGATAAGAAGAGAAGATACTGACAAGTCTTTTTTTGGAGAACTAGGTTGTAAACCAGATACTGTAACAGTCCTATCACGCTTTTTATGGAACTTCTGAACAGATCGAGTACGTGTTTTTTCTAAGTATACAGCTGCTACTTGCACGGGTTTCCGACAACCGTCCATTCGATTCTCACCACTTTCTCGACAATCCAATTCAAGTACAAAGACTGATTCTTCTCGGGGTTTTTCCATTTATCTCTTCTCGTTGTTTTGATAATCAAAGCGTGTTGTCATGTGATGGACATTATCTCTAGAAAACGGACGCCAGGCTGGCGGCGGATATTCCGCCTGCGCTCAAGTTTTACCAAGTGCAAGGTCATTAACAAGGATCAGACTGTGTCAGATAACGTTATCAATTTCTAGTTTTTTTCGGAGGCAAGGACAATAGAAGATCTACTTGCAAAGAACCATCAAAGGGAAAACTTTCTTGTCTGCAGAAAAGCGAGGAAATCCATAACTGGAACTAGTTCGGCAAGACTTGGAAATAGATGAATGGATCGACTAGGGAAACCTATTTCAGAACGATATGTTTTGCTGAATTTTGGAAATAGAAGTTCAAGCTGTCTTCCAAAATTTCATTAAAGGGGACCAAAAATTGTTTAGGAAACACCAAATTTAATTCTATTCGAATCTACCTATTTTCTCTAACAGAAAGCCCATGAACTTCTATTTTTCAACCTCCATGTCAGGGTAGATTCCTTAGAGAAAGGGCTTGAATATTAGAGTTTTCTGTTATTAAATGAACTTTCTGTTATTAAATGAAAACGGGAAGAATTAACGAAAATTAGCAGAAGTTTGGAAAAATATAAAATGTCTACAATAACCGAGAAGACGAATTGCGCAGAACGGGTGGGCTCCTATTTGAGAAAATAAGTATTTATTTTCCTGAACATTTCTCAATATCGCTTCTCCCAAATGGGATAGTTGATCGTTTAGAAATATAGGATATTTCGTAAACTATGGATTTAGGTGGCCTTCTATTAGAGTGTTTACGATATCTTGCAAAAACAAATTTCGAACTTTTTTCCATTTTTTGAATGGGGTTTAGATCAATCGGAAATTTAATGATTCCCAGTTTAACCACTTTTTTGGAACACCTAAACTGATAATTTCATTAGCAGGCGACATTTTTCATCTGGTGTAGATCTTAGTAAGATCCTCATAGTTACAAAACTTCTTACAATCAAAAAGATCCAGAAAAAAGTAAGTCGTATCATAAACCAGTTTATTTAAAACCACTCGTGTTTAAAACATTTCATATCCTGTTTATGTAGACCATTCGAAGGTCAAAGTTTCGGTCACAGTCTCTCCTCGGAAATTGTTAATTATCTTGTAGTGAGTGAACGATTGAACGTCGGAAGTCCTCTGGTGAGAGACCTTCCTTGTTCTTCTAAGCGCATGAATTTTTTATCACCTCGCCCGTCTGCTATCTTTCGGATTCCCTCATAAATTTGACAGCAGCACCGCTCTTCGTGATAAACCTGTTCAAAAAGATGGTATAGACAGATTTTTTCTTTTTTATCTCATTGGGAGGGAATAAAACTGTATCTATTCATGTGAAATGGCTCCCATTTTCAGAGGGAAGCATAAGATGAAAAGAATAGACAAGGGAGAATAGTGTAGTTTATAGATGATGACAATTGATAAGATTAGAAGTTTGATGGGTATTGATCGATATGACAATAATCATATAAAACCAGTAGCAGTTTTGCAAAATTCGATTTTTTTTTCTTTTATGACACTTGAATTTCATTCCGGAGTTTCAGATTTGTATTCATGTCAGAAGTTCAACACTTTGGAAGTTGTCATTGTGGGGCGGTGAAGTGGACGTTTACAGGACCTGAAGTTCTGGATGGGTGTCGTTGCAAGTGAGTTGTGTTAAAGGTGGGGGGACATGAAAAAAATAATGTTCTCGAAATTCCGTTCAAAGATGCCCCTCGAGGAGTTGAACTTGTGAGGGTGAGGATTGAGGGTGCGGCGCCGCTACCGACTGAGCCACGCGGGCAAAGAGAAAGCTCACGCCCGATTGCATACATAAAGGCGAGGACGACAGCTGTACGCAGAGTGACATTAAGCGTTGTACACCGTGACGGTAGAATGCATACTCTAGCTACAAAAAAAAACTACGAAAAATCTCCTGTCCCCCCACCTTTAAATTGAAACACTATACCATTAATATATTCTAGTTGCACGGTTTGTAACAAAAAGCAAAACCAGCATTGCATTATCAAATTGGACAGATTTAAACTTTTGGAGGTAAGATACTGTAAAACCTGTAGTAGAAAGGCACTAACTTTCAATTTTTAGCCGATTTGTCTCGGTCCCTGTCAAAGATACCAAAAATCTGTCGACTGATAAATTGTTAATCTGAACAACACAAACATTTTAGCAGTTAACTTATTTTTGATATCTCTCATAGGAACCGAGATAATTGAGCTCAAACTTGATAGTGTGGGGACCCTCCTATTACAGGTTTTAGTGTAAGAATTCCTTCTGGACAATATCAACAGAACTAGGTTTACTGCTTCAGGGTGAGGACAAAATCACCACATACCGTTTCAACACTGGTGTTGCTCAACATAAATTCTGCTCCATTTGTGGAGTTCAAAGTTTCTATCATCCTCGATCGAACCCTGATGCCGTTGGTAAATTTCTTAAGTTTTAAGACTGCTTCACTAAACTTTTCCAGCTATCATGCCGCACTGTATCGATGGAAACACTCTCAAAGATGTCAATTGGACCTACTTTGATGGGCAGGAATGGGAAAAGGCTATGGAGAAAAAGTCACCAGCTGCTCAGTAATATCCTTTTTCTAATAAAGTTGTTCTCCGAAAAATGGTGTCTTGAAATATTCAAAGAATTTAATCTATAGACTATAATGATCACTTGAAAGGTTGAATTAGTCGAATGATTTTGAGAGATACTTCTTTATTACTATATCAAAGATCTCTTGAACACTTTAGACGGAAGTACTCAAAGTTTCATAGAACATTGATTTCTTCTGGTTTAGAACAATAGTAAACCACGGAACAATTTTTTGTTGTTTTGAAGCGAAAAACAAACAGCAAAATTCAAAAGTTTTGTGCACCTACTTTTTCTCGGCAACTGTTTGATGATCAGTCACGTGTGCTCGGCGATAAAGAGCTATCTCTCAGTGACTACTTGAAACTATTCACCTGAATTTACCTATCTGCTCATGATAAATTCATTGTTCGCTTTAATTTAGTATTTGTACTGTTTATCATTTCCGTTGGAAACTGATGTTTCAATGTAGTGCGCTTGTGTGTTGTGGCAACTTCAAAGAACGATCACTTTGATCGCATATCGCGTAGCTAAGAGATTGTGTGCTTTTCTAATTCATATATTTTAACTGAACTGTTCAAAATTACTTTCGCCGAGATTTTCTGAAAAAATAGTACCGTAGTCGATCGTGGCAGAGCCCTATGAAGTTTCAATTAATGTGTCCTTTAAGAAACTGTACTGTAAATAACGCAAAGCCAAATTCTGGAATTTTTCGAAATTTTTATTTTATTTCAGTTTAGTAAATTTATGTTCTCATCGAATCGAATCAAAGGCTTCAATAAAAACTGCTCATTTCGCAACTGCATTCTGAATTTTCTGCTCCTTCTCTGCGCACTCCACTCTATTTCGCGTATAAAGCGAGCGTGTTTCCGTTTTCAAGCGGAATAAAAAAATTGCGAAAAAGTTGAGGCAGTCCGACCTGCTGTCAGCTGTTTTTGGACAATTTCCATTTGTCCCATGGGTGTTTAATCTTTTCACTCGTCAAATTTCGCTTTCTCCGTTGATTTGATTCCTCTGAAAACCGTCGTTCCATTATTGTTATTTTCAGAAAACAGCGTAGAAGTAGACGTTCAATTATAGTGACTGAGAAATTTAAAAAAAATCAAATGTCGATGTATACGGCAGTTCCAGGTTTGATTCTCATTAGTTGAGAAAATCGATCATTCTAGTTTCTAGGGATATCCAAAGATGATGTCATCAAATTTTCGAAAGATTTCATGGCTGGTGCCACGGCAGCGGCTATATCCAAGACTGTTATAGCTCCAGTGGAACGAGTTAAACTGATTCTTCAGGTGAGTCTCAATTTTTTAAAATCCGTATCATCAGCCATCAGTAAAAAATAACATTTCAAAATCAGTCATGATGTAATATGTCAAATACGAAGATACTGTTTTTTATGCTTCTTCAATTTCAGCTCCAAAACTCACAAACAACGCTAGCTCTAGAAAATAGGTACAAAGGAATTGTCGACTGCTTTATCAGAGTACCCCGAGAGCAAGGATTTCTATCGTTTTGGAGAGGCAATTGGGTTAATATACTAAGATCTTGTAGTCAGGTAAGTCATTTCAAATTTATCGGAACGAAAAGTACTGTTATTTTAGGAATCACTAGGATTATCATTCAAAGAATTTTTCCGAAAGTACAGCTTGGAAGGAGTCGACCCAAAAACACAACATTCCAGATGGCTGATAGGTATTTTTTTTTCCTTTTCTTTACACGAGAAAATGTTGAAGTGTTTCAGGTAACCTAGTAGCCGGTGGAGGTTCAGGATGTGCCACTCTTGCGACAATCTATCCTTTAGATTTCATAAGGACGAGGCTGGCAATTGATCTGGGAAAAAGAAAATCTGTGAGTTTTTTTCTCATAAAATGACATTTCTTGTCCCGTTTTACAGGACCGAGAATTCACTGGAATGTTTGATTGTGCTCGAAAAATTATTAAAAGTGATGGAATCCCTGGATTGTACAAGTAAGAAAGCTTTGGAACAACGAAACAAAAACAAGACATTTGTTCAGAGGCCTGATTCCTTCGCTTCAATACATGATCATATATCGAGGAGCCTATTATGGACTTTTCGATACTACTGCTCCTTATATGAATAGTGAAGGAAAGATGACATTCACAGAAGCATTTCTTGTCGGACAAGTTGTTACTCTAATCGCTGCAATGACTTCGTATCCCCTGGATACTGTAAGGAGAAGGCTGATGATGGGTGCTGGAAAGAAAACTCTACCCTTCCACAACACTATATCGTGCTTCAAAGTGAGACTTTATTTTGTCCCACCTCTTTCAATAATTGTTTTTCTTTCAGTATATCTACACGAAAGAAGGACCTAAAGCATTCTTTCATGGAGCTCTCGTGAATGCGATCCGTGGAACAGGAGCAGCATTGGTTTTAGCAATTTACAACGAATTGCAAAAATACATGTAGTATTGCGGTCTGATATAGGATATTTTAAATTAATCAAATATAAGTGCATACTTTCTTAATTCGGTGTTAAAAATTCTGATCCCTTTTTCTTGGAAATCAGGCAGATAGAGATTTAAAGAAACGTGTAATCGTTGTTTGTTCAACTATCTGTAATCCACCCAAAGTTTCGATGATGTCCTGTTGTTTTCTTGTTATGATGAAAATTTTCAATGAAGAATTTATAAAATTATCCGTATTACTCTACAGAAACCCATGATCCATTGATCGTTCGTTCACCGGAGAGAAGAATTCCCTTTTTGGTAGTTGGACCTGATTGTGATCGGATAGTGAAAACTGCCTGAAAACTTTCTATTACTCGATATGAAGAAACAAACAACTTCAAACCTTTGATGAAGCATCTTTTCCGAATCCGTGTCCAACAGGTGTCATTTGAACAAAAACACGGCATCGGTTTTGAAGAAGGGTTGAAGCGGTAGAACAAATTGAGAACGGAGCGAACAAAACAGATGACTCTGCTTTTGCCTTTTTCAGATGAGAATAGATCTTATGAAGAAAAATAACAACTTCGACAGGTTTTGTTCCAAGCTGCTCGAAGAGTGACACATCATCGAAAAGGATAACAGAAGAGCCATGTCCGGAAATTTTCTGAGAGAAATAAATCAGTTCAGGATAAGATGTTGAATCTTACCTCAATAAGATCGTCCATCGTTTGCTTGACGTCAACATCGAAAGATCCAAAAGGTTGAAGAATCTCCAAAAAATTGATTTGAGACGGGACCCAACGAATTCCAGCTTTCGAGCAGACAAGCCTGAAAAGGAATATTGATATCTCTATCGAACTGAAATAAAATACAACTTACTTGTAATTGGTCTCTGTATATTTGCTCGTAATGATTGTAACTTTCTGGTTTGAAGTGGACGCAACCGAAAGGAAGTGCAAGACCATAGGAAGAGATGACGCGTTGCCTAATTCTTCACACACAACCAATCCATTGAAAACGTATTCTTGTCCTTTTAAAATTTTTATCATCTTTTAGAGCTTGGGAATCGTTGTTTTTTTAAAGCTCTTCAAATGTAAGGATTTTGTTTATGTTGTCCGAGAGGACTACACCACTGCCTCGTAAATGCAACCAGCTGTTGGTCCCGAGTGGAAGAGCTGCGACGTCTACCTCGACGACATTTACGGGTTCTTTTAATTTGAAGTTTATCAACTGATAGCGAGTTGTTTTCTGTTCTTTCCATATAAATTGTGACATGATGTAATTTATAGAATATGTTCTGCAATATGAGTCCTCTATTGGAATCCCTTCTTTGCAGATATGAGCTTGGGGCAATGTTCCTTCACCCCTGTCACTGATGTCGGAATCGGAGCAATCGAGTTGTATTTTCCACAAAACTTTGTTGAGCAGTCCGACTTGGAAGAAGTATTAAATATCAATTATTCAAAAAAAAACAATTTTTTCAGTACAATAATGTGTCTCGAGGGAAATATACAATTGGCCTCGGACAACAGCAGATGGGTTTCTGTTCCGACAATGAAGACATTGTTTCAATTTCTCTAACAGTTCTTCGGCAACTTCTAGAAACTTATAAGGTAACGTCTTAATTCAAAATCTTAGTATTTAGTTGATCTTTGTTTAGATACCGCTCGATTCGATTGGGTGTCTTGTTGTAGGTACAGAAACAATGATTGACAAAAGCAAAAGTGTGAAAACAGCGCTTATGGACTTGTTTCCCAACAACTCGGATATTGAAGGAGTTGACATCAAAAATGCTTGCTTTGGAGGAGCACAAGTAAGTTTTTATTCGAAAAGAATCACATTTCCATCGTGTTTTGGATTATTTTATTTGAATTTTTTGGCTCTGCCGTTTCCGCAGGGTCTCTGAATTTGTGTTTTAAAAGTGTCTCTAGGCATTGCTACACGCCGTAGACTGGGTCACAGTGAATCATCCTGTTGACAAAAAGAATGCTATCGTCGTTATTGCTGATATCGCAATTTACGAAGATGGGCCGGCAAGATGTACAGGAGGAGCTGGGGCCATTGCTTTTTTGGTTTGCCCTGATGCCACAATTCCAATCGATCGGCGGTTTTCCGCATGCCATATGAAGAATACTTGGGATTTTTTCAAACCGATAAGTATGTCATTTCATGCTTCAATTTTGTAATCAAAACTATCTTTCAGAATCAACAGCTAGTGAGTACCCAGAAGTTGACGGATCACTCTCGCTTGCTTCATATCTGGAAGCTGTTCGATCGTGCTATACACACTTCACGTCTAAAGTACTTCGTCATACATCCGGAATTGATGGTCTGAATTCTTTCGATGCAATTTTCCTTCATTCTCCATTCACAAAAATGGTTCAGAAAGGCCTGGCCGTTATGGCTTATACGGATTCTTGTCTCCGTCACAAAGATCAGTGAGTGCTTCATTTTATCATATTTTTTGTGTGTTTATGCGGTTCCATTTTCAGGAATGGAAACGGGGTTGAAAACCGTCTAGATGAAAATGATCGCGCTGGAATGACAAAAATGATAGAGTTATCTGCTGAAGTCTGGAAAAATAAAACTGATCCACATCTGGTTTTCAATCGCAGAATCGGAAATATGTACACTCCATCTCTCTTTGCTCAACTTCTCGCATATCTCGCTTCCGAGGAGAGGTTGTAAGTATCATAAACTCATCCCATTGAAGTTCTTATTTTCAGCATCACGGATGAAAGAAACCTATTGTTTTTCGCATATGGTAGTGGGCTGGCTTCAGCTATTTTCCCCGGTCGAGTGAGACCAACCGCCAATTTAGCAAAGATTCGGGAAGTCGCCAGGCATTGTATCAAACGGTTGGATTCTAGGCAACGATTTAGTGCTGAAGAATTCACGGAAACGTTAAAAAGGAGAGAAGAGTTTCTACATTCAAATGGTAATTATTTGATACAAAAAAATTTTTTACAACACATAGTATCTTTTTTACTTGAACGCTTTTTTTCAGTAATTCTGTAACTTCACTCGTTTTCAGATTTCCCCAAAACACCATCAGAGTCTACACTGTTCCCTAACACGTACTTTCTGAACAGCATTGACAAAAAATATCGAAGAACGTATTCACTTCACGAAGAACCAATTATTGTTCAGAACGGGAATGGGATTCATCACTGAACTTTTGTTTTTGTTGTAGTTTTTAATTTTATCAGGTCGTTCATGTCTTTATCATAAATCATAGGGTCTTTATCGCTTGTTACTGTTTTCACCCATTTTTATGACTCTATTTCGTTTGGTTTTCTATAACCGATTAAATATTTGAAATTCTATTTGAATGATGTTGAATCTTGTCGTGTTACCTTCCCTGAAATATCTTTTTTGCTTATTCGGAAGTTTTTTCCATATAAAGACTTCTTTCAGATGGGGCGGGACAGATCAAAATCTAGTTCAGACTCCGACGACTATTATCGAGAGAAAAAGTTAGTTCTACAATTTTTATCTTCAATTTATAGGCTTGTTACTTTTTCAGAAGAAAGGAGGAATCCCATCGACGCCGCGATGAAAGACACCGTGACTCGGACAGAGAACGGGATCGTAGAAGAAGAAGGTTAGTTTTCAAATGTAGTCACTGGGTGCATGCTCATAGATATTTGGCATACTTCTTGATAGAAAAAAACTTTGTGTAGACAGGGTGACGATAAAACAAATCTAACGCTAGTTCTGGGTGTTTTTCTGCATAAGTCGTTTTTACAGAAAAGGTTTGCGTTCATATCCGTTCTTCAACGTTCACCGAGTCTGAGCACATGAAAAATGATAATAATTTATTTGTGTTGTACACTTTGTAAAATTAAATAAAAACCGCCGCTTAGTTCTTTTTAAATCAAAATTTAGCTTCAAAAATAGAGGATTGGGACACCCAAACGAGCTGTGGATGACTGTATTGGGACAACGAAGAAACTTCGATAATAATAATAATGATAATCTTCACTAAATACCTATTTTTCTTTCCAAATGATTTTCTATGTTTTGCATGGGTTTATACTATCAACAAAGAAATATCAATACAATTTCAGTCGTTCACGATCAAATTCGTCTCGTCATCGGAGACCAGACGGACATCAAAGAGGGCGTAGTAGTAGACATGGATCTGATTATGTAGATTCTTCGTTATCACGATCATCAGTGGCAAGCCATTTCGCAACTCCTCCAATTGATGTTGGCGACTTTGAGAATTGGGTGAACATACTGGCAAAAGTTGATCAAAGCGTTCGTTTTCAATACTGATGTTGTTCATGAAGATTTCAGTTTTCAGGAGGATGTAGAGTATGCTCGAGAGAAGTACAAATCATTCCTTTTGAGATATCCTAATTGCTATGGATTCTGGCAGAAGTATGCGGAATATGAAAAGAAGATGGGCAACATTGGAGAAGCAAAAAAAATTTGGGAGCAAGGTATTCTCAGTATTCCTCTGTCGATTGATCTTTGGCTGGGATACTTGGCAGACGTGAAAAGCATCAAAACCTTCCCACCGGAATCGCTCAGAGAGTGAGTCAATAAAACTTTTAGACTACTCACTTTGGACAGTTTCCCTTTATGTCATCAAAATTTAATTTTTCAGAGTGTATGACAAAGCGATTGATATTGCCGGTGAGGAGTATCAAAGTGATCGTCTTTGGCTTGAGGCGATCGGGTTCGAAAGAGCGATTTACATTGACCAGCTCTGCAAGCAAACTGGAAAAGCAGACTGTCGTAGAATTGGCGTTTTGTTTGACAGACTTCTCTCAACACCAACGTTACATGCTCAGTCTCATCTGGAACGTTATGTTCAGTACTTAAACACCGTTGAACCACACTTGCTTTTGAGCGACCGGGAATACGATGATATTTTGAGAATGACATGCAAGGCACTAGGCAAACCGGTGGGTTAATTCTAATATTTGTAACATGAGTTTTGTCTTCGTTTAAGGCCGAAGAGCTTGTTCACCAAGTTCAATTGAGCTACATCTGCCAACCCACTGAAAATGGCATGCTGAACATCGTAGCAGAGCCAGGAGAAGGAACCTACCCAATCACAGTGAACAGTGCCCAACATGATCCAACTGCTCTTCAATTTATGCGTACTGAGATTATCGCTCGACGCAACGAGATTTTCTTGAGAAACATGGAAGAGTGTAAACTTCGGTCCCCATTCGAACTCAACATCAAGAGACCGTATTTCCACGTCAAGCCACTGGATTATCCGCAGCTAGTCAATTGGATGGCCTATTTGGACTTCGAGATTGGACAAAACAATGAGAAACGTATCAGTGTTTTATTCGATAGATGTCTCATTCCATGTGCTCTCTATGAGGAGTTTTGGATTAAGTATGCTCGATGGTCATGGAAAAACACTAAATCCAGAACAAAGACTCGAGATATCTACAAAAAGGCTAAAACTCATTGTCCTACTTCAATGAATTTGGCTCTTAGTGAGGCTGGTTTTGAAGAATCTATGGGTAAGAGTTCGAACTATATTCTTGAAACTCTCAATTCCTACTTCAGATAACTTCGATGCAGCTCTTCGCATCCTTGACAGTTTCCGTCAGGAATACCCTGGATATGTGCTTCTTGAACTACGTTATCTTGGTACTCTTCGGCGAAAATCGGATAATGAGAAACACGCCCCCGCTACAGATTACGTTGTCAATCAATATGAATCTCTCATAAAAGATTCCCAGTCATCCCCAAATCTTCATTCATTTTATAGTCTTAAACTTGCGAGATATCAATTAAAAGCAAAAAGTAACCCCAGTCTAGCGCAGAAGGTGTTGAAGAAAGCCATGTCGATAGATCCGTTCAATTTGCAATTGTACAGTCAATACGTAGATGTCGCCTACTCTTCTGATTCAATGACGGAGGTAGATATCATTCGCGCTTTTGACGTTGCACTCGAAAGTAACCTGCGCCTCGAAGACAGAATTCGATTCAGCCAGAGAAAACTTGATTACTTGGAGGAGCTTGGAAGTAACATTCATGCGTAAGATCTTCCAATGGTTGAAAGAAAAAATATATGTTCTCTTCTAGAATCGAAGATCATCGAGATTATCATTATCATCTCCTTGGCCAGCTTCCGGATAGTGTTACCATTCGAACTCGGTTTGTTAATGATCCAAACAGAGCGTAAGTAGATTCGCATGTTCTTTAATAATTCAGATTCGTTTTCAGAACTTTGGTTCAGCAAGCAATGCCTCCCCAACAGGCAATGGTTTATACTCCTCAAATGCAGCCTCCTACTATAAATATGAGTGAGTTTTGAATATCCTTAAAATTTTTTGAAATCACCATGAACTTCAGTGCCAATGATGCAAATGCAACCACCAATTGCATTCGTAAACCAAGCTTCCCCTGCCGTCCAACTGACACTAATCGAGCCAACGACTTCCACGATGTAATCATGATTCTCATCTTCTGCAGAATTCTGCATCTATCCTTCAATGTTCTCCTCATTAAAGTACACTCAAACGAATATTTGTATGAGTTCTGTTTTTAACCAATCAATTATTTTTGTCAAAATCATCATTGTTATTCTTTTCTGTCTTATTCCCTCAATCGCCCCGATTGTTTCCAATTCGACTTCATTAACTTTTCCCACCGATCGCTGACCAGAATTAGTTTTTAAAATAAACCCAGAATTGATAATTCGTGTGAGCATCTATCATCTAGATTAGCAATGCGTGATTCCCCCTTTTGTATGATCTCCAGTAGAAAGTGAGTCCTCCCCTCAATCGCCAGCAGCCAGTGGTGTTTGTTATTTCTCATTTTAATCTGAACTGCAAACTCATTTGGGAAGATTCGTTGGCTTCTCCCAAAAAGACACACGATGTGACCCTTCTCTCCGTCTACTATTGTTTCCAATTCAGTTTCAGGATTTTCTCGCGCTCCTCATTTCGCTGCTGCTGGCCACGAGTCAAACGGATTATTTCGGAGTTGTTCGGCGCGAAGAGGGTCAGAGAATCTCTCACCGGAAGGGGGACCAAAAGTCATGGCGCGAGGGGGGAAACACGGGAGGAAAAGAGATAGAAACATTGTACCTGAAATGATAGGAAGAACATAATGCGAACATTCAAAAATTTGGAAACTCTTGAGAAAGACACGAGTCCCAAGAGGTAAGCACACTCGAGGGAACATGCCGCAGCGAAACCGATTTTGGGAGAGAGAGCTCCTTATCAGAAAAGGACGGGTGGTGGTTATTTGCACTTATTACGAAACGAATGATATATTTTAATTAACGTTCGTTTGTAATATTTGAACAAGTGGGTGACGTGTTTGGAAAAAGGAGAAGAAGACAGTTTTGAAGTTTAACAGGAGGCTGCATACCGTATTTCCATTGCATACCGTATACCCACAAAACCGTCAACTCTAAGCTCGATTATCTCGGTTCCTTTAAGAGATATCAAAAATGTGACAACTGATAAACTATTGGTGATATTATCATGAATAATTTATCTGTTGACAACCTTTTGATGTCTTTCACAGGAATCGAGATAATTGAACTCAAAGTTGACAATTTAAGTGAGATTCTATTAGAGGGAATACGATGTGTTGCAGATTCTGAAGTAGGTTAAAAAGAGCAAAACGTCGGAAGAATTGAGATCTTCTAGATTGTTGTTATAGAACGGGGGAAGCTGGGATGATATTTTTTACAGGTGGAACATTTTTCTTCTGTTCAGAAAAATACTGTAAGACCCGATTGTGAGAGGGAGAGGGTCTCCTAACATTTATTTCGAGCCAACTTACGTTCCTGTATGAGATATCAAAAAGTGATCAATTGACAAAATGTTTTTGATATCATAATAATCATTTTGTGAGTTGACCACTTTATTGTGTCTTTCACAAGAACGGAGATAAATTGGCAGAAGGTTTGTATTGGGTTCTATGAAAACCTATTTTTTCTCATTTTAAGAATTAATTTAAGAATTTCGCTATCATATGTTGACCATACATATTATTTGGCACAAAAAATACAATTTTCACAGAAACATCTTCTTCAATTTTTCACCATTTGTCACTATCAGAAAACTACAGTAAGCCAAGATCTGGTCAGCTGTTTCCTCTAACGAAGCTACCGTAAAACCTGTATTAAGTAGGTCTCCCTATAATAAAGGTAATAGAAGAACCGACTCTTCTGATACAGGTTTCACGGTATAGCAGTATCCCTTGCCATTACCCACAATATTAAAACCTGTAATAGAAGAGCCCCAGACTGCCAACTTTGACCTATTTCATATTTCGGTTACTGTAAGATATATCAAGTCAGTCAATTTAAAATTTTTGTGATATTATGATGAACAATTTATCAGTCGACAACTTTTTATATCTTTGACAGAAACCGAGATAAATTGGCTGAAAGTTGCAAGTTAGGGAGCCCTTCTATTACAGGTTTTACGGTATCTAGATTCCTGTAATCTATATTCTGAAAAACAACACCATCAGACATTTCAGGAATCATTTTGAACTTTTCATATAAGAGAGAACCATCTGGAGGAGATCTTGTCACATTTTCCATAACCGGAAGAGACTTTGCAAATTCTTACAAACCCTTACGCAATCTTTCATCTCAATTTTTTTCATATACAAATACTCGAACAATATTCATGTGCCACTTGTCTTAGTCTTGTCATCACCACCTTTCCTTATTCCTCAAAAGTCCACACCCACTTTTCTATTTTTAACTCGGCAATCTCGGATGGCTTCCTCAAAAACAAGCCGAAATGGAGGTGGACAGTCCCCTCCCCTTCCTTAACTCCATCTCTCCTTCTCTGACCATCGAAAGGGCTTTTCAGTGTGTTGTCAGTTATCTTCTCCTTCTTTCTTGTTCCGAGAGAAGAAGGGAGGAGCTGGCGCCTTCAAAGCCAACCTCGGAGCACACTCTCTGTTCCTCCAACTGTCTGTCCTTTGCTCTCGCCCTGACCCCTCAATACTGTCCAGCTCCAAGCAGCAAATAAGCACACACACAATGTCCACTCGGCTCGAAACTGGCTTCACTTTATTTCTTTTCGCCATGTTCTGTTTTCATTTTCCTGTTTGAGCACACTTTCATGAGACTTTTGAAAATTCAGTCATTTGTTTTTTGCATGTTTGAAATAATTTTTTTTTAACTTTCCTTTTCTGAAAATCTTACAGTATCCTTTCAAACTTAAAAGTTTATCTTTCACTCAAATTTTCCTGAAATTAAGGCTGAATGGTGCGCTGGCAACCTTTGCTGTTCGCCCTTCTTGTGGCCGGTGCATATGCTACCACAGATGAAAAAACCAAATCTGAGTCAACTACCGTACCTTCTACTTCCCCTGGCAGTACTTCCCCTTCCGAAACGACGACAAAATCGACGACGACGACTTCAGCTACCAAGGAAACTGAAGAGGTACAGTGCTTTTTTTCCTGAACAAAAAATAAACCTAAAAACAAAACAATCACTTTTGGGTTTGTTTGCACTTGGTTTTTGTCTGTTATTTCTTGTTAGAAAAAACAAGCAGAACTCCGAGACAAGAAACGTGTTTGGCTAGTCACCACCATACCGCCACATTCTAAGATCAAGAGGTTTAAAGGTGCACTGTAGACATAGTGTTTTGAAATTCGAACAAAAAAGAACGAACAAGATTGTCTAGTTAATAGGGTGTGGGTGATTCGAATTTCAAAAAAATCAAATAAGATTGGCAAACGTCATTTTTTCCGGTTTGTCCAAAAACCGATAGCTTACAAAATATCTAGTTTTTCTTTGATCCTTCCAATTGAATCCTGTAAGAATACGGTAGTCAAAAGTTTCGAGGAGCAATTTGAAATCGATTTTGAACAGGATCTAGAGATCTAGTTTTTCTGTGTGGTTAATTCGATAAGGCTTTGTTTTTGATTTTTACAGATGAGTCTTATAAGGATACGGTAGTTTATAATTTCGAGGAGCTTCTTGAAATCGATTTTGAACAGGATTTAGAGATCTAGTTTTTCCATGTGGTTAATTCGACGGTATCTGTTTTTTGATTTTTTCAACTGAGTCATATGAGAATACGGTGATCTAAAATTTTGAGGAGTTCCTCGAAGATCCTAAAGTGGAAGAGCGTTATAAGAATTATATTTTTGGCTATCAGTTTGATGGTGATGACTTTGAGGTTATAAGGTTTAAAGATTTGAAGATATCTCTGAAAATTGTTTAATTCTCTTTTCTGTACAGCACGTGCCGGAAAGTAATCCCCGTCACCTTGAAAACTAATTACCGTAACTACTTTGATAGAAGGTGACCCTGTTTTTAAGTTCAATTATCTCAACTTCTATAAGAGATATCAAAGATGTGTCAACTGATAAAATTTAGGTGATGTTATGACAAACATTTTATCAGTTGACAGCTTTTTGGTATCTTTGGCCTGAACCAAGAAAAATCGGCTCTAGTTCCATCACAGGTTTTGCGGTAATTTATCATCAATTCCTACTCTCTTCAATTCTATGATACCAACAGTACCCGATTTCTTCTAACAGATATTTTTTGACAATCTTCAAAAACTGGAATTTCAATTTTTCTACCATGTCTTCTCATGCAAATCGTTTTGAATTCGTACAGCTGGCGCTTCATGAGATGAGCATGCAAAAACTTTTCGCATCTCCCCGCTTCTCTCTATCGTTTTCCCTTTGGGTAAAGTGGACACAGAAGCCAAGGTCAAGCCAAAATAGTGTGCACCAGGAGCCCCCGTAATGTGTTTGTCTGTATTTACTCAACACGCACCTGACGACTGTTCATTTTGTTGTCTCTCTCATGACCCTTCCTCTCACCACCTTTAGCTTCAATTCATCCGTCTCCCGAGACCATTCGCATAGTTTTTGTGAGAAAGAAAGAAAGAGAAAATCTCATGATATTTAGCCGAGAAAAGGATATCAGGGTCGAAAAAAGAGAGTGTCAAAAAATGGGAGAAATTATTGACCTAAAAATAACTACACCAAAAATGGATATTATTTCAGGTAAAAGAAAAGGAAGGACCAGAGACTAGAAATGAGACAGCAGCTGTGAGTAGGGCAAAACGTCAATGCTGCTTTGCTGCTCAGAACTCATGCTGTCCACAACAGGTTCAGTCTCAATGCAACTGTGCTGCTCTTCAAATTCAGGTACCAGCCTTTCAAAAAAAAAACTACAGTAATCCAAAATCTCTAGGTTCAACAATGCGACTGTGCCAATATGCTCCAAACACAATGTGGATGTCCATCAATCTCAAGCCCATCTTGTGATTGTGGTACTCTTCAAATGCAATACTCTTCCTGTGGATGCGGTGCTCTGAGCTATCAAGTATCATGCAATCAATGCCAACAACAGCAATCTCAGCCACAGGTTTTTTTTAAAATATGTGAAACCCCTAATATGTTTCTCTCTTCTAGATCATCGTTGTCCAGCAACCACAACAGCAATGCTCTTCTCAGTGTATGCCAGCTTGCTTGCCATCATGTGTCCAAAGCGTTCGTTTCTTAAAAATTTCATTTTTGAACTGTAGGAATTTCAGTCCTGCGCTCCAGCTTGTCAACCAATGTGCTCTAATTCTTGTGTTCAGCAGCAACAGCAGCAGATTATTGTCGTGCAACAACCACAACAACAGTGTGCTTCTTCCTGCATGCCATCCTGTCAACCATCGTGCGTCCAACAGGTCAGTTTGACATCTGAAAACATTTTGAACCTATGCTTGGATGACATCAACAGTTGACCAAAATAGTTTATCATTTCGACTCCATCTCGGGCAGGTCGTCTGAAAATATCCGTCACCCGCCAACGGGCCGCTCGCCAGCGGCCCTTTTCGTCCGAAATAGAAAGTTTACTAATCACAGAATCAGGTGATTGGGTGAAACGAGAAAAACTTCTAAAAGAATCAAATTTGAATTCATGATAACATTGTTTGAAATCAACGAATTCCAGGCCTGCGCTCCAGCCTGCCAACCAATGTGCTCCAATTCTTGCGTTGAGCAGCAACAGCAACAGATCATCGTCGTTCAACAACCGCAGCAACAATGTGCTCCATCCTGTATGCCAGCGTGTCTTCCAACTTGCACAAGCGGATGCTCTGGAAACAACTGCAACAACAATGCTCCACAAGTTGTCGTCGTTCAACAAAATAATCAGAACCAATGCGCTTCATCATGCATGCCAGCTTGCCAACCATCTTGTGTTCAAGCTGTGAGTTTTTTCCAATTTTCAGAACAATTTCAGTTTTCAAAACTTTTCAGGCTTGCGCTCCAGCTTGTCAGCCAATGTGCTCTTCATCTTGTGTCGAACAACAACAAGCCCAAATCGTTGTCGTCCAGCCACCTCAGCAACAGTGCACATCTTCCTGCATGCCAGCTTGTCAGCCAAGCTGTGTCCAACAAGTAAATACCACAAAAAAGGTTCTACTTCCTAAAACATGATTTTTCCAGGCCTGCGCCCCAGCGTGCCAACCAATGTGCTCCTCATCTTGCGTTGAGCAACAACAAGCTCAGATTGTCGTCGTGCAGCCAACAACTTCTTCTTCCAACGCCTGTGCTTCTTCATGTATGCCACAATGTACTCCACAATGTGTTCAACAACAAACTATCTGTGCTGCCGCCTGCCAACCATCCTGTCAATCTTCATGCAGTTCAAATGCCCAATGTGTTCAAGCTTGCCTCCCAAGCTGTGAATCCTCGTGTGTTCAACAGCAACAACCAGTTGTAGTTGTCCAAGATGCTCAACCGTCCTGCCCATCGGCCTGCCAACCATCATGCTCTCAACAATGCATTCAGACTCAAAACATCTGTCAGTCTGCCTGCCAGCCATCATGCCAATCGTCCTGTGGTAGCAACACCCAATGTGTCCAAGCCTGTATTCCAAGTTGCCAACAAACCTGTGGACAGCAAGCCCAACCGGTTAAAATCCTTTTCTTTTTTCATTCAAAGATTAATCCGATTCTCAGGTGATCGTTGTCCAGCAACCACAACAGAACAACTGCGTTCAGTCTTGCCAACCACAATGTCAAGTAGGTTTTATTATATAATTAGTTGAAATCTAAACTTTTCAGCAAACATGCGGATCAAATGTGCAATGTGTTTCTGCATGCCAAAATAGCTGCCAACAATCGTGTGGAAACCAACAGCAACAAGTGATTGTTGTTCAATCCAATCTAATTTGTGGACAAGCTTGCCAGGTTGGCTAATTCGTCTAGATTTTTCTATCAATCTATCAAGTCTTCCTGAATAGCTAAAGTTTCACTTTTTCTAGGCACCACAAGTTCTTCAATGTGTTCCACAATGTCAACCATCCTGCCAGCCATCGTGCATGCAACAATACCAATTTGTGCAAGCTCCAGCCATCACAATGTGCCAGCAAGTCGGAGGATCATGTGGATGTGGAAGTGGATATTCTCAGTGCATGCAAGGAGTTTGCTGTCTTCGTAAGAGGCATAGACTCGCGAAGAACAAGTTGTAAACGGAAATTTCTATTTATTTAGATATCTAGTAATTTATATTTCTTTTTTATTTCATTCACATATCCACCCCCTATCAAATCTTTCAAACCAATCCGATCTTTTCAGCACGAAATGACCAATTCTCGTTTTACTTACTTATTCCACATGTCTCTTCACACTCTTCTTCTTTTGCCACTTTTCACCCCAGTCTTTCTGAATATCTTATCAAGAAGTTCTTGATTTCAAACTATAAATTGTATTCGTTTTTTTTTTAAATTTGAAAATTGAAAATTGCTCATATACAAATCTCAATGTATTGAGAGTGAACCTGTTGCGACTTTCAAAGATATTCATCCCACCAAACTGCTCAATTCTATTGTTTATTTTTCTGTTTCTCTAATAAAGATTTCAATATGATTTTTAGATTTTAAACATCCGCGCAAAAGAAAGGGGCGATGTGAATACGCTCCAGCGCTCTGAAATTCGATTTCCAGCGGTAATTGAAAAAAGGAAATTACACTGTTTTTCTAAAAACAATTCAAAACTATTGTTCAACTAATGTTTTTTCTCAATTTCTCGTACAAAGATCTTCAGCTGTTTTTACAACGTTCCCCTCGTCGAGCCCTTTGTTATTCCATCAGTACAGCACACATCCGCCAGTTTTCTTCCGTCTGACCTCTGTTACTTTTCTCGACTCTCTTCGTCTTTCACACTCTCTCGCTCCGCTCATTGGTCTTCTTATCCACATTCTCTGCGACAATTGCGACAAATACCATTTGAATTCGGTGTTTTTTTGGGTTTACTATCGTTTTGTTTGACCCATTTCATAGAAAAATATAAATTCGAACATTCGATTTATAAAGTTCAATGTTTTGTTCAAATCAGTACACTGTTAATGAAAGAAAATTCGAAAACCCTTTTTGTTTCTTCGAAAGAAAAACCTAAAATTTCGAATTCAAAATCTAGGCACTTCGCTTCATAACTGAACTGTTATCATGTTTTTAATTTTTCAATTACATTCGCCTTTCATCTTTTAGACTTTGTAATTTACTCTTATTAATTTTCGGTCAGTAGAAATTTATGCCCAGTTTCTAAACCTCTCACAAAAAGCTGGTCAAACATCAAACTTTTCTGCTTTTCTGTTCTCGAAAATCCGATCTTCACACTTTTCGAGACACTTTTTGAGACGGCCCTTATTCAACTATTGCATGTGCTGTTTAAGGAAATTCGACTCACATTCCTCGTCTTCCTGAAATTATATCTCGTTTTTCTCGATCCAGATTAATCGACAAAAGCTCTTCATTCTATTGCTGAAACAGATGAAACACATTCACAATTTCATTCAATATTTTTCTTATCGCTTGTTGTCGTTTCGTGTTGTTTGGTTGCTTATCAACGCCCATGAAGGGGAACTAGAACGAGTAGTAGACTGTGTCACCGTCGTCATTTTCTCCATTGGTCTTTCTCACTTCTTCCTTACTTTTTTTGTTTTTACCGAAGCGCCGCTTAACTTTTCCCAAGATGAAAATGCTTTGATTTCAGCGGAGGATTGCTTTAATGGACTGTCAGATTGGATCGCGCCGCTGTGCCACTTGGGACGAAATCGAAGACGCTCCTCAAATCAAGAGACTTCGAGAGGACAAAGTGCAAGAGTTAGTTGTTTCATTCTTTCGAAAAATTCATTCGTTCAAGTGATGTAGTTAAATACTGCATTTGTCGCTTTTTGGTTTTTCATGGTCCTATTTCGAATCTTCAGACAAATCCCTCAGCAACCAATTCAACATCAAGTCGTCCAGCAGCAACAACAAAAGCAGCTTCCAGCGCAACAAAATACTCCAGCTCCAGCCGAGACTCCAAAGTTTTACATCTCCGCACCAATCCAAGGTTTCACAGTCAACAACGAAGGCGGGTGCCGTTACTTGTTCTTCTAATCAAGTTTGTTTTTTTAACTATTCATACATGTTGATCTACTAATTTTATTTTAATATCCAAACGATATCTGTATCATTTAAAAATCTCTACGGATTACTGCTTCAGTATCCCCTTTTCCCCTGCCCTGGATTGTATTTGCTTCCTTTAAGAAAAAAATTAAATTAAATTGTTTATTCAATGTTAGTTAGCTAGCACTTTCGTATCCGCTGTCTTCGTCCTCCGGCTCGTGCCCAACACACACCATTTTCCTGAAAATCGAACATTTATTTGAATAATTATTAATCTTGAATTCTACTTGGCTTTGATTCGAATGGGTCTTAACGGCCTCGCAGAAGGCGTTCTCATCATGGTTGGTTTCACTGGGAGGAAAATGTTCCCTTTGTGAACCTTGTTCATTAAACTTGTTAGCATCAGACATGTTATTTCGAACTGCTGAAACAAAATCAATATGAAATGGTACTAAACACGAATCAACATACACCAGAATAATCTGCTGATTTGCAAACTTCATGAAAAACGAGTTTGGTTACCGCAACAATGAAATCAGTGATATCCTCAAACGATGCTACGCACAGAACACTTCCAGCTCTTCCTTTGAAATGCATATGAGTATCCAGAAGGAGAATCGAATGAGTCGGTCGATCGTATATAAAACACATTGCTCTTTCGAAAGCAAGAACTCCAATTGGCAATCTGTCGACTTTACAGAGATAAGGACTAGTAACGGCCATCGTCATAGCTGTCACCAGATTGCTTATGAAATCTCCGGAATAGCATCGATAGTCGACTTCATGCATCTCTGGCCGTTGAACTTGAATCGCTTCTGGGACAGTGAATGTGTCCCGTTGGGTCTTTTTCAGAAATTGGAACATTGATCCACATTCCACAACCGGCATTTCATCTAGATGTTTCTTTTTCAAAATTCCATTGAATCCATTTCTTCTCGCTGCCATTGCTTTTTCATGAGTCTCATTTCCATCCACTATTCCATTGATGAGAACGTCTAGTACTGCTAGTGGGAGGTTTTGAGATTCTCGAGGAGTGGTTGATGGCATTCGGATGCCTTGTCTGTAATTTTTGTATTCTTGATGTAATAAAACCTTAAAAACTTACGTTATGAAATCATGCGCAATTTGTACAGTTATCAGTGTGCATGCTGATGATGGATGCTTTCTGCCACCGTATTTAGATTGGGAGAGACTGAGTGGTAGGACCCATACATGAACACGGTTCTTAAGAAATGCAGAATAAAATTCAAAAGCTTTCTAAAGTTAGGATAACCTCACCTCGAACACGGTAGAGCGGAAGTTCGAATGTGCTAGCTTGCTCCAATAATCCGGAGGCCCATGGTCTTGTTGGTTAGTAGATATTTTTCTGGATCTGAAAATTTACATCGTCCCTTCAAAGACTTCCTTTCTGGAATACCTCCGAGCTGTTCTCAAACTTGGTCTCGTGACGCACATTGTGGGTTAGTAGCTGTTAGTAGACGAAGAAGCTTAGTGATAGTGCTAGTGATAAGAAATAAACAATCGGATCTTCATTTTATTCTTATCACTTTTCAAAATCTTCACGTTCATCAGCTAAAGATTATGCATAGAGGTACACGTACAATTGATTATATTCTCAACAAAACTATATACGAGTGTAGCAACTGGGTGCACATAAAACTATTGATAATACAAGAAAAAATAGAACACTGTTAAAACAGAAATTAGTGGCTCAGTCGATGACCACTTCAAATGCAACGGGCGGTAGTTCTCCTTCTTCGTATACGGGGAAAGAGTTGCTGGGATCCACGTATTCCACAAAATCCTCGAAACCATCTGAGTAGCTGTCCATTGAAATCAAACTTCCAGCATCTGCATCATCCTCGTTTTCTTCCTCTGTATCCTCACTGTCTTCACCATCCTCCTCTTCATCACTCAAACAGCTACCTTCATCAGTGGACATTATACTACCTTCCAGATCATATTCTTCGTCATCCAATGCATCCAACAAACCATTCAAAACATCTCGGCACACATATTCATCGTTCTAAAATTCCTTATTTTTTGAATATTGTAATGAATAAATAATTACAGTCAAATAATTGGATGAGTGTCCGTAATAACTTTTCGATACAGAAGAATCATCAATGAATTGGTTTGAACGATTTGAAGAAGTTTTCTGATGCATCTTCTTCATTATCATTTTCTTCTGTTTCCGCTCAAGTCTCTTCCTGAGTCTTTCTTTGACTTTATTATACTGTTTCACTTTCAGCGCATGCATCTTCTCCTCATATTCGCTTTTCTCGATTTTATTCTGAAATAAAAATTCCTTTAAATTTAGAGAACGATATTGCAGATTACAAATGCTGTATCCTTCATTTCAGCCAACTGTTTTGCTTCGCGAAGTACCGTAATCTCGGGGAATTTGTGGATGGTGACCTCAGATCCGTACTTTTCGATTTCTACATCATCGGGATTGATTATGAACATGCGCCACGTAGCACGAGCATCGTATCCTGCCAATCTGTTTGTTGATTGGAATTGTCTTGCTGGTGCTCGAATTGAAGGAACACCACAGAATTTTTGAATCATTACATGATTATCGATTCTCCAAATTTCGTTATTACGACTGAATGAATCAACATCTTTGAGACGAATTACAAACATATCTTTCTGAAAGTATCTGTGTTAAGTATCATTTAAATTTTGTTACCGAGAAGGTTCCGAACTTTCTTAAACCAGATTCGGCAATCACAGTCTCTTTCTTTCTGAAAATTAGAATAAAAAATGTTATGAAATCAGAAAAATACAAACTTCTTCGTAGCAGTATTCTTGGCCTTTTCTGCAAGTTTTTGTGCCTTCAGCAACGCTTTCCGAGCATTTCTTTCAGCTTTGAGTTTCGCAGCAGCTTCTTCTCTCAAACGTTTTTTTGTTTCTGGTGAAATTTTTGGCTTGATTTCCGGTAGTGGCATAATTGGTTCTAATTCTGGTTTGTGTGGTGGCGAATGGAGAGCTTGAATCGAGTTAGGATGATGCATGAATGGTAGTAAATTGGGGGCCATCACCATTCCCGGAGAATACATTGAACTCATAGCGCTCATTGGTGAGGAGATAGGAGTCATGTAAGGATTACCGTATATCTGAAAATTATGCTCTCGTCATAGGAAGTACTAAACGAAACACTCACGCTTGCATTGATTATTGCTTGTTGGGAGAGAATAGTTGATGGGGGCATTTTTACTGGCATATATGTCGGATGATATGGAATTGGCCGCTGTTGAGGATACATTGGGCTTCCGACTGGGAGCATAGCTGGAGGAGGTACTGGACCAAGCATTGATCGATACATGTTCTGAAAATTTCATCAGTTACGGTATTTTAACTTTCTTCAAGTCTACCTGTGGCACTTGAATGGCTCGTGGAGCGTAAGCTCTCGGTGGAGGTGCTTGCGTTCTGGGTTCATCAGTGGGTAGCATTGGTGCCTGAGTTCCCGGTTGAATAGTTAACACCCGGCGAGCTGTAGGAAGCGGTGGCTTTGGGAGAGATGACGGGATGGAAGCTGGCTTTGGTGGAAGCTCTGCTTTAATTTCTCCTGACAAATCGACAAAGCCATTTGTTTCTTTCGGAATCTTTTCTTAAAGAAACATTAAAAATCAAGCAGATTAAAAAGAAACAGACCATCTTTAGCTGTTACAGGCTTGTTGAGATGGTAAAACTCGCAGATCTCATTGGCCTTTACGGCACTTCTTCCGAGCGTCTAAAAGTCCAATCAGAAAAAAAAAAGTTGACCAGTATATTGAAGAAATTACATTATCTGCACTGTTTAATAGTCCAGCTGGAACGTATTTATCGTCGTCGCTGTCGGATCGCGAAGGTATCATCTTTTTTACAATGAATGAGGTTAGGCACGTCGCAGAGAGGCGCCAGCGACACGTTGCATCTAGCTACGGTAGTCAACGTACTGCGTACACTCTCACGCAAAAATGCAGACTGTGTGAGCCGATCTCGTTGCCTCTGCAAATAAACCTGTTGTCTCCGGAAGTTGACAGTGGTTAAAAAAAGAGAGATAATATAGTTAAAAAATTAAATTTATTTCAAACTTGTAAACAAGGATAACACAAAAGGAAACCCGAACAGTGTCCGTGGCATTTTCAGCTCAAACGACCCGATTGGCAAGTTCTCACAATTAACAATTAGAGCTACTTCCTGATAGGGAAATGCCTCTTTGGCCAAGCACGAAGTTTATCCAGTCGTTGAATTTCGTCCACATAGCCATGGAGTTTCTCTGACATTTCTCCGAGATTCTCGTATATAAACTCGTCAATTGTGTTGTCGAAAAACAGATCCTTCATTGATGCTCTGAAAATATTTGTGATTCCTTGTTTATTTTACTTTTAAAGATACCTGAGATCATTTTCAACTCGTTCATATTGTTGTACAAGTGATTGAACAAATGGAAGCATTTCCTTGTGATACCAGTTTTGAGAGATATTGTATTTCTTGTTGTAGCGATTGGCCCATCCCATCAAATGATGATTTTTGCCCAGTTCTCCATTGATTCTACTAAATAGATTTGGCACTTCACTTTGATAAATTACATAAGTTTGGAATCCTGAAAGAAACATAATTTTTCCGGAATAGATAAACAATAATCACCTTTATAATTGCATTGATTACTGACGATGGTAACTCCATCCACATTAAAACCTTGACATCCCAAGAGCTTCCCAGCTTGCCGCCTAGTTGTTTCCATGTCGGTAGATGGAGCATTCAAAGCGATTTGCATTTGCAGCATCATGGAAGCTGTTCCAATTGGAAGCGTCTCACAAAGTCCAGCCAAGTGATCATAGCGCTGCCATCCAGTGATGATTATACCTTGGAGTCCGTTCTTGAACTTTCTCTCTTGTGCCTTAAATTGATTTGTTTAATGTAATTTTTGATTTCATACAATTGTTCACCTGTTTGGTTTTAATCCAGTTTCTATTATTTGTTTCGTAATGTCTCACTTCTGATGCAGATGCTGATGGATAGTTTGCTCCTTTGTAAGCCGACGAGGCCCACATGGTAGGGAAGTTATCCGCCAGTGTGGAGAAGATGTAGTCTGAGAAGGAACTGATTTCACAAATTATCATATTCTCAGAGCTTACCGTTCAATGTTATAATATTTTCGGAGTAATCCCAAACTACGGGTTGAACGATTTGACCCAGTTCCAGGTTTTTGATAAGACGCGGGTCAAAGTCTTTGAGCATATCGTGCCAAGCGAGAATTCTGAGAAACTTTTAATTTTCGGGGATTTGAAAATTATAAACTCACTGAGCGTCCGCATTAATTTCTTGTTTGGCGAACTCAGCAATAGCCTTCAGATGAGCCAGTGCCAACAACTGTTTTCCTCCCGTCTTTCCATTCTTTTTAATCCAATCCAGAGATTCTTGACAAACTCCAAACTAAAAAATTTCAAAGATTTTTTAAAGGTGGGGGGACATGAAAAAATTAATGTTCTCGAAATTTCGTTTAAATATGCCCCTCGAGGAGTTGAACGTGTGGGGCGAGGATTGAGGGTGCGGCGCCGCTACCGACTCAGCTACACGGGCAAAGAGAAAGCGGTCGTCCGATTGCATACATAAAGGCGAGGACGACAGCTGTACGCAGAGTGACATTAAGCGTTGTACACCGTGACGGTAGAATGCATACTCTAGCTACAAAAAAACTACGAAAAATCTCCTGTCCCCCCACCTTTAAGATCATTAATTCTAACTCACCTCAAAAGCCTCATCAGCTCCAATATGGAAAAATGGAATACCATATTTGGAATGTTTCTTCACAACCTGACGAATCATCTCCTTCACATACTCAACTCCTTCTTCGTTTCCAAGACACAAAACTTGTGGATAAGCGTCATTCTCTCTGAACTTTCGCATCTCCTCATATTTTAGAATCCATTCCAAATGTCCAAAAGTTTGAACTAAAGGAATCACATCTAGCTTTAGATTCTTAGCTTCATTCAAAATTGAATCAACATCATCATCCGAATAAGCATCTGTATTTTTGAATTGTTCCAATTTTCCAGTCCATGGGAACATATCCTCCCATTCTAGAAGTATCCCAGTGGCTCCTCCTTTCGCAATCAATCTCAACATTTCCAGGAAGTAATCCACTTTTGGTGGGGCTCCTTTTAGGTCGAAATGGATTATAACATTTTTGTAGAATTCTTCCTGAATCGACTCATTATTAATTAAATTTTTTAAAAAGAAAAAAAATTCACTTCTCTAGAAGGACGATCCATTTTTGCAGCAGGCTGTAAACTCTTCACTGTTGGCTGGGCAACAAATGGATTCTGAAATATTAATCATTTCAAAAATGACATTTTCTTCGCAAACAATTCTCACATCTTTCTTTGATTGTTGTTCCACATTGCTATCAATGCTTTCCTCGAAATTCTCTCTTTTCTTTACAGGTACAGGCGTCTGTTGCTGGTTTTGCATAGAATCGAGTGTCCTTTGACTAATCCCTCCTTTCGGATAAGATGAGGTCATATGGACAATGAACAAACATATCGTTGTGAGAATAACCCCCTGAAAACAATGAATTTAACAGATTTCAAGAATTGAAAAAAACAACGTTTATTACCTTCAGAATAAAATCCATGGACCGTCGTCTAATGCAGCGAATCGGGAACATCTTTTTACATTTGATGAAGGGTAAGACGGTATTATTCTGGAATAGAACAAATGGGAATGTAAGGGATGAGAAGACCGGTTTATGAAAAAGAGAAGAAGGTTGGAAAGGAAAAACCAAGACCAAACATGCAAATGGCCATGTCCTTTTTCTTAAACAAATAATAAACTATAAACCAATCATGGTAAAGTGAAACGATTTCCAAGTGAACACTTGGCAGACATCGATTGTTGCAGAAGGCAAAAGACGGGCACAATTAATATGTAGGTGTGGCTTCGTGTCTTTCTTGATAAGCATGTGTAAATAATGGGGCTTCGAAAAAAGGTCAAAGATAGAAAATGACAAAGTAAGGAAATAGAGAAAAGAAGAAAGAAGAAGAGACTTAATAAGGAAAAATAGAGAAAAGAAAAAGCATATGAGATGAGAAGTGTCCAACAACGGTGGCAACATCTTAGCAACGAGTTAATAGAGTCTCTAGGTCACGAAACAAAAAATAATTAGGATAATTCTCACTAGAGTGATGATGACACAAAACATCTTAAACGGATTGGAATAAACAGAATAAAGAATGGAGAAAACGATGTAACAGAATAGAGAAAAACTCCAACTTGGAATCCAATTCGATTACTAGAGATCTCCCTCTGGTTTCGAAAAAAAAAGAAAATCAGACAAATAGTGAAAAGAAATGGAAAAACATTTTTATTGGTTTTGTGAGTTTCTAAAAATTCGAAAATCGTTTCTAAGTTTATAATCCTTTAGCAGATGATTAAGATATTGCAAAATCAACAACATATAAGACAAAAATGGCTTTCAGAACAAATTATTGTTTTCAAGAGAAACGGGAGCTGTCCAGAATGTCCCTCGTGACTTTTTAGTGCAGTTTCTGACCAAAGAACTTCTGGAAAAAAAAATCTAGCTGTATGTCTGATTCTAACATTGGCTTCGGGATTCTAACATTTGCCAACGTTGGCTTCGACTTTAACAAAAATTCGGGATTTCCAAATATGTCTTTTTCTGATAGAACACATTCTGAAATTCAGAAAATTCGAAAATTGTTATTTTCTTGAATTTTTCTTTATCTTCATTTAGATTCTTACAAGTATCTTACAAGTATGCACTGTCACCTAGGAAAAATTTAAGATTCAGATTTTAGGAGTTGTAAAATTTTGGAAGCAAAAGCGAAAAAAATAGTGTTATGCATGTCTGACTCTATTTCGAAACCCATTATGAAAAGAAGTAAAATTGCGCCTTTTAGGGTTCTTTAGAAGTTGTCAAATTTATAGTTAGTTAAAATTTTAAGAATCACAACACGGAATCACTCACTATCAGAAAAAGTCGAAACAAGGGAAAGTATGGCTAATAACAAAATCTTGTTACATATAAAAATATTTGGGCAAGTTTTCTCCCCCTACGAATTCCAAATTATACTGCTATGGACAGCATAACAAGCTCTCCGAAAGAGCCACAAAAAGGTCTGCGTCTCTTGACTCTCTCCCTTTTGGTAACCAAGAGAAACCAGGTGACTGAACATTTTAGAGAGGAAACGGAAAAAAAGGGAAAAGGGAAAGGGTTTAATTATTGAAAGTGTAGTATGACTGAATGGGAGTAGGTGTGTACTTTTTTGAAAAACTAGATTTTAAAAGTGAGAGTCAGAAAATGGACAGATGAAGTTCAGTCTCTTTTTGGCACGATGAATGGATGGACAGCATTTATTTTGCTTTTTTGCAGAGTAGTGTTTATTCGACCTGGAAGTTGTGAAATCAAAATCACGGTGTTTTTTCCGGAACGTTCTTCGAAATAATATTTTTCCCGCGTTTTTTCCGATGGAAAACAAGAACAGCTGAGTAGCGACTCAGTAGTGCAATTTATAGCTATCGCGTTCCGACTATTGTAGTTTTATTACGTTACTGTAGTATTATGGTTATTTAGGCACATCTTCATAGCGTTTCAAAAAAAACACTTTGAAAATTATCAAGCATTTTTCTTCATGTTTTTGAGAATTATATTTTCTATACAAAATGCTAAATGACTTTCTCACGAGACAGAAATGAAAAAAGAAGAAAGGGAATATTCAAAGAGGCCTGAATAAGATATTGGAAATTCTATCTGTTCAGAAGTACAAAATGGTAGAGGGTGAAGCAAAACCAAATGTGTTTTATTCGTTTTCTCTCTATCTGACCACTGTCTCTCTTATGCACACGGTATATCTAACAGCGTGGTGCAAAGCAAACAATATAAAACGGTGCGGAAAATGAAGGAGAAAGGAAAAAGGCAATGGTATTGTTAGTAGAGACACAATTTGATAAAAAAACATCTGCTACCAGATATTGAAAAGTGTGCAGATGAAGAGAACAATTTTGATGTGACTGGTAATATGTTCTGAAATGATAAGTCTCTTTTCTTTCTCTCGTCAACACTAGAAGCTCACCTGAGATCTTTGAAATATGATATCGAACTTTTGCTTCTCCGTTGCTCGCCGATCCTGAGAAATTTATATTAACAGATGCTCCGATTCCTTCGGCGGCTCCTCCAGTTTGATTGCCAGTTATTCTAAATTAATTTTTCAAGTAGAAGTTAAAAAAAGAAAACTAACACAGTGCTCATTGCTGATAATCCTTTTGTAGTAAACACGGTGATTGACAGAATTTGTTGGTTGTAAACTGTCACAGATTCAACGGTTGTTGAAAAATGACGAGATTGATTGCTGCCTCAATATTCAAAAAAGTATACCTACAAACTTCAAAATAAAGACTTACTGAGAGTAAAATTCAAATCTGAAGATTGCTGTGGATTGAGGAAACTTGGTGTGAAAACATATCCGATTCTTTCATCAGACACCATGAAAAAGTTGTCTGAACATAGTTTAATTATATGCAAATAATCAAAAGTTTTTAATATTTTTCAACCTGGCATGTTCTTTGTTATAATCAGATAAATAGAGCAATCTGTAAGTTCTACAGTAAATTGGGAATCCGGAAGTTGTTGAGGGAAAGATATATCAAGTGGTGAACTTGGTCTGAAAATTCGAATTTCGATTCTCTTTTCATTCAAAATGTTTGATTTACGTATAACTGAGAAGACGCCTAGAAACAGGAGACGGCGTTCCACTGATTATTCTCATTTCGCATGTTTCATTCTCCTGAAAATGCTTCATTCAGTTTTCGAACCCTTCTGACTTTGTTACGATTTCATTAAACTTCAAATATTTAACATAAAGTTGATTGGCATCTTTTGCAATAAATGTTACTGCTATTGTTTGATTAATCGAATCCATTTGTCCTCCATATTGATCAATAACAACTGCCGCTTGATATTTTCGATAGACTCCAATATCTGAAAAATGTTCTGAAATAATTGAATACGATGAAACAACAAACTGGATTTGATGTTGGCTATTATGTTAGAATACACAACTTGCTTCGTGAGACCAATAATTGTCACAGATTGATTAGTTGGAATGAATGGAACTACCACATGGCTACTCATTCTGAAATTTTTTATCAGTTTGGGAACATATCAGGGAAATTACATACCTTCCAACAACTGGACTACTTGTATCTGGGCCGTCGAAAATGAAATAACTATCGAATTCATCAAGAAAGAATCCGGAATGTGCTATATTCAATGCAATCTGTTAAAAAATTTTAGATTGTGAAAGAAAAATTAACTTACCTTTTCTCCTTCTTCGGCGGTGAAAGTAATTGGATCCTGTTGAATGGCCATACAATCTACATTGGTACCACTCTGATTTTTCTTCAAATTAGCTGTCCAAGTGGAATTTGGCACTGAAAAAATACATTCACATTGGGGTATTAAAAACATACAAACTTTCTAACCATTGAAACACAAGAAGGGCTTTTGATCTTCCTTGTGGGCCAGTTAGAATTCGAACGTATCCGTTCCCAGCGGTAGCAAACAGTTCCTCGTTGGCAATACTTATTCTAAAAATATATTTTGAAAATAACACAATTTTCAGCATAAGTTTACACTGTAAGATTCTTTTTGTATCCAACGGAATCAACGAATTCGATCACATCTTTATCCAATAAAGAGTTTATTACAGACAGTCGAAGATACGCATTCTTTTGAACAAAAAACTGAAAGAATTCATTTTATAAAACATTATATGGCTGTTGTACTTGCTTCATATTTACAAGTAAAGTTTGCCTCTATTGCAAACGGAGCTGTTGAGTTTTTCGGAACATAAACTGTGCCTCCTACTGGTCTGTCAAACAGATTTAAATGACCACAGGCTGAAAAAGAAAATTCGTTTAAATAGCAAGAATGTTTTTAAACTCACTAAACTCGGTACAATCAGTTCTCAAAATACAAAAAAAGATCAGAAACAATAGAAGAGAAGTTTCAGATGTTAGTTTCAACGTCATGTTGCCAAGACTCTTACATATTACACCCGTGTAAATTATCAATTGAGTGATTGATAAAAAAGCGTTGCCGATAGATTCTTTTCACACAGAAACGAAAAAATGATAGTATGCAACCGCACATGGTTCTCGGTTTTTTTGGGTTTACTTAATGATACATACGAGTTTCATTTTTCAAGTTTATTAAGTTAAACAAAAAATTTATCAGTTCATATGTCTTGAAGTGCTCGATACATTCCATATCATCATCGAAGGAGCTCCTTGTAAAGTTTTCAGTTGGTCCGTCGTTTTATAACCGAGTAGTGCACGAACACCTTTGTTGATTCGCTCATTCATTGCGTACATTATAAATCTGAAAATTTAGAAAATTACAGTGTTCGGCTTACAAAAAACTCACCCTTCGAAAGCTCTAAGAAAAACCATAGAAAATGATAAAGTTAGAAATTGAAAAAATAGGACCGGAAATAGTTTATAAGTCATTGTAGTATTAAGAGTGTCGAGTAGGATCAAGAAGTTTTGCGTAAGAGTTTGGAATAGAATCTTCTTGTTTTTTGATTTTCTAGACGTCGATTGAATAGTGGACATTGTGTTCTGGAACTATTAAAGACATCAGTCACAAGGTTTGACTGATCAGATTTATTTTTATTTTAACTCCAAACTTTGATTGACGCTTGTTTTTGTTTTTCTGATTTTTAGATCGTCAACCCATTCAAAATCTATTATGTTCAAAAGTTTCAAACATGACTAACCGAGTCGGCAATCAATCGAAAAAACAGAAGGAAACCACAGATACTAGTAATAATAACTATTATAATCATTGACACTATAAATATTGAACGACGGACTGAAGTACAGAAACTCTCTTCAGGTAGCCATCCGATATCTTTTAGACTGTACAAGTAGTGACAGTCTTCTGAAAATCAGCAGGTTTTTTTTTCATTTCAGTTCAAGAAGAAACAAACCAGGAAAAAATGCAATAAAAAGAAGAAATGATAGCACGAGGCAAATTACTATTCCTACCTGAAATTCATGATTCAGAATAGTTTTGTTTGGTTTCTTGAACTCACATTGCTCGGTGCAAACCTATATGTTCTGTGATAGAGATGTGGAAAGAAAACAGCCAAAACTCGATTACTCGTCAGAAGAACTTGTGATAATGGACCTGAAGGGAAGTAAGCGTACTTAATTGATTGCAAATGTCTCACCTATACTCCAACCAAACCAACCAACAAGTTGACCCATGAATGCATTGAACATGTGAGGCATGAAATAGTCGTTTCTGAAAAATCATTGATGAGGAAATATTAGACAATAGAAAAAAGTCTTACAGAAAAGTGACTGGGATTGGCCAGAAAAGATATCCAATACACACTATATCATTACCGAAACTTTTTGTGCAGCAGATTTTCAGAAAGCCATCTTTCTTTTTGACTCGCAGTAGGAGAGAAACAAAAACTAGTGTATTGAACACGGAACCAAACACACTGACCTGAAAAATGTATTTTTTAATTAAATCTAAGAAACGAAGAACTCACAATTGTCAAAAGGATCGCCGACACAATTCGAACCAAATCACTGGGCTGGCCGGTAGATAAAAACTCGTCTATAGTCATTTCTTATATATCTGAAAGTGTCAAATGAAAAGCGGAAAAAAAGGAAATACTAAGGTATCAGAAATTGAATTACGAAGAGCCTAGGCTGTGAGCTGCGTGTCTATAAAATTGCTGGAACAATCAGAGAACTGGGATAATTGGCAGTTTATGACACAATAAAAAGAAAAAAACGACCAATTGGTCACTGAAATTTATTAAAAAAACATTTATTAAAGAAGTCGTTGTCTATATTTTTCGTGAGAGAACCATGAACATTGAACACTATTCTTATTGACATTTTTTGGGTTTGTCAGATCAGATACGTGTGGAATTATAGAAGATGAAGGAAATTCCGGTTTGAAAAAAGAGACTGATCTGGTATAAAAAAAATAATGGGAGGAAGTTTGGAAAATAAGTTGCAAGAAGGCAACTTATAATCTTTTTCTGCTTCGAGACAAGAAAGTTACTCTCAATTTAATCGAGGTCCAAACCAAATTGTTTCGGCGTCAAAAAGATCGAAAAAACATACGACAAGACAGAAATGTTATGGAGTAGCTAGATTCTTAAAACGGAAGCAAAAATAATCAGGGATAGAAAGAGATTTATAACTGGAAAGCGTGTGACTTCATGCCAAATGCGCATTGGTGTATGAAGAATAAGAGAACCGTTTCAGCGTTAAGATTTGTACATTAAGAAGCAAACTGAATAATTTAAATAAACTATGAATTGTTTCTTCTATGTAATATATAATTCACAGAATGTGCTATTCCAGGAAAATCTAAAGATCTTATAATTCCCAGTGGCAATTTTTAGTCAATTTGCATAAATACTGGCGGCTGTCTTAATCATAAAATGCAATTATCGGTGTTTAGTGATTTTTGTTGTTTTTCCAAAAGTTCTGACACACTGAGGTTTCGATTCCAAAAAAAAATACATTGTGGAGAACGTAGAGAAGTTAATATATCCAATTCCATTGTTTCGAGATAGATTCAATCCACTTAGTCCAATCAACTTTATCTTTACGAAGAACATTTCAATCTCAGCTCGTCACTAGGAAGTTCGAGGAAGGACAACGATGGAACCACAAAAAAGAACATTGGAAATTATCCAACAATGGTCCTCGGAGACATATTTTTTCATAGAAAAAATATTTTCGTAGAAAAAATTGTTTCCACTTTTCCAGATATGCTGATTTCTAAAAGAGACATGATAAGTTGAGACGCTTTTCAGTACAAAAACGGGTCAAGATGGGGTGTCTTTCAAAAAATCGGCAAATAGCTAAAAAACTAGTGATTTTCGAAAAATTCTGAGAATGCAATGAAAATGGACGAAATTAATTGAAAGATACCTTGTTATATATCTTATTGATCGGTACTGTATATGGGCTCAAAGTTGACGGTTTGGATGACCTGGCACCTAACTAGCGAGCTAAATATGGTGATTTGACCAATCTTCAGAAGATGTGGGCACCAATAGGCAAATACTACTTCCATGTAGTAATTGCCTCCTTTCTGAAACCTCTGAATGATGTTATCAGAGCGAAAGGAAGTGGATTCGAAAATTTTTGTGCATCTGAAATTACTTAATCCAAAACTGGGATGATCTGCATATTTAGTTAAATCTGAACATCAAAAACATCCAACTGATAATGTGCCTGTCCGGCGACCTTCAAGTAAAACTTAAAACTTTCCCTCTTCCATTTGATAGCAGACATAGTGTTTACAGTAACCAGCAACCTCGTCTTCTTTTTTGTGAAAAGAAAGGAGCGACCCAATCCTCCAAACTGCTCCAGCTAATTCATCTTCAATTCATTGGGATGACGACCGTTTTCCTTTTTCAGCCCAACTCGAAATATTTGAATAAATTTTTCATGATACTTTTTATTGTTGATATTGCCCATTTCAGCATCCAAATAAGAAAGAGAACCGAGTGAATCTCGCTTCCAAAAACCAAAACAATTTCTAATTCCGGGATCATCACATGTTTTCTGAGGACCACCTTCTAACTTTCTTTTTTCCCACAAAATTTGATTTATTGGTTGTGTACACAGAAGGGAACATTCAGCAGCTGCAGACGATCGTTTTGTTTCTGAAATGTGTGTTTCCCTTGGTCATATTTTGAAAACAGCTACGAAACACATCGAAGAGAAGAAAGGAATCAAATCAGCTCCGGAATTGTTTCCATCTTTTATTGATGCTCTCCTCTATTCCACCAGCTTTCCTTCTACTTGCTTTTTGCTTCTTTCCTCCCAATTTCTTTTGTCTGTGTCTGCTTAGGGCTCTCTTTTGGGTTTCTTCTTTTTTCTTATGTTAGACTACTTACCCATTTGAAACATTTTGGAAACAATAGAATGTTTCTATTTGGGTTGATCGTAGAAAAAATGTGTGAGTCTATGTGTCTATTCAACTAACTGACTTTGGCGGCGGCAAAAAACACTAAACTTGATACTGTGCAAGCTGACAGTAAAAAAAGTTGTTTCGGGGAAATCAACTGTTTCAAGAATGCCTATTTTTTCCCAGACTCTAGTACCGAAAAGTAATGTGGTCTCCGGAAAAAATTGATTGTAGGTTCTGAAGGTATTAATTTAGACTGCTGAAAAATGCTTCCAATCTGAAATTTATGGCTCTATCATTAAATGACACATTCTATGCCAGCAGGATGCGTAGAACAATCTGGAATTCCAGAAAAGGACAAATTAGAGAATATAAAATTAGGAGCATTAGGATCACAAGGCGCTCTGTCCTTTTGTAGAATTGTAGATTTTGTCATTTGCAGATATAGTGATTCCAAAGACCCTGAGGATTTGAAAAAAGTCCGAAACTTCGAAAAAACATTGTTGAAAGTGAACATTATGCTAAAAAAGGTTGCGAATAGGGACGAAGATTCGAATTCCCCCGCAGTCAGAAACCTACGCCATGGCGGGGCTCCGCGTCGCTTCGAAACCGCGACACTTCGAAACTGCGAAATTTTCACGCTTCAATTTTTTCTTCAATTTTAAGGCTGAAAATTTCCATTTTTTAATTTCATTTTCACGTGACCGTGTTTTTTTCGGTTTCGAAGTGTCGCGGTTTCGAAATGACCGGTTTCGAAATGACAGGTTTCGAAGTTGCACGTAGTTTCGAAATGGACTGTTTCGAAGTGTCGCGGTTTTGAAGTGACGCGGAGCCCATGGCGGCGGTATGCCTACTTTTAAGTGGCCGACAGTGGTTTTTTAAGTGGTTTTTTTTCAACGTTTTTTACGTACCGTAGATAAAAACGGAAATTTTCCGGAAAAATTAGCCACTTAAGAAAGGTGTCCCTCCGCCGTGGCCTAGGATTCTTGTGCAGGAACCCAAAAACTCGTCCCTCTTCGCAACATTTTTGAGCAAATTTGTTGCTTTCGACGGCGTTTTTCAGGGATTTCAGATTATTTAACTTTTTTTTCGTTAAAATATTAGGAGAACAAATGAAATTGGACGCCCCCCCTTTAAAAGATCCTAAATTACAACCCCGGGTAATTTGTTATCTGGATACTATTTCTGTCATGTTTAACGTCTAGTGTGGGAAATCATTATCAGAAACTCGGCTCTAACCGTCAAAATTGCCACAAATTTTTCCGATTTTTCTCGAAAAACTGAAAGTGATAAGAAAAAAGGGAAAGAGCTAAGAAGAGCACAGAGACGAGAGTACAGAACAACAAAAGATAACATGGTGGTTTATTGATTGCATACACACAATAAATGTACGTATGTATTCAACACTTTTTTCGTCCTTTTTTTTTCATTTTTCATCTATCTCTCTTCCCAATTTTCGCACCTTTTGAGAAACTTCCTGAATTCCCAATTTTCTAACATTTATACTCGTTTTCTGATGTTTTATTCACTGGATACTTCTTGGATTTTTTTTCGAGACTTTTACACAACTCCATACTTGTAATCCGGGCCTTTGCCGGGCTTTCGCGGGCCCTGCCATAACTTCTTTCAGAATCAATGTTTTCGAACCAACTCGATCAGATATGATAGAGCTCCACGAGTACTACAAAACGGTATTATTTGGAATACTGTATCTTGTCTATGAACAGTGTTACAGAGCAAAAGGAGCAAAAAAAAGCAGGCACGCCCCGGGCCTGCCGGGCCCTGCGAGAAAAGCCACTTTATGATCTGTAACTTTGTTCATAGATAAGATACAGTATTCCAAATAATACCGTTTTGTAGTACTCGTGGAGCTCTATCATACCTGATTTAGTTGGTTCAAAAATATAGATTCTGAAAGAAATTATGGCAGGGCCCGCGAAAGCCCGGCAAAGGNCCCGGGATTACAAGTATGCACAACTCTCTTTTTTGATGTTACCCATCTCTTTCGAATATTTCTTTCTCTTCTATTCAGAACATGATCCTTTCCATCCGTTAGATGGGCAACTAACTCAATTAGTCAACTTCTTGGCTTACGTCTTCCTTTCTCTTCTTTTATGTTTTTCTACGAGTTTCAGACGACAACGACTCCCAGTTTTTCATGTTTGAAAAGATGTAATTTAGGGATGACATCCCCTTCTTCTTCCTTCTATTCAGTTCCTTTTGGGTTTTTCATTCCACCACTATTCTTTTCGTTTCTTTCTCATTTCTACCAAAAAAGCAAAAGAGGAACTCTGATTGAAAACACGGGACAGACTACTGCTTAGTAGGATTAACTGCCCTCCAAAGTTGCGCCCGTCATTTTTCAAACAAATTTTGAAGCGAAGAAGGAAACAAGGAGGGTTGGAATAAGTGGAAGGAGGAGGAAGAAACTTTTAAAGTCTTAAACGAAAACAAAATTCAATTCTTCTGGAAAAATGTTCTCTATTATCTCATAGTATATTCGCTCTTTCTATCTCTATCCTGATATATTAAATTTTTTGTGCCGATGAAAAACCAACTCGTGGGAGATATTGCATTCTTCTGAACACACTTTTTTCGCACTTCTTTTTCTTTTTTGCACACAATGGGAAATAATTGAATTCTGTTTGGAAGCGGTGGTCCGAGAAGGTACAATTGTTTTGTTTCTTTTTTATTTGGGGGAAGCTTGGGTCCTCAGAATCTTGTTTTTCTGTCATTTCGGTTGAGAAAGTATTGTTGTTTTTATTTGAGAAGTTTAGCTACAATCTGATAGTTGTGTACGTCATTTTCAAGTCAGAATCTGAGTGGGATCTCAAAGTACGACCATTTTCAATTTTGATTCATTGAGCTATAGTGTCCTGACGTTTTTGAATGGACGACTCCAAGAAAAAACACTTGAAAAATTGCTAGGAGCCAATTTTGTATATAGGGGAAAACGAATACACAATGCAGAAAGAACAAAAAAAAGATCAAAACGCTTCCTGAACAATTTTCCTGTGAAGTGAAATTCGATACCATCAGATTGAAAACAATATAAACTCTTGAAAATTACTTCTCACTCTTTTTTCTTTTTTTTGTTTTTTCTTCTTTCTCTTTTCCGTCCATTTTCTAACAAAAGTTCGTTTTTATTTCTCTTCCACCTTCCCACGATTTCCTATTTTCGTAGCTCAACTTTTCTTCAGTTTTCAGTTTCAATTCCTTCAGTTTCGTTCTCATAATTTTCATATTTTTGCATATTCCATGAACACACCTACCTCTCATTTCCTTTTTTTTTGTCTTTCTCTTCTTTTTCTTCTTCGCCTTTTTTGCAACAACGCTTCCCCGGATACGGCTCATTTTTCGACAACGTCGACATACATACATACACACTTTTCTTTTCTCTTATTTCCACGTTTCTTCCGTTCCTGACACATTTTGGAATTATTTTCAGAAAGAGCACGTCTTCAGAATGGTGGAACGAACATACAACTCAATCAGAACACATAAACAGACACGATTATCACAAAGGCCCATTTCCAAGAAAACAAGTTCAACGATGCGGGAAACATTTGGGTTAGATTCTGAAAAGAATTCTGAAAATGTATTTTATTTCAGAAGTCAGGTTCTTCGAGAACTTGAAATGAAGAATCGAATGGAATGTCCGTCGCTCGATGAAATTTTTTCATTTTATCATTTTCCATGGGAAAAGTTTCGATATAGGAAGAATTCGCAGAAAAAGAAGAGATCAACATTGTATTCTTTCTATTTCGAACAAGTCAACAGTGGGAGAATTCAGGTGGGAAGAAGGTTCAATAGTTCAAAAACATTATGGTCTCTAATTTTCAGTTCTCATTTGTGATTTTGTTGAGTATTTGTATTTCGGAAGCCATTTTCTCAGTTTTAGGGAGCTCGTGGCTCAATTTTTCAATATTATGTGTACTTACTGTAAGTGCTACTTTTTTGCTAAACCACCGTAAACACAAGGCCACCCTAAACTTGCACTTTGAGACAATTTATCTCGGTTCCTTTGAATTATTTCAAAAAGTAGTCAACTGACACAATGTATTTGATATTATATTAAACATTTTATCAGTTGACCACCTTTCGATATCTCTCACAGGAAATGGGATAAATGTGCTCAAAGTTCAAGTATAAGGTGACCTTCTATTAGAGTGTTTACAGTATATAAACCTGGAATTTTTTCAGCTTGTTATTTCAATATTATCATTTTTCCATGCCAAAAGGACGGAACTCGTTTGTATTGCAAGTATCATTTCCTGTGTGGTAAATTTTCGTTTTTGAATTTTATATCTAAACCCCAAATTCAGATAATTTCCGCTTGCACATCAATGCGTACTTCTGTCACATATCTTCTCATATTTTCAACATATTCTCTTTTGCCAATGTCTTTTATGTTAATGGTGGGTTTTTACTAACTACAGTAATTCAAATCGGAAATTCGAATTTTTCAGATTTTTTCAACGTTCTCCTTAACATTTCTCGTAGCGTTTCTCGGTGTTCTGTCGGACTACACAATTGGATATGATATTGTGAGATTAAAAATTGAAAGATTGAATAATTGAAAGTCTAACATTTTAGATTCTCACCAGGATAATGATGGTGATTTTGGTGAATGTTGTGGGAAGTTTGGTTTATTATCCAACCGAGTTTGTCCAAAGGAAAACGTTCCATGAGACGAGGTTAATAAAGCACAAATGTACCATAAACACTCTAGTAGAATGACGTTCCTAATATTGAACTTTAAGCCAATTTATCTCGATTCCTGTGAAAGATATCAAAGACTGACTAACTGGCGAAATATTATCAATATTATGATAAACATTTTGTTAGTTGAGCACTTTTTGATATCTTTTAAAGGAACCGAGATAAATTGGCTCAAAGTTCAAGTATAGGGTGGTTTACGGTAGCTTCGGATTTGTTTTTCAGGAAGTGTGTTCAGTCCCGAATGTTACTTGACAAGGAAATGCACAGACAAGAGAAGATTCTACTAGCTGTTCTCCCGAAAAATATAGCGTTCGAGGTGAAAAAAGACATGCAAGACACGCACGAAGAACGGATGTTTCACAAGATTTATATCCGGAAATACGAAGATATCAGGTGATTTTTAGATCAGTTTGTAACTGTCCAAAGTTTAAATTTTTAGTATTCTTTTTGCTGATATCTGTGGATTTACAAATCTCGCTTCGGAGTACAATCCTAAAGATTTGGTTCTTATGCTCAACGAGTTGTTCGCTCGTTTCGACAAAGTTGCATCGATTCATCAATGCATGAGAATCAAAATTCTAGGAGACTGTTATTATTGTGTCTGTGGAGTACCGGAATATCAGAAGAATCATGCAATAAACACCGTTGAAATGGGTCGAGATATGATCGAAGCAATCCGTCTTGTTCGAGAAATGACACTTGTCAATGTGAACATGAGAGTTGGTATTCATACTGGAAAAGCCCATTGTGGAGTATTGGGATTGAAAAAGTGGCAGTTTGACGTATGGAGCAATGATGTGACACTGGCGAACCAAATGGAAAGTGGTGGATTACCAGGGTTAGTGGTGGGCGAGGAGTAAATCTATTTGAAAAATGTGTTTTGGTGGGAAAAGTCAAGAAGTATGAGTTATGACTTATCAACAAGAATCAGTTCTCCATAAGTCACAAACTTCAGACGAGTCCATATCACTGATGCAACTCGAAAGTACCTGAAAGGTGCTTACATTCTGGAGGAAGGAAATGGTGCCAGTAGATCAAAGTTTTTGGAGAAGGAAAAGATCAGGACGTGGCTTGTGGTAGATAGAAGTCCAGATTATGACATGATCTGTGAAGAAACTACCAACCATCCATTGACGATTCCATGGAAATCTACAGTATGCCAGTAAAGTCATTTTCCTACCAAAACCATATAGTTTTCAGAGAGGTATCAGTAAACAAGAAAGGCTGACTGGAATGTCTACAAGAACAAGAGGTGCCAGCACGAGAAATGGATTGTCTGAAGAAGAAGTTTTAGTTGACAATGTGGATTCCCATTTGAGACAAGGAATTCAAGCAATCCATCAGGAGAATTGGAAAAGTATGTATTGTAAGGAGTGGTCACTGAAGTATAAACAACTTCGGGTTGAAAACAAGGTTAGTGTCTGGATGTTTTAAAGACCCTTAATCGATCATTTTCAGTTTGTGAGAATGAAATACAAGGACATTCCATTCCAAGTCACTTTGTATGTTGTGACAGTTTCGATCTGCACTGGTATTAAATTCGGATGGGCGAGTCTGAACATGTTCTCATTCATCCCACAGATGTTCATTCTTATCACCAGTATTATTATTTTCATTCTAACTAGGGTATGATTTTTTTTAAATTAACATTCAAAATTATCCTCTGGGACTTTCCAGGTTCTCATCAAATATGCTCGATTAGTTGGGATGGTTACTAGTGTTCTTTTTGTTTTGCTTTCCATGCAAATTGTAGTTCTAATGGTAATTTGTTGACATCGAGATGTGATTCATCTAGAAATGTTAAGGCAATGTATCAATCAAAACTTTCATGTGATCTGGAAAGCTGCTTCAAAAACAGCTACACGGATTTTTTCGAGATTTTTGAGATCTGCACTCTGGCTACATGCGTGATTTTGTCAGTAGATTTTCTGACAAAGGTGAGACTAGAGGTTGAAGTAGATTTAAAGATAAATCAAAAAATTTTAAGTTAGTGATGTCGCTGATTTACTTCTCTTCGTTTATCGTTTTGATTACAATGAAACTACTATCCATCGACAACAATCAAAAGTGAGTTTTTAACAAGATTTTTGGTAAGTTTCCAACATTTATTTTCAGCCTATTTTCAACATATGCCAACTTCTGTGTTTTGGCTTGTGTCACACTTTTATTGCTTGTCTTTAGTACCAGAAGGAGTGAGCTGATTTCCAGATACGACTTTATTTGGAAACTCCAGGTAACTAACTTTTCCTATTTCGATATCTATGAACATTTTCAAAGGCTCTCGACGAACAGCTGCAGATGAAAAGGAAGCACGAACAGAATCGAAGTGTACTCGAGAACATTCTGCCATCCCAGGTAGCGAAACATTTCGTTGAAGATGCTACAAGTGTCTCGAAGCTCTATCATGAATCTCGAGATAATGCTTGTATAATGTTTGCAACACTGACAGCATTCGATAAATTTTATATCGAATGTGATGGGAATAATGAGGGAGTCGAGTGTCTCCGATTGCTCAACGAAATCATTTCGGACTTTGATCAAATTCTGGATAGATCAGAGTTCAAGAAGATTGAAAAGATTAAAACTATATCAACGACATATATGGTAGCAAGTGGATTGGCAGGAGAGGTCTGATTCCTTATTGATATGAAATTCAAAATCAATTTTTGGTTATTTTTAGGAATGTGCTGATAACTCTCATGTGGAAGCAATTGCTCTCTTTGCCAGAGAACTCCTTCTCAAACTAGAATCTATCAATATTCACAGTTTCAACGATTTCAATTTGAGAATTGGAATCAATGTTGGACCAGTGGTAGCTGGAGTTATTGGTAGTGATAAACCACATTATGATATTTGGGGAAACAGTGTTAATGTGGCAAGTCGAATGGATAGTGGAGGAGTTGCTGGAAGGATACAGGTACTCGGATTAACCAATGAAACCAATTCACCTAATATTTCCAGGTAACCGAAGAAGTGAAAACAATTCTTGAACCACTCGGGTATAAATTCGAGTGTCGGGGTCAAATAAATGTGAAAGGAAAAGGAATGATGACGACGTTCTTCCTTTTACCACCAGAGAATTACGAATGTCAACTTTACAAGTGATTCCGTAAGCGGCTCAAACTGAGATCTATGACAACAGGTCACACAATGTGATTGTGTATTTATCTATTAATTCCAACCATATGGTTTTATTTTCTTGAAATCCAAGCTATTTAATTCTTGCCAAACCATCAAATGATTCGTAATTAATGTGTATTTGTACTATGTGTTTGTGTCTAAAATGAAACAAATAAATGTTCATTTTTCAGTGTCAAACAAAATCTTATCCGATGTATTTTGGCAGTAATTGAAAACCTAGATGAAATGAATTATACATAATTTACTGCTCCTCGACTATCCTCTGAAATTAATCAATTTCTTTCTGGAACTGTGGAAAAAAAACTCACCGTAAGCAGTGGGAGCATGTATTTATGAACGGTATGTGTTGAATCAGTGAAAGTTACCCGTGCATCTTTGTCGCCTTTTTTGGCTTCTTTGAGCAGAATAATGAGTTTATCTTGTTTCGGTGGTCCTTCTCTTCGTAGAACCTAAAAAATTGTGAATAGAGGAAATACACACCTTCGCCTCATATGACCTACTTGAAGTTCTGTAGTTCCGCCTGGATCGAGAAATGCGTAAACTGGTGACACTTTGAAAACCTCATTGTTTGAGCATTTGACTTTGAATACAACTCGGCATGTACCATCATTTGTTAGAATATGACGAGAAGCGCCACCAAAATCTATGAATTCGGCAAACGGAGGAAAGATTTTGAGGGAAACGGAGGGTCGAGTCGGAACTGATGGAGTTGGGATAAGGCAGGCTTGTCTGAAAGGAGAAGTAGAAGAAGAGTAGTTGGACATAGATATGAATAGGGTGTAAAAAAAACCAAAAGGACAATAAAAGAGGGATGTCCTTGCTTTTTGGGTATACATGTTTAAGTAGGTGGCTTCAAAAGTGTACTTTTTGAAAGTATGTATAGAAATCCTGCAAATTTTTAGCTTTTTTCAGACCCTACGATTATAGATTCTCATTCAAATCATTTTTGTACTAAGAATCTTAATTTGAATTTAGACTTTATGAAAAAAAAAACTTATGAAAAAAAAGAACGAAACTTGTTTTTGATTATTACATTCGTTTATTGAATTGCAATCTTTGGAAATTTGAATATTCAGGATCTACCTCATCAATTATTTCTCTTGGATGTTTCAGCTGTTATTGATACCTCTCTCCTTGCTAGGAACTCCGATCCATTCAGTATTCGAAGAATCTTAACTCTGAAACCAAAAAAAAATGTTTTCGTTCCGTCCAAAAAAGAGTCGGAAACTTCGAAAGCACTCAAAATGAAAAAGAAACGATTTCCCTTGGAAAGGGATTAGAATAATCGAGAGCAAGCAATAGCAATTGATGCGCCACACAAAAACAGAAAACAGACACATATCTGGAGAGAGGGAACCTCTCCTCCCGAGGGTATTTACTTCTGAAAGGAGAGAGGGAAACAACGGGGGCACGGAAGTGTAGGAAAAGAAAGCAAAGAAAGTCAAGAATAAAACCAAAAGAAGAAGAAGACAAGGTCGTCTTTAGTAAGAGAAAAAAACGAAGACGATGGAAAAAGAGAACGACAACATAATAGGGTTGGCTGGAAGTAATAGAGCAGTTCAGACTAATCGCTACTGTCTGACGAAGGTGGCGTATTCCGCTGACGTATGAGTTATTTTGGGATTTCGATGAACTTTTTGAAGAGCCAATACAGTATTATGCTAATTCGGAGCTGTGGAAGAGAAAATCGCGTAATTAGCAAATATTTTTTCTGTATATTTGTTCGTTTCCCAGCAATTTTTCAGATTTAGAAAAATTTTATTTTCCGACTTGTTTGGAGATTTTCAGCACAAAAGTTGTCAAAAAGATATAGAAATTATTTAAAAAAAAGACCGAAAAATTCAGGTTACGGTGATTTTGGCCACGCCCACAAGCTTTTCCCTTTCACAGATCCGATTTTTTGTACCAGAATAATACAGTTACTAACTAATTCGGCTCTACTAAAACACAATATAGTTTAGATTCAGAGAATTTCGAAACCTGAACTTTCATAAGCGACTTTAGCAGAATGTATGTCAATTGAATTCTTTAGAAATCTTGAGCAGAAAAAAGTTTCAAGAGGAAGTATTTAGTAGGATACTTTGAACACTTTTTTCAAAAAGTTCAAAATTATAGAAGTTCTGCAAAAACCCATTAATCAATTTCTATCCTCGTAAATCAGATTCATAGTAATATATGCGAAGAGCCTTATACGTCAGAGACAAAAGAAAAAAAACATTTTTTCGTCCAAAAATGAGCCACTTGGAAACTCGGAAAAATGACGGAGAGCTCACCGAAAAGCTTCCCGTCTCTAGTTTTTTTCTTATATTTTGTTCGTCGTTTTTCTCTCCATTGAGCCAGATCATTGTGCTACGCGGGCCATAAAAAGTTCATTATAAACCCTCCCACCCTCTCGTTTTATCGGGTCATGTCTCGTGGGGATTTCCGAAGTGTTGAAAGCTGGGGTTGTAAACATGGTTCTCTGTTAAATTTAGTGTCAGCTGCATTTTTGATTCTCTTTTTATTCGTGGAAGACATGAATTTGAAAATAGAAGTTAATTCAGAAGGGACTTCAGTTCCATTCAACTTCTTTGAATCCGAAACTGAATTGTTTTTGGTTCAAACGGCTTCCAGATTCACCACAACACATGTTTCAGCTCTCTCCTTTCTTATTGTTACCCACCCTTTATGTTTAGTCTCTCTCATTTGAAGCCCTGGATTAATTTCAGTATTCAGGAACGGCCAGAAACGTCTGTTTCTCTGCCGTCTCTTGTCTCTCCCTCGTGTCGGTGTTCCGCAATGGCGCAGCGAAAATTGAGGTATTTTTTGCTTATTTTTCCGATTTTAAAGCAGTTTATACTCAATTTTAAGAATTTATCATCCTAAAAAGAGTATTTCTGTTGTGACAATGCTTTCAACCATGACCTAAAATTATCGTCGCAAAATTCCGAAAACCGTTCTGCAACGTGTCTGAGGAGTGATGACGCAAGCGTAAGCCGCCATCGCATTCTCTACGCATTTTGTATATGTTGCTGCGTCACTTTCTTCCGAAAATTTCAGTGAGATATAGCTAATTTAAATTTCTATTTCAACCATAAAAAAATTTTACAGTCCAGATGGATACGCAAATCAAATCTGTTAGAGAAGAAGTCGAAAACGTGCAACTTCTTCTGATTGCGATTGATCGTCAAACTGGGAATCACGAAGTAGATCGATTGATTCAAGATGCAAATAGTAGTCTAATGTGAGATTTTCTTATTTAAATTTCTTAAAATCATGATATTACTTCTTTTCTTTTCAGTAAAACAGAAACACACATGTTTCGACTCGAATCACAGTTGGGAAGAGAGCCGCCAGCGATTCGACAAATGGCATCATTCAAAGTAGATCAGTTGAAAAGTGACGTTTATCTCATCAAAAGTTCCCTGCGCACAATGACAAATCGTCATGATAATCGAAAGAAACAAGCCGAAGAAAAAGAAGAACTATTGAAACGAAGGTATAGTACTCCAAAAACAAAGTCGCTGAATTTCCACCTTTTTTCGTTCAGATTCACAACAAATCAAGAAACACGCGTGAATTTAGGATTCGACCATGAATTGAATATGAACGAGAAGCTGAAATATTCTGATAACATGGTTTGTCTATTTTTCAAGAGATGGCAATTACTCATAGACATAATTTCCAGCTCGACCAGATGATTGCTCAAGGAGCTAGCATCTTCGAAGATCTTCAGCAACAAAAGTTCAGTTTGTTGAGCATAAACAAACGATTACATTTTTTGACAAAATCAGTAAGTCTATCATATTTTCAAAACTTCCGAACTTTATTCGTTTTCAGCTCGGTTTGTCAGATACTACGATTCGACTCATCGAAAAACGCGTGCGAGAAGACAAGAAGCTATTCTACATCGGTGTAACTTGTTGCTTGATTTTCATGTTTTGTTTCTACTACTGGTGGCAATATTGCTAGTTGTTCGGGTGAAACGTTATAAACATAAAGTGTAAATAAATTATGATCAATTTCATTTTACAAGGGGAAAGACGGAGAAGTGATATGAGATTCTTCGATGAGTAGATATTAGAGATAAATCGATTACTTCTTCTTACCCATGAACGGGAAAGACATCTGAGATCCATAGCCTCCCATTCCATATGGAGACATTCCTGATCCATATGGGCTCATTCCACCCATTCCTCCCATGGGTCCCATCATTCCATATCCTCCCATTCCGTATGGGCTCATTCCGGGCGGTGGCATCGGTGGTGGAATACCTCCGTACATTCCATTCATACCGTTCATTCCCATTCCCATGGTACCTGAAATTCCATATCGGTTTTTATAAATGTAACAGTTCAGCTGATCTTACCAAGTCCAAGACTAGAAAGAAGTGGGTCATTCATCGATGAAGAGTATGACGCAGGCAATGCACTGAAAAAATTTTTTACAAAATTTTGCGTTGCGAATATTGTTGATCTTTCAAAATTCTCAAACAGTTCCCAGAATGAGGAATTTGAAATTAAAAATCTTACCTCGAAACAGCGATCAAGCACGAAAAAGTCAAAGAAAAAACAGTTGGTAATTGCATCGTTTTTTTGTAAATGATGATGAAAGGAAATAGTCAGGGAGGATCAGGCAGCAATTGACTGCACAACACCAGTTTGGAGGTCTTTTTAATGTTATGCTCTGGTGGGCGTGACTGTTCTTCTCTCTCCTTCTCTTCACCTCGTACCAGAAGATATTCGGTCGAGTAAGCGCAGATGATCCAACCGGTTAACTGCGATGAAAACTACATTGATGTGCTGTCAGGAGACCTTGCACTTCTGGGATTAGATGAGAGGGCGGGGAATGAGAAGACGAAGAATAAAGCAAGGGAAGAGGAAGGATAAGTTCAACAAGAGTAAAGCTGACGACAATTTTAAAAGATTCAAACTTTGAAGTGGCCAATTCGTTGTCTATTCGAACTTTTTTCAGTTGAAATTAACATATCGTTTTAGGCAGTTTTAACTAAAAAAACAGAAGACTGGAAAAGTCTGAATTGGTCTGTTTCAAAAGTTTTTAGACTCTCATCAGGATAATGATGGTGTTTGGGGACAATTTTGGGAATCTTAGTTTATCATCAAACCGAGTTTGTACAAAGAAAATCACGGCGTTTTTTCAGGACGTAAAGTAAATGCTCTCTATTTAACGAGAATACCGTAGATGAGCGCGCTGAGTATCGACGCGCATGCTTTAATTTGAACGGCCGAGTCGCTACGAACGGTAGCCTGCATACCAAAAAAAGTGCGCGAATTAAAAAATATTTTTTTAATGTCCCGGAAAAAACACCATGAGAAAAAATCCATGAGGCGGGGTAAATCAAACACATACCGGAAAACCTGTAATAGAACACCACACAAATGTCAACTTCGATCTTGTATATCTCGGTTCCTGTACAAGATATCAAAAAATGAACTACTAATAAAATGCTCATCATAATATCAAAAATATTTTGTCAATTGATCACCGTTTGATATCTTTCACAGGAACTGAGATAAGTTGACTCAAAGTTAAAAGTTAGGATGCTGATTCGTTCATGGTATTTGACGACCTCCGATTTGCTGATTTTTGTGTGGCGTTCTATTATGCTTGTCTGAGAAAAAAAAGGTTAGAGAGTATTTTTTGCAGTCTTAGTACGGTAGCCATTTCGAAGCGGAGAGCCTAAATAGCACACAAACGGTGGAGACGCAGACACTTTTTCTCTGCGTCTCAACCTTTTTTTCTCAGACAAGCATAATATACAGTACTGGCCAAAAAGGTATTCGCAAACGATTTTTTGAGAGTAACTTTGCTGAAACTTAAGGGATCGATCTGAAAATTTTACTGTGCATGTCGTACACGGTGACGACAAATTGCGTACAAGGAAATTGCATCATTTTCAGAAATTTTTTGTTTTTTTTCAATTTTTTCAATTTTTTCGTTTTTTCACTTTTTTCATATTTTTATATTTTTGGATATTATGGTTTCTAAGAATGTTGGTTTTGGCTCCTATGTATTTAAAACTGTTTACAGACATGGCCAGACCCCTCGGAAAAAAAAACATCTCTCAGGACATCCGTAAAGCCATCGTCATCGGCTTCAGAAGTGGATGTTCCAAGGACCTCTTGGCGCAGCAGTTCAATGTTACTAAACGTGCCATCGAGAAGATCTTGAAGCAGTTTCGGGATGAGGTAATATTCGAAAATAGTATAGTTATGGAAAAAAATGTTTAGGGAGCCTTGGTGGAGCGAAAATCGCCTGGAAGACCGCGTATCACGTCGAAGAACATGGATCGGAACATCGTCCGAGCTTCAAGAGAGGATCCCCAGAGGAGTTCTACGGACATTCAGATGGTCGTGAAGACTCCAAATGAAGTCACACCATCCCTGAGAACCGTCAGAAGACGTCTTCAAGATGCTGGACTCCATGGACGACGGCCAGCTAAGAAACCATCGATCAGCAAGAAGAACAGAATCGCCCGCGTAGCATGGGCCAGAGCTCATCTCCACTGGGGACGTCAGGATTGGGCTAATCACGTGTTCAGCGACGAATCCTAGTTCAATCTGTTCGGTACTGACGGTATCAAGTGGATTCGCCGTCCGGTTGGATGTCGGTTCGATCCCAGCTACCAGCTCCAAACCGTCAAGCATGGAGGTGGATCGGTGATGGTCTGGGGCTGCTTCTCTGGGACTTCAATCGGCCCGCTGAGAAGAATTACGGGCATCATGGATCGCTTTGTGTATGAAGACATCTTGGAGAACACAATGAGACCCTGGGCACGGTCTACTGTGGGCCGGGCGTTCGTTTTCCAACAGGATAACGACCCGAAGCACACCTCGAAGCACATCAAGGAGTGGTTCCGACGCCGCCACGTGGATCTTCTGTACTGGCCAAGTCAATCTCCGGACTTGAATCCGATCGAACACCTCTGGGAGCATGTCGAGAGACAGCTTAGAGGGATCCGTGCCTCGAATGCCAACCAGAAGTTCGACCAACTCCAAGATGTCTGGCAGGCCATCCCGATGTCTGTCATCGACACTTTTCTCGACTCGATGCCAAGAAGATGTCAGGCGGTAATCGACGCCAAAGGCTTCCCAACGAAGTACTAAAGCTATTTTATTCATTTTCTATTGTTATTTTTCGTTTACCGGTCTATCCTAGATCTCAGAAGTCAAAGTTCCATTTACCGGGTTTTTGCAATTTTCATGAATTTTTCGATTTTTTTTCCATTTTTTGAAATTTTGACTATTCTGTTGTTGAATCAGTTTCTTTTACCGTTTAAACTTTGTCTTAAAATATCAGATTGATCCGGGAAGTTTCAGAAAAGTTATGCTCGAAAAACTATTTGCGAATACCTTTTTGGCCAATACTGTAGAGTGCTTACGGAATTTGAATTCGACGACATCGTGGATGATAATCATCCAAAATCATTACAGGATGCTTCGCCAAACACCTGACTCATACCGTAATTCTTCTCCCCCACAGCTTCTCTCTTTGCAATATTTTCATACCTCGTGGCAGTTGAACTATGTGCCTCTTATGCGATTCTGTCTGTTTTTTTTTGCGTAACACCACCGAATTTGCGTTTCGCTTTCAGCGGTTAGTCAGCTTACTGGCGGTGCAAACTGGTTCCACGGAACGTTTTTGCTGTTCAGTGATGATGATTCCAAATGGCGAAAAAAGAACAATATACACAGAGTTTATAACTACGAACAAAAAAATATCGAGAGAATAGGGCTTTATTTTATTACTTTTGCAATAAGTTCTCAGCAAATTTTTTCTTCATTGTATCTGCACTAACCGGTGGCATTTCCAATTGAGATCTGTCATCTACGACGAGCTGAAAAAATTTTACGATTATTTCCAGACAATCCAGAAAACACAAGATTACTTGTGGCTTCTGCACCACTGTTCAAACACTATTATGCCCAATGTCTGCGCTTTGTTTGAATAATTAATTAACGAACGATTACACCATTTCCGTCGAAAACGGTAAAAAAAATAAACCAGAGGATTACGGTAACTCACCGATAACATTCTTTTCGGTCTTGCCATCTTCATAAAGTTTATATAGTAACAGTTTTCACAGTAATCCATCATTGATAGTCTAGAATATGAGGAAATTGAACTAGCTATATAATCGAGGTTTACTTGAAAATCAAAAGTCCGATTCCACACCACCAGAGACAATAAATGGCAATAATTCCAAAATAGGAGGACTTTCTCTGAACTTTCTGAAAATAAAAAGAAGTCTAACAGAAATGTTGATCTTGACCCACATCGCCTTTGCAGTTTTCGCAGTGTGGGTTGGCATCGAATTCAACATCAGAATACATTGGAAATAAACATTTTGAGTACGATTTTATGAAATCTTGAAGTACGTGTGAACTTGGAATAGATTTGTTAGATGGACTAGAAAATACATCCGAGTGGTGGAACTTTAGAATTATATGTACAGTACCTTTCAATAAGATATAAAAAATCATATTTCTCAGTTCATTCACAGTTTTTTGACCATTTTTACTATCAGAAGCCTGAAGCTCGTCTGTCAAGTTTCCGAAAACTTTGAAAGTTTTGGAGGAAGTAAAAAAGACCTATATAGAAAAATTTTCAATTACAAAACCTCAAATATTCCTAGTTTTTTAAAAACTATTTGCTGATTTCTAATAGTGAGACTATCAAATGAAAATACGTTTTTGCATATCTTATTGACCGGTACTATAGAAATGACTTCTGTAACAATAGATTCATAAACTTTCTGTGTTTTGCAAATTGATTCATCAGTAGCTCTAAAATCGCTTCCCAATTGCTTCAAATCCCAGGAGATACCATAGCTTATCAATGAGAACTTTCTGATCTTTCCGCATATCGCATAGATAAAATACTAATCACGTTTCGCCGATCATCACCTACTTGATCTTCATGAAGAGACTCTTTTCACTCGTCAACCACTTCCGCATGTTTTGCTGTCAAAAAAAACCTGAAGAGCACCTTCTCTCGGTCACTCTATTTGTTCTGCGCCGATGATGGACGACGGCTGACCGCTTTTCACACTATGCATGAGAAATCTTCCGGTAAACATTGAGTGCTCAACGGCAATGAGTGAGGGACGAAGAAACGACTTTCTTAAGAAACTGGAAAAACAATTGGATGACATAGTAATGGTACTGTGGTTGTTTTCTTGATTGCTCTCGATAAGCTAATTGAAGGAGCCAGCTCTGGTTCTGGATTATTTTACGTATGAGATGACAGAGCTATGATAGGATTACTGTAGAAGTTCTTTTGTAATTTCATGGATTTCAGGTTTCGTGTCAGATGTCTCTATTGGATATCCAATTGAAACTTTCAGAGTCTATTGTCTTTGGGAGCTAACGGAGTACGGTACATACGTATTTTTCTGATTGTCAAGCAAAACCACCAACTCCTAAAAAAGTTCAGTAATCATGGGGGAATTGAAACAAAGTCCAAAAGTTGCTTCTCCTGCCTATCAGAAAAACATGGCATATAGGGTAGATGTTTGCCTAGAAGTGACACGCGGGCGCGCATGTTTCGAAAGCGGAAAACCCGTGTATTTGTCGGCTCCCTCTGACTCTCTCTCCTACCGCGCGGAGCATCATCGGCTACCGCCCAGTGCCGTCAAAAAGAGACCGCCTCCGGGTTGATCTGCACTTTCTCAGTTTCGGATCTTAGTCGGAGCGCACGCGAGACGATCTGCTCGATTCGAAGAGATAGAGACTTGAAAATGGATAACCACATTGTTTTGTTTTTGATGAGCAGTGGTGCCTTATTTCTAGCAGTTACTGGAAATGGTATGGAACAGATGATGACAGCAGAAGGACCTATAAGTCCTAATTTCTGTAATAGCAGGTATCCTTTATTCTTATATCACTTCCTTTAATCCTTTGTTGGATTCCAACTTTTTTTTGTTTCAGTGATATTTTGGAAGAAGCTGGTCTTATCAAATCTACACTTGGCCAGTTTTTGGGATACGAATGTAGTGAAGAATTCTATCATTGCAGGTAAGACAATTTTTTTTTGAAAGCAATATTTTTATTTAGATGGCAAAGCGACGGTTTTCGAACCTACCGTAAGAAATGCAAACCTGGATTGGTCTACGACGTTCTTGGAACTCAAAATTGCAACTATGATTATAATGTGAAGAGTTGTGGTGTCAGAAGTGGGGGTGAGTGTATTTTTGGATGTACAATATGATGATATCTCCAGTGGATTCTCCAAGATTCAACAATCAAGTCTTCTATTTGTTTTTCTCACCTTTAGTGTTTGACAGTGATCTTGAACACGACTCTGAACGAGATTGTGTTCAAACGCAAAATACAAATATAGTCTCCAGTGTCTCCCGTCTGGCGTATGGATCAAATAGGTGATAAGGAGAGAGGATAAATAGATTGGTTTCGATTTATAATTGTTATCTGAAATCATTGGAAAAAAAGAAAAGTTTTAGGACCTGTGCAATGTAATGGAACAGATTTCTATTGCTCACTTTCCGAACAATGCGTGCCAATGTCATCTAGATGTGATGGTCATTACGATTGCTCCATGGAAGAAGATGAGCAAAATTGTCGTAAGATTCAACCTAATTGCTTCATTCGTTTGAATAAAAATTCTCAGCGCTCTGTACTGCCGGAGAGTTTGCTTGTAAAGTTTCTGAGCAATGTATTTCCCTGGATAGAAGATGTAACGGATTGATTGAATGTGATGATGGAACTGATGAGAGAGATTGTGATGGTATGTGTGCTTGAAATAGAAACTTCTCAAATTGATATGTTACCAGTTTGCGGACATGGCCTCTTCCATTGTGGAAAGAGTAATGAATGCATTCCAATGGATGAACGATGTGATGGTAGAAGGCAATGCCCACATGGTGAAGACGAAATGCTTTGCAAGTGAGTCAAAAAACAATGAGCAATTGAACATAAAGGTTTGTTTAAGGAAACCTGAGATGGAGAAGAAGTTTACATGCCAATCTCGCGATTATGAAATTCCTACGAATCAAGTTTGCGATGGAATGCCACAGTGTCCAGACGGTTCTGATGAAGCATATTGCGAGTATCCTGGATCTCCAAAATCTCAAACAGCGATGTAAGAAGTTAACAGGGTGAAAAGAAAATTATTATTATTGCAAATTTTCAGCTCTTTCTCTTCTAATTTGACGCCAGTATCAGAATCACGTCCAGCTCCTCCACTCCCACCAGCACCACAACAGCCAGAACCGGGTTAGTAGGAATTTAAAATTGTGTATCATAATATCACAAATGTTTTGTTAGTTGACCACGTTTTGATATCTTTTACAAGAACCGAGATATTTGGGCTCAAAGTTGACAATTCCATTTTTTTTTCTATTAGAGTGTTAGTTGAACCTTTTTGAAATTTAGAAGAAACTGAAGAAGATTATGATTACGAACAAATCAAAGATGAAAACGCCCCAGCAGCATTCCCAATGATTTCTTTGGTTCCATTGCCACCAACGACAACTACAACTACAACCTTCGTTCCACCAACTACACGAGTCATGACAAGAGTTCCAGCTCCAGCTACCAGAGTTGCCAAACCAGCATTCAGTAGACCAAGACCAAAGCTCCCATCAACAGATGACGTAAGTTTTGAGTTTCTTTTTGAGAATCATTTGGGAAATTACAGAACCGGCCAACTGTGAACCAAAAAACTGTACAGACAACGAATACGAAAATTACAAGACCTCCAAAGGTGAAAAAGATGTTTTTAGAATAGAATTAATCAAAGTTTTAGGTAATCCAAACCAGCCGAACTAGCCTCCGAATCACCTCTCAAACTCTTCCTCCAACACGACAAACCACAAATTTCGAAAAGAAAATGCCACAAGCAATTGTTCAACCACCTCGATCTCCAGCTCTACCTCAACCAAAAGAAGAAAAAGTTTTCATAATGCAAGTGACAGCTTCTCCATCAGTTCGACCACCTCTTCAAGAACTTCCCAGAGCTTCTTCTGGATCTCGAGCGGTATCAAAAGCACTTCCAGTAAAAGTTCCGGGGGCAGATAACGACAATATTCTCGCTCAGATCACAAGTCAACTCAATGGGGGAATGAGTCCGTGAGTGAACTTTTCTGCAGATCTTAACCACCCCAGTTAATTATTTTCAGAGAGCTATTAGCGAAAATCGAAACGATAATCAAATCGGAAATGCAAGGTGGCGAGCCTCGTCACCGAAGGTTTCAGCCACGCCTTTGAAGTGCTGAAAATATTAAAAGATGATAATCAATTCAATGATCCTTGACAGTATTCTAATTCATAATTTATTGAGATGTTCTATTTGTGAAAATTAATAAAAAAGCTCAAACATGTTTAGTTATTTTGCTCAACCGGACAATCCCATAAAAATCTCGATGCGGGTGCTACATGTAATGAAGGTCATCAAATGACAATGGTCCCAGTAAATTATGTCTAATCATAGCCGAATTCTCCTGAGACACCGATGTTGAACATCTCCTCGAATGATCGATTGACGCTTGTCGACTCGCGGTCAGACTTGTTTTTCTATCCGATCTAGTTGGAGTTGGGGAACGAGAGAACTGCGGAGCACTTAGTTTCGTCTTAAAGAAGAAAGGAAATTCGATATGAAAATCTAGAATATCACTTACTTGTTGACTATCATCGGGACTCGATTCCATTTCTAATGTCTCTGGATCCATTGTGATTTTTGTTGTGACCTTATTCGTCTTGATAACTTGGCTCACAATTGCTAAAAGAAATGGGAAGTAATAGTTAGACTAAAGAGATTGCTTACATTTTAATTTTGGTTTGAATGCTGGTCCGTCTGGAATTGGTGGGGCAGCTTCGCTCTGAAAATGGTTGAATGAAAACAGGTATTATGCTTAAACAAAAATAAATAAAAGAGAGAAACGCCGGTGGCCGTGTTTCAAAATCCCACTGCGACAACTACCGTAACCTAGAAAAATATTTCAATTTTCAGTTTTTTTCTCGATCAATTTACTTTTTCAGTCAATTTTTTCGTTATCAGTAGAAAATACCAGAAAATATACCAGACTATCAATGAGCTACAAAAATCAGTTAAAAACGAAAAAATAAATCCTGAAAATAAATTTTTTTTTATGTTACGGGACCTTCGGTACAAAAAAAATTGGAGCTACAAAAAAGGTGGAGCTGTATAAGAGAAACACCGGTGGCAGTGGCCGAAGGTCCCGCAACGACAACTATAGTAACCTAATTTTCCGTACTTTTTCGCTATCAAAAATTGTAACATTCCGACTTGTTCTGGGAAAATAACAGAAAAAAAGAAAAAAATTAGGTTACTGTAGTTGTCGTTGTGAGACCTCCGGCCCTGACCAGCGGCATTCCTCTTCCACAGCTCCAACAGAATATTTTTTACCTCGGCGCATTGTTTTCTACGGAAGTAGGCAGGACGCTTCCGAAGACATGAGAAAATGACGCAGAGACCGAACAGAAGGAAAAATGCTGTAATTTGATGAAACCAATAAAACAACGTCTAGTTTTTCTAAGCACAAGTCTATGATCAAAACTCACAAACACAAAAACCATTCATCAAGAAAAATCCAATCATCATATCCATCTCTCCTTCCGGGCGGTTCACATATTGATGTGTTCTGTGCTCCGTGAGCCCACTGAAACTCACAACCTCTTTTATTTGGATTTATCTAAAACATACGTATCCCCTCCATCACTGTGTGCAACTTTTGGAATACTGACTGAATGGATCATTTCGACGAAAAATGGGTTCTCGTTCGAAATTGAAAAAGAAAACCGAATGTTGGAAAGAAAGAATAAATGGAATTTGGGTTAGCATTTCAGTGGGCGTGTTTGAAAATAAGTACATCATTTTCACACAGAAATTGTGCGCAGTGGGACTAAACCCATCAGGAGGATTAAGTGCACATCTTATTTTTCTCTCGTTTTTTGTCAAATAGAGTGTTAGAACTTCAAAAAAAGAAAGGATATTGAAAAGGAACTTACTTTCCTAAGTTCACTTGCTCTTGTTCATTCATGATTACTTCCTGATCGGTGGATCCTGGCATCTGAAATATCAAATGAATACGATCAGGTGATATAGCAAAACTTACAATTCCAAGATGACCGACTTCTGATGATTTGCTGATTGGTGCTCTCCAGAATGACGGGAAGCTGGATGAAGAGTCATTCATTAACAGATTTTGTATGATGATGGGGGGATAGCACAAAGAAACACTGGGGGTTTATAAAAAACTCAAATCTGATATTGAGGAGAAAAAGAGATAGATACACCAGCCAACAGTTGGTCCTTCCACCCTGTCATCATTTTGTTGAACACTCATTAATCTACAACTTGGAGTCACAGAAATTTGATAAAACAACTGCACTGGAAACAAAAGTTTCCAAGAAATTTTCACTGAAAAAAAATAGAAAAAGATAGTGTTTTTAAAAAAGATGTGGGACGTCTTGAAAGCCTCTCACATCCGGAGACCTAATTAGAAGACGTTTTCAAGAAGGAAATTAGACACTTTTATAGCTACTCGAATGACGGGGACCACAAACACCCAAAAGTGCCTTCAAAAAACCAATAGTCGTTCAGTTTCTGGTTACATCGTGATGGATTCACATTTTGGGGGTGCTGAATGTGAGTGCGGACTCAAAGCAAAAAAAGTGAGCACCCTCTACACCACTCGAAGAAACACATCTGTCATGTGCCAGGATATACGTGTGTGTAACCCTTTTGTTATATATATATCTCAAATATTATTGGTGAAAAAACTGGGTTCGCAACTGTCTGGAACCAAAAAAAACCGCATTGAAAGATGAAAGAGTAAATACTGGGAGCAATTGAACCATCTAGACCGAGAAATTTTCATTTCAAATTTTATGAGACTCACATAGTATGACAAATACATCCGGATCTTTATATGAACGTTTATTACTTACCATATAGAGCTTCATCACGACACATCAAAAAAAAATTCTACACATCAAAAAAAAATTCTGGAAATGTGTTTTTCTATTCTCACAGACGAATTCTAATTCAATGTTTAGACTTCTTACTAAAAATTATGACGATTCCCAAAAACAACAAATAGTTCTGGTTACATTTTCATTTTAGTTCGACATGCAGAACAATATTTTTGAACTACTGTAGTTTGGAAAACTGATATTCTGATTCGCCTTTCGGTACTAGACATTACATACCATACATCCTGTAATTGAAGGGTCCCCACAAGTTTGAACTGACTTTTCTTGGCTCCCACGCAAGATATCAAAAATGTGTCAACTGATAAAATATTTTTAAAAATACTTTTTAAAAACCACTGATCAGTTGACAACTTTCTTATATATTTGACAGGAACCAAGAAAAATTTGCTCAAAGGTAAATTTTAATAGACTCTCTATTACAGGTTTTACGGTATTTTTTGCTCACAATCATTTGTGAAGCATGCCCTTCTATAACGGCTATCATCTGTTATCAAGATCATCTGGAAAAAAGAAATAAAAATGCCCTAGACATTCTAATAGAAAGCCATCCAAACCGTCTTTGAGCCTGTATATCTCGGTTTCTGTAAAAGATACAAAAAAGTGGTTAACTGACAAAATGTTGATCTCAATATCAACAACATTTTGTCAGTTGTCCACTTTTCGATATCTTTTGGAGTAATCGAGTTATATGAGCTCAATGTTGATGGTTTGGGTGGCCTTCTATATGAGTGTTTACGGTAATTGTTATAGAAAATGACACATCATTGATTCAGAACTATAGCACTGGCTCAAGACATTCCCAACACCAAATAGCAAGAATATGAGAAAGAAGTAAAAACACTAACCTGGTGGCTCGAGGAGCAGATTCTTCAATTCGATTATCCATTAGGAATAAGGTCAGTAATTGTTTAATGGATTTAACGTACTTGACAGCAAGAAGATGTGAACTTTATTTCTCTATTCACTATTCGTTTTTTTCTTTTTGCTTTTGTCTGTTTGGATTTAAAGCTTTTCGAAAGTGGAAGAGTCTCGGATTTCTGTGAGACGCCGAACCGAAGAAGTACAAAGAAAAATAATATGAGAAGAATGGGAAGACGACGAATTGAAACCATTCAGCTTCTTTTCACATTTTTTTTATAATGATGTGCTTGATGCTTTTTTGGATTTCACTTGGGAATCATGAGAAGGATCGTATAAAGAAGATCATTAATGGAGGAATGATTTTTGAAAAAGTGAACATCTTCACATTTCTTTAACAAATGTGAAAACTGATATCATGGGATCTGAAAACACGGACATTCAAAAACTAGAAGTAAGACGGTTTGCAAAAAAAATTTTTACTGGGAAAAGTCATATCCCTGGAACAGAACCCTAGTGAGAATATGAACAGTTATAAATCATTTTTGAACACCCGCGCAAAAGAACCATTTCTGAGAAAACGCGCTCTACAGCACCACCGAAAATATTTTTTTTGGCGGTAGCATTTTTTCTCTCGTCTATTCGAAACTAATTTTACCTTAAACAGACCTGAAATTTTTCGAAACTTTGAAAAATAACCTTAAAAATGTTTTTCCCTCCCCGAAAATCCGTATCGAGTGCCACCCAACTCCGTGCGTCATCCCGAATCTCAAATCTGGAAGGAAATCGAACACTTGATGAGAATGCACGAAAAAACAGAAGAACAAGGCAGTTAGATGGACTTGAACAAGACAACACACATGTAAGTTCAAAAAGTTCAAACTCCCTTTGTAAGTTCAAACTCCCTTTCAATAGAATCATTATTCAGGATGATCCACATGCAAACATTATTTGGAACAAAGCAGCTCCAAAATTTGGAGATGAACTGGATGGTGGTCCTTCATCTGTTAAAAAAGCGAAAAAAGGAAAAGATGGTGAGATTTTTTCTGAGTTGCAATGAGACACAAGCTCACTGAATTTAGATAAAGCTGGACCTGCTGTTCATGGAGATAAAGCTCGCAGAAGAAAGCTTGCTCGACCGGAATTCAACAAGCAACGGTTCAAGAAATCCTTCAATGCACATGTCGTCGAACACAGTAAAATCATTCAAAGCTCAGCGGATGCCGATTATCGGCGAATCAATGCTTATTTCTTGAGTACAGCTCCACCATCCAGTAAACCACCTAGGAAATTTTGCGCAGCTTGTGGCAAAACGTCGAATTATTCATGCACTCGTTGTGGGGCACGGTAATTTTCTGATTCCTTTTCGAAAACCGCATCGCTTTTTGCAGATACTGCGGTATCAGATGCCGTGACGTTCACAATGATACCAGATGTATGAAATGGTTAGCTTAAATCGGTGTGTTCAGTGGTCCTCTAATTTTACGGGTTTTAACGTCATTTTTATCGAGCAATAAATATGTATCAAAATGAAAAAAAAATTGTTGAAGACGTAAAACTAAGCATGATTATTGAAGTTTGTAAATCCGCTTTGCGTTTTCGGTCGTGATCCTAGCCACTTCCTTTGGATCACGGCCAGAAAATGCAGCGATGAGCTCACAAACAGCAGCTAGAGAGCATGGTTCATTCCGGTTGAAAGAAGAAAACTGAAAACTTTTGATTGATATGTAAAGACTGTATTCAACCACCTTATGAAGGGCTGATGTCTCAGGAGTGATGAGATCCTTGATCTCTTTCGGAATCTTCTTATCATTAATCTTCGGATACATGTACGGAGCATCGGTTTCGAGAACCAACTTTTCTGAAAAAGAAATTACAATTCAAACTAAGTCAACTCCTCATTACCAATCGGAATATTTCCCGATCGTAGACCAGCTTGCACTCCGTTATCCGATCGATCTTTCCACAAGAATCCTGAGTTATAAATGATGAAAAGTCAGAAGATAAGAGCATGAAACGAACCAGTTAATCCAATATAAAGACCCATTTCCAAATATTTCTTCGCCTCGTCAACAGTTCCTGTGAAACAGTGGATGACCGCAGGTGGGAGCCTGTATAGAAAGAACAATATTTTTTTCCCAAAACGCTTGAACTCACGAAGTTCCAACTTCTGTCAAGATTCTGACCATGTCCTCGTGAGCTTCTCTTTCGTGAATGAAGAGAGGCTTCCGCAGTTGTACTGCCAGGCTTACTTGTTTAGCAAACACATCTTTTTGGACATCTTGTGGCGAGAAGTTTCGGTTGAAATCAAGACCACATTCACCAACAGCCACGCAACTTGGATTTTCCTGAAGTCAATTTATGAATCCATGCATGATACTATGGAGCAAACCTGGAGAGCTTTCAAAGCTTCTAATGTTCCGTCATTCCAGTACTTCGCATCATGTGGATGTACTCCTATAATGAAGTGTTACAAGAAAGCATCAAAGTGAACTTGAACCTGCGGTGAAATATAAGAACCCTGGATGCTTCTCAACGAGCTTCGCGCATTCATGACTAATTGTTTCACTAGTTCCGGTAACCATGATTTTCGACAATCCAGCTAGTTTAGCTCTATCGAGAACTTCATTCAAGTCTTTTTGATATGAAGGATGACCCAAGTTGGCTCCAATGTCGACAAGTTCGTAAAGGGCCATTTTTGCAAGGGAAACAGCTTTTCGCGAAATTCTAAGCAATTTTTGAGGTCTGTATTATTATCAACAATTTTAAGACATTTTACGAGGCTATCATCCAACAATGAAAGTAAAAAAGAATATTAAAAATAATGTTTATTAACAACAAAGAAGCGAACACACGATATCTTCTATGAATTCCTAACCGTCGATATTTAAAACTCTACTCCCATCCTAGATTACGCCGCACATTCGGGTCATCAAGTGCTTTTAGTTCCTCTTGTTTCTGTTTCAACAGCTGGTCGGGAATGTAGCGGGAATCTTCATCAGCTTTCTCATGTTCTTTGACTGTCATCTAAAAAACGGAAAACTTGAATTTTTTTCTTTATTTGTCACTAGCTTACAGTAACGCCAACTGGAATATGAGCTCGAATGATCTGGCTGAAAAGGGAAAACCGAGGTGCAGAAACTTCAGTTAGACGAACTACACGATCGTAAGTTGGCAGATCGATTTCAGATTCAGCTACAGTTGAGTATGGCTTGTAGGTGATCGCCTTCTGTGTTTGAGCAGCGACGGCATAGCTGAAATTATTGAATTTGTATTAAGTTTTCATTTTTCAAGTTTACCTATCACTAACAGAAAATCCAAATCGCTTAGCTGTCTTGTGAATGTACGCTTGGTACTTCTCAAGAGATCCAAAATCGTGCCCTTGAATCCGAACATTGATAGTATTGTATCTGAATTTGAAAAGAAACGTTGGATGATTTTCAGTATCTATCATACTCTGGAAACTCTCGCTTGTCTTGAAATTTCGGTTCATAAAGTAGACTCGGGTCGCGTTCACCAACAGTTTCGCGTAGTGATGCGAATCTCCGACTCTGTGAGGCAAGGCGAGAAACTACTGATACCGTTTTTGATGACATTCTGAAAAAGAAGGGTTCTGATTTCAAAGAAAATCACGCAGATTAGAATGTAAAATGCCGGAAAATACCCGGAAAAATTGCAATTTTCGAATCAGAATAAATTTAAAAAGCTCTTTATTCGTGAAGCAATATACATCACAATGACCAGTTGAAAAACGAATCGTTGAAAGCAAGAGAACGTTATTTAGAAGAATGGATGGCGCCCGGCAGAGGGTTGAGAGACATTTGGGTATCCTGTGTATCCTGATCCGAAGGGTATCTTTCCCAATCCTGGCATATGATTTCCAGTTGGATATCCTGGCTGTGGCATTGGTGGAGGTACTGTTGGTTGAGCATACGAATACGTTTGTTCTCGTAGAAGAGCGGTGAGGCGATCAGACTTTATTTTCCTGAGATGAGCGACTGTTTTCTTTTCCTTGAAGTGTTTCAAAAAGATGTCAATCGTAACGTCTCCATTTTCGAACTGCGTGAAGAGAGATTCTGCATCTTCGTCAGCTTCCTGAGCTGCCACTTGCATTAAGCTGGATGTTGTATCCAGAGATTTAGATGAGGAAATCGAATCTAATTGGTTTTTGAGTACTGTAACTTCTCCCTGGAGCCTCTTGACTTGTTCGTAAAGGTTGATAGTTTGAGATTTGGCTGCATCTATTCTTGGTTTTTGAGCCAAATTCCACTCTGCTAATGACTTGTTGGCAGCTAGTGCACTCTCTTTATCAGTCGGGATTGATCGAACCTGAAAACTGTTCTGTGTTTTACATAAATATCGGAGAGAATTTAGCCTACTTACCTGAGGAAGATTGACAATGATTGACTCCAAAAGCGCTTCGTCGTCCAGCAGCGCCATCAGTTGCTCGTTAGACATGTTTCGAAGATTAGCCTGAAAACATTTATGATCGAAAATTATCTTTTTTAAATCGTTAGAACTTACAGAAGCAGCAGAAACGGCAATATCGACATGTGACTCATAAGGGCTTTGATTGAACATTTTCAGCTGTAAAGTATGCAATTTATAAAAGAAATGGTTGAAAGGAGCAATAAAAAATACAAATTAATTTTAAATATTAAAGGTTTCCAGTTGAATGAAATTCTGTGTGGCAATCGAATGAGAGAAAACTCTGTCACGAAAAACGAAGCAAGGAGAGAGACACATGTGAATTAGGAGACGCAGGAGAGAGTACGCAACACATCCGATTTGACGAGCAGCCGAGTATGACGTCAGAATACTGGGAGGTTTGAATAACTAATCGGAAACAGGCATGAATCATCTTTTAAAACATTTATGAACAAGAAAAAAGTAAATTATAATAAAAAATGTCAAATGAAAGTTAGTTTACAAGTTTCCTAACGTATACCCGAGATGAACGAGAGATTTGGGTACTGTATCTTCAGCACAAACTGGATCCATTGAGACTCTCTAGGCGAATGTTGTCGATTGCCAGAAACTGATGTTTCCTGACATTCTCAACGACAAAGAAGACCTGAAAGACCCTTTTTTCGAAGCTGCAAACTAAAGATGTAACCTTTCTAGATCCTTCTTTCAGAGCCACTTTTTGTCGTCCGCGCCAAAATTTGTCTTTCCGTACCATAGGCGACTTATACGGGCAGTTGTCGAAAAGGTCAATACAGACCTGGAAAACTTGAAATCTATATACTGACTTATTCACAAGTTTGAGGTACCCTGAGTGTCGGACTGACTGACCGAATGTAGATATCGAATAGCAGAAGTGTGTCTTGGATCAAAGAAAACTTTGGTGACTCAGCCACAAAAATTTTTTGCTCCTGAGATACTGTATCATTTCCAACATATGCAAACCCAACTGTAATGAAATATGCAAAAAATTTCAACTTCGAAAATATACCTTTGGATTGGTCGTCCAGATTTACTCTCTGTATTCCGGTATGCCGATTTCCAATGAGACGATCACTGAGACTCCAAGCTTCTCTAAATGTTTGAGAATAGTGAAAGAGGATTGCAGGTTTGACTCACGTGCTTCCAACTCCACTCAATCCATAAAAACATGAATCTCCATCGTTGAAGGAACAAGTCAATGCTGAACAAAAAGAGAGTTCTTTAACGTTCACTTGAGAAGAAACTGCAGTTGAAACGGCCGTGCTTGTAACCGCCTGTAATTATTATCATTCTAAAAAACTGATCTTGAATTTATGCTTACTTGAATTCCAATTGAAGATGGGGTTTCTGATTCTTCTATTCCATTACTATCCTCTTCGAAAAATTTTTGAACGGTTGGATCAGTAGGCAAAGGTGGATTTCCAGTTATAAGGGGCGGAGTGGAGGAAGTTGTATCACCAATTGGAACCAATGAATTCTCCACTACTTCATCAATCTGCAACCTTCTTTTCCCGTATTGTTTGAATCATCAAAAAACAAACCAATTCACAAATCTGTCCATTGTAGTGAAGATTATCGACAAGTGCTATAGAATCTGGATCAATATTCAAGACTTCAATGCGAACTTTCAGACCATCTGCTGTTGTTGGAACGGAAAAGTTCAAAGGATTAGAGACGCGTTGGAGGAGATGACAATCATGAAAATCACTCCCTGATTTGGCGATACAGTATCTAACGTCTACATTAAGATTATTTGTCCAGAAACTGAAAATAGAAAGTAACAACTGGATGTTTCGGAGTTATTATCTCACTCCAACTTAACATCTGCATCTCCGTATTGACATGGAATTTCCATTTCGATTGCAGCAGTTTGGGATGCAACCATTGGTTCACCTCCAGCTAGTAGAAAGTTGTTGTCTAGAATTTGAATAAACAAACTATCAATATCAATTTTAGTGATACCTGGAGAGAAACTCAATGAACTACCAGAGTTGAATCTGCTAGGGTCAAATCTGCTTTCAGAATCTAACTTCCCTTTCCAAAATCTGAAAACCAATGAATAAATCAAACTATCAAACCCAAAAGTTACTTCATATCTGTGTTCTCTGCATTGTGCCAACTACAGTATTCCATTTCATCATCAAAATTACATGTGAGCTTTCCACCATCCGACACAGTTAGAAACGGTCTGTTTGGTAATGGAGTTAATGAGGAGATTGATCGGATATCTGAAGAGGAAGACTTGAAGAGCTGATGTCAAAATATAGTTACCATTTGCGGAGTACGGTAGGTTAGAAGTTAGGTAATCGAAATCAATTGCATTATCACTAGTCCGTTCCAAAGAAGAGACTCCACGAGCTCTAGCTCGTCGAGACGAAAATTGATCGTATTGAGAGCCTAGAGAGTGACAGCCGAGACATAGATCTAAAATTATGATTTGAACTATGATAACATTTCTTTAAGAACTCACTCAATCCAGAAAATATCAAAATCAAGATAGTGGATAGATTCTGTACCATACTTCATGAAGGAAATATAGTTTACTAGAAATATAAATTTCGATTTCGACGAGTGAGTAGCTTTCTCCTAGGAAGTTCAATGAGCGGTATTGCGCGCCGAGAATGAATGAACTACTGGTAAATTGCCTAATTGGGTTCGATGTTTCTCGGGAGTAACAAGAGAAAGTGGGTCAGTAGGTAAGAAAGGAAACGAGAAGGGTATCGTAATTTATTATTCAACAGTTATTATTTTTGAAAGAAGGGCACATTTGAGATTGCTTTGGAAACGGGTTTAAAAAATAAATGTTGATTGCTTAATCGACTTTTTTTTCTAATTATAGAGCTACTCTGATATGGTTTTTAGGTTGACAATTTCAGAGAAAGAGTTGAACGTTGAACCAAAAATAAAGCATTACGAGCGATTTCGAATCCATTTCGAGTTGAAAACCTTGAAATATGTTTGTAGTTCGGTCTATGGAACCGTTATTCATCTCTGACCGTTTGAGGCATAAAAAAAATATTCAAGCACGATAAGCCAAATATGTTTTTTTCCTAAAAACCTCACACAATTCAACTTTGCTACATCCGACTACTTTGAAAAAATTGGTTTCTCCAGAAATTCTAACTTGCTGTTTACAAAAAGGATTACTGTATCTGCTAAACGAATATTCAAGGTTTCTGTTATTTCGACACATAAAATTACTCTTTCTGAATGAATTTTCTCAAGACATTGAAGAAATGCTTTCAAAATTTGAAGGAAATATCGAATAATTTACAGATCTTCGTTGAATTCAGGTTCCCAATTCTGCAATTTATGTTTTCCTGATCTTTTCTAGATATGTCTGCATGCTTCAGCTGATTTGGTGATGTTCAACGGAATTATGGTGTTTGAGAGTTAAAGTATAAGAATTCCAAAGCTCGGCTACACTCGGCCCATTTTTTTCCAAGATGGCTCTTCCCACTTTTTCTTTTCCTTCTCCAGAAGGCGTTCCCTCCCTACTGCGGATTACGGTTGACAATTGCGCGTAAGGTCTGATGCATGCACACTCTCTTATATTGTCATCCTTTCAAAATTTGAAGGCCCTCGGAAACTTTCTTTATGATTTCAGTCAGCTTTTGGTTTTATTTGGAGGTTTTTCAATTTCGCCAGACTGTGCTATACGCTCTTCTAACGAAACTTTGTTAAATATTGAAATTTTATAATCGTTGAAAGCAAGTTAAAAACATGAGAGAGAAAACTTATCGGGTTATTCATGACAGAAATGTTTTTAAACCTTTTCATGAATGCAAAATTTTTTCTTCAAAAGACAATGTCTTGAATAACCTCATCGAGGGTCCGAATCCACGATAAATAATGTTCCTGAAGTTGTCACTCGCATTATCATCATTATTCTGGCACTTCTATTATCTTTCATCAATGCCTCTATAAACTTCTGTTGATTGCTCATTTTTACAGTCTTGAACCATGTTCCGTAATCAGTACGACAGTGATGTGACCGTCTGGAGTCCACAGGGACGTCTTCACCAAGTCGAATACGCTGTGGAGGCGATGAAGCAAGGATCCGCTACCGTCGGAATCAAGAGCGACACACACGCTGTTATCGTCGCCTTGAAGGTAGTCAATTTTTCAAACATGAAAATTGCAAAAAGCTTTTCAGAGAGCTCAAAACGAGTTGTCATCGCATCAGAAGAAAATTTACGAAATTGACACTCACGCTGGAGTTTCCATCGCTGGACTCCTCTCCGATGGTCGCATCTTGGCCCGATTCCTCCAAACTGAATGCTCCAGCTGGCGTTGGGACTACAAGCAGCCTGTGCCAATCAAGAAACTTGCAGAGGCTATGCAATTGAGTGAGTCGGAACTGTGATGAATTTTTTTCTTCAATAATGACTTCTAGAGTTGCAAGCAAACACTCAATACTACGGACGTCGTCCATTCGGTGTGGGAATCCTTGTTGCTGGATATGATGTAAAAAGCTTAAATGTGTATTTTTTGTACATTAAAATTTTATAGAAAGACGGAGCACATATCATTCAAACTGACCCATCTGCTGAAGTGGTCAGCATGCACGGAACTTCAATCGGAGCCCGATCTCAATCAGCTCGTACCTACCTGGAAAGAAATGTCGAGAAATTCGAGAAATGTGGGATTTTATTGATAATTTTGTACGACCTAAAGATAATTCTCATCTTTTCAGCCTCTCCAGAAGAATTGATTGTGCACGCTCTATTGGCTCTCCGAGATACTCTCCCAGCGGAAGAAAACCTCAGCGCCCAGAACACCTCTATCGGAATCGTCGGAAAAGACGCTCCATTCACTCTTCTTGAAGATGGTCAAGTTGCCGTTCATCTCAACCAAGTCTCCACTCACCCACGTACTACTGCTCAAGCTCAAGGCGACGCCGAGCCAATGCAGATGTAGATTCGGACTTGAATTCAGAACATGTGAATAACTTCCGTTCCCGTTTCTTTTTTATTTGACGACCCGTTTAATTTATCGCCGGTTATTCTCCTTCTCATTCAAGAATTAAATTATTTTTTGCGCCAATGAAAATCTTCCATTCTCTGATAGGCTTCCGAGAAAGTCACATATGTTGGAGAAAGAACATTAAAGGAAGCTCTCTTCTTGTCATTCGGACCCATGTCTTCTGTCCATTAATGATGGATGTCTTTGCCGTAGTACACACCACGCCCCAAACAACTGCAGCTATTCCCCGGGCGAGGCATTATTCCATGATTCTCTTTAGTGTTCCACACGCTCCTTTCCCTTCGAATTGTAAATCAGCGATGGGAAAATAGAAGAAGAAAAGGGGGAGGAGTGAGTAGTGGAGCAAGAAGAGAAGAGTTTCAAATTTCGTTGAATTGAGATTGAAATCTTCTTTGTCGAAGTCAACCCATTTCTTTCCTCTTTTTTTGTTTTGCCTAGAGGCATCTGGCAAATTACAACACTACTCTATTCTAGATTTTCTGCTCACGGCGCCGTACCCGAATAACAAAAACTTGCTTATATGGAAATAAGAATAACTCTGCTGGATTGTCTCTAGTCGTCTAGACCCCAATCAATGAATTTTTTTGAGAAGACACTTCTGGATAAAACCAAATATAAATCTCTTCTTCTTCTTTTTCTTCTTTCTTCCAACAATTTTCTTTTTTCTTCTGACAAGAGAAGAGAGAAAAGAAGAAGAAGAAGCGCCCTTAAATGAATTTGTATCGAGCCAATGGCATCGGCTTGCCCCATGTCGGAGAGCTCTTTCTTCGCGCCCAGTCACAATGTTCTTTGGGCAAACTGGAGCCCTTCCAACGTCAATTCAGCACTTTTTCTTTACTTTTAGGAGACGTTTTTCCTTGAAGAACACCCCTTCAAAAACGTTTTTTTTTCTGTCGAGAGAGTTGACGAGTGTCTAAATGCCAGTTCCTTCTTTGGAGTAACTCTCCAGTCTATTTTTTTCTTTAATTATTGAAAAAAAAATTTTTTTCTTCAAAGAAACTTCTGATATCACAGGAAGCAGAAGAGAATAATTTTAATGAAATTTGATATCGGTCAGTGGATATGATTGATTGATACTTGTCAGTTTCTCCGAAACGACATAGATATCCATAGAACTCAATTTTCTAATTGTTTCCCTCCAATCCATGATTTTATACCGTAAAACCTGTATTAGAAGGGCAGGCCCTCCTATAGTTCCAAGGTACCTACGTAGGGCTCTTCTTTTACAGGGGCCCTTCTATTTTTTCCTGGAGCTTTTTCCGAAAAATTTCATCGAAAAATTCGGCGAATTGCCGTTGAAATTTTATAAAAATCTATTTGTTTCACTGAAATTGAGCAATTTTTTGAGAAAAAAAAAGATGTTTCACAAGTTTCTGTGGAATTATAGGATGTCCGGAATATTTTTCACTGAAAACGTATGGAATATTCTCAATTTCAAACAACACATTTTGAAGGGGCCCTTATATTACAAGTTTTACATATTTTTGTATTTTTAATCTATACCACAGATGAGCGGAATTCCTTCTCCCTTTTTCCGTTTCCGTCTTCCTGATTGTTTCTCATTCTTCCGGATAATTCTAAGAATTTCTATTTTGAAACTTTAATTTTTACAACATTTTCTAAACCGAGCTAAATCATATAATGACGCCTGAAGGAGTCGAAACTCCTCTTTCAGGTTGTTCTCAAAATTTTCCAAAAAGTTGGATTTAAAAAATATCTCCTTCTTGTTACTTCCGGATTTCAAAATTTTCATTCCGCTCATCTCTGATCTATACGACTCCCGGTTACTGTACAATTATTTGATTAACACACTCTTCTCATTTTCAGACTACACACTAATCCTGGATTTCGACACAGTAGTGTGTTCGACGAAACCTCCAAACTGGACACCATAATGAGTTTGGCAGGATCCACAATTCAGGCATATCGCCAGTGAGTTTTTTTTTTCAATTTACTGAAAAAGTGACTCACGTGATCAAATAGAGTTCCATCTATAAATTTATCAGAGGGCAAATAAAGTTCCAAATTTTTTTCTGAATTTTGATGTTAATTCGAAAACTTTTCATTTAGAATTTTTTAAAGTTTCGAAATTTCAAATCGGTTCAATACTTTCACCAAATTGATGAGAATTTTGTATTTATTTCGTTGACCCAATTATTTTTGAGAACTTCTTAACTGATTTTCACATCTCAAATCGTCCATCCTTTTTGAAAAGGCCGTGCATCTGGAAACAGTGCCTGTCTCCAAATACACAGGTGGACAAACACTAAATTCCCAATTGTGAATCCACCCAGAATGCCATATAATTGTTTCGCAATATCCTCCCCTCTTCTCCGCCTCGGTCTCTCTTTTCTGTTCTCTATGTTGGCCAGCGACGATCAATATGAATCTGCACTCTCCTCGGTTTCCGTTATGCCTCGATCATCTGCACACGTCTTTCTATTCTCCGACACGAGAGCGGCCAGGACGGCTTTCGGTTAATACAACCAACATACACAATTTCTAAAAAACGTTGTTTTCCACACTCTTTATTAGCCTTTTTGAAGTCAGAAAACGATCCAAATAAGCTCCGTTTCATGACAATTCATTAATGTAGATGCATGTGTTTTACTTGATGGTCTAGAACTAGGGTCTTTATAAATAATGTTATGCAGGATCATGTGACATAAATGTAGCTGCGAAATGAAAATTTTTTACCTTTCGGAAATATTCAATCATCATAAACTTTTTGAATTTTCGTGAGTTTTGGGACCTAGGAACTTTTTTGTTGTCGAGTTTGACTTTTATCCATTCAACGTTTTCCTATTTTCGTTGAATTGATTTTCAGACGAAAAATAGAATCGCTGGCGAAGATGTCCAACATGTCGCAAGACGACGTGACAACTGGTTTGCGGACCGTCCAACAGGGTCTTGAAGCTCTTCGTGAGGAGCATTCAACCATTTCAAACACCTTGGAAACGAGTGTCAAAGGTTAATTGAGACTTCAATTTATGTTCAAAATGAATTATGTTTCAGGTGTAAAAGATGATGAAGCTCCGCTTCCAAAGCAGAAGCTTACCCAAATTAACGATAATTTGGATAAACTGCTGTGCGGAGTCGATGAGACTTCTATGATGTTGATGGTGTTCCAACTGACCCAGGGAATGGATGCTCAGCATCAGAAGTACCAAGCACAAAGAAGACGTTTGTGCCAGGAGAATGCGTGGCTTCGTGATGAGTTGAGCTCAACTCAAATCAAACTTCAAGCGTCGGAACAGATGGTTGCTCAGCTGGAGGAGGAGAACAAGCATCTCAAGTATATGGCTTCAATCAAGCAGTTTGACGATGGAGCTGTACGTTTCGGGTTTACCAAGTTTTATCTTTAGTATTTATTTCAGCAAGCCGACACCAAGACTGTCGTAGATTCTGGACCACAACCAGTCACTAGTGAAACACTTCAAGAACTTGGATTTGGTCCTGAAGATGAGGAAGATCTGAACACTACTCAGTTCGCACAACCAACTCCAGCTCACTCGATGGCTGCTTCTGCTGCTGTTGGATACGAAATTCCAGCTCGTCTCCGTACTCTTCACAATCTTGTCATTCAGTATGCTTCTCAAGGAAGATACGAAGTTGCTGTTCCATTGTGTAAACAAGCTTTGGAAGATCTTGAAAAGACGAGTGGACACGATCATCCAGATGTTGCAACCATGCTCAATATTTTGGCTCTCGTCTACAGAGACCAGAACAAGTACAAGGAGGCTGCAAATCTTCTGAATGAGGCTCTCAGTATTCGTGAGAAATGCCTAGGAGAGAGTCATCCAGCTGTAGCTGCCACCCTCAATAATCTCGCAGTTTTGTTCGGAAAACGTGGAAAGTTCAAGGACGCTGAGCCACTTTGCAAGCGAGCCCTTGAAATTCGTGAGAAAGTATTTGGAGATGATCACCCAGATGTGGCCAAGCAACTCAATAATCTTGCACTTCTTTGCCAGAATCAAGGAAAATATGAAGAAGTGGAAAAGTATTATAAGAGAGCTCTAGAAATCTATGAGAGCAAACTAGGACCAGATGATCTTAATGTGGCAAAGACCAAGAACAACTTGTCGTCAGCTTACCTGAAACAAGGAAAATACAAGGAAGCAGAGGATTTGTATAAGCAGATTCTGACTCGAGCTCACGAGAAAGAATATGGTCAAGTCAGTGGAGACAATAAGACAATTTGGCAAATCGCAGAAGACCGTGAAGAGAATAAGCACAAAGGAGAAGGTGCAACTGCTAATGAGCAAGCTGGATGGGCTAAGGCTGCTAAAGTGGACAAGTAATAATTTTTCCGGAATATTCAGCGAACAATAATTAGATTAATTTCAGCCCAACAGTGACCACAACTCTCAAAAATCTAGGAGCTCTTTACCGTCGACAAGGGAAATACGAAGCCGCTGAGACATTGGAAGACGTTGCGTTGAGAGCCAAGAAGCAGGTGCGTAACGACGAAAACCCCTGAGCTTGCCAAAATTTAAGCCTAATGAAGAAACTCGTTTTTGCATCAACCGCTTCTCTATCTTTTTCTTCCACAGCACGCTCTATTTGCTAGATTAACCATAATATAAGAAAAGAATATTCTAAATGTTGTAAACCGTTGTATGCGTCTCCCTAATTTAAAAAAATCCTTTCATAAAAAGAGATTCATTGATTTCTCCAACATAAGTCAAGCAGTCCATAATTAATTTTCATTCCCATTTAACAACAACATAAAGGCTTTTGTATTATAGTGATGTGCTTTAGATTCTGGTCATTCGTTCTCTCTTTTCAGTATTGTTTCCTCTTTCAGCATGAACCACTTCGAAGTGCAGCACTTGGAGGTGTTGATGAAATGAGCCAATCAATGATGGCATCAACAATCGGTGGATCCAGATCATCAATGACAACGAGCACATCTCAGACTGGATTGAAGAACAAACTAATGAATGCACTCGGATTCAATTCCTAAACGTAGCACCACTGAGCTTATTGTTCTTGTCCTCCACAGAGAGAAATTATTTCAGATAAATGCTTTTTTATTTTTCATTTTTTCTGTTGTGATGTGCATGATTCTTCATTTTTCAATTGATTTCCTTTTCCCTGTACTTCCAATTTTATTCCAAAAAACTTGTTTCCTTGTCTCCACCAGCTTTTTTGAAAGCTTTACATTGTATGCTTACCATTTCTTTCCCATTTCCATTAAAGAGTTATGGCAACAGTGTTAAATCGAACGGCTCCTTTTTTTAAACATTTTATTTATTTATGACGAGCGTGTTATAAATGAAGGGTTTCTTCGCTTTCGAAAGAATACAGATCATCACAAAACATACAATTTCAGTTCGCCGAATCAAGGAAAATGGATCGATCTGGCATGTACTAAACTCTCCTATCTCCACAATTGCTATGCTCCAAACTGATGCTTTAATTTTACTTGCAGATTGAACAAATCAACATTCGGCTTAATTTATGATTGTTCCTCTTTTCATGCTTACACCAAGAAAAAATAAAACAAAGCTTTATAATATTGATAGAGATGCAGACATTGACTTGTTTGGAAATATAGGATCATGGCATTTCATATACCGTAAAACCTGTAATAGGAACGCCCTTCACACTGTCAACTGTGAGTTAATTCATCTTGCCTCCTGTGCATGATATCAAAAATCTGTCGACTGATTGAATGTTTGTGATATAATGATTAACAATTCATCTATCGACAACTTTATGATATCTTTTATATGAATCGAGGAAAATTGGCTGAAAGTTGGAAGTTAGAGGTTCCTTGTTTTACAGTATTTTCTTTTTCATGACTAGCTGAAAGCTGTTGTTTGAATAAGACAAGTTTAAGAGAAATCAAAAAACGAATTAATGTGTTGTGGTTCTAATTAGATTATTCATCAGTGTTGAGCGGAATTACAAGTTTGCTTTACAGAAAGAAAGAAACGGAACGAATTTTTTGACGGAAGATGAAAGACGGAAAAACGAGTAATCTGGAAGTTTAGTAAATTCAGACTTTTGCATCAGTTTTGCAGTTAGTAGGATCCGATGAAAGAGTTTCGAAAAATGTTAAGTAAAAATTCAACTAATTCTACGACAATTCTAGTCTTCTGTAATTTTTTTTTCGGGATTTTACGCAAAACGGAAAACGGAAGACGGAAAGATAACATTTTTACGGAAGTTGAAGAGTCACCCGTCTTCCCGTGGAAGACGGGTGATCGTACTTGTAATACGTCTGGCCGGGCCGGGGATGCCCGGACCTCGGCGGGCAGGCCCATCATTTTACAAGTATGCGGAAGACGGGATTCCGCTCATTACTGCTATTCTCTGCACTCCCCACATTTTCCGTTATGCCTGATTCATCTGCGCACGTCTCCGACTCAAGAGCGTTCCGACTCAAGAGCGACCAGGACGGCTTTCGGTCAATACAACAACATATACGTTTTCCAAACAACGTCTTTTCCAACAAACTTCATTATCCTCTTTCAAGTCAGAAACGATCCAAATAAGCTCAGTTCTTGGGAAATTTCTAAAAATTGATGCAGATGTTCTGCTCCATGTTTCTGGTTTAGGTTATTTATAAATAATGTTTTTCATGACCATGTGACACAAGTTTTTCCAAAATAACTTCGAAAACTCCAAATATGACTCCTAAAACCGTTCGATCATCAAAAATCATCAAAAAGTATAATACATTACATCCTCCAGAAAACCTTTTCTTTTTCTGTGATTTTTTCTCCTTCTTGTGAACACGGTCATTCGGTCATTGTTCTGCTTTCGATAGGTTCATCCATCACTTCAAGTATTCGAGCCATCAGAAATTCAAAAATTCGTCAGTTCAAGAATACAATCATCATAAACTTTTTTGAGCAGAGTGAGTTTTTGAACTTAAAAAGTTTTAGTTATCTTTTTTTATCGAATTTATATTCCAACCATTTAACATGTTCCCACTTTCACAGAGTTAATTTTCAGACGAAAAATAGAATCACTGGCAAATATTTGAACCATGACGCAAGACGATGTAACAACTGGTTTGCGGACCGTCCAACAGGGTCTTGAAGCTCTTCGTGAAGAGCATTCAGCTATCTCAAACACCTTGGAAACAAATGTCAAAGGTTAATTGTGACAATTCAGTTTATGTATAATACATTGTTCCAGATGTAAAAGAAGATGAAGCTCCACTTCCAAAGCAGAAGCTTATCCAAATTGACGATAATTTGGATAAGTTGATGTGCGGAGTCGATGAGACGTCTATGATGTTGATGGCGTTCCAACTAACCCAAGGAATGGATGCTCAGCACCAGATGTACCAAGCGCAAAGAAGTCGTTTATGCCAGGAGAATGAGTGGCTTCTTGATGAGTTGAAATCTTTTCAAATCAAACTTCAACAGTCGGAACGGATGGTTGCTCAGCTGGAAGAGGAGAACAAGCATCTCAAGTATATGGCCTCAATCAAGCAGTTTGACGATGGCGCTGTACGTTTTGTGTTTTAAGTTTCTGGACCAATTAATTCGTTTATATTTTAGCAAGCCGACACAAAGACTGTTGTTAATTCTGGACCTCAACCAGTCACTAGTGAAACTCTCCAAGAACTTGGATTCGGTCCAGAAGATGAGGAAGATCTTAACACCAGTCAGTTCGCACAACCAACTCCAGCTCCTTCGATGGCTTCTGCTGTTGTTGGATACGAAATTCCAGCTCGCCTTCGTACTATTCACAATCTTGTCATTCAATACGCTTCTGAAGGAAGATACGAAGTTGCAGTTCCATTGTGTAAACAATCTTTGGAAGATCTTGAAAATACCATTGGACACGCCCATCCAGATGTTGCAACGATGCTAAATATTTTGGCTCTCGTCTACAGAGACCAGAACAAGTACAAAGAGGCTGCAAATCTTCTGAATGAGGCTCTCAGTATTCGTGAAAAATGTCTGGGAGAGACGAAAACGTGGAAAGTTCAAGGACGCTGAGCCACTTTGCAAGCGAGCCCTCGAAATTCGTGAGAAAATTCTAGGAAACGATGATCCGCATGTGGCCAAGCAACTTAATAACCTTGCACTCCTTTGCCAGAATCAAGGAAAATATGACGAAACGGAAAAGTATTATAAGAGAGCTTTAGAAATTTATGAGAGCAAACTGGGACCAAATCAACCTGAAGTGACAAAGACGAAAAATAACTTGTCGTCAGCTTACCTGAAACAAGGAAAATACAAGGAAGCAGAGGATTTGTATAAGCAGATTCTGAATCAAGCTCACGAGAAAGAATATGGTCAAGTCAGTGGAGACAATAAGACAATTTGGTAAATCGCAGAAGACCGAGAAGAAAATAAGCACAAAGAAGAAGGTGCAACTGCTGACGAGCAAGCGGGATGAGCAAAGGCTGCTAAAGTGGATAAGTAAGAATTCCCAGAATAGTAACTAAGTGAAACTTGAATTATTTTCAGCCAAATAGTCGCCTCAGCTCTCAAAAAACTCGGAGATCTCTATCGTCGACAAGGAAAGTACGAAGCCGCTGAGACATTGGAAGACGTTGCGTTCAGAGCCAAGAAGCAGGTGCGTTACGACGAAAACCCCCGAGCTTGCCAAAATTAAGACAAGTATTTAAATGTTGTAAACAGTTTTATACGTCTTCCTAATTCGATAGAAACCTTCCATAGAGTGATTCTACACTGCTGGACATAATTATAAAGTCACTTTTATTTTCGAGTTTTTTTCGAAAACTGGGAAAAATGATTGAACAGCATATGGTTGTCATAAATACTATTTTGAAATGTCAATTAATGAATATCATTTGATACCGCTATCGTTTCTTTATTTTGGAAATTTCGAAAAAATCGAAAATATGACACAAAAAAAGTGGACATAATTATAAAGCCACTTGAAACAATCCAATATAACTTTAGATCTAGGTATTAAAATGTGAGGAAACTACAAAATATAGCAAATACAACTCAATATAGTCTTATTAACATGAGAAACTTGGTTATATACTCATAATTTTGTCTCATCCGTTTTTGGCCGACTTACACTGAAAGTGAAGTTTTTCGTTAATAGCTATTCTGAAAATCATGAGGACTTTAATTTTTTGAGTGTTTTAGTATTATTCTCAAATGCATCACTTATTTAACTATCGAAAACATCATGCTTTTTTCACCAACCGAAACAAAAACCTGCATTTCTATTCATTTTGGTCGCTATCTTCCGAGTGATACTGTACCTTGCTCAGTAGACATTTGATTCAGCTGATTAGCATAAAATGAAGATACGCTTGTGTTCATTTAGTAACATACATAAAACAATGGAAAACTGTATCTGTGTTCATAGAATCGGCAAATTTTCGGACCACATAAATTTCAAAGAAAAAATTGGGTTATGGGTAGGCATGTATTAGGAGTTGTTTTGTGAGGAAGGAGTCACGCAATCTGAAATTTCTTTTTTTAATCACACTTGCCGGTTCTTCAACTTCCATATGAACTAGGGAGATTGTTCAAGAATTCCGGTATAGAGAAACAATGAACCCTGGAAAACTGCAATTTTTTGAAAAAACATGACCTATTTCCGAGCTTTCAATTTTTGTTTAAAAACCGTTTCACCTATTTCAAAGATGCTGAACATATTGAACAAGTCAAAAATCATGTTTTTGTAGTGGACGTCTCTTTTCGGAACATTCATTCCGAAGAGATATATAGCACTTTCTAAGGTTAGAAGCGTAGATGATTGACTGTTTTTTTTCTTGCTTGAAGTGTACCTATCAAATTTTGCATATTCTATTTGCAACGTTTCCGTTTCTCATGTTAATAAGACTATATTGAGTTGTATTTGTTATATTTTGTAGTTTCCTCACATTTTAATATCTAGATCTACAGTTATATTGGATTGTTTCAAGTGGCTTTATAATTATGTCCACTTTTTTTGTGTCATATTTTCGATTTTTTCGAAATTTCCAAAATAAAGAAACGATAGCGGTATCAAATGATATTCATTAATTGACATTTCAAAATAGTATTTATGACAACCATATGCTGTTCAATCATTTTTCCCAGTTTTCGAAAAAAAAACTCGAAAATGAAAGTGGCTTTATACTTATGCCCAGCAGTGTATTATCTTTCCAATATAATACAATAAGTCACTTATTAATTTGCAATCCAATTTAACAATCAACCACAACAAGGCTTTTGTATTATAGTGATGTGCTTCAGATTCTGGTCATTTGTTCCCTCTTTTCAGTATTGTTTCCTCTTTCAGCATGAACCACTTCGAAGTGCAGCACTTGGAGGTGTTGATGAAATGAGCCATGAATGCACTCGGATTCAATTCCTGAACTTAGCACAAAGGACTGAGCTTATTGTTCTTGTCCTCCCCAGAGAGAAATTATTTCAGATAAAAGCTTTTTTATTTTTCATTTTTTCTGTTGTGATGTGCATGATTTTTCATTTTTCAATTGATTTCCTTTTCCTCGTGTTTTAGTCCCAAACAAAAACCTGTTATAAATGAAGAGTTTCTTTTAATTCGAACAAAAATACAGATAATCACAAAAATGACAATTTCAGTTCGCCGAATCAAGGAAAATGAATCGATGCGGCATGTATTAAACTCTCCTATCTTCACATTTGCTATTCTCCAAACTGATGCTGTAAATTTATTTGCAGATTAATTTTCATTTCAATTGAAGAAATCAACATTCGGCAAAATTTATGAGTGTTCCTCTAATAGTAAATTGTAATAATTGCATCAAGGAAAAATAAAATAAAACTTTGATAGATTTCCATAAATTTTGAACGAGAATTCAAAGAATGTTCCGATGAAAAATTTCGGAAAAAAATGACGGGGAAAATAGAAGGGACCCTTCTAACGGAAGGGTTCCTGTAATAGAAGGGCCCTCTGGATGGGCCTACCTAGACATCATAAAAAAAGACAACAAGATGATGGATTTCGAAGGTTATTGTGAAGAGAAAAATAACACAAACATTTGTTGTCAATGACTAATGGTGTCATAGATATGTGAGAAACAGTCTCTGAAGGAGGATCAGTGAAATCCAATGATCTCGTGGGAGGCCACTCGAGAAACTGAGAACTATTTGTATAAATAGAGACCGGAATGTGTTGTTCGTCCTTTAGTCGCCCACCAAACTCTTTCAATGCATGTACTTTGTTCTTATCTCACCTGTAACTGATTTATAATCTACACAATTTTTTGCAAATCCACGTTTCCGATATTTGTCATCTTGCAGATAGGGTTTTTATATAAACAGTGTATCTTATATCATGTCGGGTTGGGCTTTCAAAACCACTTAAAGTTAGACAGAGACAGAGTCAAGTGACACCAAAACTTATCCAAATAGACTTTGATTTGTGATACCACTTGTACGATATGATTTTGATATAAAATAACATTTAAAAGTCACGGCAACAGAAGTTTTGTCTGGTCTCGTTGGTTTTGTACTCTTCTTATGTCCCACTGCCTGAGCCTTGCTTTTCTATGTTAAAGTTTTCTGTTCTAAAACTTCGACTTTTTGAAAAGCCATGTTCTCTGAAAATCTAAGTTAAGTTGGGCCCGTTGGGTCAAGTCCTTTTCTGGTGTTAGACCCTTGGAGGATTAGTTTTGAAAAGACCATTGTCATAGGAACCTGGCTCAAAAAGTTTCGAAGGATGATCTGAATTTTTTGAAAGGCACCAGCATATGACGTTTGGAGGTTGGACTTGAATATTAACTTTGTCGGAATTCTGTTCAAATACGTTCCCTCGAGGACTTGAACTTGTGGACCCAAAGTTGGAGGTACCGCGCCGCTACCAGCTGAGCTACGGTGGCTCAAGCTGAGGCGGCCGATGGGATTTATCGTGGCGACACGATAGCAACGCGCTGTGTGAAGACTAAACACTGTACACCATCACGTCAGGATGCATACCGTAGCTTCAAAAAAACTCCGAAAAATCTTCTGTCCCCCCTCCTTTAACATAAATTCCACAGATCCAGATTTTTAGGCAATAACAATATCTTCATTTTTAAACCAATAACTCACTCTGAATGAATCATCCATCAAATAATTTGAGATCTTCAACTAAAATGGATTTTTCTGACACTGTTGTTGTTGTTCGCTCTCGTAAAAACAATTCCATCCATCTCCGGGTTTCGCAATAATTTCTGACCAATACGCTACTCTCCATCAAACCACAAATCCTGAATTTTTGTAGCACCGAATGGAGACACACAAATCTATCAGAAGTGATATACGGATATTCATCGCGTGCCCCGTCGTTTTCCTTTCAAATTCACTTCTTCTCTCTTCTTCTCATCAAATAACGACTTCCGTGAGCCTCGCATAAGCATAATTCAAGCGACAGGAGCTCAAGAATAAGTAGACGAAGTAGAAGAACAGGAGAAGCTCTCCTTTTCTCGTTTCTTCTTCTTTTTTCATCATCCTGATTCGGACCCACCATTGAAGATTAGTGGAGGATTAGATGAGACATATGAAAAGAGACAACGATGTACATTCCAAATCTCACTAGTATATTAAAAGGGTCATGTGATGATATTTGATTAGATAGTCACTTTTCTATATTGATATTTTTTGTTTGAAAAGAAAGGTTGCCCTCCAAGTATACAACGATGTCTGAAATTCGTCTAAAACTCATTTTTAGCTTTTTCTGGGTCCCTGTCGTGGAGCAGAATGAAAACAAGGTCATTTAGACTTCCATAACAACCATCATGTTCCGGTTTTAATGGTTATTTTCATGTCAAACATGTCCTTCTCATTCTCTCTGATCCGCCCCGTTTCCCATAGAATCCATCAATTGAGCCCTTCTCTCACTCTTTCTCTCTCTCTCTTCCGCATAGCAGATGTATATTAATATCACCCCAGAGAAAACCTTGCCGAAAAAAGACGCAATTAGGCGTCGCGGACCCCCATCTAATGTTCTTCCCTTTACTTTTCTCTTTTCTCCAGAGTAGGCTTGATAATTTCCGAAAAAAAAACATGCTCCTCCTCTCTTGTCTGCTCAATTACTCGAAAGGGTCATCTCTTTTTCTTCTCTCTTTCCAAAAAAAAAGTCGTTCTTTGCCCCTATGTCTTTCAGGATAAATAAAATAGGCCCCGTCTTTTTCGTTGTTTAGTGTGGTGTTACGTCTTCTTTCTCCTCGTCTTCTTTTCTTTCATCGCCGACGTCGTCGACAACGTCGTCGTCGTGTGTTTCTGCTCCGTTTAATTCCAATTTACTAGTAGCTTCACCTCCTTTTCAAACTCTTCAAATGTCTGAAGATTTCGGGTTTTTTCTACTTCTTCTCCGCCTTCCCGTTTCCTAACTACTTCTGTCTGTCTACGGAAAATCGGAAATCCACTAGAAGCATCTCGAGTCTATTTTGTCGTGTCGATGTAACGGAAACGACGCTTCACAAAGTATATCATGTGATAGTGTTAGGGAGTACTTTTTGACAACTGAACTTTTGTCTCTGTTTATTTGTCGAGTGCCACATTTTTTCTCTGAACATACAGTAGAACGTCCTTAACCGCTTAAAAAAAACGGTTTTTAAAAGTTCTATGAGAGCAAAAAGCCAGAATATCATTATCTATTTTTGCAGAGAAGCGTGAAAATGAATGAGCAAGATAATTGATCTAAAAGACACTATTTATTCTGTGTATAACTTTCAATTGGATGCTCATAGATTATCTTGCTGACATTTTTTTTCGTACTTCACTAAATCTGGACCACTGTTGTCCTTTTTCACTCCGAGTTTTGAATCATTTTTGAGAATTTGAATAAGTACCGTAAATACTCTGATAGAGTGCCACCCAAACCATCAACTTTGAGATCATATATATATATCGCTTCCTGTTGAAAGTATTTAAAAAAATGTTTGTCATAATATCAAAAACATTTTGTCAGTTAACTATTTTTTTATATCTTTTACAGGAAAGGAGATATATGGGCCCAAAGTTGAAAGTTTGGGTGGCACTCTATTAGAATGTTTATACTGTAATTGAAAATACAACACGTTTTTTAGAACGTTTCGTAAATGCGCTAGGAGGTTAACACTACTGTACTGTATACTATACTGTAGTAAAAAAGTGAACTGCTTAGTCGCTATTCAGCGGTACCTGCATTCCATCGGAAAACGCGCGGGAATGATTATTTGAAAACAACGTTCCGAAAAACACACCGTGATACAGTAATATTGAGTAATAACGGTTTCCACAGAAAGTCTTTGGTGTCCTTTAAAATTTTCGAAAAGCTAGAAATCTCAGATTCTTCTGCTTTCAAACTAGAAATAAGACCCATGAAATTTAATAATAGGCTTGAATAGGACATAATAACAGACTTGTCAACTTCATGTTGGGATAAGTTTAAAAAAAGGAAAAAAACTTGTTGAGTTCTTGGGAGTAACAAACGAAAATGATATATATATATATATATATATATATATATATATATATATTTCTCTTGTTCAAAAAGAGTATTTGATTCTGAGAGTAATAGCTATAAAAAGTAGTCGTCGTTTCTTCTACTTCTCCATTGTGCAACCCTTCACTTTTCCGGTTCTTTCAACTCGGTTACTCTCTGTAAATATCTCTACGTCTATCCAATTCTCTTCTTTTATTTTTTTTTTCGTTCACTCCTCAATTCGGAGACTTTTCCATCTTTCTATCTCTATTCTTTTCTTTATTTCTTTCGCTTTTATGGTCCTTTTGTAGTCTCTCAACCCTAGCAAAATACGTCATCAAATGAGCCATTCTCACTAGTCACTCAGCCGCGCATTCTATCTCTCTGTTCATTGATGTATTTCTCGTTTTTGGGCTTTCCAGAATAACATTCCACAACTTTTTTTTGGATGTTTCAAATTAGAATCTTTGTTTTTCAGAAGTCTGGATTGTTACAAAAATGGGTAACCAATCTACAAAATCATCACACGGTACCACACGGGTATCTCATTCAAAATCCACTCATCATAATTCAAGTAGAGTAACTTCTGACGTTATTCCGAGATCAGCATCAGCTATCTCTTCCCATGGTAAGTGAACGCCTTCCTTAAACTTATTCCATACTAATTTATGATAATCGGCTCGAGATTCTGAATATAGATAAGCTGACTCAAATGGAGTACAAATTTATTCATCTTTCCCATTTAGCTCCAAGGTTTCATAAGACATTCAGCGCAACGTTAAAATCAGAAGGTACAACAACATAACTTTCAGACCGGTATTACTCGGAATCCCACTCATCATCTCCTCCAGCAGTTTGTCCAGTTTCTGCTCCTGGAAAATATCGTCACGTGAAGGGGAAAGATGTACCGCCCATCAGTTTGGCAGACGAATATAACAATTCGGATGATGAAGTTTTCTGTTCTACTAGATCTTCCAACCAGTCTCCGCTTGCCAATTCAGACAACAAACGACAAAAAATGGGGTCAACAGAAAATCGTCGATCCGTCGATTCCGAAAATTCAGACTTTTTAGAAGCAGTAACTCCTCGAAGCCAGTTAGTTATATATCTGCAACGAATCGTACAAAACTTTGTTATTTACAGCATATCTGTGAAACGGACAGTTAGCAGTGGAATGGAACATGCTGCCGATCATCCGAACATGCAAAAAAGTAGCTCATTGAAGTTCACTAGGGGTGGAGTTCGGAATGAAACAAAAGAAACTACACCATCAACAAGTTCCAACCGTAAGAATTTTTCATTATCATTTCCGGAACATTTTTTCTGAGTTTCAGCAACCATATTCCCCTGCATCCATCAGTTCCTTCATCTCACTCAACCTCAAATTTTGTTTGTGAGAAAAACCTGGAATCATGCGAGAAATCAAGGGGCACTGGAACCCGCAATTAGTATATTCCGTAATTCGTTTTTCAAAAATCCTGAAATCAGACAAATGATCATGTTTGGAACGAAAAACGAGGGTCATGAGAGGTTAAAGGCAGGTCAAAGGATTCAAAGAATGTAGAGGAATTCAGTATTTTCAGAGACACGCTCAGTTATTCACAGTTTTGATGGATGACCTGATTACAAATCTAGATTCACCATCAGCTACGGTAGCAGGCCTACGAGAGGCTGGAGAAAAACATGTGTGGCATGTAAAGAATCAGTGTGAGTTTAAAAAAAAAACCCTTATAGGCTAGATGTTGATATGACTCGCAGTAGGGAAATTAAATGTTTTTTTGTAAATGCCAATGTTTTGTAACGAAACTTATTAAGTTTTGCAAATATTACCTCAATACACCAAAAATAGGAGTTTTCTGATTTAAAAATCTGAAATTCGAGTTTCTTTGCTCATAATTTTTTTTTTGATAAATTTCTACAAAAATATGGGTTGTCGGGACCGCCGGTAGAAATTTTTTCAAAATCTGCTAGGCTCTTCTCATCTCGTGTATGGAAAAAAAAACTGGGCGGAAAGAGAATACATATTTCAGACGGTTGCCCATTCCATGCTCATCTTATGGATCAATTTGCCACGGCTATGATTGAAAGAACACTAGAATGGGGAGAGAAGAAAGATCGAACTGAGGTAAACTTTATTAAGAAATTCATTGCCCATTCTATTTCCCAAAATTTCAGACAACGCAAAGAGGATGGACCAAAATTGTGTTATTTGTGACGGAACAGTTGAAAGAAGGATTCCAGGACGAGCAGAAACGAGCGAGAAGAAAGAAAGCTCAAATGGTACGAATGATAGTATTTTAAAATAACAAACAAAATTATATTTTTAGAGTAATTCTTTCGAAATCTCATCGAAAGTGAAACAAAGTGACATGAAACGATTTCATACAGTGGACAATGTGTAATTTCTAATTTCAAGCTCAATTCATCTGGGTAATAGGTGATAAATGATAATCCGGTTGCCTTTTTTATATTTTTTTTGCTCTAAACATAAATATGAATGAATGTAAAATATTTCTGTATGGCTGCTCTTCACACAATATATAGATGAATCGTTGTTGCTCTTGTGCAGGTGAACAAAGAGCATTGTAGTACCAATGTATGCATACACAATGCATTTTCTCTCTTGGCACTTTCTCTTCCAACTCGTTATCATGGTTTGGCGAATCGATAAGCTATACGGTCCCACGGGTTACGATTCTATTGAATTTTCTCATTTCTTCACCAAACACTTGACCGTTGACGAATTCGACTGTTGGCTGTGTACTGTTTTGACGAAATTGGCTAAAATTAAAGTTTATAGGTTTTTTGGTTTTTTTTTCACAAGGTTACCTCCCAGTTAATCTTCCTGAAAAACGTTTTTTCATCAGCTATTACAAAAAATGGAAGTTGTGGAAGAGAAACGCCGGTGTCCGTGGCCGAAAGTCCCATCCCACAACGACAACTGCAGTAACCTAAAACATGTTCATTTTCCGGATTTATTATTTCGTTTTTCAATACTTTTTGTCGAGTTATTTGTAATTCTCCCCCCAAACGATTCGGAAAATTCTATTTTTAATAGTAAAAAAATTGACTGAAAACGTACGAAAATCGAGAAAAAATACTGAAAATAAAAACAATTTTAATTTACTGTAGTTGTCGTTGTGGGACCTTCGGCCACGACCACCGGGGTTTCTATTCCACAGCTCCAATTTTTTGTACCAGAATAATATTCTCGCTGAAATCCGTTTTTAATGACCTAAAAGTAAAAAAAAAATATTTGAAAAATTCGAGATTCCAGGATTTCAATGGATTATTTGAAACCCGTATTGGGCACGACCAGTTTCTATCCAATTGCAAGTTTGAAGTCTTTAATATTCAATAGAAAAGTTTTGTCGTCATTCAGAATGTCAACTCAATTATTCCGGATGGAATCGTTCGCGAAAGACGTCAGTTCTTTGTGTCGAATGATTTGAACATGACGAATGATAATGGCCAGCAGCAAAAGTTCGAGGGTAAGTTTGGGATTTTGTCATTTGAAAAAGTTCATATTTCATAATACCTTCCAGGATACACTCACAAAAGTGTTCTGGATTATTATGCACCCGGAAACAACAAAAACAAATTGTATCCAATTGTCAATACGAGAACACCATCGAGACCAGCGATTGTTTATTTTGGAAATGAACGCTCTGATCAGATTCACAGAAATCAGAATTTGAATTTTCGAAATGTAAAGAACCATCCGTATTTTGTGGTCAGAGTCCGATCTCATCCACCACCGTATCAAGGTTCATAAAGAAAATGTTAAAAGTTTCTATATTTAATTTTTCAGACACTGGACAGAATACATGGTCCCAAGACTGGAATATAGATCACGAGGATTCCAGGCGTTTTGAAACTTCTCGAAGCTCGGTATGTTTTCTTTCAAATCTCCACCTAATCGAATCAAAAATCGGTTACCTAGAAAATGTTGCGCCATAAATTAAGGGAGAGGGTTAATGTTAATAGGATAGCCTAATCAACACACGATTTATCTTTCGTCGTTTCTTCCTTGGTTGCCATATGGGCGAGGCGAGTTTTTGGTCATGATTAAGAAACCAGATTGAGAGTCGAAATAAACAGAAACAGAGACAAAAAGATGTGGGGAAGATACAGTGATGATATGTTCTGATACATACGTAATCATGTTGTTCTTTTGTCTGTTTTAGTATGCAATTTCCTTTTTTGTTACTTTGTAATAACATCTTCTGATTTACTGTTATATAATTACTTTCAGCCTGTCAAACTATGGAATGATATGGACGATAATTCTCGGAATTTTGAAAAAATGAGTGTTGTAAGTTTTTTGGTTTTTTTTTGCAAATGTTATAGGTTGGGTCTTCTGTCAGAAATCAAAGGACTAAAAACCGGTTCGACAAAATAACGTCGTCCGAAAACCTATACTTTCCATGACAATTCGTGTTTCAGACTTCCTCCAGAAGAGCATCTGACGATCATTCAAGCACAATGAGTGGAAGCTCTGAGGTGAATCTAATCCTTTTTTCTCTGTGAAATATATCCCTTTCTCAATTTTAGATCATGTCTATGCATGACCAAATCGTTCGTTTTTCTGCAAGCTCTTCTGCTCCAGAAGACACGACGACAAACTCTTTGTTGGCAGAAAAAGAGGCAACACTTGTTGTGAGACTCGAACATGAACTCACTCAAGCTCAGATATGCGTTAGTTTTTTTTTCCCCGCGAATTTTCCTTTCTAAAGACGTCACTTTCTAAGAACCATCGATTGAATCAACAACTGAAAGTTCTTGCGAATAGCAGTGACAAGGCGATAAAGGTTGAGCTGGCAAATGCGAAGGTGGGTTAATTATAGTTTATTAGTAAGTCATTAATTAATATTCTACAATATTAGCTATCATTGATTGCTCCATCACTCGATATACTTTCTTCCAAACGTGTAGAAAATCTTCCTTGACATGTTTTATGCAAAGTATTTTACAGAGCATGTGAATCATACCTGAAAATCAAAAGTTATTGAGAAACAAAGTTCAGAAGAAAAATAACAAACCATCGATAAAAGATTTTCGAATGAGAGGTGGACACACTTCTACCACTAGAAATTTTATAACGAAATCTCGGATTTCTTGAATTAAATTCATGAATCCATCTTCTGGAGTGTACGATTGAATCGTTTTGTCTAGTGCCTGCAATATGTCCCAATACGTAATTTTTATGGGAACATGAACAATTACCATCATAATTTGATCCGACAAAGCTAAAAAACTCTGACTAGTCTTGTTGGCTTCAATTGGTAGTGTCATTTTCAAGTTGTGTGTCTTCAAAAGTTCCGAATAACTTTTGAATGCAGACTCGCACAATGTGATTCCAGCTTTTCTGAATCCATACAATTCCACTTTCTTCCAATTCTCTTTCACTTCCTCCATCTCCTTTGGAATCAAACACTGAGACAGATAATTGGCTCTTTGGATTTCGATTCCCTCTCCCATATGTAGTCGAATTGTTTGTAAAAGCTGAAAATGTTCCAAACTTCTCTATAATTTCGTTATGTTAAAAACTGACACAAATCCAAGAATGCTCAATTTCATCATCCAATGCATCTCCTCCATTCAAAACAAGCCTCATTGACTCCAAAAGACAATCTTGAAATACTTCGAAATGTGGTTCACAGGCATCATAAAAGAAGTGATGAGCTCCCATTTCATTAAGCATCCGTCTCATTCCATTTCTATCGTCTTTATTTTGAATTATCATATTCAAAGCTGCCTGGAGTGATGCGCAATGGTGTCTGAAATGAATTGATGTCTTACATTTAGTCATTCCGGCATATCAACCTGAAATAAAAATCTTCAACAAGTTCTGGTTTCCATGTCTCATCAATTCGACCTTCGATTCGTTTTCCAAATCCCCATATTGGCCGAACTTGTGGATATTTTTCTAGCATTGTAAGGAAGCAACCTCGAATTGCCAGACCCTGTGGCAAGTTTATAGTTTAGAATCTCTATATAAAATAAACTGACCTGTTTATTCGATTTCTGTAATTGGATCCAATGAGCCCTGGCCAATTCAAAATCATCGTCAACAATTCGCATACTTTTTCTGTATTCTTTCTGGAAAAATCGAACTATGAAACTGGGTTTCTTGATTCATACCGTAAAACTTGTAATATTTAGAAGGGCCTACATTTTAACATCAAACCAGTTTCTCTAAGTTCCTGTCAAAGATAAGAAAAAGTTGTCAACTGATAAATTGTTTATCAAATATGTTTTGTCATATTTTTGATATATTTTTTGATATCTTTCACTGGAATCGAGATAATTGAGCTGAAGCTTAATAGTGTGGGGGCCTTTCTATTGCAGGTGTTACGGTATCTTACCTCAAGTTGCCTGCTCAGCTGATCATATTCTCGGATTTCTTCATGAATCGCACTTAAGGGTCTAGGCTTTGCTGTAATGCCTCAATTAATTATTCTGTCCCTATCTTTTCCCATACCTTTTGTGGAAATTTTGTCATGATTGTTCTGAACATTTTCGATTACTGTTGTCAGTGTCTCGTTCACAAGCTGAAAAAAGTGTTGGTCATGTAAAGTGAATATTCCTTCTCTTTAGTTTTTTTTTCTAGATAATCACAACGCAGATTTAATTACTAGTCCATGGAAATAGGGCAAGGATAGAAGCGACGCGCATGAAAGAATACTTGAGGTTCGAGATCATAATCTTTCACATCGACGAGACGAGAGAGGGATAGATACAAAAATGAGGGACACGCATCGGTGTTCCACCATTCACATTTCATTATGTGGTCATGAAATTCTAAATATTATTATGGGAAATTTAGGTTTGTCGGAATACAATGATGGTTTTTGTTTTCTGGATTTTACTCCAGTATACTGTTAATGTAAGATAATCAACTACCGTAAACACTATAATAAAATGATTTCAACTTTTAGCTTTGAGCCAATTTTCTCGGTTCCTGTGAAAGATATCAGAAAGTGGCCAACTGAAAAAAAATATTTTTGACATTATAATGAACATTTTGTCAGTTGGCAACTTTTCAAATCTTTTACAGGAAATTAGATATGGCTCAAAGTTGTCGGTTAGGTGGGCGTTCTATTAGCGGTTGCGGTATTTATGGTTTTCTTATGAAAATTGTCTGAAATTGCTCAGTTTTGTAGATACGTTTAAGAACATTTGTTATTTGTTTTTCGATGTTTGGCCAGAAGGTTAGGTTATTTTGTTTAAAAACGTTGTATTGGAAAACCGGTTATGTCAAAAGTTATTTTCAATCGAGACAACTGTTAAAAACGAATCACATGCCCAGAAATTTCCAGAACCTTTCTAGAAAAATGCACACCTATTTTCCTTCTTTTCGCAACAAAATAATCATTATCAACTGGTTTTTTGCTCTCCTAATCATAATATTTTAGTGTGCTGGCTGCTGCCTCGAAAGTGCAATTTCTCGTCTCCTCCCCGCCCGTCTGTTGATAATCACAAAAGACAAACAACGAGACGCAATTTGTATATAGAAATGAATTTTGGGGGTGACGAGCGAGAGAAGGAGAAAACAAAACAATTCATTTCCCAATTACTTTCTTCTATACCTGTGTTATCTTGAATTCCTCGTACATCTTCCCGATTCCGATGGTCGCCGTCGTTTCGCTCATCTCCTTCCTTAAAAAAAAGCACCCAATTTTTTTCATCCTCGTTGCCTTCTCAGTCAAAGTCCGAGAAAGTCAAATAAAAAATAACTAACTTGGGCAAACAATAGGCAAAAAACGAATCTTGAGGTTGTTCTTATTCTTAGGCTCTCTGCGTGCACCTTCTTCACTTTTTCCCTCTCTTCCTTTTCTTTTTCCTAAAAAATTACACCCTGTAAATCTTGAGAAATGAATCATGTTCACCGGTTGCTGCCTCCTTTTTCTCCAGAAAAGGAGGCAGAAAGGGAATAGTTTTGGTGGTTTTCTCTAGACCCTCTTTCCTAAACACCTTCTTACTCTCTTTTACATTATTTGCATTCCCCTTCCTGTGTTGTCGACTGGTCGGGGTGTGCATACCATTATAAAACTATGCACAGGTTGCGACTCTGATATACATGGTCAAATAATGTTTTTGTTTCTTGTTTTCATTTTATTCGCACCTCTCCGTGTTAGAAAACATTTTGAATACAAAAAAAGTTTTTTTTTCGGATTTTTTCCGATTTTCAGTTGAAAAACATGTATGATTTGGCTTGAAAAACAGCTTTAAGATTTTCAAAAAATTGTTTATAAAACATGCATTCCTTTGAATAAAACATGTTGCTATGTCAACTTGAAATCTCTCATGTTTTACGAATCAATAAGCATCTTTCCCCATCCCTCCTCCCCCTTCTTTTCCGTCCCGAATAAGGTACTTATAAGGCTAAGCATGTTCCTATGCATATTGATTTTTGTATTGAATTGAAGAGACTGAACTGGCTAAAAATGGAATCAAACAAATAAAAAATATCTTCCGATATACTTTTTTCTGAAAATTCCCATGAGAATCTAAACGGAGGCGTCTTTTATTTTCCCAGAATAATAAAATTCGTATATTTTAAATATTTTTATTCTTCTCACCTGACTTTTCAAATTTCAAACGTTACAGAAGCAACTGAAGGATCGTGTCAATGAGGTGGAACAGTTGAAGAAGCAGAATACAAAGTTGAATACAGATAAGTGAGTTGGTTATATAATTTATTAAAAAATATTTTATCAAAAAAAAATATATAAATGTGGGGAAGTGACTACTACCACTGATGGATGTGTTTATGAGACTCTCTCCCTTGAATCACGAATTTCCGGTAGGCGGTGTCATAATCTTCGTGTGAGATAGTAGTTGATAAGAGGATGGCTGCTTGCGTGTGAACACGCGATGCTTGCAAATTATTCATATTCAGTCTCCCCATCTCGATTTTGAATCAACTTGTTTTTGAGTCATTCGAAATAGCTCAACAGCTATTATCCACGTGATAGAATTCTTGATGAATTGATGAGAAATGGAGAAGAAGGATGTAGTCTTTGGGTTCTGGGGACAGCATAATATACAAAAATCTCAGAAATCGAACCGAAACACAATTTCAAAACTTTCTATGAATCACCATATATGGGGTTGGGCGGTGGTTACCTGAACTGAAATGATTCATTCGGTACATTCCTTTTTCCACCATTTTTCCGCATAGTTTTTTGTTCAAATTTTTGTTCTTTTTCTAGGGCAATGTGGTTATCAAAACAACCTCAAGATGTAAACGCTCTCTTGGCGGAGAAACAAGAGCTCCGGAAACAATTGGACAGAGAGCAAAGTGAAAAACAGGAACTGTTCATGCAGGTATTCTTATATCCAAACTGATCATAAAATACCTGTAAAAAACGAGTTGCAGATCAATTCTATGATTGCAAAGTTGGCAGATTCTGGAGATCAAGATGAGATTAATCGGTTGAAAAGTGATGTGAATTCGTTGAAAAGAGAGCTGGAGGCGGAGAAAATTGCATCAAATGCAGAAGCAGCGAGACTGAAATCGGAACTCCAGAAAGCTAGATCTGAAATTCAAGTGAGTTTTTTTGTGGAGAGTAGAATGCTATTTTGAGAATTTAAGAATTCAATAAACGATGGTGACAAAGAAAAGGAAGCGATGGAACAGGAAATTGAAAATCTGCAAAGGCAACTGAATATCAAAACTGCTTCATTACAATCTTTGATGTTAGCCAAATCGGATACCAATAAAACTGACAAACTGACAGAAGAAAATGAGAGTTTGAAGTTAAAAGTTGACGAACTTCAGAAGCAAGTTTCCGCGTTCACGACGCAGATTCAGGATCAAAAACTGGAAATTGCCAAAATGAAAGAGTTAGTTTAAAAACTAAACTGTATGCATTAAAGCAAAGAAAAAATAAATAAATACCTTAAAACCTGTAATAGGAGGATGTCCTAACTTTTAACTTTGAGCCAATTTTTATCAGTTCCTGTCCAAGATATAAAAAAGTTGTAACTGATAAATTGTTTATCATGATATCAGAAGTGTTTTGCCAGTTGACACATTTTTTGTATCTTTCACAGGAGCCAAGAAAAATCAGCTGAAACTTGACAGTGTTGTGGCCTTCTATTACAGGTTTTACTCTATCTGATCAACAAAAAAAAAGAAATGTTCAGTGCCGTCTCTGTCGGAGATGTGTCTCGCCAAAACCTGGATTCATTAAGTGAAAAATTGTCTGAAATGGATCGAACTTTGAAAGAGGAGCAACAGCAGAAATCTCAGTTGAGAAACCAAACGGAAACTTTGAAAAATGCGTTATCCACATCTGAAGACACTCTCTCAAAACTGAAAGTCAAACTTTCCCAATTTGAAGAAAATGCTTTAGAACTCAAAAAGGAAAATGACAGACTGAAAATGTCGGAAAGAGATGCGACACTTTTTGATAGTGGAAGGATAAAAGAATTGCAACAAGCACTGGGTGATGAAAGAGATAATAACGCAATTTTGAATGTTCAGTTGAGAGAGAAAGATGGAAAAATCGATGTGAGTTTGTTTTTTTTTTGGTTTAAAGCTAACTTTTCGTTTTCTTCAAGCGGATACAAGTTGATCTTCTTGCTTCTGAATCTCGAGCTCAGCAGGCTGAAGAAGATGTTAGGGAAATGAAAGATCGGATATTGAAGGGGAAGAAGGATGATGACTCCAACCAGCTGCTTCAAGATGAACTCAGAAAGGCTGAAGAGAAATACCAACAAGCTCAGAAGAAAATAGAAAACTTTGAATCTTCAATTCAGCAGCAAGAATCTCAAATCAGAGAGCTTGACGTGGCTTTGATGGAGTCAAAAAGACACTTGGAGAAGTTAGGAGAACAGAGAAAAATGGAAGAAAGTACGGCAAATGAGGAGATGTAAGTATTAGAATTTTATTGAATTCTTGTTCATTTGAAATATTTAGAAAAAGACTGAAATCTCAAGTACAACAATCAGAACAAGAACTGGAAACACAGAAGAAACGAGTGGTGGAAATGGTAGAAGACCGGAAAGTTCTAGAGTCAAAAGCTTCAGTTGCCGACGAAATCAGCACATTGATGAGTTCGTTGAATTCATTGAGAGAAGAGAATCGACAGTACGAAGAGGAAGTTCGTTCACTTCAAAATGATATCCGAAGTCTCCAGGATGAAGTTTATCAACACCAAGACGCAACTTCTGAATGGAAGAATAGAGCTGAACAAGCGGAAGAAGATATGGAAAAGCAGAGTCGTAGAGTGAAAGACACTGAATCTTCACGAGGTGCTGAAATTACAAGATTGGAGGACGAGAAGAGACATTTGGAAGAACAATATGAGAAAGCTGAGGAAGAGAAGGATCAGGCAATCAAACAAGCTTCCGAATCTGTTAGATCAATGAAGAGAGAAATGACAGAGGCTTCTATTAATTCTGACCGGCAAATTCAAACGCTGAAAGAAAAAACTGACAGTTTGACGAGAGAATTAGAGTCATCAAAAAGAAGAATGGAACAACTTCAAGGTAACATTTTGAAGAAAATCATTTTCCATTTTTTTTTTTCAGAAGACCAAACAAAGTTTGTCGGATCCCATGATGAAATTAAAACGCAATTGATGAAAGATCTTCATGAATCTCAGGAGGGAATGGAAAAATTGAAAATGGAAATCGGTCAGCTGAAGTCAAAGAATGAGACACTGGAGAGAGATTTAGAAGAGTCTGAGCATTTATCTGGAAGATTGAAGGAGCAACTGGAGAAAGCTGATAAGAAGATGGAGGATACTAAATCACAGTTGCATGAAGCCGAAGATCTGGCTGATCGTCTTCGAGAGGCACAGATTTTGAGTGGAAATGTGGAATCCAAGTTTTCTGATTTGCAAAAGGAGAACAAGATCGAAATGGAAAAGATCTTGGAGAATCATAAGAAGGAGATAGAAAAATTAAATGAAGAGTTGAAGAAGAGTCATACAGAACATACTTCATTGGAGACTGTTTTGGAAGAGCAACAGAAGGAATTGGTGCAATTACAGAATCAATTACAAGATGAGAAAGAACAGAGTTCAAGTTTCATGGCATTGAATCAGAGATTGAAGAAATCGGAGAAAGAAAAAGAAGCACTGCAAGAAAGATTACAGGAGCATACTACCAAGAGTTCAACTAATTCGAAATCCATTGAAGATTTGGAAGAGAAAGTGGCCGAGTTGGTGAACACTAACAATTTACTAGTAAAAGATGTGGAGAAACTGTCAGCCTCATTGGATTCCAAAACTCACCAATTGAAAGAAGCAGAATCAGAAAAGAAGAGAATTCTAGAAGAAATAGAAGATTTGAAGAGTTCGACACCTACTGAAAATGTGAGATTAAGAATATGCAACTCAGTTTCAAAACAATTTTGTTTTCAGCCTGAAATTGAAGAGTTGACCACTGAGAATGCTCGTCTTGCTGGTGAACTTTTGAAGTTCCATAGTGCCGCCGAAAAGTCATTACAACAAGAAAAAGAGAAGATTTCCAAGCAGTTTGAAGAGCGTTTGAAAACGTTAGTCTTTCTTTTCAAAAAACTGATAAATCCGAAAATAAATTCTGATTACAGAGCGAACCTGGAGAAAACTAGACTTGCCTCAGAACTACAAATGGCAGAATCAAAGAGAAATACTCTTGAAAAGCAGGTGGATGATCTTCAGACTCAAGTAGAAACTGCCGAGAGACGGTAATTTAATTTTCTTTTCACTTATTGCTTGATTTAACTGTTTTCGCACGATGGTATAACTTGCACGGTTTTGTTCTTGTGATATTGCAGACGACGGGTGGATATTCATCAATTGGAATCGTTAAGAGAAGAATTGGATCAAACGAAGAACGACAATGAAAAGTGTGTGTTTGACTATTTACTATCCGTTAGAGATCATGTGCTCTTCCATACTAAAATTGATTTAAACTGTGATCCTCGGCTTCACCAACTGAAACTCGCAATTGAAAAATTCTAGAAGTTCTCTTGAAACTATTTTGTTCAGCTATCATTTGTTAATGGTTTTTTATCTACGTAGTTTTGTTTTTTAAATGTAATTTTGTTCAGAAATTTAGTTCAACTTCCAACTATTCCATCTTAAAAAAATTTATTTTCCAGGTTGAAATCTTCAACTCCTGTGGCTCCTCCAAGATCCAACACAAGAACAATATCGAATATGTCTGCTATGACCAACTGGACTCAAGCTGATTTCAGTGATTGTGAAGATTTGACAAGGCTTCGAACAGAAATTGACAAGTGAGTTTTGGGTTCGTCATTTGATTCCGGAAAATTCTGTTTCAGACAAAAACGGTTGATCATTGTACTTCGTCGCAAACTCCAAGGATTGCAACAATAAGGTTTTTATAATTTTATAGAGATTCCATTACTGAAATCATTCTATTATTTGTGATTATTTTTCGGGTTTTTCCTCCTTTTTATTCTGTGATTTATTTGTTTTCCTAGTGGTTTTCTTTAATTATATCAATATCATTTTATCATTCACACAGTGCCTTACCAAAACTTCAAATCAGTGCTCATATATTGATAAGATAATTCATGTGTTGTTTTTAAACCTGGATTGTGCAGAATTGTAGCGAAATTTTTTGTGGGTCTTGCCTTTCTTTTTCTTTCGCCTGTTTTAATGAATATTGTGATTTTTATTGAGAATATATCAAATGAAGAAGTCTATAAGATAATGGAAACAGAGGAGATTTCAGTAAAATTGACACAAAAAAGTTGTTATACATAACCAGAATGGTGCTCCTTCGGAGCGATTCAACCTATTTATGACGAAAAATTCGGGCGGTACAAGGGGAACAAAGTTATTTAGGGGTACAACATTCACAATTCGTGGGTACAAAGTTCGAACTTTTAAAAGTATTTTGGCCGTCTTTCAGGTTTCCAATCACTGAAAATCCAATCACTGAACATTTTGGGGGATGTTAAACAGACTTAGATCGAAAACTTTGCTTTCACAGAAGTTTTCGAAAATTCCTTATAAAATGTTCAAAGTGATCGAAAACTTGACAGATGAGCTCTAGACTCAGGTAAATGGTCTAAATCAACTGGAAAATACCTTTTTTAAAATGAAAATAACAAGTTTCAATAGTGTACTGATTAGCCAGACTTTCGTCTGTTGATCCCTTTCGCCACGTAGAGGCTCAGTGCATGAAAGGGAAAGTGGTTTTTTCACCGGGGAAAAACACCAACAAAAAACCCCATGGGCTCCTAGACCCATTACCGTTGATACAATTTCCATTAGTTCTTATTCAGTGCTAGAAGTCTATGTCAACAATAGTTATTGTTGTTTCATTTTCTATCTTTGATTAAATCTTTTTTTTTGAAAGGGGGACGTTCAGTGAAAATAATTCAACCTAGCCATGGACCCCGAAACATGGCGACCCTTAGGGCCTTTTAGTACTTTTCTCGCAATTGACCAATCAAAAGACCAAAAAAGAAACAACAATAAGGAGCGTCTGCAAAGAGCTTCTTATCAGTGAAAAGGTGCAAGTGGAAATTATCCAACGAGTAATAAAGCTGAGAGAGATTTCAAAAATAAGCGTTCTTTTTTCAATACGTGGAATTTTTTAAACGTGGACAGAAGAAGGGGCGTGACCTAATATTGATTGATTTATTGTATAACGTGAATTGATGAAAAAACCAATAAACATTTGAAAAGCTAGAAAATTGAACATAACTTGAGCTTTCTAAAAAGAGAAATCGAACAGTAAAATAAATAGGTTAAATCGGGCACATAATTCGGAGGGTACAACAATTCGGGAGTACAACGGGGTACAAAACTAAGCCTTTTTCAGGTATTTTGTACCCCCGAATTGAAGATTTTGTACCCCTAAATTGCTTTGTACCCCAATGACCCCTAAATTTTTGTACCCTCCGAATTATTTGCCGTTAAATCGCGCCGAAAGCGCACCAGCCAGAAATACAATAATGTATTCAAGAACTCACTATTAGAGTGGTTTCTCACCAAACTCGACACAGTTTCAGCAGACATTTCAATAATCATACTACATATTTCGAAAACTAAAACTGTTCAATTTCAAAAGTGTAGGATCACATTTGATACTTCAATTTCAATAGAAAGTCATTTTTTCTTATGAAACGTCAGCAATACATGTTACACCACATAGTCCAAATTCTGAACTTATGTTTTCAGTGTTTATCAGTGGACTTTCAACAAAACTCGATCTATGTACTTCTTCGAAAAACGGAAAACCCTTTCCATATGATGATTATTGCAAAAATCATTTTAATGTCATCATTTTCTGAGTTCAAACGAAGTTTCATTTATATAATCACTCAATGGAAGATTCAATGCACTTTCTTACTGATAAGACCTGTTTCAGGCGTAATAGTCTATGAACCTGAAGCCTTTCTTCTCAATACTTTTCTTTCTTTCCTGTTGAAAAATTTTACTAATGAGAAGTTATACTTTCAGTTTCAAAAAAAATGATTATCCGGATAATCACACTTCTTGCACTATGCTATTCAGTTAGCTCTCACAAAATTCTAGTTTTCTCTCCAACTGCAAGCAAATCTCACATGATTTCCCAAGGAAGAATAGCAGATGAGCTAGCCAATGCAGGTCATGAAGTTGTTAATTTTGAACCAGACTTTTTGGATATAACCGATAAATTCGTACCATGTAAAAAATGCAGAAGATGGCCAGTTACTGGACTGAATAACAAAAAATATAAATCAATTCAGAATGGTAAGGTTTTAGTATAAAATTAGATTATCCATAATATTTGAAAATTCCAGAAATGTCTGCAAACGTATTCCAGGAATCTTCACTTTGGAGTAAAATCTTTAATCAGGAACGAGATTCACATGAAGACGAGTACACTAATCTGTGTGAAGGTAATCCTAAAATAGAAAACTGAATACGTCAATTAATTTTTAGAAATCGTAACAAAAAAAGAACTTATTGAAAAATTGAAGGCTGAAAAGTTCGATGCCTATTTCGGAGAACAGATTAATTTGTGTGGAATGGGATTGTCGCACATTTTAGGAATAAAACACAGATTCTGGGTTGCCAGGTATCCATTTACTTCATTTTAATCTTTTTTTTAATCGATTTTTAGTTGTACCATGAGCGTTAGTATGAGACACAGTTTGGGAATTCCAACACCTTCAAGTTTTCTTCCATTCATGTCTCCATTGGATGAAAATCCAGCTTCTTTCTGGCAGAGAGCTAAAAATTTCATTATTACAACTGCCCATATCAGAGATGAATATAGAGATGTGGATTGGACTGATCAAATGTTCAGAAGACATTTTGGGTTAGATCGATTTTACTTATTTTTATCGAAATTTTAATATTCTTTTAGACAAGGCTTCCCATCAGTTGATTATCTTGCAAAAACTTCTGATATAATTTTTGTTTCTACCGACGAGTTGCTGGAACTACAATCACCTACATTGGCAAATGTTGTCCATATCGGTGGATTGGGAATGTCAAATAAAGAAGTACCTCTTGATGGGGTAAGTTACTTAAATTTTAACATTTGTGTTCTCTGGCTTTTTTAGGAATTCGCAAAAATTATGAATAACGGAAAAGAAGTAGTTCTTTTCTCTTTGGGAACCATCGCAAACACCACAAATCTCCCTCAAGTTATCATGGAAAACTTTTTGAATATTACTCAAAAATTCAAAGACTATCAATTCATTGTTAAAGTTGACAAATATGACAAGGTAGGTGATTTCAAGTTTTTCTTCCTGACAAAATGGTTTTCAGAGAAGTTTCGAACTTGGAGAAGGATTGGAGAACGTATTGGTGACCGATTGGGTTCCTCAGCCTGCTCTTCTTCCTCATCCAAAACTGAAAACATTCATAACTCATGCCGGTTATAACAGTTTGATGGAAGCAGCTCATGCTGGAGTTCCAGTTATTCTGATTCCTTTTATGTACGATCAGCCAAGAAATGGAAGATTTGTTGCAAAAAAGGGTTGGGGAATATTAAGAGATAGATTCCAACTGATCAATGATCCAGATGCTATTGAAGGAGCTATAAGAGAAATGATCCAGAATCCAAGGTAAGATTTAAAAAATAAAGTTCTGAAGATGAAAAGAAAAATTATAGCTACAAACAAAAAGCATCTCGCCTGAGGAAACTGATGAGAACCAAACCACAAAATGCATCTGAGCGTCTGATCAAAATCACAAATTGGGTTTTGGAAAACGACGGAGTTGAAGAATTACAATACGAAGGAAAACATTTGGATTTATTCACTTTCTACAATCTCGATATTCTGATTGTTGCCGCATTAATTCCAATTTTAATTTTTATTATCCTTCGAATTTCAGATATCACAGTGGTTGTGAAAAGCGGGACAAAAAATAAGAAAGAATAAGAATTTCAGAAAAATTAATAAATATTTGGTTTAACTTATTTTAAACAATTAAATAAATTAGTTCGAAAAATTCAAAAGGCATTTTTGAAGGGATCCGAATTCATTAATCAGGTGTTGTGGGGTGTCGATTGTGAGAATTACTCCATTCTCAATCACAACAACACGATCACAATGCTCCACGTCTGAAAAGTCCTCGCCTATCCATAACGTTGTGCTCTGTTTTGAGCTTTGTCTCAGAGCCTGTAATAAGATTTATGCTCATGTTTCTTGTTTTTTGATGTCCTTACCTCATTCACCAACGATTTCGTTGGTTCATTCATCAATTTCGTTGCTTGATCAATCACAAAAATTTGACCTCCTTTTAGAAGAGCTCGACAGACATTGATTTGGCTTTTCTGTTCATTATTCATGGATTGAGAAGATACCATTTGATGGAGCCCATCGGGTAAACTTTTCACATATTCTCTCAGCTGACATGCTTCAATTGCCAACCAGATATCACTATCAGCAAACTGGCAACATGGATCAATATTGCTACGTAGTGTGTCAGAAAATATTCTTGCATTCTAAATTCTTTTGGTAATCTTTTGTATTGTTTTTTCTCTCAGTACCTGCGGAATAACTGTGATTCTAGACCGTAGAGTTCTCACACTCATCTCAAAAATATCCAAATCATCTACAATGATATGACTCTCATTATCAGCCGAGCTCATCATGATCAGCGTCATTGCCAATTGAGATTTTCCAGATCCAACTTTTCCGACGATCCCCAGTTTTTCTCTTTCATCCACGACCAAAGAAACATCCTTGATTACATGTTTGTATTTGTTAGCAAATACATTCAAACTGAAAAATAGAGGTCTGTAATCATATATAAAAATGTGTATCTTACTTTTTGATTTCAATTTTTCCGTCATCGGGCCAAGAATCTCGAATCGTGCATTTATCAATTATTGGCTCTTTCGGATAGTCTCGAACATTACTGATTCGTTGAACATGAGGAGTAAGGGACTCGAGACCACATGTAGTTCGGATAAATGTGGAAACCAGTTCACTTATCTGAAAACTTTAACATTTGTTGGCTCAGACACCATACTTACACATAATATAGATGCAACTGATAATGCGAACTGGGCATTTCCAATATATCCAACTTTCAGACAAATCGATGCAATAAAGAAGCACATGCAAATCTGAAAACCAAAACTTATTCAGAAAATATATCAATTCAGAAACCAATAAGTTTGAGATGAAATCGGTTCTGAGGGCGATCCATCGAAGAGTTGAGGATTTTGCAACACGACATCTTGTTAGGACGTCCGCGTTTACACTAGTTTTCGCGAGAGTTTGTCGAGTCTGTAATGAACAAATTTTCGATCTTGTTTGAAAATATTCTCTCACTTTTCCAAATGTTCGAACCATCAAACGTGCTTCAAAATCTTCTGTGGATCCAACTAAAAACAGATATCTTCTTTGCTCTTCTAAACTCGAAATTTTATGAAGAGCAGGGAGGAAATATCGGAGAAGACCAAAAAGGAATATCAAGAATGCAACTGCGAAAATCGCAAAAACTGGAACATTGACACAGACGATTGCAAAAATCGTAAGAATGTGTAAGGAGCTTTCGAATGAGAATTTAAAGTAAAGTGGAAACTGGGTATCAACCAAATCAAGGTCCTAAAAATGAAACTTTTTCTTGGCCATTTCAACTGATAACTTACAGATGTGAGCATTTGCATCAGAGATTCTTTATTGGTCTGTGATAAGAATATCATTGGGACAGCGAACATGGCAGTTGTAATGTGATGGTATAGTTTTCTCGATGTTTCTACATTCGTTAGAACAAAGAATGCATAAGACAGCATTGTGGAAACAACTGAAAACTATGTGTACGAACTTTTTGAATGTTTTGAAACTCACTAGCAGAGACAGCAAAAAACGAAATAGTTTGCATGAAGACGTACTGCGGACAGTTGTCACATTCAACTTTCTTCCAAATGGGATCCAACCAGAATGAGAGCCAGAAGAATGCAAGAGCTTGGAATACAAATCGACATATCAGAAGAACGATGTAGAATGCAGAGAAAATGAAGGATCCACTTCTGAAGTAGAATGGATAGACACTTCTGTTCTCGAAAGTCGGAGCAGTGTCTTCCATAGACTGTTTCTTCTTTTTCTTTTTCAAAACCTTGTCATCGAACATCACAGTCTTCCGTGGTGGTTTCTCTTAAAGTTCAGTTACATTTTATGCCCTGAAAAATAAGTCACACTACCATCTGAATACTTCTCTTCAATTATCTTATCAATCTGACTTTGATTGAAAAGCTCATTCATAATTTCACTAGCTTCCATAATCTGGTCATAAGTTCCACTTGTCTCAATCTTTCCATTTTTCAGAACATGAACCGTTGAGAATTTCTTGATGAGCTCAATGTTATTTGTGGCCAGAATTACGGTCTTTTCTCGGAGGTATCCGGCTTCTCCAAGAACCTAAAATTTAAAGGTTTCTATTCCGCATGTTCACAAGAAGAATTACCCTCGTGAAAACTTTCTTCGATGTTGCTCGATCCATTGGTGCAAATGCTTTATCAAGTGCATAGATATCTGCATCCTCATAAAGACATCTTGCTAATGAGATTTGAGCTTTTTGAGTAGATGTCAAAACATATCCCTGAATTAAATGAAATTCTCTGAACTATTCCGAAACCATTACCTTATCTCCTAAAATCGTAGCATCGCATCTTGGCAAAGAGAAAATATCTTTTTTCAAATCACATGCAACGACAACCTAAAAATATTTTAGATTTCTACCCATTCATTTTTAATCAATTAACCTTGTCATATTTTGACTTCACATACTCATTTCCAAACAAAATATTGTCTTTGAGAGACTGCGAAAAAATATATGGATTGGCAGGTGCAAATGAAATTCCCTTCGATACCCACATCTTTCCTTTTGTCAATTTTAACTCTCCAGTTATTGAAAAAAGAAGAGATGATTTTCCGCACAATGGAAAACCAATGAATGCATGTTTCTCTCCTCTGTTCACTTGGAACGAAACATCCTTTAAAGTGTCTTCTTTCTCGTTCCATGAAAAATTGGCTGCCTCGATTTTTATATCGACATCAGGTTCCAATGGTGGGAGTGGCGCATTTTTAGAGTTCACTTTTGGAGATTGTTTGACAATTAGGAATTGATTTATTTTAGTTGCGGAGTGGAGAGCCTTCAATAATTAGTCAAATAGAGTAAAGAAAATAAGAACTCACTTTGTTCACAATTTCCAGAGATGGAATAATCACATGAAGAGGTCTTCTCATGTAGTTGAAAATTGCAATAAGAACAAAAGCATCTTCGAATCGAAGATCACTAATTTCATACTGTAGTCCGTAGACCGCAAAACTCACGAAGGTGATCTGAATTCATAAGAATTATTAAATGGTTCTTAATAATTAATTCTACCACAAACGGAGAAGTGACATTGAGAGAATGCATGAAACTGTTGATTGACAAAGTTTTCCGGAACACAGAAAGCTGAAATTACTAATTGAATATATTTCCAACCTTTTAAAATAGCAACCTCTTTCCCTCTCATAGATTTTAACTTCTTTGCAAAATGTGATTCCCAGGAGAACATTTTGATAGTTTCCATTGAATTTAAAACTGTCTTTTCGAATTCCACTCGACGATCCCGACATCCCAATTGTACTCTCTAATGATTCAGAACTTATTTCCAGTTAAAAAAATAACTCACCAAACTCTTTTTGTATACATAAGAGTCAACAATATTCAACACAGCATATACTAATGCAACAATTAGAACAACTATAATTGTTCTTGTTCCAAGTGTTTCCCATATCCAAAACAGGGCAATCGTTAATTCAATCAACGCGGAGCAAGAATGGTGAACGTAGATGAGGGCATTTGAAACTGCTTCTGAATGTGTTGTCAGAAGTTTCGCAATCTTCGATCTACTCCATTCGTTGTTTTCGGAAGTTAGATGAAGTGCCTGACGTATTTTGATAAATAGTTTTATTTAATTATGTGTGTCTCACTTTTTTAACGATAATATTATTCAGTACAGTAACCATTAATGCGCTGTCCTCTCCGACCAAACAGGTATGAACTCCTAAATGAATTCATCTATTTGGAAATTTAGATTCCAAGTCCTATTTACCAAACAGTACTGATTTGAGTTGCATGAAGAATAAAATCAAGACTGCGATTATGAAAAAGTTGAAAAGAGTTGCTGAAATTTCAGCAGAGTCAATAAGATATTTGAGTAATAATATTGAAGCATAATCTGCGAATATCGCACACATTCTGAAAGCAAATGCGGAAGCAAACGACTTCCAGAATTTCATGAGAATTGAAAAAATTACTCTTCGTTCTGAAATATAAAGAATTCATGAATTTTCAATTAAAAAGTTTTCCTTACTCCATTTGAATCCAGACATGACTCGATTCGAGTATTGGTCATCTTCGAGAATTGGCAAATCGTCTACCGTAATCGTAGATGATTTACATTTTTGTAAAAGTTTGGAGACAGGAAGCTCCAAAAGTCTTGAAATGTACGAGTTCTTTTCTTGCACATTTTCAGTCTCACTTTGAATTTGTCGGGCGTTTTTCGATAGATTAACACTTACTAAATAAGGGAACTAAATTTATTGTTTGATACAAAAGGCTCACCATTCATAGTTTAGTGAAACATTGACTTGACTCAGTTACTGTCAAAAAGTGAAAAGAAACTACGAAAACTGACAAAAACCATTTGCATAAGTTGATATTTTGAAATTCAAATTTCAGTTTTTCGCTTTAACTTTTTCGTGTCTCATCGCGGAGGATGGCAGGAATGTAATTCAAGGGAAAGAAGATAACTTTTTCGAATACATCATAGTTAATTATAGCAGATCCTGAGGTATTGAGTCGAACTATGAGATATTTAAAACCTTGAGAATAAATTCGGAAGTTCTAGGTAATCAGCTGAAGATATATTTCTAAATAGTATTTAGTTCCCATGTTATAGAACATTAGGTGCCTCTAATTGAGAAGGAGATATCCCAAGATTGTTATTCGGTGTCTTTTCTAAGCAGTGTTTTTTTGAATTTTTCTTCTTCATGTCATGTTTTTCATTTCTCTTTTTCATTCTTGAGTCTCTTGAATCTTGACGTCGTTCTCTTCATGAAACTCAGCGCGCGCTCACACGAGAACGACACTCCGCTATCCCGCTTGCGCTCTGTTTAGCAGAGTACAAATCTCTTTTGATTTTTCTCGCCTTTTTGCATTTGAGCCAGTTAAAAACTAATTTATCAGTTCTCCTCAAATGAATAGCCTCTAAAAACATTCACAAAAATTTTCACAATGTTTGATGATAGTCTCAAAATCGGAAATTTCAGTCTTGCGGTTCGATTAACCTTTTATGAGCCGCCTGAAGTTTGTTCGCGTTGGACTTCCTTTTTTCGCCCTCGTCTTGGGAAGCGCGTACGGACTCCACTTTTTTCAACAAGTCAAATTCGATTTTCGAAAAATCAAGCAAGAAGACGATAATCTTGAGCTTTTGGTGCGTTTTTGTGTGAACACCCTCCTCTACTCATCCCATTAACTCTTGCTCTCCTCTCCGTTAACCATGTTCCATTCGCATTTGTATTCCTCTTTTTTTCAGCGATCAGATTTGACAAAAAGCGGTGTGCGATTGCGAGAAGGAGTAACTGTAGACTCAGTCTATAAGGTAACAGTTCATGCAATGATGTTCCTTACCAACATTGAGGATTACAGGAAGTAGCAGCGCTCGACACCGATAACTGGGAGAACATTCGCGGTCCAAGAGACACCGAAGATCTCACAGAGTACAACCGTATTAAGTAAGTCTATTCAGTTTGAGTAGCTTCTTGAATTGATAGTTTTTAGAAAACAGCAGCAAGAGGCTAGCCGTAAAGCTCGCGAGTCGAAAACTAATGTCTGAGAATATTCCCGACATTGATCCAAACGAGCAACTTCCAATCGCCCCTGGCCTTCATCAAGATTTGGGAATCGATAATCCACCTGAGCCAGATAACGCATCAATTAGAGCTGAACGAGGATCACCAACTCCATCCTCTGTTACTGTTGATAACGCACCGTCTCTTCCGGATCGGTCGTTTTCGAACTTGCCAATAAACGACCCGTTCTCCAGTGACATTCCAGAAGTTCCGATTCCATCTTCTGCTTTATCGCTTTCCAGTCAAGCCCTATCGGATCCAGTTCCCACTCCTTCCGATACTTCTAGACCAGGAATTTCTCAAAACGACGAACAGACATCGAACATCGGCCATCCAACGGACCCACAAGAACCAAACGAAGTGAACAACGAATATTTGGCGCATCTTCTTGATTTGGGTTTCGACGAATACACTGCTGAACTTTCGTTGAAAAGAACTAACAATACAGGAGTCGAACAGGTGAATTATGTTTTTTTCGAGTTGCGAATCAGGGGCTAGTCTTCTTATCGACACCGCGTCTTTTACACTCAATGATGAAATATCTATTTCACTTTTAATATTTTACAGGCAGTTGCTTGGATTGTGGAGCGATCGAACGAGAGCGATTTCGACGACGATTCTAGCAGTAGTGAAAACGAAGTAGAGGAAATGGGAGCTGTTCAGTCAACTTGTAAGAATTTCTCCTGTTGTACCTTGTCAAATGATTTTTTTACAGATGGTCGTACGCACAAAATGGTACTCGTTGCCAATATGAGCTTGAAGATGGGTACGGGAAAGCTTGCAGCTCAAGTTGGTCATGCTACTCTCGCTGTATACCGTCAAGCTATGAATTCGGAAGCAGGACAGAATGCAGTGGCTGCTTGGTCCAAACATGGTCAAGTTAAGATAGTTCTGAAAGGACAAAGTACAGAGCAATTGATGGATTTGTGCAAAGCAGCAAAAGACGCAGGATGTTTCTACTATCTAGTTCAAGATGCTGGTTATACTCAAATTCCACCTGGCTCTCGAACGGTTCTTGGAATCTTTGGAACGGTTGAACAAGTCGATTCAGTGACAGGAGGATTGAAGCTTCTCTAAATTTGGTTTTAATTTATACTTTATTGCGTCATCTCCACCGATTTATCCCGTTCTTGAATAGTGCAATGCACCGTACGCCCAGACATCATGTTATTGTTCTTTAATGAATGAATTGAAATCTGTTTTCACTTGTTTGCAAATCCCACTTTCATGTGTAGTTCGAAAGTGACTTCAAAAGGCCGAGCTTATGAGAAGCCGTTGAAAGAGAAAGCTATTAAAATGGGTTTCTCTGCTTGTTTGAAACAACGAAGCGCAACGAAAACCGCCTAGCCATTTTGAGATTAGCAATAATGAGGGCCGATCCCGGGTGGCACAAAATACTACCAGTTTCGGTTCCTTAATCTTCTATAAAAGAGTGACGCAACAAAGGGAAAAGTCATTTGCCAAAAGAAGTTTCGATTAGAATCGAAATGTTAGCTCCGATACTTTTGCTTTTGTACTTTTCTGTGAATCCGTCAGATGCCAATTGTGGCGGATACTTGTGTGGATCAGCTTCATATTATCAACAGCAACCACAACAGATCCCAAGATATCAGGTAATTCAGTTTGCAATTCCCATTTCCGGATATTGAATAATCTTCTAGCCATCATACACGCCAGTTCAACATCCATCCCAGCAACAAGTTCTACAGTACTATTACCCCGCTAATACTTATCAAATTGCTCCACAACCAATGCCCCAAAAAGTGACTCCACCTGTAATCTCGCCTTCTCTTGATAAGGAAACACCAGTTTCTACGGGTAAAATGGTAATAATCCGTTACAATGATACAATCCTGAATAAATATAAAATCCCAGAATTATGATGAATTCGAGAAAGAACTCGAAAAACTGAAACCAGCATCAGCAGTGACGTCTGAAGACAAAGTGGATAACAAACTGGATTTGGCACTTCTGAATGCTTCTATTCCAACACAATCGATCACATACATTCGGGAATTCCCAGCAGGATACTCTCCAGAAGCTTTCATGACTCGTCCACTTCCGTACCGCCCTGTTCCATTTGTACCTGTCCAACTTCCAGCAGCCTGTCAACAGTACTTCATGCCTCGTCCGATGCCAATGCAACCACAAGTTGTCCAACTGCCATCCGCTTATGTAACCGCTCCTCCGATTTCCGTCCGCCAACAACCCGTGTCCATTCTTCCGCCTCCAATTAACGATTGCTGCGGAAAGTGTGGAGCGCCGTGTAAATTTAGGTCGAAAAAGAATGTAAGAATAGCTTGTACCGGGGATAAATATATTCCGAATCTTCAGGTAATCGCTTTGGCGTCAAAGATATTCACAGCTGAATACGTTCCACGAAGAGATGCAGACAATGAGGATGAGCCAAAAGATCCAAAATGCAGTAGCGAGAAATTGAAGGATCTTATGAACAAGGTAAATGTGTTCAAGAGTTCAAATAACACCATTTATTTCCAGTACATCACAAGGACCGTGGCTTTATCCAAACGACTAATCCAAAAGAATGCGGAAAGTGAACTGGGAGGATATTTCTCCGTTTTCTGTTCGATTGACGATTTCAGTTATGTTGCTCGAAGTGAAATGTTCTGCCAACTCCAAAAGAATGATATCACTTGTTACGCCTTCAAACACAAATAGATCCTTTATATGTTATTTTTCCTCAATATTTAGGCCTCGATCTTTTTTCGCTTGCCGCTCACTTTAATAAAGTTCAAACAGAATTTTTTCAGCAGAAACTAACGAGTTTATTAAAGTGAACAGAACACGATATTCACATAGATTCTTACAAGATACAACAATTGAAAACCCTCAAGTAGCGACCGGCACACGTAAAGTTAAAGTATGTAGGTTTAAAGTAAAACAACACAAAATCTCTGAGTATCAAATTAAGCAAAACGACATTCTTAATGCTCGATTTCTAGGTTTTTCACTGACAATTCGTCCATTATGATTTTGGATGGTTTGATTATTTCGTCTGGAATGATCACGACTTCTGGTTTCTGAAAATATCCAAAAGTTTAAATCATTGATAAGAATTTTAACTCACCACTTTTTCATCACCATATTGTACATTGTAATAGTCTTTGGCAGCATCTAATTTTAGATAACTGTAATCCTCTGTAATATCTTCTAATTGTGTTGCTAACTGCATTCGGATGTCGGAAAACTCGATTCTCTCTTCTGGATCTGCACTCCAGCATTGTATCATCACATCGTAGCTGAAATAAACAATCAGAAATTCAGAAGGGATGGGATTCTAAACTTACAAATTCTCCGGACAATTATCCGGTTTCTCTATTCTTCCACCACTTTCCAAATGAGGAAGAACGTCTTCTGGAGGCATTCCTGGATATGGTGAGCCACCCAAAGTGATAACTTCAAAAAGAAGGATTCCAAATGACCAAACATCACTTTTTATTGAGAATTCGTAATGCCGAATTGCTTCCGGAGACATCCATTTCAATGGAAGTTTACCTCCCTGAAATATTATTATCACGAAAAAGTTCAAATTTCAAATTTCAGCCAATTTTTCTAGGTTTCTGAAAGGAATATAACAAGTTCCCAACTGATAAATTGTTTATCACATTGTAAGAAATGCTTTGTAAGTTGACCACGTTTCGATATCTTGCATAGGAGCCAAGAAAAATCAGCCCAAGCTTGGGGCAAAGGGGCGGTGCTTCATCTAGCAGGTTTTACGATATACATACGGGAAATTCTCTTCTATTTTCATTATATAAATTTGTAGAGATATAAAAGTTTGTTTTCTAGCTGGCTTTCAACCAAAAATTTAGATTATCAAAAGGCAATTGTCCGTTTTCCGATAGTCCGTCGATGACCCGCCGGCGGCCCGTCAGTTCTCCGAGCAGCAGTAATTCAACAGGTTTTTTGTTGTTTTAAAAAAGTTCGTAACTACTAAAGTTTATCCAAAAAGAAATTAATTTAAAACCTATTTTGTTAGCCAGAAAACTTGAAAATGATAATGTATTGCCAAAAAAATTTGTAATACATATGCATACCGATCATTTTAGGGGTTAAAGAAAATTTTGGACTATGGACCATTCTTTCCATAAAGGACATTCTTTGCAAGTGGATCAGTTCACTGCTTCAAAAAACTGTTTTTTTGCCGATAGAGCCATTCATTCTCTTACAAAAGTGTGATTCATATTTTGCCCTCACCTTGCTCTTATATTGTGACTGATCTGCATAAATGTAGCGACACAATCCAAAATCTCCAATTTTACACGCAGTTCCCTCATGAACCAATACATTTCTGGCGGCGACGTCACGATGAACGAAACCTTTTTGTGACAAATATTCCTGAAAAGAGTCAATTGACCGTAACATATGTTTACGACCACTAAGAAACTAACCAATCCGTAACTGATTTGAACTGCGAACTGGAGTAATTGTTTCAATGTCACAATCATATTCGTGTCATAATTGTCATTTTCGGGAGGATCGTGGTAGTTGATTCCAAGATCATCCAATTTCATCATGTATTTACATCTCTCACGAAGGAATTGAAGTAAATCTCCGTTGTCACAATACTCGACAACGAGACACAGAGGCTCGGATTCTGTTACACATGCCAACATATTCACTAGCCTTAAATTACAAAAATTCATGAAGTAACAACAATTTGTGTCTATTACCTTTCATGGTATCCTAGTGTTTTCATCAATGCAATTTCTCTCAAAAATTCATGTTTTGACATTTCGTCTGCATACTCGGGTAGCATTTTCACAGCCACTTGACAGTTCTCAGCTCTCATTAAATTAATACCGAGTGGAGAGTTGGCATCTTTGTGAGCTAATGACTTCCAATTAGTTTTCCTGAAAACTTAATCGTTTTATAAAGACATTTTGCACTGCAACCCACCGAGATAAACAGCTCCAAACGCTCCGGAGCCTAGTTTTTTATCATTGTGAATTATCAAGTTTCTGCGCTCGATTTCCCAAATGTCGTTTCTGAAAAAAGTCATTATTTTAAATGTTTTTCCAATTTGAAGACATACTTATTGGCAGCGAAAATTGGGAAATCCGTGTACGGGTTTCCATGATAGTTGCTCTTTCCCATTTGTCCCATTTTGAACTTGAGCTTCTTGTCAGACTTCCATCGGAAATAATACCAAATTCCAGGGATAGCCAATCCAATAATAGCGAGAGATCCCAGCACGATTCCGATAATCATTCCTGTTTGATTGGGTGAAGCTGGAAATTTAATTTTACTTGGGGTCCTTCATTTAGATTGGGAGCCCAAAATATTATGAAAATCGTGCAAATTATACCAACGTGGGAGACGAGTAGATGTAGTCGTAGCTGGTGTGGTTGTTGTGAAGTTTTCAAAATCATCAGGTGTTAGTTCAGTAGTAAAATTAGTGAAAAGAATTGTAGAATTGTCCAATTGATATTCTTCAATATCTGTTCCATTCGTTCCATTTGTTCCAAATGATTCACTCCCAGTTTCGTTCCTTTCAACAAATTCTGTGGTGTTATTAAAATCATAATCAAGATGTCTTTGTGATCGTGAGATTACACTGTCCTTATTTGTGTTAGTGTGTGAAAACCCATCCGGTTGAATTAGTAATTGATAAGGAACAAGTGAGAAAGAATAGTGAGCTGGAAGTGGTGCAGATAAAAACACAAAAAAGTGAAACTACAAAAAACTTACAATGTTCAACTAGCATTATCTTTGCTGCTCTTGGTCTTACTGACTTCGAATCTATTGTCAAATCAGGAAGAGTTAGATTTCGAAGATCTTTCACTGCACAAATAGTGATACCATACAATGTTTTAGGATGGATTCCTTGCAATACAATTGATCGGTTCACATTTTCAGCCTAAAATTCATATTTTTTCTGTGAACTAGATTTCGGTCTAACCAGACAAGATCCTGATCTATCAAAGCTCTTGCAACTAGTCTCTGTTCCAAGAACGTTCGTTATGTTAACACCCAAAAAAGCTTCTTCCTCTTTGGTATTGAATTCCATAGCTGCTCCATAGATTCCGATATAATAAAGAGTTGGTAGTTCATTAGTTCTAGTGACTGGTTTGAATGTAACATTTACAGTTAAATTCGAAGCTGGGTCGTTCAGATTTTCACGATCTCTAGCCTTTAAAATAAAGAAAACATTGACCAAAAATACAAATTAAAAACTTACAACAACAGAAAACGCAACATTGTCCACCATTCCACAAATCGGCGACGGGTAGCTGGGAACTTTGAAGCATGGAGCGTTTTTCACAATGTCGCAGTCTGAAAAAATAAGCAGAGTTATCATTAGAACAATGATGGTAGAATTGTTATTGTTTTGCTCTTTTTCACTATTGGCTACCGTAAAACCTCTAATAGAACGACACCCGGAACGNCCACTTTGANCCTATATATCTCACTTCTTTTGAAAGGTATCAAAAAGTGGTTAACTAGTAAAATGTTTATCAGGATATCAGCAACATTTTACTAGTTAGCCACTTTTTGATATCTTTTGCAGAAAATGAGATATATAGGCTCAAAGTCGACGATCCGGGTGTCGTTCTATTAGAGGTTTTACGGTATTTTCAATTTCAGAATCAACTTCAAGAAAAGACTCAAAATGACTGGACGGTTCAGAAAAAATTAATGGCAGGGGGTAACGGCAGAATACCGGTACGGTTATATCGTAAAAACCAAAACAAGCAAAATGCAGAAACGAGAAAATGATTAAATTGAGATTTCATAAATGTGAGCCGACACGCTAAGAATTACTTACCAACTTGAATTGTTTGTAATGCAGAAGATGGCGGAGATGGCATTTCTGTCATTGTGTTGCACTTTTTACTGGTCACACTCTGAACTTTTGATGTATCGAAAAATATCTTATAGATCTTATTGATACCTGAAGATAATAAACATAACGACACTTTCTCTCCATCATATCGGACCCAATTGATGTTGAAATAGTACTGTTTTCCACATGGACCATCTTTAAAAATAACTTATTTTAAGATGAAAAATTGTCGTCGGCCTACAAAATCTGGAACTGGGATTCCTTGACTTAAATCAGGGTCAACACAAGATATCAGGTGGAACAAAGGCATCACATCCAGGTCGTCTTGTCCAAGGAACCAGGCTGAATTCATTTATATTCGAAAATTGGGTTCCAGTCAGTTCACTTACGATCAGTTTTATAGCGGAATTCTACATGAACTGTAGCGTTGGCTGTGTAAAAATCGCTGACAAGTGTGGTGTTCTGAAAAAAAACTATTTTCAGATTTTATATTTTTCAAGTCCGTTCTCTGTTTATTTTTTTTAATCTACTGAAATTTGGTTTTCACCAATTCCCTCTGACTCACAAAGTATTCCATTTCCAGCAAGTCAAGTTTTGGATTAGCTGTTGGTTTTGGGCTGGAGATCTTCAATTCTTTACTCTCGTTCCCAATGCCATCTTCTGAAAACGCAGCAACTGTAACTTCGAGCTCGGAGCATGGATCGATGTTTGTCAAAGTGCTCAGATCGACGCTCTGCTTCTCCGTAATCTGATAGAGAAATTAAATGTACAATTCTTCTGCCAAACTAAAATCGTAGTGTGTCTCACCACAAAATCGTCATTGGTAAACTTTTTGCTGCTCATAGTTCTATACCCGACGTAGTACATGACAGCACCTGGTACATCATTCCATTGTAGGCCACGGACACCTTTCAGAGTCAAATTCGATGGAGCTGGAAGCGTTTTTTCCGGTACTAATTCCCCGTTACAAGTGCTCCAACAAGTGTTGTCTATCTGGAATTAGTCTCTGAATGAAAATACGAAAACTCTCGTTTTTGAAACTTACACATAAGTTATCATTATTGAACTTCTGACATTGTGGCTTACAAGTTTCCAGAGATTGCTGAGCACTGGCATTCTGAAAGGAAAATCAATTTTTTTTTGAGCAAAGTTTGTATAGAATTCTGACGTATTACTGTTTTTGTTCATAAAAGTCTAAACTATGACCAATGTCAACAGTAAGGAGCCAAAACAATACTACTGTAACCTTTGTTGAAAGGTAAATGATCACTTCCGAAAAAACAGCCTGAATTCGTAAACAATTCGTCATTGAAAAAAAGTGTTTCAACTCAAAAAAAACTTTTCGAACATTAAAAAAGTATATATGAATAGGTTACCTTTTCAACAAAGGCGACACATTGTGCAACACATCGCAAGAAGCATCCTTCGGCTTTTGACACCAATTGCTGGTTCGAAACACAAAACAGTCCGGATATAAATATAATTAATCGAAGTTTCATTTGATTTGCATAGGTAACCGTTTTGAAAGTAATTACACTGAAAGAGTGAGGATTTTAGAATTAAGAAAAAGCGGAAGTACAGGAATTTTGAAACGGTTAATTGAGTAAGGCTCTTGAAATATAACTAATTGAAGAACCATAAAGTGTTCACACAAGAAGAAATTAAACCAGAATCCATATTACCGTATTTTCTCTAACAAAGCACACCTGCACCGTCAACTATGAGCGCAATTATCTTGATACGTGTGAAATATATCTAAAGTTTGTCAATTGATAAAATATTTATCATAATAGTGCCAATATTTTACCAGTTGACAAATTTTTGATATGTTTTACAGGAATGGAGATTATTGATCTCAAAGATGATGTGTTGGGTTATGTAATCAGAGTTTATACACAAAGAAATAAGACCAGAATCTTGTTCATGTCTGTTTCAAAATTTCATGGGTGTAGTACAGAAGTGGGAAACATCTTAACTGTATACTTAACTATTTTTAAATGCCGTGAACAATCTAACAGAGTGCCACCCAAACCGTCAGCTTTGTGATCATATAGAGAGGTCCTGTAAAAGGTATTGAAAAGTTGTCAACTGACAAAATATTTTTGATGTTATGATACAAATTCTGAAAGTAGACTACTTTTTGATATAATTTACAGGAAGTGGCATAAAGTTGATAGTTTGGGTGGCCTTCTATAAGATTGATTACGGTACTTTTCCTTGTAGTAAGTCTAAATGAACAGGAGGATTACAAGGCAGGTGACAACGGTTAACTTTGATCTTTCTTCACTATAATCTAACTTCAAAAAAAGGGAGAAAAATCATATATGCAAAATCTGATAAAATGCGTACATAACCCGAAACGGGTTGGCGGGTTGAGATGAAAAAGGACACAGTATTTTGCGCGGAATTCGCCCAGTTTATCTTGATCGAAATGGAATAAAACATGAAACAGATTTAGATACCATGAAAACAGAGAAATAGAATGGATTTGTAAGAGAGCGAAAGATACAGATAGAAACAGATTGGATAGAAAGGAAAGTAGTGGACACATGTACTTGAACTTGAAAGTTTGCTAACTGATGTTGAAATCGACTTTTCTCTAATTAGAAAGAAGGAACTTTGAAAGTTAAAAACAATTGGCTGATTTCAGTAGAACAAAGAACAAATTCTGTTAGAAGATATGTACTTTAAAGAATGCCTCAAGATGGTTACTGTGGAAACAGATGTCTCTACTTTCTTTTAAATGCTCTACATAAAAAATCAAATATTGAAGATTCAAAGGAAATCATATCGATGAAGCTTAAAACCAACTAAATCAAACTTTCTGATGAGACTAAAAACTCAAATGTTCTGGTAGGAAGACCAAAAAGAATGAAGCAAACATTCTCGAAAGTCAGACAAAAGGTTAACATTTTTGCTTGATGATTTACTGATTTAACAGAATGATGGTCTCCATGAGTCATCATGGAAACAAGATCTGACGTCAAAAGAAGAGGGAACTGGTTCAGCTAGAGAGGTTGTATATTGATGTCACGAGTGATTGAGAAAGAAGCTGGTTCCCGGTCTTTGCTCCGAGAAGAGGAAAAATGAAAACAAGGTACAGTAATCTACTTGATGAGGAAGACACATCCAGTATCATGAAGTGATCGAATTCGATCGATCGACCTAAATGAAAGTGACAGTGCCTCTCTATACCACTAATCATAAATGAAAGCCTAGGCGGGAGAGTGGAAAGAACAGTAAATAAAAATGAAGAATCGATTTGTGCGCAATGGCAAAAAAAAGAGCGGAGCGCGAGAAAGAACCCGAGAGAAACGAAGCGTCAGCGCCTCCGTGGGTAAGAAACATCGAACCGGTCGGTCACATCGCAATGCGCATGTTCTCGAATCACAATGTATTGTGTTTGGAAAAGAGAGAGCGACGACAGACCCCAAAGTAACGGGCTGGACGCAGGACCCAATAACTTTCTTTTGTGAATTTTTATTAGCGTCTATATGTGTACTTTTTCAATGATAATGTGCCTTTTTTGTGCTTGAGAACTTGTTCAATCTCAGAATCTAACGTGGATTACTGTAGTTCAGATTCCATAGTTAGAATGTAGAGATTGAGAAGACAAGGTGTAAAGTACCCAGAGCAACGTTGAGCAGACAAGCAATACACATCCAATGTACTAACTGTTTACTAGCTTTTATAATAACTAAAGTCACGTACAGGCGAGACTGTGGCTGTGGATTGGTGGAAGATGACATTTTTTTAATCCTGTTTTTCTGTTTTGATACAATCTTGAAGTCATGTTTCATTCAACTAAATCTAGGTTACTGTAGTTGCCAAAACTTGGGCCAAAGCTTTGGCCACTGTAATAACCTACACGAAAGATGAAATACTGGAGTTCTCCTTTGTTTTCAGTTTTGAGGATTACCATAGCTTCCTAGAACGGAAACCGTTTTTATGTTGGAAATAAGTAATCTTCTTATTATTCTTCTATAAAAAACGGATATTTGGAAGCGAAAAGCATGTAGGCGTGGCCAAAACTACCGTAACCTAAAAATGTTCAGTAATTTTTTTTTCTCGATTGCTATTGCTTTTCGACAATTTTTGTGCTGAAAACCTGCAGTTGGAAAATAGCATTTTTTAACTTAAAAAATTACCGGAAAACGGCCAAAAATCGAAAAAAAGAAAGTAAACTAATTTTTGCTAATTACTGTAGTTCAGCCGTGGCTCTTCTACAGCTCCGGTTTTGCATATAGTGGTGTTGTTTCCAATTTTGGGGTTTACTGTAGTTATCTAGAACTGATAGTGAGATCGTTAAGAGGATCCTCATTCTATGTCGACTGAAAAATGTTAAAATTATGAAACATTGTATTCAAAATTGTCTGGAAAAGAATGGGGCAACACAATTTATTCAACATTCAATAATTCAAAAAATACAATAGAAACGAGAAAAAAAACAAACAACTGGCACACAACAATGAAAAATTCTAGTTTGTCGCTAGTAACCGGAATTGGACAGACGCATGGTGTCTACTTGGTGATTACCATTTCCCTGCAATGATAATCATAATAACAGCATCATTTATCATCAACGCTCTCTTACTCTCTTACCAATTGTTTTTCACATCAGCGGCCATCATTCGTAACAACCTTTTCCTGTGACCTAGGATTTTGTTGATTGACGTGACCACAAGTGGCACTTCAGAATGCAACAACTTCGGTGGCTGTCGACGCGCCAGAATGTTCAAACCATTCAACGCATCCTCCAAGTTAGACTGAACAAAAAATCAAATTAGAAAAAAAAATGAAATGAATGGAACTACCATATTAGATTCTCCATTCTTGACAATCGCGCATAAATATTTTACAACTGTACGCAAATCATCCATCTGAAGGGGTTCCGAAATATTCAGGAACATTGGAATGGTACGAGTGACATGACTAGGAATCACACCTTCGATACTGATTGTTTGAATCACCACAGGAAGCAACTGAAACAAGTTTAGTGTTTTTTTCTCAGGCACGGAAAATGAGAAATTCATTTTGAACACCAATAATTGAAAAATGTTTCAATAAAGAGGTTGAACAACGAACCATTGCATACTGTTTCTTCAATTGTTCCGAATCCAATGGGACGGCGAACTGCAAAAGATGTGGAAGCATTTCGACGAGTCTATGCTTTTTCTTTCCTGATTCTTCAAACTTTTTCTTAAAAATCGGCACAATTTGGCAGAAAATCCGTTGTCTCCAAAGTGGACTTCCTGTTTCATATCGACACTTTTCTGGATTACAATCTGAGCTCTCGAAATCCAAAAAGTACTCGAAAGATGAGCTCGCATTCACAGTATCATCTGACGCAATCTTGTCCAGAAGCCCTTCATAAAGGTTCAAACAAAATGGAGCATTTCTCAGAAGTTTCGCTTTCACTTCAGCTAGATGATACCTGAAAATTACTTTTATTTGGATTCCAAAACTGAAACAAAATAACTTACTTTTCAGGAATGTTCATCTTGTCATCGAGATTAAATCTGTTGACACATGCAAAAAATAGCTGTCTAGTGGATCTTTCGGGCAAACTGAATTCGGAAACTTTTTGAAGATCTTGAATACTCTGTAAATACATCGAAAAGTTTAAGAGCTTGACTATAGAGACATTTTTAGATTACCTTATTTTGTAGGTAAGATAGGATGTATTTCTTATCAAACAGTAAGAGTTGAGATTCTACTTCTGCCAAAATCGAATATTGTGACGCAATTTTATTCATAAACTTTTGGTGTTCTTCTTCTGGGAGCAATAGAGAAGCAGTTTGCAAAACCATTGCTACTCTTTCGGGATCATCGCAATCCACCTAAATCAGTTATAAATGGAGGTTAATTTTCTGGATTTAAAAAACCTTGGAATAAACGCTCTCGAATGTTTCAAAGTAATCCATAAATAGTTGCTCATTGTCAGTGCATGCTCTCATCAGTTCCACATAACAATCCATTGATCCCTCTGCTGTGGAATTGTTCATTCTATTTTTCAGTTCCGCTATTACATGATTTCTCAGCAAACTCCATGCATCTTGAGATGAACTCATTGCACAAAGAATTGGAAGAACTTTTTCCGAATCTAAAAATTGTTATCTTATTTTTGGGAAAATGTATTTCATTGTACTAACTCCATGTACTGATCGCGTTGTCGTTTAGAACTATCTGAACTTGATCGAAATATCTTGATGTATAATTCCGTATCAGTTTTAGAAGGCTTCGAAGCTGGACATCTGTGTTAATTGGCGTTCTAAGGGCAAGAGCAATGTAGCTTCGACACTGAGACACCAGATCATCCGATGCACACTCAAGCTGCACGTAAGTCTGCAAATGGCTCCAATAATAAACGGAACATTAGGAAAAAAACTCACTGATGCACACTCATAGATAGATGTTAAAGCTTCTTGAGGCTTATATTCCCTTGCTCTCGAACACGATTCGATTATGCTCTGCTCGAAAACTTTCAGTGTGTCAATAGACAGACCCTTGTTAGCAGAAGCTAAATGAATCCAGTTAATGAGATATTCTAGTCCTTCCTGTACAATATCTGCCTTGTTACCGGCAGCGTTGACGCTATCTCCTGAAAATTATTTATTCCGGGAGTCAAAATGAATAAAGAGTACCGTGAATCAAATTGAGAATCCAGGCGATAACCTGATTGAGAATTTGTTTCGCATGGTTCGAGGGCAACGAATGGAAAGCACTTCTTAAAAGATGTAATGCCTTTTTACAGAGACCCATTTCAGCTTGAAGTACAAAAGGCTCAGAATCTGCAAGTTTAAAAATAAAATCAGACAAGTTGAAGGATAAACCCACTTTCAATAATGTTACTAACAACTGCCTCGATAGCTCGTTGATTATTTTCTGATGATCGTACACACATTCTGACTAATGCTTCGAATGACTCAGCCACATAAGGCAGCATTTCTCCTTTATTTTTCGGATTCAGTCCAACTTTCCGTACTCCGTCGATCAGAGGTTCCAGAAGTGACAGATTTTTCTGTGCTGGAAACCTATCACATGCGATTATCTAAAATTGTCTATCGATATTTTTTGTTATGAGCAGATCTTTGAAATACCAGAAGATTCAGGACGTCTCTGTATTCTTCATCGGAACAATCATCGTCGTTCAGTTTCTCATCAATGAACAAAAAACAGAAAGGAGCGAAAGAAGGAGATGAGACCAGACAAGAAGCACACGATGCAGCAAGATATTCTCTTGTGATTGTGTCTCCTTTTTGCTGAAATAACGTTTCGTTAATTTCTTCTGACAATAAATCTTTTCTTGCCGGTTTAAACTCGACTGGGAAATAGCAAGCAATCGTCTCAAACATGTCTTCTGTGAATGGACCCAACGCTATGTTGCTGGAAACTTCAAGGAACGCCGAGAACATGTGCACTAAACATCTTGGATCTCGTTCTCCGGATACACTTTTCATAAATGTAGCCAGGAAGTCGGAACCCAAAGCTTTTAGGTCTGAAAATAATACATAAGACCTACTTTCAATTGAAAAACACTTACAAGAAATTTTATTTTTCAACAACCAGATCAGAATATCGTACTGTAGTTGACGTTCTTTTTGAGACCAACTTTGCATATTTCCTTCTCTATAAAACAATATAAAATTTTATGAATCCCACCATTCTCCTACTTGAACAAAATTCGAATAAGTGAAACTTCCAAATTATCCGGAAGATTCTTTGACTTCAACACCAAATGATGAACTCCACGAATTACAGCGCCTCCAGTTAAGGCTGAGGACTCGATAGAATTGAGAAAGTAGTTCAAGAGGAGAGATACTGGAAATAAACTGTTTGAGTTTCGAATTTTCGATTCGGATCAGACCTTCTTCTTTCTGTAGGAAATCATATGGAAACTTGCTTATCACTTCAATGATTCCTTCAATAGTTTGCTCTCGTTTTTCTGGGAAATCGGACAGCATTCCATTTCTTTTGGCTTCCATGAAATTAGAAAGTGACATAGATCTCTCTTCTACAAGAAGACGATACCAATCCTGGAATGATTTATCATCCTCGATACCGTTCATCTGAAAATTATTAAAATGTCATATTGGAAATTCGTATATCTACGGATTGTTCGCAAGAAGGAAGTTTGGATCATTGTTTAATGATTTCGAGGGATTGTTTTGGTGACTCTTCTACAACATCTAACAAGACATGATACTAAATACAGTGTTGATTGATTTTCAAGCACAAAACATATTTCTGATAAAAGAATGCCGATGCAGCAGTCACTGCAATATTTTTTGAATAAACTGACGCAGTCAAACCGAAAACTGAACGAAATCTAGTTTTGGGTTGATTATTGAAATCAAGCACAGAATTTTTATTTGTATTATTGTTGTGCGAAAAATTGGAGCGAGAGAGTATTTTTTGCAGTCTGAATGCGGTAGGCACCTCGAAGCGACAAGCCTAAACAGCGCATAGTCGGTGGAGACGCAGAGAAATATTTCGATTAACTGTCTGCGTCTCAACTCCAATTTTTTCGGACAACAATAATATTTACAAACAAAACAACCGTAACCAAAATTGTAATATTTTCATGTTACAGTAGTTTTGGCTCTGGCTTCCGACCCCGGTCACGAGATTTTCTCTTCTACCGAGAAGTATAGGGAACGACCCACATCTCAAAATCATGAAAAAAATCCCCAAATTCATAACCTTTCCAACCTAGATACTTTATCAATAACGACTCTTTTGACCTTCGGACATGGCGCGTGTCGACGACAAGCGCACCACATTTCCCGGGAAAAACTGTGATAACCCAAATGGTGGCGGCTGTCTGTAAATAGAATTTGTGCATGAAATGAATCTGATTATTTCTGATGGGAAAGCAACTCTTTGCAAAATGCATCCAGATTATTTAGTTTTTCTTCTGCGATACTTTCGACAGGATACGGGATAACTTTTGGATTTTCGATTTTACATTGTGAATCCTATCCATCAATGGTTCCCGAAAGCCACAAACGAAGAATTGATAGACGGACGTCCTGCGTTTTGTAGTCATGAACTCAATATTTCGTTTTTGTAAAAACCAAACCGTTCTTATCGACCTAATCCAATTCTCTTATTCGTTATCTTTCCAGCTTTTTGTTTCACTTTTTTCCTTCACAAAATGCTTGCAATCACTGATGTCACTCAAACCTTGTGAGAACATCAACGGAGGCGGGCACACTTTCCCATTGATAAACCGCCGCATTGGCTTCTTCTCATTCGCATTTGCATCTCTTTTGCTTTTCATTTCTTTATGTGAATCACAACATTTTTTTCTTTCAGACACTTGTGGTGGTGCTATCAACCTAAAAGCACCATTCAATTATAAAAAACTGGCTGATCTTTTGGCTTTCCGCTGCTTGAATCGTTCCACTGACTGTAATGTCTGTAAGCGTTCGAATCGTGTTAATTGTAATCATTGGATGTGGAATAACGGTTCAGGTGAGGAGAAAATAATAGTGAACTTGACAAACTGGTGAAACATTTCAGAAGGAATCAGAAAAGGGGGAACCATCAATAAAACCTTCTATAGCCATTGTCGGCGCCGGTATTTCTGGACTATCAACCGCGCGTCGACTGATTGAACTTGGAATCGATGACTTTGATATCTACGAGGGTCTCGACCGGATCGGTGGCCGAATTCACGCTATCCCTTATAGTGAGTTTCCAATTTTTCGAAAGTCATTTTGAATACTTGATTTTCAGAGGATGGTTTCCTGCAAATGGGAGCTCAATTTATAAATGGAGCCGAGAACCCTTTGTACAAGATTGCCAACCGTCTTGGATTGATTGCTGATGTGGTATCTGACACTGCTCATGTCGACAATGCACACTTTGCTTTTGGAAACCAAAATGTTCGAGAGTGAGTTGGCACAAACAATTGTGGCTACAATAGGTCTTTTGGCAACTCGATCAAATGATTGTTTGTTTGTTCTGTAGTAGGTGTGAAAGCCTCGTGGCATGCTTTCGCATCAGCTGATACTGTGAGCTGCTAGTTTGATAGATCAGATGATCAAAAATAATCGTTTCAGAAAAAAAAACTTATTTTCGAAGTGTCAATTAGGAATTTAGCTTATTAGATGATATCGGGCAGGATCAGACAAGCACACGGCTCTGTGATAAGGACCACTGATTTTTTTCAGAGAAGACATCAAGACATTCTTAGACTTCACTTCGAAGCTAGATCCCAAATACAGAAGCATTGCAAAACATGACGAGAAAACCGCAAGGCGCTACACTTTCAAAGAGATCTTCACCCTGGATTATATGCACTTCTTGAAAACACAGAACTTTACTGAAACACAAAAGAATGTTTTTGACTCTTTGGCTCGGTCTTTCCGATCTTATTGGGAGTTCGAATGGGCTGCTGATTGGAGCACGGTAGGTTGATTATTTTTACTTTTTTCGCTGCAATCTGAGTTTTCAGCTTAGCGTGCATGTTCTAAAAGAGTGGAATGATTATGGACCAGAATGTGAATCTTTTGCTACCAATAGAGTTGGATTCAAAGGTATTCTGGATGACATTGCTGCACCTATCCCCAGAAACGCATTCAACTTCAACAGCCGTGTTGAGAACATCAATCTCAACTCGAACACAGGGAAAATTCAGTTGACAGTAAATGACCATCTTGTGCCAACAGAATACGATTACGTCATTGTCACCTCTTCCCTTGGCGTCCTCAAGAAATATCATCATATGATGTTCACCCCACCACTTCCTCGACAAAAAATCGAAGCAATTGAGAAGATCGGATTCGGAGGATCATGCAAAGTATTCTTCGAATGGGATCAACCGTTTTGGTCCAACAACACTTACTCGATTGCACCACTTCCAGTCAGAGGAATGATCAGTGAAAAATTAGATGCATTCGAGGAAGAAACAACTATTCTTCAAGTGGTCGATTGGGCTCCAAACGTGTTGAGTGCGTGGTATGCCGGAAGAGGACATCAATTGGTGGATAATATGTCAGAGGAAGAGTTAAAGCAGAGAATGACTAGACTGATGAGAGAAATGTACAATGATAATGGGATTCCACCCCCAAGCAAGATTATTAGAACTCAACTGACAAAGAACGAGTTGCTGCTTGGATCCTATTCCTACATGACTCAAGTTCAAGCTCTATCTCACATTTCTCATTCTCAACTGGCAATTCCAGTGAAACTCGAAGGAAGACCAAAGATTCTGTTCGCCGGAGAAGCTACTCATCACAGGTAACACTGATTAGAAATTTCTTTCAACTGCTATCTCTTTTCAGACTGTTTCAAACAACCATCGGAGGTTACCTAAGCGGTCGCAGAGAAGCTGACCGAGCTGTCAATGATTGGTTTGGAACTCGATATGGTTTTAATCAAACCAACAAGATGGAAATGGAGGACGTCTCATTGATAAACGAAAAAAGAAACGTCCCATATATTTCACAACCGATAACTTCTATCTAATTCGATAATTTGAGAGTGAAACTCATATAATCAACTTTAACCAGATATAATAAATTTCATTTATTTGCAAGAAAAAAAGTAAACTAAATGTGAGCTAATGAAATCCTGAGGATGATATTTTTCAGAGATCAAACATATGTTGAAATATTAATACATTATACATCTTCTCCTGCTGTCTCGCTAGAAAAAGTGAGACATCCACCAGCACCTCCCCCGATCCCCATTCGTTGTTGAACCGTCGACGGTCGTGGGCCAAGAGACGTTTCCTTCACCAAAGAATTCATTTCATGTAATTGAAGCATGTCCAACACTTGCAATGATTCATTCTTTTTCGCAGCAGCTCTCTGAAAAATTCATCGCGCTAATAAATGAAATATATATGGGAAACATACTCGAATCGAAGGCATTCGCAGAATTATTGAGGCATATCTCTCATTAGCGGCATCAAACGTATAAGCTTTTTGAAGATGTCGAAAAAGTACTGCCAGGAGTTTCTTCTGCTCCGCGATGACGTTCCTTTGTGATGCAGAATCTAGGCCTTCCGTATCAGGATCGAAAAACATTATAGCTTGGAGAAGAGCGAATTCTGTGGTGGAAAAATTCAGCTGTCGGAATGGTTTCATAACAAGATCTATCATCATCGTCAAAACTGGAGTGATGCCAGAGAGACTAGAGCTGCTGGAAATTTAAATCTCAAATTTTTCAAAAAATTATTTTCAGAAGAACTAACCTTGAACTGATAGATGGAAACAGTCTTGGTTCCACCATGGAAATCGTCTTCATAGCTCGTTCATTCAAGTTACACGATGAAGGACGACCCTGAAAGGAATCCTTCAGTCTTTATTATATGGTTGGAAAGGTACCGGTGGGCAAAATTCTCTAGCTTCGAAAAAATTGTGCATATCAGACTTCCCTTCGTGGCCGGCAGTAGGATGTCCGTAATCTTGAGGGATCCATGTACCGTAATCTGCGGGTAAGATTCCGTATTCAGTTGGGAGTTGAATCATGCCATCTGTGGTTGGAACATCCATTATTTCTTGTTTTATTTCTCTGAAAAACGGTAAATGAACAAACTACCGTACGTATAAATTCATTCCCTTGCCTAATAGGGACGGGCATCTTTACTTTTTCTTCGGCAGATTTATCAAACATTATTCCGTTGTTGATAGATTGCTGTATACACTGAGAGAGCAGCATGTTCGTTAAGTCATCGTGAGATTCTTCTCCATTAGTCTCTGCACTCTGCACTCTAGTGCATCCTCCCGAATTATTATGGACAAGACCGGGTAAGTCCGGCCTCTTGCGAACAACATCCGATTTGACGTGCTCAGGTGTACGGAAAGCTTCACACATGATCATAAATGAGGAAGCATGATTCGTAACCATGGCAACCTGAATATAGTAATTAATAAAAAAGAACAAAATAGAGATGTACCTTATCAGTATAGGGAAGAGATCTAAATGTTGAAAATGTTTTGGCCCAATCGATGTACAATGCGATGAGACGCTGCCTCCAAAACGGCATTTTGTCGTCCCGATGAGTTAGAACAACGGAATCAGACCACTGTAAATCATAATGAATAATGCTCGAGGGTTAAAAAATCACTCACTTCACATGAAATCGGTTGCATAAATCTGCTAGGGGCATTCAGAGCATCTTCTAAAGTTGCGTACGAGTGGAGGTCGGCGCATCTACTTAAAAGAAGAGTGAAATTATTCTCCAGTGTTGTCAAACGCTCAGCAATAGGATCGAGACAATTCTGGAATAGCCGGGGTGTTAGTTACTTTCTTAAGCTTTTCAAACAAACGAAATCAATTTTGATATCTTTCATGTCACAATTTTCAGGACTGTCATCATTCATTTGGGGGCTTCCTGAAGAACCATCTCTCATGTGCAAATTTTCAAAATGGTGTGTTTCTTCCTTGTCATCATCATCATGCTTCCTCTTTCGTTTTGTGTAACCAATTCTGTCACGATCTCGTTGAATCGCTGAAACCATTATTTTATTAAATACAAAAACTTGACAATATTTAACTTACAATTTGTGTCCATTCCGACGGCCAAACATTTCTGGAGTCGACAAGCACGACAAGCGCACCGAACTCCTTTGTTCACATCACAATCTTTATTTCCTTGACATACGAACTCTCGGCGATTCTGAAAAAAAAATCAATCTCGAAAAATGTCTCAATTTTTTAAGGCACATTGAGTTTCTCACTGAAAACAGTAACTGCTCACTGTAGAATAGGGCGCAAAAAATTCTGATGGTCTCAAACGGAAATTCGCGAACAGTTTTTAAATTAGTTTTCAAGTTTTTTTGAGGTTTCGCAAGTGTTTTTGAAAAAATTATAAATTGTGAAGTTTTTTCAAATAAATGCAGTCTTACTACAATTGCTCGACGAAAAAACGTTTTGCATCCATTGCATGAAGCTACGCTGTAATGTTTTCCAGTAGCAACATCGTCACATACAGCACATAGTGTTCCTGACATATTAAAAATGTATTATTAAATTTTTATTCATTAAAACCCTAACCTGGAGGCAATTTTTCACTCATTCCAGCAGGTACAGTCTTGTTATTGAATATTTAGGTGTCAGTAATAAGGAAACGCATTGATTTTCAGCCGGCTGCACAGCCTGAATAGAGTATATGTGTTGTGTGTAGTTGTATACGTGCTAAGATTATTGGTTCTGGAGTGGTCACGTCTTCTCGGGGCGCTCACTGAGAAAGCGACGCCTTGGAGCCTGCTGGCGCACCGACGTCCCCATTTGCGCGTTTTGTGTGTTGCGTCACTTTATCGAGAATTTTCTTTACTGCCAGCACCTAAATTTGGATCGATGATGCGCACTCACGCACGTTCGTTCTTCAACATTCCAATTGATTTTCGCCGTTATTGATCAGCTCCGAACGAATGCTCGTCCAAGGACTTCTTTTTTTCGGTTGCTTCCTACATATTTGTAGAAAATTGCGTAAGAATCAGCATTAAAAATTTCTCAATCTTTGTTAACGATTCTCATTTAAATTATCTCTGAATTTCTTCCGCTTTAAATTTTCTGTTATTTTTATCTCTCGTTTCAGCATCTCCGGTTTTTCCTTACATCGGTTTTTTTCAGGGGGAATGTTTGGTGGAAGTAGCGGTCCCGTGGATACCACGCTCTACACAACTCTCAATGTGAAACCAGATGCAACACAGGCCGACATAAAAAAATCCTATTTCAAACTTGCGAAAGAATATCACCCAGATAAGAACTCAGATCACGGAGACAAGTTCAAGGAGATCAGTTTTGCCTATGAAGTCCTTTCGAACCCTGATAAGCGACGACTTTATGACGCTCGAGGTTTGGAAGGCGTTCAAGGAGGCGGTGGTGGTGGCGGTGGTGGCTTCCCTGGTGGTTTGTTCTCCCATTTCTTCGGACAAGGAGGAGATGACGACGACGACGATGATGATATGGGTGGACATCCGTTCGGAGGACTTTTCGGAGGACTCAACAGAGGAGGACCACGTCGGCGGAAGTTCCAAGACACTGTTCATGCTCTCAATGTAACACTCGAGGAACTTTACCTAGGAAAAACATCCAAACTGAAACTTTCCAAAAAGGCTCTGTGTAAAGTATGTGAAGGTTCTGGCGGAAAGAAAGGAGGGAAATATAAGTGTGACGGGTGTCGTGGTCGAGGAATCAAAACTGTTGTTCAACAAATCGGCCCTGGCATGCTTCAGCAGATGCAAGTCGCTTGCGATGCTTGCCGTGGAACAGGAGGAAAAGTTCCAGCAGGTGACAAGTGCAAAGGATGTAACGGAGAGAAATACGAAAATGTATCCAAGATTCTGGAAGTTCATGTTCTGCCCGGTATGCGACATGGAGATAAAATCACTTTCAAAGGAGACGGAGATCAACCAGATGTAAGCGTAGCTAAAGTGCATAGTTGTATTTACTGTAATGTATTTTTTTAGCCGGATGGAGAGCCAGGAGACGTTGTTATTGTTATTCAACAAAAAGAACATGATATTTTCAAGAGAGATGGAGATGATCTGCATATGACAAGGTAAGTTTGACAGTTTATTTGGATCACAGTCGTTTATGTTGGGTAAAGTTGAAATACTTTTTATTTTCAGAAAAATCTCATTGAACGAGGCTCTTTGCGGTTACAACTTCCTCATTAAGCATCTTGACGGTCATCCTTTGGTTTTACGAAGCAAACCAGGAGACGTTATCAAGCCGGGTATGTGATTAAATACAATAATTCATTTGTCATATTCTCTTTTGCAGAAAGTACGAGAGGAGTCGTTGGAAAGGGAATGCCAAATAAAAAGTATCCAGAACTCAAAGGAAACCTTTTCGTTGTCTTTGAAGTGGAGTTCCCGAAAGATCACTTCCTCGATGAAGAGAAAGCTTATAATGTAATTTTTCCAAAAAACAACGTTTAAAATATACGATAATATTTTTAGGTTCTTCGTAGCTGCTTCCCAGCCACCAAAGTTGTTAATGCTCCACCTGGAGCTACAGAAGTTTCTGTGATGGAGTACGATGAAAAGAAATACAGCCGAGGACGTGGAGGAGACGCTTACAATGAAGACTCTGATGATGAGCAACAAGGAGGTCATCATGGACAAGGAGTCAGATGCCAACAACAATAAACACTTCACAAAATCTGTTTTACAATCTTTTAGTCACCCTATCCTTCTCTCTCCCCCACTTGAAAGAATCTCTTTTCAACTATCCGTTTTTTTTCTGTAGATATTATCAATTGTTATTGTTGCAATGAATTGATTGCATGAGGATCAGGAAAAACTCGGAATAAAGAATGTTTTATTATTAGAAACTTTGCTATCACATAAGACTACAGACATGGGACTTTTTAGAAACTCCCCCTCCTTTTTTATTTTCCAAAAGCGATTTGAACCGTGTTACCGCCGCAGTGACAGCTCCGAGATTTCGCAGGTCGAAAGTGTCGAGTTCAGCTTCTTCTGGAACATGAATATGAAGGTATTCTGCGAGATGACGACGACATGGAAGAATTGCGATCTTATTCAAAGTTTCCTCCTTAGCAATCGGATCATTAAGGACAACAGTTAGAAGGGATCCGTCTTGGGCACCTGAATAAAGAACTGGTACTAGAAATTCAGAAATGAAAAAACAGACCGATAATTACAAAGAAACCATCAGGGTCATAACTCCAACAAGTGATTGTTGCATGAGGTCGGAATGTTCCAATTAGTTGACAATCGAGAACACGAAAAACTCTGAAAAATGGTAGATACTGTAAATCCTGTATTAGAAGGGCCGGTCTTTCTATTTTTCTAGTCATTTTTTCCAAAAATTTTCATTGAAAAATTCGGGAAATTTTAAATTTCAAGCAGCCAATTTCGAAGGGGGCCCATCTGTTTTCCGGACACGGGGGTAAAATCGGGTACATGGATTTGAATCGAGATTTCGCGCTTTTTCCAGTCGCGTGGCGTAAAAATTCGCTGAGTAGCGACTCACGTAACGTTAATTGAACTGCGAGGGTGATACTGCAACTCCCATTCACATACGCGCCGCGTGGCGATTGAGATAAAGCGCGAATTGTCGATGTACCCGATTTTACCCACATGTTTTCCCAATCCACTCTCGGAGGGTCTTTCTATTAAAGAGATCCTTTTAATACAGGTTTTACGGTGTTCGTTGAAGTTAAATGCAACAAATCACCTCAAAGTTTTATGTCCACTGTGATAATAGAACACATATTGACCATTGGGAGAGAACGAACATGTAACATCGTTGACACCTTCCGTCACGTTTCCAATCAAAGTTTTTGCAACTTGACCACTTCTCATATCAATCACCTGAAAATAGAACTACAACTTTATCAGGTATGGCCAGAAGACTCACGAACAAGCCACCTTTCGCGGGAGCAAACAGTCCAAGCCTTCCATCGCTTGAAACAACTCCATTGAATTGGGTCAATGTTCTGTGGAACTTCCGAACTCTGATATCCCACACACTTGCTTTGTTGTCACTTTCAACTACGATCACCTGGATATTCTGGCTTTATCAAATTCTGAATTATCTTTGTACCTGGTTACTATTCGATGGCATCGCTATAATTTTACTGATCATCACGTCCTTCTGCTTTTTTGATTGCCTTGGGCGAAATTTGATTTTTTGAGTCTTTTCAACTGCGTCAAAAACTAGAAGACTATCATGCCCTTTGAATAAAGTAATGACTACTCCGGTGACTTGATCCTAAAATGGAAGAATACAACAATTTGAATAAGAATCAAGGTCATACTCGAAGAACTGCGCAATCCTTGAACAGTCTGCATGGATACTCAAAATTGTATTGCACACTGAAATCTACGACCCTGTATATTGTAAGTCTCGCAATTTTCTGTTCGGCAGAATCCACTTGACGGTAGATAACACCTAGAACTATACCTTCATAACTACTCTTCAGACGAAATTCCCACCTATCAACGCTTCTTTATTCATGTAAAAAATTTGGAAAACATTTGGAGCATGGATTGAATGAATAACGGATTGCGTTCGTAGATCCCAAAGGAGTAATTGATCGGATTCGATTGCTACGATTGTTCTAAATTATTTTGAGAAAAAAGCTTTGTAATGTGCAATTACCTTCCATCTGAAGCCAACAATGAATTGGAGACCACAGCTCCATGAACGTTTGCAACAAGAGATGCAATATAACGATGAGACTTTATATCCCAAATTCCAATATTCTTTCTAGTTTGAACTGCTGCCAGTGTCGGATTATCTTTTGCCACAGAAATTTTCTCGATGGATTGTTCCATTGTTGAAACCGAGAACGACTTCTCAAATATGTTTTCCATATTCCAGATTTTTATTGTATGGTCGAGTGAAGATGAGATCAAAATGTTTTGGCCAAGTTGACTAACAGAATCAAGATTCAGAATTCTTCCAAAATGGGCGTCAAGAGAGCGGAGAAGCTGAAATACTTTCATTTCGTTTTTGATGCATTTATTTCTACTCACTTCTGTCGATGAAACATTCCACAGAAACAAATGTTTTCGGACTCCGGCTACAAAAACTGTATCATGTGAGGCAAAAGTTACTGCAGTAGTTGTATGTCTTGGACGAATTGGAATGTTTCGAACATTTAAAGGAAGTTTCAAAAAAATTGGCTTGAAGTCACAGTTATCACGGTACAACAAGAAACTCTGAAAACCAGAAAGTATTTTGCATTAAACATTCAAACTCACATCAATCATGACACCAACTATCCATGGATTCTGGTTCGGACTGCTGCAATTTCTTTCAAAGATTTTTATGTCGTTGATTCGATTCAGAAGTCCTTCTTGAATAACTTCTTCTGTGATGTATTTGGATTCGGAGAGAGTAATACGGACCAGAGCAAAGTTATGGTCTCCGTCAGGATCCAGACAACCTAAATGCGAATTATCTTCCTCCTGTACGGTATATTCAACTAACTTTTGTGTGCAATACATGCGAATCCTTTTCTGAAATGGTTGTCCAAGAAAGTGATGGATGCCTCACAATAGAAGTTACTGATCTTTCCCTTTGATTGTGTTTTATCATCTGAATCAAATAAAAGACTTCAATTGATTTTAGCAGTTACCATTCAATGTTCCCTTCACTACCAGCCTCCATTCATCTCGTTCTCCAGTCCATAAAAGGAACATCATGTTCAGTTTGTCTCGATAGAATATGTGAATGATATGCTGGAATTACACTTTTTAGTTATTCAAAATTCAACCCAATTCCTCCTATTCTCACTCACATTATTATCTCCTTCGCTCTCTGATCCTTGACTAACAATATTTCCATTTACAGTATAAATCAAATACTGGGATTTGGACCACATTAAGATGTTGTTGTTACCCACAAATCGGATCTGTGAAACAATACATTTGAAAACAAATAATTTTAGTTTAAAATGTACAGCCTGTAGTTCCATTTGAGTTACAAACGGTTCTGGATCTATTGCTGTGAACTCTCCAGTTACTAACGATGCAACGATAATTTGATTGTTGTTAGTGTATGCTGCAGCAAATTTATCATTTTCCGAAACAGCTAATCCAAAGAAAACTCCATCAATGTTGGGGTTCACAACTCTTGCGATGTCACCTGAAATAATTCGAAGAATTGAAAATTTCCAATGTATCTAGAAACCTGTTGCAACATCCCAGACTATAATCTGTGTTGAGGTGGATACTAGAAGTTTTCTATCCGAAGTCAACTGCATTCCAAAAACTGCAAACTGATGTTCTTCCAAAGAGAATTTCAGTGGCCCTCCAGGAGCATGAAAACAGTGATGGGCGGGAACGAATGCGTTGTGTTGTGGACCTTCTCTATCACATCTGTAATAGATGTTCCTACTTTCTGTTGATGAATACACGTAGACTCACTTGATCAATAATTTGCTCACATGTTTGTTAGTAGCCACAAGTGGAAGAAGTCTTCCGAGAAGTTCGAACGCAAGCATAGACGGATTACGGCTAAAATTTAAAACTATTTTCATTCAAAATAAAATAAGTACCTGAGAATACTTGCTGAAAGTCGCAATGCGTCGACTGCCAATGTCAGTTGTCTCAGTATCTCCACATCTCTGACATTCTGAATCGCATCTTCGTAATCAGCGATCAGAGATTGTAATGGAAAACTTGATACTTTTGCATGAAGAAACTCATAATCGAAAAGACAAAGTGACAGTAGTTCATCAACTCTCCCAGATCTCAATAGATGATACGGTAGCTCACTCAACTTTCTTGTGTTGTATCTATGATTCCCGTCTTTTGATGAGAAGACGTTGGGCTGTTTTGGCACTTTTCTGTCAGCCAGACCTGTAAAAGTTCTATATTATAGAGTTTATGAGCTCCAACAGCACCTTCATTTTCGGTCACTCCAAATCTTTGTTTTTGCATTTCGGTGTACTGATACGGCTTCGGAACTCCACCCCACACACCCAAAAAATATTCAGCCATCGCCGAATGACAAGTTTCCAGATGGTTCACATTTTTGAAATACCTTTCGATTGCAACTTGTCTGAATTGTTGATGGTACCTGAAGCAACTAGTTGAATCTCTCAAGAAATAATTGTAACACACCAGTTGAGGACAATGACGCCATCAGCAGCTCTTTCTGATAAGTATCCAGGAAGATCAGATCTTATTCTACTCCAGAGGAGTGGTGGAATCCTTCTTACTGGCGGAAGATGGTATTGGTAGATATCATCGAGTACCTTATCATCAAGAGATATCAAGTCTTCAACTTCAGAGTCACTGATTCCTGATCTAGCAGCAGAAATGTACGATAAGCATGGGAAACAAGCAGTTTTCCTGAGAAATCCTTTTATCTTATCTTTAAATAAATGAAATTCTCACCATGCTGACTTTCGGTTCTATGAAAAAGGACATTAATACTTTCTTGTAAAGATGAAAATAGAATAGTTTCTTGTGGCCGAGAGTAGGATTTCCACCTAGCCACTGCTGCGAAAATCAGTTTCACAAAAAGCGGAAGAGTACATTTATCCAGAGCCTTGGATACAGTATTCCATTGTCTCTCCGACAGTGTTCTTCCTTTATCCGACAACCACTTTTTGACTACATCATTTCCAAGTTCTTTTCCAAGACTTGGCACTGTTAAATATTGTCGTTTGTCTTCAATTAATCTCAGCATTTTTGAATAAATCAAACTTGCTCCAGGCGTTAACGATGCGAAAAGTTTGACAAATGGAGGGAGAGAAGGTGGAAACCAAAGAAGTTCGTGAGCCCCATCAATTGTTGAAAGAAGATCCAAACTGTCAAATATAATGACTAATGGTCGCTCTCGAGTAGCCAGATATGTGATCTTTTTGAAATGTTGGAAGAGTTTAGAAAGTTCAGTTGGAGCAGAATTGTTAAGAGATTCATCGTAGTTTAGAGCAATCTGAAATTTCTACAAAATGCTCTTTTCGCACAATAAAAAATACCTGATTACAAACACTGGTCAACAATGGAGCAATATTCGAACTATCCGGACTTGTTCCCAGGAACCTCAAAAGTACAACTGGCTCACAAGTATTGTCATACCAGTTCCGGATCTCTTTTGCAATTTTCGCCATGAGTGATGTTTTTCCACACCCGTTCTCTCCTTGCAAAATTATCGGAAGATTCGAGTTTCCTAAAACGTATTGCTTTGCACAATTCAATTGTTCATCTCTTCCAAAGAACATATCGGAAACCGTAGATCCAGTTGTAAGATGTGTAAGAACTTCAGTGAATAACTGATCTCTGTATTTTTCATGTTTGGCCATTGCATTATCAACCATTGTTGTAATACTATTATAGAAATCCGAACAGAATTGACGAATGTATTCTGCATGATACTGAACATCGATTCCATCTCTTCCAACCCATTCTACAGTTGATCTTCTGATATTTTGCATGGCAAGTTTTGCAGGAACACGTTCATCTCTCAGGTTGGCTAGAAGTTTCTGAGCTTCTGAGTTTACCTGAAAAAGTTTTAAGAGTGTTAGATCAATGTACTAATCCTACATGATTGTGAGCGATATCCACAAACTTTGAAGCCGTTTTCATTTGGGACAGAGCAATATTATTGATGTGTCGGATGTAACACAAACAGTGTTCATTTGGATTCTTTGCTTTCAAAATACCATGAACCACTTCTCTTTCTGTCACTGACATGAAATAGTTATGCATGGCTTCATGATCCAACAATCCTTTTTCATAACAACTTCTTGCTCCTTTTCTCAACATTTGCTGCATTTTTGCTTCACATTCCCACCATTGTTTAGCATCTTGTTCTTGAAGTTTCGGAATTCTCTGAAGCAGCTTTAATTTTCAGAAATATATCAAAATACCAAACTCACTTTGTTATTAAAATTGACGAGAATTGAGCTGATTTGCTGAAGTACAAACATGGGCGGTACGGAGTTCGTATCTTCAATATACCAGCTGTCTAGCAAAGAAATATCCTCATGCTCTTCTCGGAGAGTTCGCTTCAACAATTCTAGCTCAGTTGATAGAATTTCAGATGGAATCGGTCGATATCCATATTTCTGACACAAAAACACTACAAAGTTGGCTCCAACTGAAAGCCTTTGACAGTTTGCAATTTCAGAGAGACATAGCTTTGTTGTCATGTGATCATCAGTGGATTCATCTCGAACGCCCCATCTCATGTCGACCACCTGAACATTTCATTGAATTGAAAAAAAAGAATCAGGATCCTGAGTTGTACCTGAAAATCGAGACCGTATGTCTCACGACAATATTCTTTTAGTTTTGGGTAAATGTCCTCCATCAAGGCGTTTCTTTCGACTGTCGTATCCGTGAATGTTGAACTAAATTTGACGAATATATGAGAGATTGACAGAAATAGAACTTCCAAACCTCGTAAAAACTCGAACAAGTTTGCTCTGCGGTTTTGGAAGATTTGCGAATTTCCCAGCAAACACTCGATCAAAAGTGTCTTGGGTGATCGCATCTCTCTGAACAGTTTCATTAAATTTCAACAACTCACAAAATGTGAATTACCTTCTCTGGAACGGCTTTCTGTTCATTGTTTTGATTTAATAAAAGATCCAAACCAGTTGTGCTTTTTGAGTTTCCATTTTGATTCTTTTGAAGATTATGAGGAAGCAAGAGTTTCGATTCGATACTACTTTTCTTGCTGATTCTGGTTAGATGTGAGTTCGAAGTCGATTTAGACCGTTTTTTAATAGCATCTACTTTCGAAATTGAAGATGAATACATATAGTATGAAAAGAAATGTGAAAATCCAGAAGACTAGAATCTGGGTTCTGACTCAAGACTTCCAACTTCCGGTTCCTGTTCCCAACTCCAAAAAATTTCACAGGTGAACGATTTATAGACATTAGTAGGCAGGAGACATGAAAAGAGCAAAATATAAAATCTAGAAGAAAGTGGTCGTCCTATTGCCGGAAATTGTAAAGTTTTTGAGAGGAATCGTGTACGCGGAAGTCCAATCTCTTTCGTGAATTGAAGTGATTTGTTGAACAAGTTGGGATTTGGCAGTGGAATCGTCTGCACGGATAACTATTCCAATACCAGCAGTGTATTGCCAATAATCTGACGACCAGTTGGATGTTCCTGGAATACAAAATGGAAAACATCGAAGAAACAATATATTTACCAATGTATGCAGTGCTTTCAGTAACAAAGTATTTATTATGATAGACTCTGGCGTATGGGATTTTCCCGTACCCCATATCTGGAACCTGAATCATTCGAATTTCAATAGATCCCTTTTTGATACAATTGTCTGAAAATATAGCAGCTAATGAATAATTTCAAATAAACTTCTACCATTCGAATCCCACTTGTAGCACGGTAAATGATCTGAAATATCTTGGAGTGAGTATAAGACTCCGTAAGCTTCCGGATATGTATGAGGCCATAATGAAACCATAAATCGAACATGAACACCTCTTTCAAAGGCAGCTCTTCTGATTGCAGTATCCAGTTCTGGTTTCCATTTGTTATTATTTTTCAAATACTTTGTGGAGGGTGAATAGTCCATCACAGCCAAATGTAGATAATCCTGGGCTTCGTCAATGGTTTTTATCATTGCTACAAGGTCATCTTCTCTACCACAAGCTTGGAATCCCGGTGGAGAAGCCTTTAAGTGGGAAATTTAAAAAAAAAAGAGTTTGGAAATCTAGAACTCACCGAAATGTACATCGCTTGACTACCTGTGGGTTGGTATACACTCATTGGAGTCTGATGGTTAGCTGGAGTGGATACCCTGCTATCCCATTGCTGTGGAATAGTTGCACCAGGTGCGCCCATTGTCCAATAAATCTCGAGAAGATTTTTCAAGTCATTTGCCATACAGGGACAGTTGAATACAGCAATTCCAAGCTCCTTTACATTTGTCAAAGATCTCCAATCGAAATTCGCAGATCCAATGTAAAAGTGTTTTCCATCAACGGACCAAGACTTTGTATGCAGAATACCACCAGGGTACCTAGATATTTTTGAATTAAAATAACCGTTAGAACAACTGACCACTGTGTGAAATCTAAGCTTCTCACTCGAATTCTCCCATTCGATTTTTGTACGAGATTTTCCGTTTCCCAATATCCTCCATTTTCATAAGTTTGTGCAATTCTAACCGAAATATTCCGATCGACAGCAGTAGATAATAATGTGTTGTAGATTTGTTCTCCCTGAAATAATTTTTTTAAGGAGCCAAAAAACAATAATTTCTTACATTGTAGCTTGTATTCGTTGGATCTGTAGTATAACCATCTCCAGTATCGTTCACTAGAAGACTCCAATAGTAGCTGCCAATCAGAATCTCTTGTTGTGCCTCTTCTAAAATGCTAACTTGGTATAGTTTTTTATACCTAAACAAACTCATTAATCTCATCCAACAATCAGTTGTAGAGTTGAATATATTATAACTGGAGTTGAATTGCAAACCGGCAGGAATAGACTCACAGATCACAAATCTAAAAATATGAATTTAAGAAATAAGTATATTTTTAGGAATGCTCACTCGCAAGTCTCGGCGCACTTTGGCATTTCGGGTAATTTACAAGTACTATCCGAAGAAGGGCAATAATTATTAGAGTAGTTATTGTTGACCACATTCCCACCATTGTTTATATTTGGGTTCACAGCAACGAAATACGTCTGATTAGGTTTTATAATTAAAATTACGGAAGAAAGAAAAATACATGCGTTTGGTTTTTAATTAATCTTTCTGGAAACCTAAACTATGAGAAACAGGCAAAAAAGCCTACCGTAAGCCAAATGGCAGTTGTTATGATAACTGCCACAATAGCCACTAAAGAGTGACTCAGTAGTAGTGATCTAGTTTTCATTCTCAACACGTGTAGTACATATAACAGTTTAGAATGAAAATAATTGAATCACTCCAGTGATACGAAATTTCAGATGATAAGGAATGCAACAACGCAGAAAGTGGCAACATTCTACTTTTTATCAAGCACGCACTGATCGTATTAAAGACTTAACAGTGGAGGTTTACTTCTGGAAAGGACTACTGAGGTAAAAGTATATTCTCATGAGACATTTTTTATTCAGTTTCCATTTTCACACTCCAGATGTTCGATCATCATCATTCTCTCAGACTCAAATTAGTTTCCGTTCGTTTTCGGACATCTCTTTTTGCTTCTAGAAGGTTCAAAACTAGCTTCGAGAATATGGACGGGACCGACATATAACAATGGAGGAGGAAGACGAATGGCCGTATCCTGGAAGAAAAGACAACCGAAAATTGCGTTCGAAACGAATCCACACACTCCGAAGAAGTCACAATAATTATTTCGAATTTCGACAATCGTATTATAATAAGCTAGCCCACTGCCTTTTTTCTTTTGTCAAGAAACTACGAAATCGAGAGCGAACGAGACTAGCAAAGTTTGTGTTGTTGTCTCTGATGTGAACTGATTTTCGAAATATCTAATGGCCAAGAACTTATTTTTCTTCTTATCACTTGTATTCTATCTACATGAATCGGGTGCCATATTTTTTCCGCAATTGGGGTTTGGTGAGTTTCAAAGTGTTTTCTTTTCTTCTATCCACATGAATCTAGGATCCATGAACTGTCAATGTCAAAGTTCTTGTAACTCTCCTCCATCACAACTCGGATGTTTATGTCCTCCTCCGATGCCTTGCTATCAACAACCAGCTCAAACTTTTTATACACCACGTGAGTCAATATTTATTTGATTTCACTTTTATCCGAACATGTTCAGCACCTCCACCAGTTATCTACCCTTCCTATCAAAACCAACAACAACCACAGCCATCATCTTCTTATCTGGCGAACATTCCTCCATTTATGCAACAATATGCACAACCTTCTTTTTTCTCAACTCCTCCTCCAATACAAGTACAACAACTTCCACCGGGAACTTCTAGTTTGTAAGTTATATTGAATTGAATTGTTCATTCGAACTCTCAAATTTTGATACTGATCATAAAAAAAAGCGATTTCCTGAAGTCGGTCTTATCAGTGACTGTTTTATTTGTAGTGAGTGTGCTTTCCGTTATTACCTATAAAAATTTGACCAAAGAGGTCAAGTATATCAAGAAACAATTACAAGATTTTATGTGGAGCATAACTTGACCAATTTTTTTCAGAAATTATCCATCAGCATCCCAAATGTTTATCGCTGAACAATCTCTGAAACCTTCATACTCGTTCCCTGGATCCGCAGGACCTCCAGCTTCATCTGATTCTCAAGAAACACTAAATTTACAAGTAGTTTCGTTTCCCATAGCTTGTTTCAATAACATCCTCATATTCAGCCTCCTGCTATTAAGCAGAAAGAAGAAACATTCGAGCGTCCAGTGAGTGAGAAGAATTATGTGAATACTGCAGACAGGCCATTATCAGAGTAGGTTTCAAAGCTTATTAATATGTTTTCTAATCTTTTAAATTTCAGCATTTTCTACGAGACAGGCGCTTCAGAAGATGATAAAGAAGTGAGAGTGTTTATTTATTTTGATGATTTATGATAGAAGTTTTCCAGATAGAGAGAAATCATCTGCCCATTTTGACGAGTACTGAAGCGGTATACAGGAACACGGACACTGCAACAAGAACAAATTCCGAAAGTTCAACTTATCCATCGTCAACAATTGCAGTGACAACAAAGAGATATGAAACTGCTCTTAGTATGTGGCTCTGTACAAAACTTCTGTTTGAACTTCTTTTGTTCAGAACGGGGCGAAGGTAACAGCGATATAAGTCAGTCAGGATACGGCTTTGAAGCAGCTTCCACATCCGAACCGATAATGTTAGAATTCCTGGAACATCCCAGAAAGTATGAGAATCAAAGTCCAAACAACACAGATATCACAGATGTGCCAGATTTCACAAAGGAAGTTGATGCGTTTTATAGTGAGTAGTTTTAACACAGAGGTCTTTGTGAATTTCAGAATTTTGTGAATTTCAGAAAGTTCAACAAGTAGACCAATTGAAACATTTGAGTATGGGGCAGTGAGAGATGCCCGAGATTCATCGGATAAGGAAACATCAACTCCGAAGTTTCCATTTGATAGAGAAGAAGAGGTGTCACCAAAAAGTAAATGGACTAGTAAGAGGAAAACTCGAGAGAAAGAAGATAGTTCCAAGTGCAATAATTCCATTCTCAAGGATTTGATGGAATTGGTTTATTTTTGAAATGTTTTCAGTTCTAAAATATCTTAGTGCTTTCAGAAAATGACTGGATCTCCCTCGATATCAAAACAAATGATCTACTCAGCTGCCACTGAAATGTGGATGGGACGGAACGTGAATGTCATTTGCTCAAAACATTCCTTCTCATATGTCGTCGTGACGTCTCCAATATTCTGCGAACACAGAAAGAAGGCATTGACTTGTTTTGTTTTCTTCCAACCTTGATTGTTTTCTTGTTAGGATGCTCTAATAAATTATTATTATTATTATTGTTTTTTAATAAGAAAAAAAATAATTGGCAAAATATTTATCTTTAATAGTTGTGAGCTGAAGTTTTTACACAGTTGAGATAAGAGATCGTTCCGTAGAAAATGAGAATTGAGGATTTTCAATGCATCGAGAATGAGAGTTAGATGATGAAGTTACACTTCCAGAGTTGAACAATTGACGGTATTCCATTAGACATGGATCCATGGATAACTGGAAAAAAAAGATCCGATTACGAAAAAAATGAAGAAGTGCAAAATTTCGAAAAGAAAATGCCGTTACCTTTCTATCAATCACAAATTTGCTTGGCTCGACAAATCGAGCATTCATTGAAGTGCGTCGAAACTTGACCTCTTTTCTGCTATCTCTCTGACATATATTACACTGAAAAATTAAATAATCGAGACGATAACCTAAATCTAGTGATATGACCTGTCCCAAATCAAAGCAGCAAACACATATACAAACCAGAAGACTGGCAATTGTAAAAATAAGAAATATCACTAAACCAATGGGATAGTGGCAGTTACAGGTCTGTGTGGCAATACTTTCTGATAAACCAATTACAGGAGCGAATGTGGTTGGCATCGCTAAAAATTGTAAAAGTTCGGTCGGAGGACAACATATATCGTGATCTTGATCGAGATGATTTCATCAAAGTAAATAGATGAGATCAGTTAGAAATCTCATGATGATTAAATTCGAAATTGTAACCATACTTGTAATCCGGGCCTTTGCCGGGCCTTCGCGGGCCCTGCCATAATTTCTTTCAGAGTCTATATTTTCGAACCAACTAAATCAGATATGATAGAGCTCCACGAGTACTACAAAACGGTATTATTTGGAATACTGTATCTTATCTATGAACAAAGTTACAGGTCATAAAGTGGCTTTTCTCGCAGGGCCCGGCAGGCCCGGGGCGGGCCTGCTTTTTTTGCTCCTTTTGCTCTGTAACTCTGTTCATAGACATGATATAGTATTCCAAATGATACCGTTTTGTAGTACTCGTGGAGCTTCATCATACCTGATTAAGTTGGTTCGAAAACATTCATTCTGAAAGAAGTTATGATAGGGCCCGCGAAGGCCCAGCAAAGGCCCGGATTACAAGTATTGTAACAAAATGACGATTTTGGGCGAAATGGGCTCATTGCTCAAAAAAAACTTTTCGTTGCCCAAAAAATTGGCAGTGTCATATGACACAATCTGGAGGCGTAATACTAATTTGTTCTAAATGGTCAGTTTGAAAAAATAAACAAAAAAAGATGAAGCAACTGACGGGGACTTCTAATATTCAGTTTACAATTGGTATTCTTCCTCAAAAAAAAATACTTGCTGGTTCTTTTCCAAAAACTGAGTTCCTTGAAGGCTTGGTCCAAAGCAGTGGACCGAGCAGGACGGAACAGAAATTCCAAAATCAGCTCGACCAGCTACAAGTATGAAAAAAAAAATATTTTTCGGAGGAAAATATTATTATTACTATCGTCTGTCTTCTAGTTTAAACAGTTGAACTCAGAATCTAGGTGAAGAAAAAAAGCGAAGACACACAGACACATATATCAGTAATCAAACAGCACGCGCAAAAAAAAGAAGAAATGGGATATGTTTGATTTAACACTCACGATAGATACGCTATATTGGCTGCTGTCATGGAGAGAATAGATAAATGAAGTAACTTGTCTGGGGGTGGGGGGGGGGGGATCATGTGGTAAAGAAACGGGTTTGTTTTGAGGAATGTATGCTGTATTGAGCAACACAAAAAGTACTAACTTCTACAGGGTGCGCCAAAAGTATGGTCACACATTCAAAGTGATGTAACTTTTAAAAAATGACCCGTATAAAAACAAAATTTCAACAATAGTTTACTGAACAATTTCTAAAAATGAAATTATAAAAGTTGTTCGATGATTGCCTTTGTAATTCACAACATCCATGAGTCACTTTGGAAACGCATCTACTGTGGCACGGAGGTATTTTGAGGATAAATTGACCCATTGTTGATCCAAACTTCTTCCCAATGACTTCAAATTGAGATGCGGACGTGGTGGCACTCTCGACTAAACGATTCCATATGCGGAATAGTTCCGCAGATTCATCTCTGGAGACGAGGCTGGTCATTCGCAAGGCATGCTGAATCTTGAAAAGTTGCCCGTGCAACCTGGTTGAACAATATTCGCCTTGTGGGTAGGAGCACAACCCGTCGAACAGTCTAAGCATGGTTTCTAGAACGGGATTCGGTCCACGGAAGCACATACCTCTCAAAAATTTTCTCCTATTAGTTTTCGATGTTCACACCTAAATCTACAAAAAATTGAATTCGGGGATTTTCGCACAAAAAACCATGACGATCTGAGGATATGAAGCTTGGTTCGTCATGTTACCATGCCAATTAGATAGCTCAGATCTCGGGGAAGTAAGTGGTAAAGAAACGGGTTTATTTTGGGGAATGTATGCTCTATTGAGCAACAGAAAAAATACTAACCTCTACATCTTGGAGCCATCGTGCCATGTGAATTGGACCACCTTCGCCAAAAAATAAATAATATGTAGTATGCATTATGGAATCGACGACTGAGAATGGGCGGCCGATATGAGTCCATAAAATGTTTTATGAGGAGTGAAATAAGGAAATATTTTCAGGGAAAGAACGGGAGCTCACATATATTATAGAATCTGTGCTCAGAAAGAACCTGAAGAAATATTTTAAAAAAATCATTTTCTAGTTTCGATTAACAGTATAATCGCCGAGATAATCCTAGGAGAAAAAAAAACGCAAAATCTATGCAACCGAAATTTGTGGTAATCCCTCTTGGTAATCCTTTTTGATTAGCTTTGAGTGACCGGAAAAAACAATATATTTAGTTGCAGATCCTTTATCCGTACCTCGAAATCCAATCCAATCATGAGAGTTCAGCCCGAAAAATAAAGATTCCTTCCTTTTTTCCTCCTCTCAAAACTGTCATTTTCACACATTTATCCAAATTTATACGAATATCTTATACGCTTCTTATACATATGTTATCGTTGAGTTCTTGGAAGTTCTGAACTTAAAGTTCTGTGCATCCTTCAGATTCTCTGAAATTCTCTGCTGAAAAATCTCGTATCATGTCCATCGATATGTATTCATGACCATTTGAATATAGCTAGACATCGTCTCAGCTTCTTTTTTTCCTCTTCGCATCATTATTTTTTTGTCTACTCGTATCCCCTGTGTTGCTCCTGGAGCCCTCCAATTCTTGGCGGTTAGATACCCTCCTCATACATCGTTTTTCTCTCCCAATTGTGTTTCTTTTTTCTCGTTTTGAGAAGAGAAGAGATCATAGCATATTAGGAAGCATGCGCCAAACAAGTACATACATAATTCAGTGCTCTATGGGTTCCAATTGCTTCCAATAGTCTAAGTAAGAGAGGAAATAGGAGGAGGAGACTTATAATAGATGATTCTTTCGTTTTTCTGTCGTCTTGGTGCAATCGGAATAGTTCATTTTCTTTTTTGTTGTTTTACGACGTCAACCATAACAATAATAACAACAATAATAATTTTGATAATGGGATAACAATATCAATAGGCCTCCACTCAAAATGATGTGTAGGGGATGAAGAAGAAGGACGGACAGAGGAGAAAAACCAGAGAAAGAGTGTGAAAATAATTATGTTTTCTTTTTCTGAATGAATACTCTATTGGCTCCTCTTTTCTCTTTATATCTTCCGATTCCGTTTTTTTTGGATATTCTCTTTCGAAGACACAGATTCTTTTTCTTCTTCGCCTACTTTTTTTCTTCCCAGAAGAAGTTGGATTTGAATTCTGATGCACGTGCGAAAAAATGTGTCAGTCAGGGAAAGAGAAAATGTTGTAAATTCGATTTGCGAAGGTGCTTCCGTTCCACCACTTTTTCATAGAGTTTCCTTATGAGCTTTGCACTTGGAAACTGATATTTTTCTACTTTTTGGGAATTCTTGGGAGACAAGTTTACAGTTATACTCGAATTGTATTTTGAATCTGAAACGAATACTCACTAGCCAGTAGTAAGAAAACTGCATCTTCCGATTATTTCATGGTCTGTAAATTCCACTGAATCGAATCCAATCTTACAGCTTTCGCATTTTCTGACTGAAATCGAATCTGAATTTCTCACGTTCCATGTTGGAGCTCCAAGGGCCAGCCTTGGTTACGAATGTCTGACTTTTTTTTCATACTTCCAACGGGTCTGCCGGGCGTTTCAATTTTGAAGGCCGGCCAGTCCGGCACTCGATAGTATTTTTACAAGCATGATTAACCAAACGTGTTATACTAGGAGTTCGGAATTTTGCAGAGATGTTCCGGTTCCGCGCTTTTTTGATTCCAGGTTCCGAATTGCGTTAAATATAAATTTGTCCGGATTCCGGGTGTTTTACGTTCGGGATTAAGTATTCCGGAAAATCATTCGCGCCATCTCTGGAATTTGAATTAAAAATACAGAATTTTTTATACCGGACCTACCGGGCGGCCCTCGCCCGAGTGCGGGATTCCGTGGCATGTATGCTTTTTTTCAAATCATTCTGAATTTCGAAACTCTTAGATTATTATGAATGCGGTTAGTCCAACTCAGCCTCTGGAGGATTTCTGTTTATTATAGAAAATGTATTGTCTAGGTTTTTTCTGGCGTCATTGTTGTTTTTCAGCATTGTTCTGAACTTCATTAATAGTAAGGTTTAAAATAATTCATCGAGTTTTTTTATTTTTAAATTGTTGGAATGATAATTTTCGATAATTCATGAGGATCTAACTTATGACAGATTTTTTTTCGGGTTGATTCAGTTATGCGTAGAATCCAAGGTTACATCGAAAAAAGGCACATTGAGAATACTTAGAGTACTTAGAGTTTATAATTTTGAGCAAAAATATCGGTATAATCAGTAAAAAATTCGTTTTTCCCGTCCCTCCCATATGTACCACAAAATCCCATATATCATTAGAAGCAATGTACCCTAGATGTACCTATGGTGCTGAGCCTTCCAGGTACTATTTTTAGCTAACCTGTAAATTCCAAAAAAGTATCTTATACAGTGCGTTTCAATATTATACGTCCACTCTTGTTTTTGGCCGTAACTTGAGAACCGGTTGAGATATCAATCTAATTTTATTAAAATTGAATTCAGAGCAACAAATTACATCTAGAAAACCATTTTTGAGAAAAAAATATTGAAAACTACTCGAGATACAGAGAAAAATCTGAAAATGTGACATTTGCAACCGTTTCAAAATTATACGTCCACTCTCAGAATCAATGCTAAAATAGAGAATAAAAAATATTTCAATACTTTGTGGATGAACCTTTACCAGCAATGACATCGAAGAGACGATTTGGCATCGATTTGATAAGGTTTTGGATGTATTGGGTGCTCTTAGTCTTGAACTCCTGCTCCAGCAGACTCCACTCAGCAATCAGCGCATCCCGAAGCTCTCCAATACTAGCATACTTCTTTCCATGGCGGTAAAGACGACGAACCAGCTCGCCCCAAACATTTTCCATCGGATTCAGATCTGGAGAGCAAGCTGGCCATGGCAAGACATCGATGTTTTTCGATTGGAACCAGTCCAAAGTGGAGCGGCTGACATGGATTGCAGCATTATCTTGCTGAAAAATGAACTGGCGGCGACTGAATCGACGACGAAACGGGATAAGGTGGTTCTGGAGAACGTCTTGGTAGTCTGTGGAGTTCATTCGACAAGTGGTGAAAGCGAGCTCCAAGTATCCAGCCGAAGCAAATGCTCCCCATACCATCAAACTGCCTCCCCCGAAATTCTTTTGGCAAAAACGGCTGGATCCTTCCGCAAGTCGTGCCAGTACGATTTGAATCCGTCGGGTCCATCAAGATTGAATTTTTTCTCGTCCGAAAAAATTACCTGTAAAAGATAAGATAATTTGGATAGATAATTTTAAATTTAATACCTTATCCCAGTTGGTTCTCATGTTTTTTCGAGCGAAGTCGAGACGGCGAGTTTTGTGATTGTCAGTGAGCTTCGGAGCAGGGCGCATGACTGCTCTTTTGATGTTTGGATCATCCTTAAGAGCCCTCCAGATTGTACACTTGCTCACTCCAAGATTCAGCTCTTTTTTGATATCATTACAAGACTTCATGGTGTTTGAAGCCACACGAACGATTGATCGTTTGGCTCTTGAATTGAGTTTTGGAGGACGTCCAGCCTTGTTGGGTTGATTGTTGCGGGTCCGGTTCGATACAAAACGATTAATGCAATCGTGGGAACGATTTAGATGTTTCGCGATAGCCCTGTTGGTCCAACCAGAGGTTTTGAACGCGTCGATGAAGGCTTTTTCAGCATCAGTGAGCAAATGGCCACGAGACATGTTGAAAAGTGGAGAAAAACAAGGAAAAGCATAATGAAAAAAGTTTCTCACATTGGCAGCAAAAAACAAAACTAAATTCAAGCTTTTCCGGCTCCGCCAAAGGTCAAGATCGACATACCTTTGAAGTGGACGTATAATTTTGAAACGGTTGCAAATGTCACATTTTCAGATTTTTCTCTGTATCTCGAGTAGTTTTCAATATTTTTTCTCAAAAATGGTTTTCTAGATGTAATTTGTTGCTCTGAATTCAATTTTAATAAAATTAGATTGATATCTCAACCGGTTCTCAAGTTACGGCCAAAAACAAGAGTGGACGTATAATATTGAAACGCACTGTACTTGTCGAAATACTAATCAATTTACTTCTTCCGTTTTCCTATTCATCGTTATTCTTTCTTGTCTCCCCCAATTCGTTTTTGCTCTCCGTCCAACAGTCTCCGTTGTTTTCCATCATACGTTCTTTTTTCCTTAATTCTAGTCAAAGTCGTTTTTTTGTGTTACTCCGTTTCGTTTTCTTTCCTTTTTTCCATAACTCAATTCTTAACAAAAGAAAAGCTCAAAGTCATACACTTTGTCGAAAGGATGCCTTTCACAAGATTCGATCAAGTGAATTTTCCAAGAAAAAGAAACGAATTTGAAACGAAAAAGTTCTCTTCAGTGATCCAAGATTCTAGGCCCTCATAGCTATTGGCTTCTGGAAAACAAAAAAAAGAAGAAGCGGAGGAAAATAATTAGCGATATAAAATTCCCCAGATGGGAGAGAGAGAGAGTCAGTTTGGTTTTCTCATCCGTTCACAATAAATATCTGAGAATCTCCCAGTCTTACTTCTAAATGAGGCTCTTCCTCCCATTTTCCCATTTTAGAAAAATAGCAATTTGGTGACGGGAAAACCAAAAAACTTGAAGAAAGCTCTTCTCAGTTTCGTTCTCACGCATCATTGTCTCCCTCTTTTTCCCTTCTCGTCTCCTTCTTTCTCCAACTTTAACATCACCTCTTCTTTTTTTGAAAATGTTTCATTTTTTCTTCATAACCTGTATATCCTCATGCACAAACCCTTCCGCATTCTCTCATCTTTCAGTTTTGCTCAAAAATAAAAAAAGAGGAGAAGTAAAAGAAAAGCGACGCATGGAATCTGTAATCCCATCGTCTTCTTTCCATTCGCAAAGCGGCTCGATTCAACGACCCTAATGGCTCATTAGCCTTGTTATGACTTTCTTTCGTACTACTCGACACACTGTGAGCAGCATCAAATTAACACTTTTTCTCTCGACTGCTTCTGAATATATTTCGCTTCTGGAGGTCGCATCGTCATCATTCTTACACTACTTCTTTCTTCGGATTCACACGTCTTCTTTTGTCACTTGATGAACCGTCGTTTTTATCTTCTACCTCTACTTTTCATTTTATTGTGGGCAGGTGAAGGGTAAGTTTGAAATTTGTTTCATTTTCAAATTCAAAACTTTCTCACAATCAGGAATCAATTAGTGTAGTGAAACAGTTTCAAACAGGAATACCTAAAAATAATATCTCAAAATTTGCAAGCTTCTATACCAGAAAGCTGGGACAAGCACCATTTTAAGATTTCAAATTTTACATCTTGAATCCCACCCTGCTTAGCTATAGATTCTGAAATCCGGAACTCAGACATTACCGTCTGGAACTGAGAATAATTCAAAACGATTTTTGTCCAGTGTGGACTTAAAATTCGAAGGCCAATACATTTCTAGGAAAATCCGTAGAACGCATGTAATAGAATAAAAGGAGTACACTTCGTTTTTTGTTTTTTTTTGGTTGAGTCTCCATGTTTCAAACATTCAATTCAATCCGACCCATTTCGTGCTTTGTTCTATTATCCCGGAAGGATTTGGGTGGTTCTTCTTTCCAAGAAAAAAGACAAAGTTCAAATGTATTTTGAAACCGACGTTTTTGATTTCTGATTCTTTCAGAGAAGGCGATGCTTCCTCAGATACCGAAATCATCAAAAAGCTTGTCGGAAAAGGATACGACTGGAGAGTCCGTCCACCGGGGATCAACTTAACAATTCCTGGGACTCATGGAGCCGTGATTGTGACTGTAAATATGCTAATTAGAAGGTTAGTATCAAATTCAAGGGCGTTCTGAAAAGTTCAGTGTTACAGTATTTCAAAAATTGACGATGTGAATATGGAGTACAGTGTTCAATTGACGTTCCGTGAAGAATGGGTAGATGGACGATTGGCATACGGTCTCCCAGGGGATGATACTCCCCCATTCTTAATTCTGACAGCTGGACAACAGATCTGGATGCCAGATAGTTTTTTCCAGGTGAGAGTTTTTGACTTTCTTTCTTTCTTCCAAATAGGCTCGGAGTACAAAAAACTTCGAGAAGACTTTTTTTATTTCTAACTCATTTGTTTAATTTGTAACACATTGATTTTATAAGTGACTGATAGTCCTGAATCAATAAATTATTATTATTATTATTATTAAGACTACTGAAAGATTTATGACAATCTGTTCAAGTGGGTCATTGAAAAATAAAAAATAGTACAAGAAACAGCTGGCAGTATATTTTTTTCATAGAACACCTTATCCTTTAGTTGTAGTTTCTTGTTGCAACCAGACAAAATGATCCATTTCCAGAACGAAAAACAAGCTCACAAGCATGACATTGACAAACCAAACGTTCTTATTCGCATCCATCGAGATGGCTTGATTCTGTATTCTGTTCGGATTTCAATGGTTCTTTCCTGTCCAATGCATCTGCAATATTATCCAATGGATGTTCAAACATGTCTGATAGATTTGGCTTCTTATGCATACACAACAAATGATATTGAGTATCAATGGAAAAAAGATAAACCTGTTCAGTTAAAAAATGGACTTCATTCATCGCTTCCAAGTTTCCAACTGAACAATGTAACACAGTTCCTGTGATTTGATATGAAATACAAAAGTCTATTTCAGGTTTACACCGATTTATGTACCAGCAAAACGAACACAGGAACTTATTCTTGTTTGAGAACAATTCTGGAGTTGAGAAGACAATTCAGGTAACTATAGGGAATGTGGAATTTCAAAATAATAGGAGAATTTCAGTTATTACCTACTTCAATTATATATTCCGTCTACTATGCTTGTTATCGTATCATGGGTATCTTTCTGGTTGGATCGTGGCGCTGTACCTGCTCGAGTCACTCTTGGAGTCACTACTCTTCTTACCATGACAACTCAGGTGAATTTTTGATGCCACTACAACCAGTCCATATTCTTGAATTTATAGGCGTCTGGCATAAATGCAAAATTGCCTCCCGTATCGTACACAAAAGCGATTGATGTTTGGATTGGAGCATGTCTCACTTTTATTTTTGGTGCTCTTCTCGAGTTTGCATGGGTTACTTACATATCTTCTCGGAGTTTCTACAAACGTAAGCGACCTTATAATCATCTTTTAACTATGACATGCTTTCAGGAAAGAAAATATGCTCGAGTAGGAATTCTTTATTGGTGGAGACCAGACAAGCATTGATAATTCCAAATACAGTAGTTGCCAACTTCACGGAACAACCGACAGATGTAAGTCATTAAATGCTTCATACTTGAGCTCCACTCTTTTTAAGGAAGTTGAAATGGGACTCACTGATGCTCCAGATGTTTGGGTTCGTCATCAGAACAACGGGAAAACAGTAACAGAAGTAAACGGACTGCTAAATCACACAAACGACGGGTCAGGAGAACTCATTATCATTGACTCAAAACACAAAAACCGAAGATATGTTTTGTGGAACAACTTCAAGAACTTGAGATTGGTCAGATGGGCTCGAAGAAGATTGGATGTGGATGATAATGCGAAAAGAGCAGATTTGATATCAAGTGAGGGAATGGAAACGGAAAATGAAATATTCTATAATTTTCAGGAGTTATGTTCCCCACTCTCTTCCTAATTTTCAACTTTATCTACTGGACAAAATACTCGCAGTACCATGTCCCAGCAGCTATTTAAACTTTTATTCATATTAAATTTTTATTAATTATTGCTCCTAAATTCTCTCTTCATAATCATACCTCACCATCCCGTGATCTCTTTTCACTTTCCTCTTTTATTCATTTCTGAAATTGTCCTTTTCATCCTGTAACGATAAAACCATATATTCAGATATATTTATGACTCACAGACAACTCGAGCAAAACAATACACGTAGTGGGAAAAGTAGGGAAACATCTAGAGGAAAAATAAAAAATGAAAACACTGATAACTGACAAATGGCAACATTCAAAGTGGTCAGAAAAGCAAATCCTGGAATTTTCAGTGAGCTAGAGGTAATTGTTTTCACATTCTGTTACCCGTTGACTAGAAAAGTTCTAAAAAATCACAATGCAAAGAAAAGAAAGAAGGAAAAAGGGAAGATTGCATATTGAGAAAGAAAATGGGCGGTTTTGAGAATTGATAGCCATTTGATCCAGTCAAGAAGTAGCAAACGTTCGCATCCAGAATTACAGCCATTCACACCCTGAATGGATATTTTTACATTGGCTTAAAGGGGGACTCCGACCAAAATTTTTATTGCATTAAAATGTGTTAAAATTTATCTATTTTTCGAATATTATCGCAAAAAAATTGGAAAGAAATCAAAAATCCCCGAAAACGCCGTTGAAAATGAAAAAAATTCAAAAAAGGTGACGCCGAGGGACGAGGATTTGAATTCCCGCGCAGTGAGAAACCTAGGCCACGGCGCCTGATAGCATTATTTTCAAGTGACCGACAGCGTTTTTTAACGTTTTTTGTCTGAGATAAAAGCGAAAAAACTCCGGAAAAATTGTCCGGTAAGAAAGCCGCGCCGCTCGCGTGGCCTAGTTTTCTCACTGGAAATCCTCGTCCCTCGGCGGCACCTTTTTTTGAATTTTTTTCCTTTTCATCGGCGTTTTTCGGGGATTTCGGATTTCTTTCGAATTTTTTCGCAATAATATTAGGATAATAGATAACTTTTAACACATTTTAATGCAATAAAAAATTTGACCGGAGTCCCCCTTTAAATGAATTTTGCAAAGACCACTCACCTCCTGTACGTTACTCTCTGTACATGTACATCTTGCCATTTCTCCACAGTGGGCTTTTCGCAGCCTCAATAGCTGGAAAAAATCATATTCAAAATATTTATCAACTCGCCAATATAGCTGAAATGTTATGTGTATTTAACTGGCTAGATTTCTCGGATTCGAAAGAGCCTTCTGGCTGAAACCGTGGAAGCTCTCGAACTTTGCACTTGGAAAACAAGTAACGTAAAATCTATAGTAGAACGGACTTTTAATCTTAAACTTTGAGGCAATCTATCTCGGTTTTTATCAATTATATTGATGAGTTGTCAACTGATAAATAATGCGATTTATGTTCCGGAAGAGTTGAAAGCGATTTGTTTTGCCAGTTGACCACTTTTCGATATCTTTCATTGGAACTGACAAAACAAATTAGTTCAAACTGAACAGCGTGGGTGCCATCCTTTTACAGATTTTACGGTGTATTTTTGAGTCCATATCCTCCTAAAACTCACATTTATGAGTAACTTGTTGAAACGACTGCATGCTACAGTAACATCTCGTTCAGGAGAAATATGCCCAATAACTGTTGAAATCTCAAGAATGTATCCTTGCTCTTCTTGTTGCTCATCCTGGCTCATTTTGTTTTTGCATTTTGACAAGTTGTTACCATAACATTGTTGATCACAGAGCTGAAATTGTAATTGAGACATCCAATTCAGATTTCCACTTACCTCTCTACCGTATCCTCGATAAGCTAGAAAAACATGCATGGGCAACTTTTTTCCAAAAACCATATGGTATTGAACAGAAGCGATCTATAAATTTTTTTTTCAATTTCTGATTCCTTCGAAATCTGGTTCAAATTACTTACATTCGCCGCTTGCTGGTCTGAGCATCCGGGACGAATGAAACAAGATGAAAATTTTCGGACATCGTGACAAATTTGAATTTGTCGTACACCTAATTAATTTATTATGATTCTGTGGTTTCAAGTGGATGAAAACTTACGTTTCTTCTTATCCATTGGTTTACCATCTGGTGCTATTGTAGTTTCGTTCTGATTTACTACAGGAACATCCCGTTTGTGGAATATGGGTGGATGAATTGCTGACTGAATGGATATACTTGTGATTTGGTTTAAAAATGATCTACGAACACAACATTGAATTTATCTCATAGGAGAAGTTCGAACTTTAAGAGGTACATGCAAAATTTTTGGAGTTTTTGAAAGCATGTTTCGAAGTTTGAAGACAACAAAAAGAAGGATAAGGCGGAGCTGTTGCTTCGTTTTCTTTTACGTGGGCGGCCTAACAATGAGAAAGTCCGAAAAGTCAAGACAAGACTTACAATTAAATTGGTTAGAATTTTGATAGGAAGGGAAAGAGAGAATGAAAGCTATCAGGATACGAGGAAAAGTAAGAATTAAAGGAACACTATGATCATCAACTAACTCGACGAATACTCCGATTGAATTGCATGAATTGTGTTGATAGAAATTCCTGTATTTTGTTTTTTTTTCAGGTTTTTTTCAGGTGAATATTCCGAGTAACGGAATTCAAAAAAATTCCTAGAATCCGGAATTTGGACTCCGGACATCTCTGGTATAAAACAAAATGAATTTTCACAAATGTTTTTTTAAATAAAAATAAATTTTTTGTCAGTTCAGAACCGAATTCAAATACCGTAAACACTCTAACAGCGTGCCACACGAACTTTCCACTTTGAGCCTATATATCTCATTCCCTCTAGAAGATGTCAAAATGTGGTCAACTGATAAAATGTTCATAATAATATTAAAAAAATTTTGTCAGTTAACCACTTTTTGATATATTTTACAGGAACCGAGATACATGAGCTCGAAAATGTGGATTTGAGATGTTGCAGTGTTCACCGTAGTTGCGTTATGGAAATCTTACCAAAAATGCTTCCCGAAAACAGTTCTCCAATTCCAGCTCATAACATCGTTGTGGCTCGTCGTCATTCGATAGTAGAAATGGATGGACGACTAGAAATAATGAGCCGAAAGATATCAGCACACTGAGCATAGTCATCCAGTAGCCATATACTGAAATTGATATGTTTCATTTTTTAGGAAAAAGAAGAAGAAGAAGAAGGCGGAGAAAAAGTGAAGTGGGGAAAGACATGAGGAAAGCTCGGAGGTTATCAATCTTTTGAGGGACGGGTAAGAGAAATTGAGAGTCTGCGGGGATTCATGGATATATTGAAAAAAGAATATAGTTTAAAACGGCAATTTATATTTCAAAATTTTGAGAATTCTCAGATTTGAAGATCTTATAATAGCCACGCTAGGAATTGAAAAATCAAACGATAAACTTTATAAGATCATATATTTCTAGTTTTGAGTGCAGTTGTGGGTCAGGACAGGATGAAAAAAAAAGAAGCGAGAGAAAAAAGATAAATTCAAACACAAACCAAATTTGAATAGAGGGAGAGAGAGAGAAGTCGATGCGTTTATGGGGCATCTTCTTCCACGTAGTTCTTCATTTTCCGGAGGGACCAAACTATTTCTCTCTCTCTGGACCTCAGTTATCTTCCCTTTTCAGACCCACTTTTCCCTTTTTTCTTTTTTTTTGCACAGACTGATCTTCATCGATAAAAGGATCGAAAAAAAAGGAGGAGGAAAGTAGAAGTAAAATGTGGAGTAAAAAGAAAAAAGATGAGGATATGGGAATTTGAGCCATGGAAAAGAAAAAAAGGGGTCTTCACTTTAGGCATCTCTCGATGTTTATATCATCTACTTTCGAAAATGTCTCATCCATTTTACTTTTTTGTTTTTTGTCTGTCTTCTGACGATGTACAACATCTTTGAGAATTTCGTTGACATGTTCCAGAATTTTCAGATTTGTTTTTGAGTTTCTTTTATCGTTGTCAGCAACGTCTTCTGAAAATATAAGAAACTTCTAAATTCAAGAATCATCGTATCCTCCCAAAAACGCCTACATATAAAACCAAACGGGATAAGCTGTCAAAAATTTGCAGTTGAATGTTTGAATTTGATGTGCTAAACTCGAGATCTCGCATTCACATCTGCTCATGGGGGCATCAATTTTGCGGAACTTGTCCGTGCCATGTGGTAGTTTTTTTCCCGATGATTTTAAGATTGTCCACGGGAGATATTTATGTTCAGGAAGAGTTGAAAGCGATATTCACAAATTTTGAGTGGAAGAAACTATGTCAAATTTGAGCCCATATATCTCCTTACCGGTAAAAGATTAAATTATGTTCAACTGATAAAATGTTTATCATAATTTGAAAATTGTTTTGTAGCTTACCACTTTTGATATCTTTTCCAGGGAATGAGATATATGGGCTCAAAGTTGAGAGCTTTGGTGGGTGGCACTCTATTAGAGTGTTTAAGGTTTTTTTTTTTTTTTAATTAAGTGGTGTACAGGGTGGGGATTAATTATTGCGCCGATTTCAAGAACATGTAAAAACTTCAAATCAAAAGATTTTTTAACGAAATGCAGCCAAGATGTTCAATAAGAAATAACAAAAAAGATGGCATTAACAGTTTTTGAGCTTTCCTCCGTTAGCTTCGATAACAGCTCAAAGTCTCTTCAAGAAGGAGTCTACTACAGCACAGGAGTAGCTGACTTCCAAATTGTCCCATGCCGCGGCCAAGGATCTAATCAGGGCTTCCAAATTAGGATAATTTTTTGTGACTTATTGGGTCCAATATTCGCATAACGAAAAATACATGGGATTGAGTACCGGACTGGAAGCTGGCCATTGATCTATAGTGGTAAAAACCCGGAAATTGGCTTGGCACCGCTGCTGAGTGAGATTTGTAGTGTGGGCAGGTACACTGTCATGTTGGAGTGTCCAATTGGCGTTCACAAGACGTGATTGGGACCACAGCAGTACCTCCTACTTCAAAAACGGGTCGATGTAGTATTCTTCATGGTTTTTGTCTCCAAAATCGACACAATTTCACCATCTGAGCATTTCTCACCAAATACGATCACCACGGCCGAGTGGGATGCCTTATTTTGGATTTTCCATCTTCTTCATGCACTCTAATGATCGATAAACATGATGCGGGTGTTCTGACCGTTTTTGTTCTCCTCAACTGTGGGCAACTTTTCATCTTCGACACCGGCCCTCACGTCCGTGCCGTGCGCGTGCCTCAAAGAAGATATTTGGATTTTTCAGTTGTAACCCCTTGTTACGGTCCGTTAGGAAGGCGTCTTTTTGTATTCGATACGGAATCATATAGAACTTGTTCCGGACAATATTTCTCATAGATTTGGGACAGATTCTGAACTACGACGCCATCTTTCTGATGCTCCTATCGGGATTCCACCTGATTTTCTCTCTTACGGCTTTGACGACTTCAGGAGTCGTCACAGTCACCAGACGGCCGCTTCTTCTCATATCCTTCAAAGTTCTCAACATTCTGAATCGAACGAGTGTTCGATTGACTACTGATTTCACAAAACCAAGTTTTAGCGATCCCCCAAAGTTCGGATCCCGTTTTTGATCCTTCCATACTAGGAGTGCGGAATAGAACAGCAGCCACCTTTACCTTCAAAGTTGACATAATTGACTGAAACTCTCAGAAATAGTTCAAAACGAGATAGTGATTCTGAAAAATAGTTATGTGTGCAATGTAGACCGTTCTGCAGGCGCCAGAGCGTGCTCAAAGTTTCGGCGCAATAATTAATCCCCACCCTGTATACCAGTTAAAATACTAAAGCTAGAGATGATAGATTGATAAAGACAAAAACCATAGAATACAATATAATACCTATTCAGCTACACACAATGGCTATATAACCCTATCGAGTTGTTTTTAAAGAGAGATATGTCATTTGGGAGTTGATCCTGAGCATAACAAGAAATGGATCAACACCGCCCAAAAATCTTCTAAAATCAATATGAAATCCTGAGCAAAAAGCAACTAGAATTCCGTTTGAAACAAGGAACATCTGCTAACCATTTCCCTCCGTCTATTCTACTTACACATTATCTACAACCGATGTATGGAACACATAAATTATCATGTCAAAGAGGATAGTTAATTGAGGAGAGAAAGGAGGAACCGAGGATGCTTGATTCTTTCCGGCGTATTCTTTTTTTGAAGAAAGAGAATAAAGACAAGTTCAGTTGGGTAGACACACAGAAGGATAGTAACGAAAATGAATGAAAAATTTTCGCTAATCTAGAGAAGGAGTCACACATCATGTAACCTAGATTAACGGACGGGCAAAATGAGAAGATGTGGAGGAAAAGAGAAGAAAAAGCAAGTAATTTGAATTTGTCAATGACAAGAAAACGACGTGTGAAAACGAGAAGCTCCGAGGACTTTCATCTAAATAAGGTACTATTTTGACATGTTCCATTTTCGGGTGGCAATGAAATTGGATAGGAACGAGAGTTCGAGGGAAATATCATTGAGAATCTATCTGGGAATACATTGTCTTCTAAAAAAGGACAAGAGTAAACTTGAGGGTTTCCGTTCCCGGCGAAAATAGAAAGCAAAAGAAAGCGTTTAGGATTAGCGAGGGACCCGAGTCATTCATCATCAAAAACGATTGCCGTTAGGATTCAAAAAAAGGTTCTCATACAGTATCCACCCGGCGATTTTTTCGGAATTTCATGTGAATGTGTTCGAACGCTCATCTTGTATTCATAACTTTTGAAGATTCAAAAATCCGATATCAGTGGAGTTAGTTTTAATTTTCAAAAAATAAACCTGGTGACCAGTAATTGTGTATTATTTTGTCTAAAGTAACAATTTTAAAAATTGCAAAAGAGGGAGAGGGAGAGTTGTTGTACCAGCACAAAAACGAAGCTTCAAGTCAACTCCGTAAAAACAAAAATATGCCCCTGACTCTCGCTTGCTCGGCTTGTGCTCCGCGGCATACACGGCCACTTGAAAATAACCGCCGTCTGATTTTGAAAAATTAGCATCATTCCCCAGGGATAATCATTCAGATGGCGTCTTTATCTTAACACTTCGTACAATTGTCAAAACGAGGAAAAGAGGAGGAGCAGAAATGAATGGGCGCTAGAAATTGTGTCAACTCGTTTTTCTTTTTTTTTCAAACTCTAAACTAAACTATTACATTTTAAGTAGGGGTCCACGGCACAAACAAAAACTAGAAGACAAAAAAAAACAAAAAAAGGAGGTCGTGCATTCTCGGCATTTCCAAAAAAGATGCCTGACTAGTTGACAATTGCCTCTGTAAGCATGTATGCGGTAGACGCCGGAAGTTGTTCCGTGTGCACTATACAAGGCGTCGACACTCATAATGTCTTCTGGCACTCATTCGAATCCCCCTACTACACTTTCTCTATTCCGCTGTTCCACTATTTCGTATGTCAGATGGATCTGATGGATTCAAACTGAAGCTTGCCTTGCCTTTTTTGAATTCAGAAAACATGCCAATTCAACGAGAAGGTTCGTAATGCAAGCTGAAGGATTTTGCTGTAGCTTTCAGGTGTACGCCATAGTTTGTTTTTTCTAGGAAGAATAATTTTCGAATTAAAAGAATAGAGAACTACTGCAACCAATAGAGAATCCAGTTGAAACTTCAACATTACTCTGGAACTAAACGTACTAAATGGAGTTCTGGCTGCAGAAATTTAAATAAATATCAGTGTCAGATTACATGTTTGCTAACCAATCTCATAGTTGGTTTAGACGTGAGGGGGAGTAGAAGATTACTCTCAGTTTTCAGGAAGGCTCTACAAACGATTTGCAAAAGAGATGCAAAACACAAAGAAACCTTTTTTGAGGATTTCTCGCAAAGATATAGACGTCATTTTCAAAGATTGGGTCATTCGCTCTCGTCGAGTCATTCATAGAATCTCAAGAATTAATAAATGTGGGAGAAGAGGTGTATTATGCTTGTATGAAAAATCGGAGCTGTAGAAGTGAAACGCCGGTGGTCATGTCCGAGGGTCCCACAACGAAAACTACCGTAATCTAACATTTGTTCATTTTCTCGTTTTTCACTGATTTTCGACGAGTTTCTGATGGTACCAGGAATGGGAACTATTACACTTGAGAACTGATACAAATAAGTCGGATAATGAGCACTGGTTAAAAGAAAACTGCTACAAGCGAAAACTGCACAAATTTAAAACGCGCTTAACGGCTCTAATACGTAGATCAGAATCCAACCTTTTTGGAACAATTGTTTGGAAACGATCTCGTTCTTCCTAATATTCTTTCAAAAACATTTTTTGACCTGTAGTTGGCTAACTTTTTCACTTCTCATCTGTAGCAATTATCATTTGAAAGTTTTTGATAGTCAGAAAATTACCCAAAAACGTACGATTTCGATAAAATGAAAATGTTTTTGGCTTACTGTAATTGTCGTTGTAGGACCTTTTTCTCGATTTTCGTGCGTTTTCGGACAACTTTTCCTTTCCGAAAGTTTTATATTTTCCTTCTTTTTTGGTGAAAAGGGGCAGAAAACTCGACGAAAAGCAGTGAAAATGAGAAAATACATACGGTAACTGAAAATATTTTGAGGTTAAGGTAGTTGTCGTTGTGGTACCTTTGGATACGAACACATATGTTTCTCTTCAATAGCTTCGACTTTTCGTACCAAAAAAAATAGGTGCACTCGATCCGTTTTCTGAATAAAATGCCCAGATTTATAATTTTTTATCAGAAGCAAAGAATCCCTTTAATGTAACTTAACGATTGCAAACAAAAATTAAAAAAATGGCAAAACTTTATTCAGGTCAGACAAAGCTCAACAAAAATTGCAACACAAATTGAGTTTGCCATGGAAGTGATGCTCCTCCGGAATCTGTAAAAAATCTCTTCAGTTTTCACGTTGACTCGCGGAAAACTACAAAGATTTCTTACCTGATAATGAAGAGACATCTAACAAAATATGAAGGTCATAACTGGGGGAACATACGAATGTTGAGAACTCCGGTGTCTACTGGGCTCTTTTATAGACACCTACCTATATCGTTTTGTTTGTATGCACTACTTTGACACTTGCGCGTCAATCGAAATGGTCACGGGGAGAACTGTCACTTTTGACGACATTTGACCGACAGGCGGGACTGATTTGTGTTCCTGCAGAAACACAAATCAATAAGAGAGATCATCCAAATTTCTCATATCCACCTGATTTGAGTGTTTTGAAAGCTCTCAATACAATGTCTACCTATACAACTTTATTCTTTAAAACCATACAGAAAATGCGTTAAAACAAAACAAGAGGAAACGAAAGTTCGCTATCAATCTAACTACAATCTACAATAAATATACTATTTGACTTCCAAAACCCTTTCGAGATTGGAAATCAGTTCAGTGAGACGAGAATTGCTGCTTCGTGCAGTCGAGTTCGGGATGCTTCGTTGCAATAATCCTTTATCCTTCAAGATGCGAAGACCATTTTTGAAAGAGTCCGAATTGATAGATTCAACTACAAAAAAAGTATATGAACAATTTTGTGACCCACAGTAACTTACGAAGTGGTGAGAATGGGAGACTGATTTTTCCGGCAAGAGACTCTTGGCACAATTGACGAATGATATTATTATCAGATGTTGGTTCAGTAGAACATCTTTCAGAAGAGACAAATGACGAAACGAGATACAATGATTGGATGAATGGTCGGACAAGATTGGCAAAGAATTGGAGAGCCTCACGAGATTTCGAATCGCGAACCTGTAAATAATGACAAAAAATTAAATGACAACCCGAAAAAATACCCGTACTGTTCCGCCAATTTGGAAATCACCAGCGTCCAGGAAGCCGTCTTCTTCGATAGTTTCAGAGGTGAGATAGCCACGGATCGGGTGTGACCAGTCCTTGCTGCTCAGAACATTGTGAACAAGTTCGCGTAGACTGTCGCATGGCTGTAATTCCATCCAATTGCTGATTTGTAAATAATAAGAATTACTTACTCGGCAGAATAGGAACTCAAATTGTAACCAGTCACAGAGTGAAAGCGTATCTTCTACAATTTCATCAAATAGTAGTGTCGCATTTGGAGAACGAGACACAATAGTATAGCTGGAAAGGATAAATTATGAGAAAATTCTAGATAAAGACAACATATCCTGGAACTGAAACTCTGGGCGACGAAATATCAGTAGGAAAAAGATTACATAAGGGTCCCCAGAAACCTTATGTGATGTTTCTAGTTTTTCAAAAAATATCAAATCACATAAGGGTGGACCCTTCGCTCGCAAAAAGTTTTCCATTATCTCACTAGGAAAATTCTTGAGAAAAAAATTGATTTTTACTTGGTTTTTTTCTGCGAAATGTTTAGACCTTTATAGGTTTTTCAGCTATTTTTGATGTGTCATTTTCGATTTTTCCGAATTTTTTGTCTGAAACTTGACAGGATGGTGTTCGCGAAGATTACTGTAGATTAATGTAGAAAACCTTCCATTTTGTAGTTTTTTTGCAAACACAATCAGGCCATAAATAATACAGACAAGAAAATGCAAAAAAAAAAACTACTGAAAAATTCGAGTTTTACAGTAATCTACAGTAATCTGCACGAATACCGCTCCATCGAATTTCAAACAAAAAACCCGGAAAAATCGAGAGGAATAGCTGAAAAACCTGAAAAGGTCTAAAAATGTTGCTAAATTCTAATAAAAATTGGATTTTTTCTCGAAAAATTGCTAATCCGGATTTTTGGCGGGAATTCGAAAAAAAAAGAAAACATTCCAGAAGTTTCCAGAAATGGAAGAGAAGCGATTTTTCGAGTTTTTACCAATTTTTAAACGTTTTTTTTCTAGGCCTTTACCGCTCGTTTCAGGGCTTGTAAGGACACACTAACCGATGACTGATTTGATTGAGAATCTGCAAATAACAGAATTCTTATTGTAAGCGAGTTGAATGAATGAACTATGCGATTCTCGCGGAGCAACGTATTCATCAGTCACTTTCAAACACGATTTGAGCTTTTCGAATGCATAGTCTGCCAGGTCTTTCCCTTTCGTCTTTTTGGATTGATAACCAACGACATCGCCACCTTCTGATATGATATTCTCACAAAGCCATTCACAGTCCCGTTCAAATGTACTTCTAGAGACTTTCTCTCTCCATTTAGCAAGCGCCAGACAGGAAACCACGGCTACTGGTGAGATCGAGCACATCATCTGAGCTTCTAAAAAACACAAAAACTGTACAATGATCACGGTTTATATGATAACAAACCGTAGACAACATGGAATCCAATAGCACGAATCATCGTACGATCATCAACTGTCTCCGAGTGTGTACGGTGCCAAGGTACAAGTTCTCGATAAGAAAACGAGGAGGCCAATTTGGTCATTCGAACAGGTCGTGTGCGATGGCTAGACAATGAAGCTGTGATTGTAGCAAGGTATTCCTGAACACATAGAAAGTACGTGAGTAAGATTCGAAAGAAAACGAACAGTTAGGAGAATTGGCCGTCCATAGTGCATTCTCACGACACCACATTGTTTCGACTGTCGGAATCCACTGAAAATGGCACGGAAGACACCAATAACTGACTCCCGAACTTTTGGTATTCCCATTAACTCGTGAAGGAAAATTCCCTCGACTACTGCATCATATGTATATGAAACTGGGACCAAGTAGCAATCTTTTATGAACCCTGAAATCAAACGGCTTGTGAGACTCAGTTGAACTAAAATAACTACCGTGCTGAACTGCCTCCACTACATTTGAAATCAACCCGTTTTTCGGAGTGAGCACTTTTCCGAATCGACTTCTCGTCCCTTCTAGAAAGAATTCGATCGGCATATTTTTTTCGAGAACCTGCTCGATGTAAGAATGTAGAATTGCCCGATACAACTGATCTTTCCCTCTCTCATCATCGGGATCCACACGACGACGAATGAAGAAAGCGCCTGTAGCTCGAAGAAGCCAACCGAGTCCAGAGAGGTTGAGATTGTCCCCGGAAGCAATGTGAGGTAGTTTCAAACCGAAATGCCAGTTACACCATGTTATCAGGAGATAGTCGAGGTGACTTCTGTGTAGAGGTAGATATACAATTGGAATGCCTGTCTATGAAAAGAGCATGATTAGTCAGTTTGTTCCCGAACACTTGAAATCACCTGTTCCGCTTGTTTCAACTGATTCATTTCTTCTTTACAAACAAGAAGTTTGTCCATCAACCTCCGAAATACTTTGTACAGAATATATGCGCAGCACCTGCATATGACTTTCGATAAGCGAGCACTGATTTCTGTGAAAAATTGAACTGCTCTATTTTTCTGCTCATCGTTCTGCTCTTTCAGTCTTGAGATTACTTTGTGAACACGTTTTGAAGATAAAACCTCCTTCTCAACCAGTGGATAGTCATGGGACAATGGAAGAGACCAAGAGTATCTGGAATAACATTTTAAGCAAAATTCTTACTTTTAGAATCTGACCTAAAATCTGCTAAAAATCTTCTAGGCTTTCTGGATGAATCGATGACTGGATAAGGAATCCCATTGAACTGGAAAAACACAGATTTTCTATATTCTAGACAGATGATCTCACGTTGGAGAATTCGAGTAAATCAACATATTTTTCACGAATCGGGACGACTTCATCCATCATCGGAAAGCATGTTTCACAGTGACTTCTCAACTGGGATATACTTGACGATTCGACATCCAGATCCATCGGTCTGGCCGACTATTCGGTCTGGAAAACAATGTAAATGATGTTTTAAAAAATGAGCGCGGAATGAAGTTTAGAAGAAAGTACAATGGTAAAGAATTCGTTTTCTAGCACTATATAGTCTATTGTGAAACTTCTGTTATCAACCTGTCAAAAAACACCCAGATAAGCCGTAAAATGAATACAATGTGGCGGAAAATTGAGAAAAAAGAAAATTTTGCATCTGGTGCGATAGGGCGCACATGCTACGGTTTTTCCGCGCGAATTCAAAAAAGAGTATTTTAGTTTTTGACCAGACGATTTGAGTGTAGGAGACCGAAAAAAAAGCAAAATTCGTGAAATATGTGAACTTTTTGAGGTGAAAATTGAAAAAAAGAAATCTGAAATTATGTTAAACATGGACTTCTTTCAAATTCTTCGAAAACACACATATTTTGGCCGGAACTAGTTTTTCTTTGTCTTTGCTGAATTTTCTTAAATTTTATTGAAAAAAAAGTGTTTTATTTTTATTGTAAATCGTAGCTGTGGAATAGAAACGCTGTGAATGTGGCCAACGGTTCCCGTAATGAAAACTACCGTAACCTAAAATTCTCGGTCTTTTGTTCTCGATTACTTTTGCTTTTCAATAAGTTTTGTGTTGAAAACCTCTAGACAAGTATGAAAATAAAACTTTCTAAACCTTTAAAATTTCCGGAAGGCGGACGGAAATCGAGGGAAAAAAATTGTTAATTACGGTAGTTCTGAAGTGGCCGCGGCCGCGGTCACCTGTTTTTCTCTTCCAAAACTCCGATTTTTGAATACCAGCACAACATCTAAACTCGTATATTTTTTCTGCAAGTTTTCGAAAGTTTCTGCACAGCTGAAAAACAATCTGGTTAATCGAAAAATCAAAAAAATGAATTCGTTTGGATTGTCACTCTATTAGAAAAGATTTACTGTGTGTTTTTTATAGTTCATTGACTTTATTGAATAAAAATACAATGATTTATAAGACATATAAACAATTGGTGAAGTTATACTTCCTTTTGGCTGAGTGGATTATATTCGGCTACTTCGATCTTCTGGACAGATGTGACGATCTAAAATTTGAGTTTATAAATACTTTTTACAAACTTTTCCATTCGTACTCTAGAAGTGAAATCGTAGTCTCCCGGAGTCTCGAAATAATCTCCATCGGCGTAGTATTCCTCATCACGAACTTGATCCCAAATCTTCAATTTCAAGAGGAGCCCGGTAATGTATCCAGAAACTGAGGATGCCAAAAATACGAGACCGATAGCCATAAGTTGGTTGAGAGCTTGAGTCTTTTCATCGAACATTCTCTTTCCATCTTCGCTACGAGCCATTCCAGGGTAGATCTTGTCGTATCTGAAGCTCAATATTTGTTATCTGTTCCAGTGGATAGGATACTTACTGAGCTGGGTATTGAGACTCGTCGTAGATGAATAAGAAAGCAATGGAAGCAAATCCAGCAATAAGTCCAGGCATTCCGTGAAGATTGTTGACTCCGCAAGTATCATGGATTCCGAGTTTCTCGGACAGGAATGGCTGAAATGAGATGCGTTCAGGAGGGAACTTTAAAATTATGACCGTACAGTAATGTATTTGTATCCAATGACTGAGACAGCTCCAGCGATAACTCCAACAATCATAGCGTGGAATGGCTCAAGAACAACATTGGCTGTGGTTCCAATGGCAACTCCTCCCGCAAGAGTCGAATTGGCAATGTGGACCATATCGAAACGCTTCTGAAACAATAATTTAGATCCATGAAATATTTATTTTCGGACTTACATGTTTGTCGACAGCTTGAGAAACCAAGAAAGTTGTCATCGTACAGGCACACAAAGATAGGAAAGTGTTGGCAACAGCTCTTTGACGTGCATCATCAGTAGCAGCGACGGCAGCGTTGAACGATGGCCAATAGATCCAGAGGAAGATAGCTCCGATCATAGCGAAGATGTCAGTGTGATAGGTGGATCCCTCGTTTTGATGTCCACGTTGTTCCTTCTTTCCGAATCCTTTAGCGCAAGCAAGTCCGAAGTAGGCTCCGAAGGCATGCACAATGATGGATCCTCCGACGTCGTTGATCTGAAATAGGATTCTGAGGTAGACTAGAGAGGGAATCTGATTATTTTACCTGAAGATTGTGGACACAGATATGTTCGACGATGAGAGAAACTGGAGTTTCGAAGAAGGCCATAATGACGTATTGGGTAGGAGATAGTTTTCCAAGCATAGCTCCCATTGAGATCAGAATAACAGCAGCGGCGAAATCAGCAGTGAGAAGTTGTTCCAAAGAGATTGTGAATTTAAATCCATGAGGAGCAGAAGCCATTCCACGAACAATGATTCCCCATTGAATGGTGAATACAGCCAAGAGCATGTTGATAGAAACAGCCGAGAATCCATATCTTTTGAGGAAGGTCATCAAAAATCCGAAACCAATGAAGATCATAACATGAGTGTCTTGGAAAAGAGGATAGAGATTCGTCATTCTGGTGGCCTCCTCCACATCTTTGCCATTACTTGGAAGAGCACTTGGAGCATAACTTCCAAATAGAGCAAATGTAACCAGGAATGCTGCCTGAAATGATTGTTTTGAAAAATGTAACAAAAGGTATCTGAATACCTGGAAAAGTCCCAATATCAATGTGAGCTGATTTTGATGAAGAGGCGACCTCATTTCGGTAGAAGTACTGAAAGATAGGTGATGAGAAGTCACGTGATTTTATTTTCGATTTTATGGCTTCACGGTTTTCCGACGAAAGATAAAAATGTTGCCAAAAAGATAGTAAAAAACGGACTGTCAAAAGGCAACCAAAAGAAAGAATAAACATTTAGTGCGTACTTAAAAATAGGAAGTTGTAGTTCAGAAAGTTTTCATTGATATCGGTGGTCTGTGGGCTGGAGGTCTTTAAAAGATACTGTAGCAATATTGTGATGTCTGAACTTGTGGAGAGTAATTTGGAATATTTAAGACCTTTCAAAAATCCTAATACTTTAATTTGCGAACGAATCATTTATTGACTTTTTAAATACTACTTTGAACTTTTGATGTTTGTAGCCAAATTGGTCTTAAACAGAACGATGAAAGTTTCTAAAGAACGAAAACTATCTAATAAAACTGTACTTGGTTTTATAAACAATTTCTTTTTCAGATCCAATAATTTGAAAAGCTTTGTGCAGAAGATGAAAACTTTTTCAATATATGAAAAAGCATGAAGCTTCTATTCTTTCTTATTGACAGTTTTTTTTCAATCAAAAAACAATATGCAACTGATAACATTTTATATTATTGAGGGAAGCATTCGCGTTTTTATTTTTTTTTTATTGAATCGAAGTTAGAGACAGAGTTTGAAACATATTTATAAAATATGATGGGCAGTGAAGACTGAAATGGTAATAAAGGTAATAAGGTACATCCTTGGTAAATATAAAAAGAACAAAAGGGCGGGTCTATTTTCCCCAAAGATCATACCCCGAGGCGTGACGATTGACATTCTTTTGGAAGTTTTTTTTCTTAGATTCAGAAATTAGAAAAAAAAGCGTTTCGGATCTAGAGAGAGTGCTTTGAAGGTTAAAACATATGATGGAACTGATTCGAATCTGAAGTATTGCGTTTAATCAAACGGCAACTTTCGAAGATGTTATCTTGAAATTAGCACGAGGTTCAGTTTTCGAGAAACCATTCGTTTACTTCTACAGGTAAAGTAAATTTGGTTCAAATTTTATGGACATTATGGGCAAATAGATTCATGGGCAGATAGCAAACATTTTCAAGATGGAGTGAAATTTGAGAGAAACAGGAATCACTAGGAAAACGTTTCTTTGAAATGTCGACTAACTACAAACTAGAAAAAATCAGGCTCATCGTTTTTGAAATACTACACTCATTCAAAATTCAATATGTAGATTAAGCTGGAGATTCGAATTAGATCCATTGTGAAAGTTTACATTTATTTTTTTGTTTTGAAAAATTGTTAAAAGAACGAAATCTGAAGAGCGTTCACCAGAATATCCATTACATACATTTTATAATGGATCTTCCCTTATCGACTCATAAAAAGTTTCAACTTCCGTAGAATCTGTAATTGAAGAGCCCATAACTTTTAAATTTGAGCCAATTTTTCACCTTTTCTATATAAATAGTTGTCAACTGTTGGATCGATTATCATAATATTACAAACATTTTATGAGTGGACACATTTTTGATATTTTGTATAAATTAGCTCAAACTTGAAAGTATGGTGGCCTTCTGTTACAGGTTTTGCGGCATGTATATTATTAGAAAATCCTTACACTTCAAAGATTACGAGTGCATCAAATACTGAAAGTGAAAGTATACATATTTAAGTCAAACAGATTTTTAAAAAATCTCAAACCGAATTCATTATTGAAACAATAAGAAGAGAATTCATAATCAGTTGTTACTCCTGCTTCGCCTTTTCTGATAACTTTATCAGAGGGAAACCTGAAAGTTTTCGGTGGAAAATCAAAGAAAGATGCAGAAGGAGAGTGAATGAAAATAAAAAAGAATTCAGGATCATTGTATCCTACGAAATTGTTGAGAACTGACTTTTTAGATAGGAACATGGGATAAGAATACACTCGAAGTATATTCAATTGTTTGACACAGTGCTCGATTCTCTCGAGACTATTGATACGTCTTAAAATGAGAAAAACAGTAACTTTCAGAACTTTTATCCGGACTTTTTGACGAAAAAACTTTACGATATGTTTTTATATACATTTACAATGTACTTGAAATGGCTGAAAACACATGTGATGCTGTAAAAAATCTGAAATTTGACTTCTGTATTTGTTTCTGAACTTGGTCTTTCTGACAATGAAACGATTTGATGGAATGACACAGAGAGATGTTAATTGTTTGATCTCGCAGTTGATTGAACTTGTTGCTGTCGACACATCTTCCGATCACCTTGAGAAATAATTTATCTCTTTTTGATAAGAACGCACGTGGCGCAGTGTTGCAGAAGAGGTGCTGCTCCTCTCTTGAATCGTCTTGACTTATCGCACGTTTCCATCATTTCTCGCAATTATTTTTGTTTGATCTTTTGAAAGATAACAGTGTGGGGAGTAGATGATTATCGGTGGTTTCTTTCGGTTGCTGAATTCCATTACGAAAGGTGGAGGAGGAAAAAAAATTCTTGGTTTATGATATTTATGTCAGCACATATAGGCCGGGCGTGACATGTTTTGTTTATGAATTCTCACAAAGTGTTGAATGCGGGAAAGAAATGCAATCAGGTGAACATAAAATAAGTATCTTCAGCAAATCGGTAGCACTTGAACAACGATCAACAGAAGTCTCAGAATATTGAATATTTGAAAGAGGGAGGACAGCTTTTCTATTCGAGTTTTCAGATATTATTGAACTAAATACTTCTGGACATCTGACAATTAAACTTCATTTAATACTTTCTAACTTAAAAGATTCAAATCATACTCCTAGGCGTATCATTACGCTTCTCAGAAAATATAAACCATAAACCGGCCAGATCGAATTTTTAAAAAGAATATTCTTGGGCCGACCCGTTTCTGTGCGTGTTTCCTGCCGTCTCAAAAAATTTTGGAGTCAATTAAAAAATACATTGTATCAGAGCATTTTTCAAAGTGAAAATCGAACAAGCGGATCCATTCGCGAATTTAAACTTTTGAGGGATTTGCAAACGGATCCGTTTGTTCATCATTTGCAATCGGATCGGATACGGGGTTCGCGAACGGACAAAATACGGAGGAATACGGAATAATGCGTTATGCATACTTGTAAAATTCCGGGCCGGCCCGCCAAAGCCCGGGTCGGGCCTGAGGAGATTTTCAAGGCCCGGGCCCGGCCCTGAAGGCCCGTTATCAAAAATTATGTATTTTTGAGCCAAATTTTGAGCTCTCAATATAATTTTCTCCATTTTTTTTTGTTATTTTGGATTGTTTATCTGTTTGCTCTAAAAAGATCGAAAAAACTCGAAAAAAAAATTTTTGATCGAAAAAAATCACATAAGGATCTCCCCTTACGTGTTTTTTGAAATTTTCAAAACTTGTGAAATGACAGGCCCCCCGGGCCGGGTCTCCGAAATTCGGAAAAAAGCCCGGCCCGGCCCGGCCCGTTACAAGTATGGCGTTATGGTTTTCTGAAAACGGGTCGCGTGCGTTCCGTATGCGGTTCCGATTTCAACCGCGCGCGAACGCTGACTGTCCGTAATGGGTCCGTTTGCATTTTACCTGTGTAAAAATCCCTCTTTAAAACAAACCAACCAAAATTCAATCAAATTGCTTCCAAAAGTTCCTATTTGATTTCTTAATTCTACCAGTTCCCTCAAAATTACAATTAACACACCATCTACTTCTCTTCCAATATTATTCCAAATTCTGCCAGTAAATTTGGGTACATTTTTGATTTGATACCAATTCAAGCGAAACTTTGGAAACTGAATTAACAACAAATTCATTAATCAAATCAAAAAGAGGAATCGTCCTTGAAGTGAACTGATTTGGCCTGTGCACTCAAAATCTCTCTCAATATCTGCAGTTTTTCATCTAGAAAACGATGATATTTCGCAAGAAGAAATAAGTTTGTGCTGAAAGAATTTTAGATTGGATTCCAAAAAAAAAAAAAATGAAATCACTCACGAAGCAAACAATGTATGAAAAAGAATAACGACAAGCGCTAACCAAGCTACTCTTGTTCCAGTTATACTGTACACAACAAGACTGGAAATCAAAACGATAAATAATCCAAGCTGGACCAAAAGAGCCACAAGTTGAGGTTTCAGAAGTTTCAGATATGATTTCTGTAACACATCCAATTAAGTTCTCGATAATTTTCAAGGATGACTTACATGAACAGCAATAATACTGAGAACGATTGTCACTAAATGAATAGAATGTATCGCAATCCATACACCAAAAAATACCCGATAAGCAATCCAATATTTACTAGGATCTGCTCTACGTAGATACTGAAATGATATTATCCCATTTGTATTTCGTTAAGAAACACTTACTGCTAACGTTAGCCGGTACAAAAACAATTTTTCATGCCATTCCGTCCTAACCAATAAAATTGAGCCGAGAATTATTCCGAGAAGTGATGTGACAATACTTACTCCAGAATGAATATACATCCATGTCTGTAAGATTAGCAAAATATTTTTCAAGAAAATAAAAATAAAAACCTGAATCTGTAATTTACAATGTTGCTTTTTGTCGGTTTCGGTTAAATTTCCAAATTGTCCAGGGTAGTTTAGATATGGGTTTCCTGAAAATTCAGAGCATAAACATCCGGACGAGATCTAACGTAAAACCTTTAATAGAAGTGCCCCCACACTGTCAAGTTCGAGCTAATTAATCTCGATTACTATGCAAGTTAAAAAATATGTCAGCTGATAAAATGTATGTGATATTATGAGAAACAATTTATCAGTTGACAATTATTTTCCATATTTGAAAAATTAGCTCGAAGTTAAAATTTAGGAGCTCTTCTATTAGAGGTTTTATGTTATACCTTGCATAGTTTAGATATAGTTAGGCTTTGAGCGTCACTGGATAATTTTAAACAAAAAGAGCGGAAGAGAGTGAGAACAGAGAATGAGTGCTCATCGTTGACAACTGTTACAGCGTCATTTCATTTCAATCACTTTTTCGTTTCTCACTCTCCGTCTCTCGAATATCTTCTCTATAGATAAATAAACGAGATCAAGGATGTTATGCCTAAATCAATTGCTTGTTATTTTCATTTTCAACGAATGTCTTTTTGCATAATCAATTTTAGTTTCAATTAAAATTTGATCGAATGTGTTTCTTTTTTATCTAAAGTTTGATATTTTTTTATATTCGGTTTGTTAGTCTAAATTGTTAGTCTTGTTAATCTTTAGTTTGTTAGTATTTTATAGTCTAAATTATATAATGTTGTAGCTGCGTATAAACTTTAGAGAATGAACAGTTTTTCTTTCAAACTCGGAAAAAAAATTATTTCTATTTCAACATGAACAGTCATATTTGCCAATTCTTCCAGCCCGGCCCGGTCCACCCGGGTATCTGATTTTTTTTTTGAAAATTCTTTTGAAAATGTTTGGAATTCTACCTCAAAGAAAATTTCCTGAAGTATTCCGCCCTTACAAAAATATCAAAACTTTGAAGTTATTTGAAAATTTCATAAAAATTTCAGTGTTTTGAAATTTCAGAATCTGACCCGGACCGACAGGGTTGGTTTCATTTTGACGGCCCATGACAAGTATGTGAAAAAAATTGAAAGAACCTGGTTTCTTTCCCAACACACATTCCTAAAGATTCAAAATACCCAAGTATACCCACTTTGCACCCAAATGATATATTTTCCTATCTGTTATTATCCCTCTCTTGTAAAATCTTGCAAGTCAATTCAATGATTTATTTACGTAATAACCAGTTTTATGCTGTCGAGACTATCTTTGTAGGTTTTTCTTCTTCTCTTCTCAGCAATGCGAACATGACTTGAACGGTCTCTTCAAGTCCATACTCTGGATTCCATCCCCAATCTTTACGAGCTTCACTGTCATCCAACGATTTTGGCCATGAGTCAGCTGAAATAAGAATATACATCAGAATCCTCTTCAATCTGATTCAATCTGACTTACCAATAGCTTGTCTTGTTGGACAGATATCGTAATCAATCTCGAAACCTGGCATCACTCGTCGAATTGCATCAGCAATTTCCTCTGGTGTGAATGAGAATCCTGTTACATTGTACGTTCTTCTCTTCAATGATTCGCTTTCAGCAGACAGTAACTGAATGATTGAAGCCATGCAATCGGTATCATACATCATTGGAAGACGAGTGTCTGGTCGAAGGTAGCAAGTGTGTTTTCCCTTTTGAAGAGCATCATAGAAGATTTGAATGGCATAATCTGTTGTTCCACCTCCTGGTTTAGTTGCTGAGATGATACCCGGGAATCTCATACTTCTGAAGTCTACTCCAAAACGATGATTGAAATATTCTCCAAGTCTTTCGGCATATACTTTACTGACTCCATAGATAGTGGTTGGGCATTGAACTGTGAGATCTGGTGTGTTTTCTCTTGGAGTCGTTGGTCCGAAGGCACCAATTGTGGATGGAATAAATACTTTCAGCTTGTGTTTTCTGAAATAAAGCAATCACTCTCATCCTCAGGGATAGTTTGCACTTACGCTGCAACTTGAAGAATATTCTCTACTCCTCTGCAGTTCACTTGCAAAGCCAATGGAACGTTTGTCTCTCCTACGGCTGATAAGAGGGCAGAGAAGTGAACGATAGTGTCGATATTCTTGTTAACAACAATTTCTTCAATAGATCCTTGATTCAGAATATCCAAATAATTGTAGTCAGCTGAAGAAAGGGATCATAGACTTATAAGCTTTCAGGTTCTAGGAGAACTTACAAACATCTGTGGCATTTGCAGGAAGACGAACAATATCACTCATAACGACGCATTCTGATCCATACATATACTTGTAAACTGAATTCAGACCTCTTCCTAGTTGTCCGAGAGATCCAGTAATCAAAACACGAGGAGCTTTTTGTGTCTGACTGATAGCTTTAAACCGTAATAATGGATCCACTGGAAGTGGGGAATAGCTTCTCTTGGCAACTTGAATTCGTCCGAACACTTTTAGATTGTTCATTTTTAGGACAGAAGAACAGAATAAAAAGTAATCAAAAAGTTTTAACAAAATGAGTAATCAAATCAAGTGTAGTTATGATAGAATTTTCTTAAAAAGGGAAACACCAGTGACATCGCCTTATTGGAGACTCAGACATAGACGCTTTCTGATTTCAACGAAATGGGAGGAGGGTCGATCTTATAACTTGATGACGACGAAGACATACACTCATTTGTCCCTTCTACACGTGGTCGTCGTCTAATTGAATTATCAACAATTTGGCGGATGTCGCCAGTTTGGCCTGTCATACCATCTTTCTCTCTAAAATTCAAACATAAATCAAAGATAATTGTGTACCTGTTTTGTTCTCAAAAAATACCGAAGACGCCTTCTTCTCGTTGAAAAGTTAGAACGATAACAAAGAAGGTTCTCGTGCACCGACCCAAATAGTTTCTAGTTCCTCTCATTTTGGTTTTCAATGGTTATTAATGTTAAGTTTCATTTTTCCGTAGTAAAAAAATTCTAAAAGTCACGTTTACATGATGTGAGTTATCACATGACAGGTTATCAAAATAAACTTGACGCAGAATTAGCATGACTGAAAATCAGGGAAATCAAACTTTGAAGTCATCCTATTTTTCAAATATAAGTCAAAAATAAAAATCAATTCGAAAATCTTTATTTCTTTACAAAAACAAATCACGAGCTCTCATCCTTCAGCAAAGTTTTCTCACGGATTTCCAGACGTCCACTTGTTGGGCGAAGTACTTCGAATGAGCACTGAAAATATTCAATTTTTTTTGATAATTTCTTTATGCGTCCTACCTGAAGTTTCTCATCGCATGTCATAAAAGCTGCACAATTGTCAAATTGACCACAGTAGTGAGGAGCGGAGAAGATTGTCTGATTTTTTACGGTATTCTTGAAACATTGGCCTTACCTACCACTAGTTTTCTATTAGCGAAAAACTCGTAACCATCCTGGACGACTTGATGAGCTCGACAGACAAGATCAAGGTTGAGATCTGCACATGTTTTCAACACAACATCTCTTCCAAAACCACATCCGGCTCCACGTTGGTTCTCCTAAAAGTCAAAATCACGATTGATCGATCATCAGGTTCTATCAGTTAAACCATAAAACCGTTGAGACCGCAAATTGGATCAGCCCATAGCAGATCCACTTCCAATCCAGTTTTTCCTGCAGTCGGTCTCGTAATATTTCTCAGATCATTGAGCGATTTTAAATGAGGTGAAAGGCCACCGTGCATACACAGAATTCGTTCAGCAATGAGACCAGAGAGAGGCAAAATGTTGAATACGTCCTGAACATAATACATTCATCAAATTATGCCTGAAACTTTACCTGAAACGCCTCGTACAAGCGGGTACTTGAGTATCTTTTTTGGCATTCTTCATAGAATCCATACGTCTTATTTACATATTCACATTCATGATTTCCACGAAGCAAGAAGAAGTTTTTGGCGAATCTGACCTAGAAACATTGAACGTTATTAAGGGAGAAATATCAAAAGTGCAGATAGATCCATCATTATTTTTGACGTCATTTTTGAACATATGACAGCTCCTCCGAGCATCATCTGTCACATTTTGACTTGAGAGATAGAAACTATTTTTGCAAAATTTTGAAGAAGATCAAAAATTCGAGTAATCTAGCGTAAATTATTACCTTGTAGGACAACAGAAGAACAATGACTTCAATGCTGTATCTTCCACGATCTACGTAGTCGCCAAGGAATAAATAATTGGCAGTTGGTGGCCATCCTCCACGATGAAAAAGACGAATAAGGTCCGGGAATTGCCCATGAATATCCCCGCACACCTTCATTGGAGCATCCACTTCAACGAGTGCTCCCTGACCTTTGACGACTTCTTTTGCCATGTCCAACATCTTCAGAATTCTATCTTCCTGGATCACTTTGCATAGCGGTTTTTCATGAGTGCTGACGCTCAGGACATCAATTATTATGCTGTTGACGTCTTGTATAATCATCTAAATGATCCAAGTTCTTCCTTGTTTTTGCATTTTTCTCCCACTCTCACCTTTTTATGATACCTTTTGATTCAAGGCCAAAATAAGTAACGTTAAAATCGGCAATATCGTGGAACTTTTCATAAAAGAAACACGTTGAGAAAAAAAATTAACATGAATAGAGGAAGAGAAAAGGAAACAAAAAAAATGAATTGCAACCCGTAAAATAAACGGAAGAAAATGTGAAAGCTGGTACCAAAATGAGCGAGTTATCACAACGGGCAAAGGAAATCTGAAACCGAGATCAAAAAACAATTTTTAATTTTGTGATGTGAATTATAATCGGTGTCCTCCCCCGTTCCGATTCTCAGACATCGATCCTTCAAAACTATATTCCTCATCACGTCTGGGATCAGGCTCCGTTGCGAGTGGAGTATAACTTTGTTTTCTGAAAAATTATATTTTGTATTTAGGCTTTTAAAAATGATAATCTTACCTTCCAAGCCGTAAACTGTTATTCATTTGTAATTGAGATAACTCAGTTGGAGATCCTCGTCGGGTATTCCACATTCTGAAAACAAAGTTACGGAATCCAAAGAAGTACAATTCTTCAGATTATTATTTTTTGGAAAACCGAATGATTAACAACTTACGCATAGGCCCATGACGGAATGATGACCTCCCAGAATGTTTGCCGGTATCTGGATGACATAACACAGTATAATACAAAATTTACAGATGAATTGACAAGTGATAAGAGGTCCAATACATCGCCAATGTAGAAGTACAGATATCTTCAAAAAATTTCTCGGATTATAAAAATTAATTCTCAGAATCTTACTTGTGAACATCTGTTGTAAAAATTGCACAAAGAATGGAAATAATTCCTTGTGGAAATTCAGTGATCAAAAACACTAATAAAATTACAACAAGCATCAATGTGGTCCGATCTGGAGTTCCGTTCTTTCTGCAAAAAGTTGAATTAGAATAAATTGTTTTTTTGACAATCATTTACTTTTTCAGAGGTTTGGAATCCGTGGAAGCATTTGACGGAACACTTGTTAATTTCCTTCTATGTTTTTCAGCATCTCGAATTTTCGAGACAAGACCAAATGACAAGAAAATCAGCAGGATACAAGGGATGATCTGAAATATTGAACTATTAAAATTGTATATCATTTTCAATATTATTTAACCTTGAATAAAATTCCAATCATCCAAATATTCCATTTAAATAATCGACAATTATTGATTGTAGCTGCATGACTGACCATAAATGTGTACACCGGTTCAGAATAATTCGATGGAAACCCTTTACACGTTTTTCCCGGTTTCCAGTTGTGTCCTTCTACTTTTGCAATTTCATGAACTAGCATGTTCGGAATACAAAGTACCAAAACGATGACGTATATGATGAAGCACAACTTCCACGCAAATCTAGGTCGCTGCCACTGGCTGAAATAACCTTCCATTCTAGCGAACAACTTTCAGAATCCTTTTTACCTGTTCAATGCAGTAACCCTCAGAGTCATCCGTCGAATGAAAGCCATCGCCACAGCCAACCATAAAGATGTTGTGTGCAGTGTGATGCTCAAAACAACATGCCATAAAAGAAATTGTAACCAAGAATGAGTGAACGTCGGAGTGCTGTAAAATTCATTAAATTTCAGAAAACCGCGTAGTCATATTTCATATGTTTTTCGATGTAACCTGAATTTATAGAGTAGTTCCAAAGATTGAAAATTGTGATGTTTTCAGGATCAAAGTTTCCAATGAATCATCAGTTTTCATTGAAACCCCTTCTAAAAATACCCGATCCATTTTTTATCTCCTTCAAAAAAAATTTCAGAAACACCCCGTTTTTTCAAGAATTACCATGAATTGTTCCTTCGTAATACAAAATGTATAATATACACAAGATACGATGCCATTGTTCCAATATCACATACAGCCACTGCTGTTAGAATGCAGTTGACGGCAGAATTGCGCATGTTGGGTCTCGATAAAACTGCCACATGCACAAAATTGGTGAAGATTCCAAAAACGCAGATGAGTACGCATACATATCCGTGAATTGGCTGGTACCATCTGACAATTAATCATTGGTTTAGTTGCACTCTTTTCTTCATTTTTTATATATTTTTAGATTCCAGAACACAGAGTGGAAAAAGATCAAACCTTTGAAAGTGGGCAAGTTTTCGAAGGATCGCTTGTGTACTGTTACTGTCCGTATCAAACAACTGAGCATCATGGGGACATTCCATATCTAGCACATCCTTCAAAAATATTCAAAATTTGTGAGAAAAGGAAATGTTGAAGCAAAGTGAAACAAAAATAAACGAAAAACCTAGCCAAAATAGGGAAGTCTCATGAGAGCAGAGGAAGAAGACAGTGGTAATTTTTTTTCGCTTCTTCAGTTGGAAAATCTCTCAAAGAAGGAAGAAAAAAAACGACTGGAATTACAGACATGGTTCATGAACTTTATGACTAATTGAATGAGTTCAGACGTTTTCTAGAGAAACAAGGAACACTGACGTTTGAGGGAAAGCTCTTAATTCGGAGAGCAATCTAATTGAATGTCGACATCTTTATAAGGAAGTCCATTAATAAATTTGGCTAATTTTAAGAGAATAAAAAGTTCAAGCAGAGTTCAAGCTCTATTCAGGAAACAAAGATCATCAATGTGATAGATGAAGGCTCTTTTGGAAGATTCAGTTTCGAGATAAACTTTTTCTGGTTAAAAAAAGTTTTGAAATCTCCGGAAAGAATGTTTGTGTCTCGTGTGATGTTGCCTTCGCCTTCGAAACAAAATCTTCTAGATTTCAAGAGCGATGTGACATTCTGATGTTAATGAATTCATCGAGAAGATGAATCGACAAATAGAATATTCTCACGACTTATGAATAAGGAAAACGTGGAAAATGGGGTGGTGGAGAATGGAGAAAAGGAGGAAAAAAGTCCCTCGAGAGTATTCTAGTGATGTCTTTCTTTTTTTTTGACTATTGACCACTGAACATTTCATCTCTGAGAATGACCTAATTTTAGGGTTTAAGCTTTAACATGCAAAGAGTAATTGGAAAAAAAAGATGTAAAGGAAGCAAAAAAACTGAAAAAGAAGAAGAGAAGAGAGCTACCAGTAGGATTGCGCACGTAACGTGTTCATTGTCTTTTTTCACTCGAAACAAAATGGCGAAGCTTCTCCTCAAATTCAATTTGCAGTTCATGTAGCTCTAGTGCTTGAAAAGCAGTGACGAGACTGCATTATTTTCAAAGTGACTGGCAAAGGAAAGGATGGAATAGGGGGACAGAAAGAGAGAATGGGGGGATGCACAAATCACAGCAAAACTTTAGGCAATGAAGAGGCGCCTTTCTCTTGGTTTCCTAATTCTAGCCTTTCTTTGTCAAGAAGCTCCCAATAGAATGAGTCAGGAGCTCGGATGACTGCCAATGTGTTTTTTCTTGAAATCTTTTTTCTTTCAAATGTTTTTCTAGTTTGAAAACAGTAATTCGGTTACAAAGCTGACTTTTCCCTTAACAGGAACCAGACTGGAACCAAAACAATCGCCAAGACTGAAATTGTTATTAAATAAAGCTTCATGTTTTTAGATTTCTATACTGTGAAAAATGTTCAGTTTGCCTATTCTGTTTGGCATTGCTCTTTTCTTAAAATGTTAGAACCCTGGATTCTTTTCATGCATGGCAAGAACCCCGTCATTTTCATTTTGCAGAATCAATCGGAATTACCGTAAACTCCAATGCCACCCAACCAGCAACTTTGAGACAATTTATCTCGGTTCCTGCAGTAGATATTAAAAAATAGTCGATTGACAAACTGTTAAGCATAATATCAAATGTATTTTGTTCATTATTTGATATCTCTCACAGAAACTGAGATATACAAGCTCAAAATTGATGGTTTGGGTGGCATTCTACCAAAGTGTTTACGGTACTTGTAAGCCGCATGCACAGAATAAGAGGCGAGATACACACAACAGTTATTTTCCAGAAACCTCCCACTGTGCACCTAACTCAAAATCGGAGGCAAATCGGAGCCAAATCAAAGTGAATATCAAAAGTAACTCCAGAATGTTCTAAAGTAGTCCTATCGTGATTGGGTCTATTGAAAGCATTGAATTCAGATTTCAAATTGATCGAAAATCTCTAACGCCTCACAAAATTTTAACAATTATAAAATAAGGTTATGTAACTAGAGATTGCGGTAGGTAGAATTTCAAAAAAAAACACAACCCGGACAAACAAAAAGGGTTAATCACAGCAAAAAGATATTTTTGTCAAATTTCTTCAAAAAAGGCTTTCGAAATTTCTCGTGTTTTGATACCATGAAAATGATCCCAAACTCAAAAAAAATTTGTTTAGAACTCTATTCACTTCCTGGACGGCAATCTCAATAGACTTTTGAGACGGGAATATTTTAGCGATTTGCCGAAAAAGATAGGTTAGCATTTTTTGGCCCCATTCTCACGTATTCAGACATTCAGGTCTGGGGGAATCATCAATGAAGTCGAGAAAGTTTTTACTCGGATCTTAAAATTCAAATAAAAATCGATTGACGAAGATTTATTTGTTGTTAAACAACTAGGTGTCTTGTGATTTGAGAATTCAAAAAGCAACACCCCCGTGTTTTCATGATCCCAGGATTTCGGACTCTCAGAGCTTCAAAAATTAGACTACTGAGATTGCTGAATCCGTGCATGCCGACAGGTTGAGAAAAGAACAAAGACAATTTGCTTCATAATGAAAACGTCGAAAAAATGGGCGGAAAATGGAAATGGATTCGCAACAACATTGTGGGATCTTCGAATTAATTTTCATCATACTAGCGGCAACTGGCCCCCATCCTTTTCTCTTTCTCTTTTTATCTCTCTCCCCCACAACCAATGTGCTTTTTTCTTCTTTTCTACCAAAGCTCTGTTTTGTTTTATGGTTCTCCGAGAGAGCATCTCCCTCATGCGATTAATTCAATTCTTGTGATGAGAGATGTTGGATCAAAAGATTCGATTCTAGACAATTTTTTTTTGCTTGTCTGGAAGTATTTTTTGTGAAAGGAAATTAGGAAAAAACGGAAAGAAAAAGGCATACAATGCAGAAAAGACTTGAAATGACGGAATTTGCTTGTCAAATACAGATGATGAATTTTCATGACTATGTGTCAGGAAATACTAATTGGAAGAAGGAATCTAAATAGTGAAGAAGACAAAAGAAAAAGGAAAACGTATGATTTTGAAAAAAGAGAATGGATTCTGACACATTCTTCTGGAAAAGAGGCTCCTTTTCTCCTTGTTCCGTCATCAGAATAATTCCATCAGACAGGGATTACTCAAAAACATTGTGTTTCTGAAAATTCCATATACTATTTTTCTTTAAGTTACCTAAAATCTAGTTCTATTTTGATATCGAGCAAGCTAAAATTCGAAAAATAACAGGTGATTCAAAACTCTGACAAAAAAAGAGAGGTCCAAAATGTTCTGCCATTCAAACGTACTTCAATAGACTAATTTCAGAATAATTTAAGCATACCCTCATTTTTATACAGAGAATAAAAGAAACCGAATTAACATTTTGAACGATACTGGAACGAAAAAATCCTTCGCTTCTTCTAACATCATCAATCTTATTCAACATAAACCACACAATCCAAGCAACATCATTTTTACATCTTTTCTTTTTTGTCCGACTTTTGATTAAATTGATTCAAATTTAGATTAGGACCTAAAGGAGAAAATAGAATGACATTACACATCGGTTTCAACAAATTTCTTATCACGGATCAAGCGTCGACAATTTCAACGATGCTTCGATTGAAGAAGAATTAGCTCTCATCCGGGTAAAAATTCTCGAAAAAAACGGGCATACTTCAGGTTTGTGAAAGAAATATAAGCTGTAAAACCATGGGCTAAACATGTAAACATGTAGGAGTTTCTTCAAAATATTTAATACTCAATAATCTGGTCATGGTGAAAATATATCTAGTAGCCAAACGTTAAACACAGATTTTTAAATACTCCATAGTTTGTTAAAAGCGGAAGTAGAAAACCCTCCGTGAGAGACAGTTTAAGACCAGAACTAATTGTTGAAAATGATTTGGTTATAGGTGGAAAAGACATCATGGAATGAGTCAAAGGTGTTTTCGTGGGGGAGAATATTCTATTAGATTTCAAAAGAATGATTTCGTTTACCAACCAGAATGAAAACAAAAAGCTTAATTTTGTCCAAAAAAAAAGACAACTTTTGTAAGTGGGGCCAATCAGTGGTAACAAGAGGCACCTGAGATTCTAGGTGTTTTAAATCGTTCTAAAATATAACAAGTAGTGAATTTCAAAAGTTTTAATTTTCACATCAATGTACTGAAATTTCAAAAATTTTTGTGAGCCACGTGAATCTTTTGAATCTCCCAAAAGATGGACCGTTAGGTTTTTGGGAGCAACGTGTTTTTTGAACAAATATACCGGAAATATTAACACTTTCTGAATATTTTTCCCAAAATTAAAACTTTTGAAAATCACTACTTGTTATATGGTCTAGTCCAGGCAGAAACAGAATCAGAAAAGGAGAAACGAACTGAAATCACGTAGTGAGAATTAATAATTCACTGAAACATTTCGAATGAAGGCGTGTCAGTCGGTTTGAGGGTGGCATAAAACAAGGATCGTGACTGGAATTTCAAATTCAAATTCCTACAATGTCTGAAAAATCTGTCAAGTCAAAAAGTACAATTATAGTCGAAAACCTTCAAGTCAATCTTCGGTTGGAGATGCTCCATAAATTTTATAAATTTCTCAACAAAAGCAACCCAAAACTGGATTTAGCACCAGAAACATGTACAAATGCATCATTCAGAGGAGAAAAAAAAACGCCGAAAAAATGCATTGAATGTATCTCGCAATCGCTATTCAAGAAGAGAAAATTGAATTACGAACAATGTCAATTAATTAATTAAGTGAGATAATTTATTTCTTCAGAATATCTTTTGGGGGCTCAGCAATGTGTGGCAAGAAGAGCGCACATTTTTTTCGCAAAATTCGTGATGCGATGCATTTTTTTTGTCAGCAATGGAAGAAAACTATTATATTTGCATTCAGCGGGTCTCAGATTAATATTTTCAGAATTTTTCAGATTGTTGGAGCCTATGCTTCAAACGATGGCTGTCCTGCCTTCGTTGGACGTCAGCTCTAGCTCCGTCCACGTGGCTCAGCCGGGAGCTGCGTCGCACCTTTAATACTCGTCCCAAAAGATCAACTCCTCAAGGGGTTTATATGAACAATTTCAGGACAGTTTTTTCCATGCCTATCTTTTAAGTTTGAAGATACTGAATTTCCTGGAACCACATTTTGTACAGTCTTTTGAAGTATTGGCTGTTCGTTCCAAAGTTCGGTGGCCTGATATTTGTACTTTCGTAATTCAGAGGTCACAGTGGTCAAAATACCTTGGATTCACAGACAATACTCGTTCTTCCATGACAACCAATACGATGTTTTATTGATCTGAATCAATTGACTCTTCGGTATAACCAGTTCAGTGAAGTCAAGTTTAATACAATCCAAAGAAATTGATATTCATACAGTTCAAATATTATTGGTCGTTGATAATGGCAAAATATTATGAAAAACTTGTTCCGTGTTTGTCGATGAAAACAAAAACTCCAAAAAAATTAATTAATTTTTTAGAGACGATCTACTTCCTAATTTGAAAATTTGATGATAATGTTGAACGTTTTAAGAAAAAATAATCCATGGCAAACTACCATGGCAAACTACCAATTTATTGAATTTTGACATCATCACTTAGAAGATCGGTGATAGAGAAAACTGAACAAAAATTATGATAGAAACAGTGCTTTCTGCCTAGACAGTTCAACTGGCAGACAGTTTGTCCTTAAAGATCAAACGATTTGTACTTTATTTTGTTTTAGAACCGCCCTTTTGATGAGTTAAAGAGTGATAAGAAATTGAGGAACTATGCCCAAATAACAAGTTTTTGAACAGATAGAGTTCATTTCAATTCATAAAAAGGCCCAGTGTATCATTTGATTTCATTATGTTTGTGGTCTCAATGTGCTCTTTCATGATGATGTTTTAAAAATGATGTCAATTTTATCAAAATGGTAGCGGTATGATTTTTAAAGAGCCTTGTTATTGTTTTGAACTGTTTTATTTTTAATTGGATGACCAGAAATGTTTTGATATAAAAAGTTTCAAACATTCGAACGTAAATTTCTTGTCTCTCCGATTCCGGGATTACCTATATAATTCCCAATTTTCATCCGATTTTTAAACTTCGTCTCCTATACCCCCTTCTCATCAAATTGTCACGCTTGTGTGTGCAAATTATCAAAAAAAAATTTCACACTGATGCGGAAAAGTCGTTAGAAAAAGTGTTAAAATAATCTCGAATTTGATTTGGACAGTCTTCGTCCCAATCCTGATAAGACTCATTTTCTTTTTTGTTGTAGGTACAAGTATCACCTCGCGAAAAAAAAAGAATCGTCTGATTTCTTTAGTCCTAAATCTGTATTGATTCCAGGAGACGAAATGGTGGAAGCACCAAGTTTTCGGATGATATGTGTAGCTGTGATCACTTCAATAGCAGGATCATTTCACTTTGGATTCAACCTAGTTCTTACAAATCCATCACAAGAGGCATTTTTGGAATTTATGAATAAAACATTGGCAAAACGATTCGATGGTGGTTTATCAGATAACACTATGCAGGTTAGAATTTTTTGGGGGTTTGTCTAGAAACAATTATATAATTTTAGAATATTTGGAGTTTTGTTGTCGCTATTCTTTTCTTGGGAGCACTAGTTGGATCGTTTTCGATTCGATTCATAGCTGATTGGGTTGGAAGAAAAAATGGATTATATATTTCAATCGCTGCCGGAGTTTTAGCAGGAGGAATGGCAATTGCGTCAAAGTTTGTAAGTCTTACAATACTTGAATCCTGGCAAACCTTAGCCCAGTCCCCTCCCAAAAGCCAATGTCCGCTCAAAAAACGCTGGCGCCTTAACTTCGCCCAAAAGGCTCTCAAAACTCGCTTAAAAGACTGCGAAGTCCTAACTTTTGCTCAAAAGACGACAGACGAGACTGTTTTTCCGATAAACTTCCTTAGCAGCATTCTTTTTTCGAAATTTCCAGATACCACTATTCGAACTGTACATTGTCTCCAGAATCGTAATGGGATGGTCGGTTTCTGTCAGTCTAGGTCTCTCCGCATTATTTCTCTCGGAAGCAAGGTGAAAGAGCATATTATCAGTATGGAATTGGTCTTTTAAACTCATTGATTTCAGTCCAAAACAAAATAGAGGAGCAATTGGAATGATGACTGGAACATGTGTTCAACTAGGAACTGTTTGTGGATCCGTTGTCGCCATGCCACAAATCTTTGGAACAGAAGATTTATGGTAAGGAATGACTAGGAAGGATGTGAAGAATATATTGAGTTATAGGTGGCTTATCTATGCTACAGAAATTGGAATTATGTTGTGCTTCGGTGCTGCTCTTCCATTTTTCCCAGAATCTCCGGGATTCTTGATCCAAAGAGGAGCAACTGAAGCTGCAACCAAATCAATTGCCTTTTTCTACAACTGTGACATTATTGATGCTCAGAAACATTTGAACGAAATCAAAGAAGAACAGAAAAATTCAACAAAGTACAATTTTCAAAAGAGCCAAAGCCTTCAGAATAACTTTTAAATTTCAGAAAATTCAAAATGATGGATGTTGTTATAAAGAAGTCGCTTCGAGACAAAGCATTTATCGGAGTCGTTGTTACTTTTGCAATGTCATTCAGTGGTGTTGCTGTAATTAATGCATTTGCATTCGAAATTTTGAAGGATACAGGACTCGATGTGCTGGAAGCTTCTCTAGCAAATGACGCGATTTCTGTAGTGAGCATGGTCAGTTGAAAAAATAGACGCGGAGAACTTTTGAATGTTTCGGTTTTACAGATATCATCAGTTGTGGCTGCAGTAATTGTTGATAGAAATGGTCGTCGTCCGTTGCTCCTAATTTCTTTCACAGGAATTCTCATATGTAACTTGATTATTTTTGGATTGATGTTCACATTCTACAAGTTTGGGGTGGGTTCTACATTTTCTAGAAAATTCTAGTTATCAACTTTTCAGTACCACGTACTCGGATTCATTTTGATCTGTTTCATTTGCATTTTCACATTCTTTTTTGCACTTGGACCTGGACCACTTTGCTACTTCATCAATGCGGAATTGGTCGGACAAGCTGCCCGAAGTGCTGCTCAAAGTTGGGCTAGTGTTATCCAGATGCTTTCGTTAGTTCTTATTTATTAAGAGACCTTAATATATTCTGGTTTTTAGTCGATTTGTCATTGTAACCGCTTTTCTTCCGATGAAAAATCAACTAGGAGAAGCTTGGTCATATCTGATTCTTTTTGTGGCTCCCGTTGCTGTCTCACTGGTTTATCTCTATTTTTCATTGCCTGAAACTAAAAATAAGAATCCGTTTGAGGTGGGTCCACGTGTTCGGAAAAACTACCAAGAGCAATCCATTTAAAATCGGATAAACGGATTGTGATTTTTTAAGGTCGAAGAAGCTATCGAGGATTTGCCGAAATTCCCGCTTTGTGGACGAAGTCGACGTGTGCAGGATCGAAAAATTTCAGAACAAATGGTGATTACAAGACAAATACAACTGGTAGAAGATTACGGATCAATAGAATCTTTATCGTATCGACTTTAGAACATTTTTACAGATTGTTTAGTCTTCATTATTATTCAAATTTTACAATTAACGGGTCGGAAACTAATTATCATTTTATCATTATAATAAACGTTGAGATCTTTTTTCATTGAAAACGTGATTACACTACTGGAAAAATACATTAATTATGGTACAAAAAAAGTTATTGAGGTAGGAGGAATGCAACAAAAAAAAAGAGAAAAATGGAAAAGGGGAAAAGTGGGTGAAAAGGAAAAAAAGAAAGAAGAACAAGAAATACACATGATCGAGTTTAAATTAGAATTTGATTTGGTTATCGTGACGTCTGATTATTCCAAATGATTTTGCAATGTGAGCGGCTTGAAGGCGATGAGCTTTGAAGTATCGGCGGAGTGATGACTCGTTTTCTTCGATTAATTCCGGATTCTCACTGTAAAGAAAGCAATTGATGGGGCCATTGGAATGACCTTAAACTCACTAGTATACTGATAAAACTTCTGGGAAATAGTCCGGACGGTTTCCAATCTTCATCTCTGCGATGATTCTTTCCTGAATGTTGTTGAAAACGTCATCTGATGAGAAGACAAAGTTGGCGAGTTGAATCTCCTCGATTGAATCATCCCACTGAAATAATGATAATAATTGAATGTCTTTGGAGTCTGTTTACCGGATGGCAATCGGTCTGCTCACAATCGTTTCCTTGGCAGCAGAACTCATCGAAGAGCTCAGATGGCTCACAGCTTGGAGCATCTTCACAGCACAGCTTGGCCACTTTTTTCACCGATCTACGTTCGACTTCTGAAAAAACAGCAGCTGATTGTGTTGGCTTCACAGATCAATGAAATAATGATCAAAGCAATTTTGAAACTTAATGACTGAAGGTTTCAAATTTGCATCTGGCATGTCCAGATGGTTCCTTATTTACTACATATTTCGAAATGTCAATCATTAATTACCTTGGAGTATACTGTAGTTTCTAGTATATTTTTTTCAGAACAATTTTTGATTATATTTCTTTCGTTACGCACAAATCGATTGAAACCCCTTTGAGATTATACTGATTGGTGCCACCCGATGATTAAATTTTGATACATTTAATTTTATGATGGAAAATGATAAACATACTCAAAAACCATCATCTAAATCCAGATTACTGAATTGCATAAATATACACCAAACCCATCTTTTAATACCAAACTCTCACAATCGGATTTTTTTTGTAGGTGTTCTTACCGTTCAAATCACATCTGAGGGTTGTATTAAAATTCTTTTTGCAGTGTCGTTTCATGTAAAATCCGGTGATCCTCATCTGACAGGACACGTGTTTCATTCCGGCTCCAAGTTTTTTGTCAAGTTGTTCAGCAGTGACCTTTCCTTCTGATAATGCAACCAAGTGGATGAAAACGACGAGAAGTACTGGAAGATGCATCTGAAATGACAGTGGGGTTTAATAGGGAGCATGAATCTCGATGGAAACGAAATGGGAAGTTTTTGATTGATAATCGTTTTTCAAAAACTAGGCGGAGCCTAGAGAAGATTTCATAGAATTATCTGTCAGGATTCATTTGGATTAAATTTGGAAGTGTTCCTTGGGAAGATTAAAACATAAATTGATTAGAGATTTAGAAATTCTAATGACGGAATTCTGAGGAGGTAATATAGGAGTGATACTAGACGGAACCCTGAGTACCAGGCACTTCTGGTCAAGAGAGTATTTGAGAGATAAGTAAGCAGATGAGACAAGATCTAGAAGGTTACGACTATTTATAGTTGAAACTGATGGAACACGGAACCATTTAGATTAAGGGATTGGAAAAAGAAACTCTGGTTTGAATTTGTTGTATTCTTTTAAATGCCAAACTGTGTCGTCAAAGAAGCTCAGAAGCGTTCTGTGTATGGTAGAGGGAATGAGGGGGGCTATAAAGCTTCTGTGTGCCCCTCGGAGAGCAGGCGGAGCTTCAAGAAATTCGAAGTCAACAGATTTCCTAATATGTCCATATGCTCCGCCCCTTCGAATTCTGACTAAAAGTTATGGAAGAAAGAGTTTAAACATTCTGATGGCTGAAAGTATAAAGTACATAGGAGATGTGATCTGGAAAGAATAGAAAAATATTATCGAAATGTGGATATGCATAAACAATCCTAATCTGAGGTTAAAACCGAATCATAAGTATTAGCTTCAGAGAGTGCAAAAAAGTTTAAAGAAGTACACCGAAAAATAAGGATTAGCAGCTACCAATTCTGCGATCTCATCTGGATCTAATTGGATGTTATTTTGTACTTTATCACAGTATAAAACTATTTTTGAACGAAGTTAGACGACTACTTGAAAAAGTAATTATAGATGAAATTCGAACTTTCGAAAAACTTCGAATCATGATATCACCCTAGATTTTAGTGGTTTTTCAAAGATGACAATGACATTTCGAAAGTCAGGGATGATGTTGCTCTTGGATTTCAGATTCCTTTTGGATCGTATCAAGATCTTCCCATATATAGGTAAGCATAGTGGGATTTCAAAACATTACCCGATATGGTCAAAAGGGACTCCGCCCACTTAAAAAACGAGTTGGATAAAAACAGAAAGTGGGTAATCGAGATTGGGAAAGTGAAACCAGAGGCCTCGGAGAAAAAAGTTCCGATAAGTGAAACTAGGCGAGGAGAAAACACCACGTAAGGACAAACGAAGGCGAAGGAGATGACGCAAAGGAGGGTCACTGGGTCAACGGAACACACACATGGGTCACAAGATTTCCTAGATGACCACAACCACAAAAAGGCTTGGAAATCAGGAGATGGGTGGCCACTGGTCAACAGCATCTCGCTCTTCCTCTTTTTTTTGTTTTCCAGCAACATTTATTCTATTGTTTTATGGGTGCTCCTCTCATGAGCGTCACGAGGATGACGATGTTCCGAACACAATTGACCCGAATCCGTGTGTGAACGAAAAACATCTTTCGAGGAAGGAACTATGATGAAAGTGATGATGAGAATAGACAGGGAGGCTGTGATTGTGATGAATCAGGATCTCAGATGGACACGACGTCCAAATTCATCAGATAAATGTATTCTACATATTCTGAACGGGCTTGTGTAGTCTTAACTATCATCAGAAAAAAGAAACCGTACGAACAGGATGTGAGTAGAAGAAGAAGAAGAAGAAATGAAAAAAAAAGTGAAGAGGGAATGGTTTGAAAGGTCAAACTGAGTCACTGCTCGGTGAATAGGATGTGTGGGAAAAGTATACAAAAAAAGAATGTCCAAGATTGAGTTAACAGAATCGGAAGAATGAAAAAGGTTGGGTTTCAACCGAACCAGTTTTAGGAAGAAGGGAATGTTACTTATTCGAAAGTCATTTTTTGATGCTATCTTTTTTCTTTACTTCCAGCTAGTGTCCAAACATTATTTTGGAACATGACTTTGGAAAGTTGAAAAAAATGCCAGGCAAAAATAATTTTATTGGTTTTTTTGGAAAGATTAGATAAAGACCAACACCTTGAGAAGAACTTTTTAAAACAGGATCGGGCTCTGGCCAGGTCTTTAGACAACAAAACAGTAACCGATCAGCTGACTGATCTTTTTGTTGAATCAATGAGATCCTGCATCCATATGGATTGAGTTGCTCAGGTTGGGCTGGTTATCATTATCGTTTATCTTTGTCACCGATGGGTTCCAGGAGAGAGAAGAATTTATCGTCATGACCGTAACAGGCTCAGACTTTTCCGAAATTTCCAGATGCTTACAAAACTGGGATCAAAAAACTAGAACCCACTTAAGGCATATTCAGAAATCCCACTCAAGAAGGTATAATTCTCGGACAAGTTCAAAGAATTTGATTAAAGAAGTATCCAAGAGCATGGTCAATTTTGTCCTTTCTGCTCATCCAATTGTCTCTCTCGTCCGTCTGCTTACTTTTGAGTAGTTTTAAGTTGGCAAAGAGAGACCGCGCAAGTGCGAAAATATTGACAAGAAGGTAAACGCCCTTTCTGCAACATAAAACTTTTTTCGCTCATTTTCATCGGTGGATCGAAAGAGAAAGATGACGATTTCAGTAGGATCAATGTTCCCTATGAATCAAGTCATTGTTTATAGCGTTCCAGTCAAATGCAAATGTCTTCTGATATTCAGAAAACTCACATAAGTAAACAATTATTTTTCTAGCGAATTCTTGAAATCGGTTTTACTTGACCGAGTTGGTTTTGAAGATCATGAACGTTCCGAAAACATCAAAAGCTTTCCCAAAATCACTAATGGGCTGAAAATAGCGAAGATTCCTAAAGCTTTGTGTCAACAAAAATCGCTACAGTTTGAACGGTCATTACTACTCTAAACCAACCAAATGTTTGCGCTTCTGTTTTTTATTAAGGAAGTATAATGATAGTGCTCCGAAAACTTTTTTCTCCCTTTCCAATAGCTTTTTTTGTGCTCTTCCGTGAATAGATTTCAAAAACGCACTTTTTCAAAAGTGTAACATTATAGTTGCCAAGATTACACCAGAAATCATCCTCTTCCAAACTAAATGATATTTTTGTGCTTGAATAGAATTCAAATAATGACTTCATCGTATTATTCGAAGTACAAAATTCGTTAATCTTTGGATGTACATGTTTTGTTTTAATCCGTATGTTTTTAGCATTACTTCTGATGATAATAGCAGAAGAAACAGCACCGAAGCGTCAAATGAAACACGTGCGGGGGTAACTAGTATTATGCATAGAAATAGGTTGACATACACGGCACAGTTCAGTTCTTAGATGTTATTATGGGTTGGAGGACCACACGTGAGCAATGGAAAATTTTGATGTCAAAGCTGAGTTGTTGGTCACAAAAGCAATGGGATAATCTGCACCAAGTAGAGAACAGTGGTGGCTTGGGAATCAGAATCTTACCAAAAACGATCTAGTGACACCCACGGTGCCAGACGGTTTCAATATTTTCCGTCTTCAACAAAGCTACTTTATATAACAAATATGTTGCAAGACGACACAATCTCGAAAATCCTCCTCTAACATCACTTGTTAGGGGTTTTTAGGAAAATGAAATTCCTTGTTTGTTTCGTTATACCTGGGGTATTTATGAGGATAACTTTGTATTTCTTCTTATTGAAGAGGGTTCGAAACTTCAGGAAGATTATAACTTGAGTCTACTTGTTATTTAAAAACAGGTAACAAAAGTAAAGTTTATTCATTTCTCATATCTTCAATGGGAATCAAGATAAATCGAAAAAAAACTTCACCTGTTCACATGTGTTTCTAGTTTCAGCCAAGAGTATCATTCAAAATTCACAACCAACAGGAAGTCGTTTTAATATTAGATCCTCAAAGAAAGTCTTTGATGACTCGAGAATATTTCGGTTCATGACTTCAAATCCCTTTAGGAAGACCCTTCATTTCGTAGGATATTCAAATTATACGGTCATACGATTAAGTGAAAAAGTTAATACTTTGTGGAAGAAGAACTGGGAAGACCTGAAGATTCTATTTTAGTTCGGAGTGGCTCATGAACTGAAAATTTATATTCTTCTCATTTTCTAAAGAAGGCAAACTCTGAAAGTCACCATTCTCTGAAAAAATCTAGTTTTCCTATGACACGGAAATGATGAGATATTATGGTTGACAATCTCAGATGATCAGAAACAAGCAGTTATCGCTTGACGTTTGCACTTTTAATATTATTCAAAAAATTTTTTTGTATTGTCAAGGAGTGGCTTGAGCTGGGTGCGGACTCCAAATCAAGATGGATTCATTAGAAAATTACGAATCCTCGAAAGATCGCGAACAGTGATACCATAATGTATATCAGCTTTCGGAAAACACGGAATAACCATTGTTCCAAAACCAAAATGGGTTAAAATCTCAGAACTTTTCATGAATTAGCTCCGATAGTGATATTAGAGATACGATTTCCTTCGGAATATCTGAGCTGATTTAGTTTATAGATACAGTTGTGAGTGGTAGTGATGGAAACTTCGTTCATTGGTTCATGACTTTGCTCAAACTAACTCAAAATTTCCATTTTCTAAAACAGTGATTTGGGAATTCGAAAATACAATTCTCCTCCAGGTGAAATTTAACGTCTTTTGAGGGATTATATGCTCGGAGCAAGAAAATATGGTCCGAGACCATAACTCGGCTCGAAATAATCCAAACTGAATCAGGTTTTCAGATTCTGAAAACTTCCGATTTATGGATGTCTGAATGAAGAGTTCAGCTATGTTAAACAAAAAAGTGTCGTACAGATTCTGGGTCAGTTTGAGCAAAATGAAGGATCAATGAACAAAATGAACTTTCCTATATCTGGCCTGTGATGACCGTAAACACTCTAATAGAGTGCCACCCAAACCTTTAACTTTGAGCCCATATATCTCATTCCCTGTAAAAGATATCAAAAGTAGTTAAATAACCAAATATTTTTGATATTATGATAAACATTTTATTGTTTTATCACTTTTTGATATCTTTTACAGGGAATGACATATATGGGCTCAAAGTTAACGTCTTGAGTGGCATTCTATTAGAGTGCTTACGGTATTTTCTTCATTCGGTACCCGAATTCATGGAATAAAATAAAGGATTTTTTTCTGAAGCTGACCTCCCTCAAATTAATTTCTCTCCCTTGATCGAACTGAACTTTTGCGATTGAACCGAATGGAGTGAGTGCGTCTAGAGTAGAAATGACCTGAATCCTCCCAAATCCTACAAAAGCAAAAAAAAAGTGTGGAAGGGTCTACAAAGAGCAAATAAATACACGACAGTCATGTGGTATTGAGTGGGTGAAAACGGGTTCTTCCCTTAAAGTACAACCGGTAACTTTTCCTTAAATATTTATTTTTAGATGACTTGGCCAAGTTGAACGGATCTGTTGTACCGATCATTTTAAGGCTAACTGTCATTTGGATTTATTTTCAGAATCAGTGGAAAACTGGAATAGGTGGAGAAGCCACGTCATTCTTTCTGCTGAATGAACAAAAGTATCAACGTTCGATACACCAAACTCTCAGATTTATTGACCTTTTACTGTTTTGAAGTTCAGACATCTGGGTACAAATTCTATCTTAATGAATGATGTGAGAATTTTGAGAAATAAGAAACAGTGAGGCATTTAAAAATTACAATTATAGGATCAAAACAAAAATATTTACATAATTTGAAGGCTCACATTTGATTTGATATTTGAATACCAGCTAGAAACAACTAAAAACAAGTTATTATTTTTTGAAATCAGAAAGTTATAAACAAAGAATATGAAAAAGAGATACAATTCAAATAGAATCCAAAACAATTGGAATTCGAAGAAAGACACATGATTCGGTAGTTTTTGGGTACAACATCTGGAGATTGATGGCAAACAATGGGAACTAGTAAACAGAAAACAAGAAAAAAAATCTGGAAATCTGATCATAAATTTAAAATGGGAAGAAAAGTAAGGGGTCAGGCTGAAAAGAGTTTATTCGTTTAGATTTTTGACAGGTATACTGTAAAGTGATTTATTCTTTCGATGGAATTGATTATTAAAGTAATTAAGATATGTTTCTTGAACTAGGAACTTTTTTATTACAGTAAGCCGTTCTAAATTATTATTTACTCGCAAATTCTTTTTTCGTTATTTCCAATTAATTAGATTCTCATTTTGCTCTCATTTTAACCTCATTATAAACTTTGGCAGTGCAGAAAACAAAAAACGTCAGATGGTGTCAATTATTAATATAACGGAGAAGGTCATCGTAATTCTTAAATTCAAGGAAGGGGGTTTCCAGGTTAACCCAACTATTTTAAAAAAATAAAAGAAGGTGTTTCTTTCTGCACCTTATCGACGACAAATATTTTATTTCGTTTCTATAATTCTGTAGTTTGTTACTAACTCAATGAAGCTTTATTTCCATTATGAGCATTTTTTTCAGATTATTTTTTCAGCGATCCAATTTCATCAACCTGGAAAAGTCAACATCATGAATTTGTATATAGCTATTTTTCTG